CCATCATATATGAATACCTTAAATATTGCAAATATATAATCAGAATAGTTCTGGTTATCCAAATATTAACTTTTTTACTATGTACCGAAAAGCATACGTGAATTGAGCAAATATGACAATTAATAAATATAATAGGTAGTGAGAATTTCAAGAAATGTACCGAGAGTTATACTGTACTGCTAGGCTAGAGTAGATAAGCAGTTATCTGTCATTAAAATTTCATTAATTTAAAATCTATTACAAAATAACAATATATTATATTAAACTACAGTATGGTGTTGTATTTATGCTATTTTTTCGGAAAAAAGGAACGATAATAATAGTGTTAAATTTTTTCTTTTAGTCTTGATGAAAAGACTTTGTGTGTTGAGCTGTCATTTTACTTTACTTGAGAGTTTGTCATCTAAACCTGCTAAATTATACTAACATCCACATGGTGGCACTGATTCCATTTGTTTTCCTATTAGACACTTTAAAGGATATTGGACAATGTGGCAATAGAAACTTCATTATAGAAATTACTTTAGCAAATCAATGAACTAGTAAACAAATATCGGTCCTATAATAATAGCATCGACCGGATGTTTCGAAGTACATTTGTAAATTTTAACTGCTGCAATGAATTAAATAAATTCAACTTTTTTCAGACTAATACTTTGCTCTCTTATTATATTCTACTTTCCGTTCTTTGTCGGCCTGGTCATTAATATTCAAATAGATAGTGGAGCCAGTGAGATCCTGGAGAGCTTATTAAGCATAATAATGAATTAACTATATGCTACGATTAAACTATTTCTAGTGCTATTTTTTTTGTAAACAAAATATGTGGATGACCAATACACGGTCAATTATGCTGCGCGTAAATATAGATCATTTCATCTGAACTACGTCTGGATCAATTAAACGGTTGAGAGGAATATTACCGTTATGTCAAACTACGAGCATTTTTCATTGCAATATTTCCAACCGATTTAATTTGTTGCTAGTGGATTAAATTTTAGCGTGTTTATTGATCATATAATTGGACCTTATTTATTGGATTTTTTCAAGAAGTGCAGTATGCCACTAATGATAAATTTAAAATGAACAATAAAAAGTCTAATTTAAATTATCATAACTAACTCTTTTCAAGATCAGTATTGACAATACAAAGTCAGATCAATTTTGAGCCTTATTCCAAGTATCAGTTCTCCAATCTCGAGTATTATCCAGAGCAAAATTCTCACTACCAATATTAGGTCTTGAAAATTTAATCAACAAAAGAAATTAATTAATCTATTTTTCCTTCATGACATTTTCCTTTGCACACACTTAATTGGAAAATATGCTCAGTGCAGAAATTAACAGCTCTAATATGTATTGATAGCATATTTTCACTTGCAAAGTTGAATTAATTTAAATTTACTATCGATGCCTTCGCAGACTATGCATTAGATACTAACACATCATGAGTACAACAAACGGTAATAATGGCCAGTTTTCCGTTCCTTTCATCCTTGTAAGCTAGCAGGTGTTTACTGAAGCCAGGCATAATAATTATTGGAATCCTTCTAACCATATAAGGAATGGGCCTACGAGTATATTACCAGACATTGAACTCTTCTTTTCAAAGTCTACAATTTGTATTCCTCTTCACTTAAAGTATTATTATGCGCCATTGCAAGCTATCTCGTAAATACAAAAATACATTGCATAAATATATATAGAAAATTTCAGAGTCGAAACGATATATATATTTCTTTGCGCTCGCGCGGCGTATATATCCGATTTTTAGTGTTTCATTTTTTATTTCCTTTTATTATCTTTTTGTTATTATTTTTCGCGGGGGTCCAGGTCTTCTCTATCTGAAATAGAGTTACTGCTATGATTTCTTACCTATGAAAGACTACTTTTACAGTATTCAGTAGTCTGAATAAACCTCATTTTAAAAGTTGTAGTTACACACTATTAAAGCGGTCAGCTTTTAATTGCGAGAATCGAGGTGAAAACTGTCTCCTTGAATGGACACCAATCAATTATAAATAGTAGACTTCAATAAACCAATTTTGTCTATAACAATTTTACAGTGCAGAAATATTACCGTAGCAGAGAGCTTTGTTCTTCATTTGTATTATTCTTGCGGATCACCTTGACATGGTGATCAACAGAATTTTTAGCATTATTATCGTCTTTATTAAGACATCATCTTTGAAATTCTTGGGCATTGTACATCTACCCTCTTGTAAATATTACTGGATGAATAATTATGGTGGAATCTCGGCCAATTCATGCATGAAATTTATGCCACTAAAACAACACTGTCACATGCTAGTATGCTGTCAGTGAAGTTATTTGGGCTGATCGAGAATATAATTTTTATATTTTAGTCGACATCGTTGGAAATTAGTCGTGCAACCTCGACAAATACTGCTGATAAATAATCAATCCGATATAGATGGAAGTGTACTTATCTTCTTGGTAGGGTAGTTATTAGTTATTACTTCATTTCATAAATAACATTTTGATAGTTTGTTTTCTAGTGATAATTGAAGCGTTTTTTTTGGGTCAATGTCATGATCGCATGTCACGTCGAATACTATAGTTGTCAAAGAGAAGTATAAAATTGATATTTGATAATTTTATTTCAGCGTGCAGCTGTAATATGGTTTCTATTTTGTCATCTATTCTGTTTTGTTTACAACAGCTACAATGGACATTACGAAGAGCCTATTTATTTTAGTGAGTTTGGGAGGTTCCCTTTCTGGTGTATTGTACTAGGTCAATAAATCAATCCATTTTTTAGACAGTACGTAAGTGAAAGAATTTGCAATAGTGCATGGAATGCACAACTGCCTTGCAATGTAGAGGCATTAACGTTCTATTCTGGAATTCTGCATTCATACACAAATCATTGCTCTCTTGCAGTAAACTGCATCACAAGTGTTCATCTTTTCTATTTGTTTAGCATTCTTCAAGTGCTCAATTTTATCGACGGTTGTGGTTGGTAAATATGGCAGGAAAATTCATCGTGTAATCATTTTAAATCATGAAGTATTTTCAGTCTAGGTAGAGTATAATAATTTCAGCTGATTACACGAGTGATCGACGTTAGGAATGCGTTGTAAATCTGTGCGTCTTCAATAAAGGAAGTATTGATTGTGGCTAGCGGGATGGAAAGGCTCACTTGTACTTATACACTGTACAGTGCTACATATGTGTTCTCTCTGGCTGGTTTTTGCTGTCTATTCACAGCTCTCAGCATATTTGTGATTGCTGTTTCTCTGATCTGTAACTGTCATATTGCAGCTGTCTGATTGTTATTTATTTAAGTTTCTATCATCATAAACAACTCATTTTTTTGGACGTACTTTGAAGTCTTCGTGCTAACTGTCTGCATAGCCTGTAGTCTTATCGTATAGCATTTTATGAAAGTCAAGCGGCACTGTCAAGCCCATACGACTGTACTTCAATAATAGAGAATCTAATTTAATGCATGGCAGAACGTAGGCTTCTACCTGCACAGTATGTCGCGAAATTGAATTTTACGAAGATGTTGAAACAGAGTCATTAATGCAAATTTGTAATCCATAGGATGGCATCATTCGCTATCGAGTAACAACCTTCCAAGCTGTATGTGAAGAACTATTTGAGCTTAAAGCCGCTCGGTTGGAAGCGAGCGTCGACAGTCCTTCACTGAAAATAGCGCCTGCAAGTAAGGTGCAGCTGCAATAACACAATAATACGCGTACTCTATCTCTCTTCATAGACGAGTACGTATATTATTATAATTATGGTGTAGTTGCACTTTGAGTAGCGCAAGGTAGTCGGGTTGGAGGTCCATCAGTAGTCCTCCAGGAACGACTAAATCCTCGTCCACATCTGCAACTGATTCTAACCATGTTCTAACCGTCTACATTGCTTACACCATCGACATTTTTCTCTCACTTCCATCATTTGGACCTGTTGGACTAGTTGGGACCATTGAACGCTACGTCCCGTACTATTAGACTAGTTGGGACTAGTGAACGTCACCTCCCGTGCTACTGTCCTCAGAGTCGTTGGTTTCAGAGACGAAATCATAATAAGTACAGTACTTAGTACAGTACTATACAGTGTATTGTACGCTGGTCACGACTGCCCTGTCGAGACATGCGCGATGGAGCATGAATGTGTGACAGATAGACAGGCGGTCGTACGAGAGCGACTGCTGGTCGATTCCACTGTACTTTTGACTATTGACTACTTTCATACTCGACGTCGCGGTATGGTTTGAAACCGTTTATTACGTGCCCTTGAATGAACCAGAGCGGGACATGCGCAATGGAGCATGAATGTGCGACAGACAGACAGGCAGCCGTACGACAGCGACTGCTGGTCGACTCCACTGTACAGTGTACAGTGTACAGTACCGTAGGGCACACTATACTTTTGACTATTGACTACTTTCATACTCGACGTCGCGGTATGGTTTGAAACCGTTCATTACGTGCCCTTGAATGAACCAGAGCGGGACATGCGCAATGGAGCATGAATGTGCGACAGACAGACAGGCAGCCGTACGACAGCGACTGCTGGTCGACTCCACTGTACAGTGTACAGTACCGTAGGGCACACTATACTTTTGAATATTGACTACTTTAGTACTCGACGTCGCGGTATGGTTTGAAAGCGTTTTATTACGTGCCCTTGAATGGACCGGATCGGACCGGAGAGTCAGTACTGTCTGCACTATGCTGTGCTCGAGGTAACTTACTCGTTGAGTAACTTTCGAAAGCCTTCGCCAGCCGATTGCGTCGCTTGGAAACTACAATCTGATTGATCTCCAAGTTGGTAAAATCTCCATCGTATCTTAAGTTGATCCTGATTTTCTTCAGTTGTACTCGCGTAGATCAATTTTATTGCCATCGAAGGCAAATAGACGCAAATCACAAATCTCCAAGACTGCGTAACAGTGTATGATTGTAGTGTTGCACGCCATTGCTACAATTCAGAAGAATTGAGAGAGCGATCGATCATTGCTAATGGATCCTTTCACTCACATCAAGCTAGTAAATCGACAGAAATCTTGGGAAGAATTACATCAAACCATTACATTCAGTCGTCGATTACAGTATGATGCTAGCCGTGTACCCAGCAGTTTTAAATTTCGTAGCCATCTTGTAGGCAAAAGTGACAGCAACAGCCAAAGTAGTAGCCCCAACAGCAGTATTAGCAGTGATAGTAGCAGCCAGGCAGTGACCACCAGCCATGCAGTTTATCAACATCGCTTGTACTATCTCAATTTTACTGAAAGAGGTCATAGCACGATATACTATACTGATCTGCCGTATACCGATGAAAATGATGAAATCTTGGAGAATTTATCCGAACATTCCGCTCATGGCCTACCACTATTGTCAGATCTTGCTTTTATTACCGATAGTAAATTGTCCAAGGAAGAAGAGTTGTTACAAGAACGTAAAAGGATTCGAGGTCAAGGAATCTTAAATTACTGTTTAGACAGCAAGAGCGGTAAAATCATCTTCCACTTGGGTAGTGACCTGTATGAATGCCAAGATTCCATGAATGAAGTAATAAATACATGAATGAATGATTGTATGCTACAGTACAGTATAGCATCAATACTATCTTCAATAATATCGACATGATTCATTTTTGACATAGCTGCATGGCCTCCATGCTATTGAATTTTGTATGGAATATCCCCGATTAAACCACGTTACAGTAGGATAGACGCAATCTGGACTCTTACTGTCCAAATCACAGTGTATTTGCCTACTTTGCATGGCGCTGATTCATTATTGTACATTGCAACTATTCGGAAAGTAATACAGTTATTCATTACAATCTGGCCATTGACTTGCTTGACTGGATTACGTTATCAACCTACCATGAAATTGAAATCGTCTAAAAGTTCTACATTTATTGTACTTTGTTAACATCGATTTCGTTTCTTGACGTATTACAACACAAATTGATTGCAATCCTTTTGTACGGATATCTTTAATATTTCTTATGTGGCGTCTTTCAATGAAATGTTTATCGATATTTTATCCCAACAATTAGAAGTAAACCAGACCAATGAGGATAGTATAAATCGTTCTTAATTTTACCATCCGATTTATGTACGCTCCATATTGTTTACCTACCTCTCTGCAGTGCAGCACAGTATGTACGATTTATATGCTGTAGTGTGAAATAGACAAGTACTGTTGACATCTTAATCATTATTTCTTACAGAGATATAGACAAAATTAGTCATTCTGAGCTGAAACTATACAAATTGAAATTTAAACTAAAAGAACTACTATAATACTGTATAATATCGGTGCTTTATCTTGACAGTATCTTCTCATCCTATTCTATAGTAGACTTTTTAATTAATTTCATTTGATGACTAATATAATCAATGAGAAGTTTAAAATAAATAAATATGCGGCTGTGCTCACCAGGTAGATACGGTATGATATGGTAATTTCCTGCCAACAGTGTAGTAAAATTGATTCATTCTGTTATAGCTGCTAAATCAGGCTAAAAAAAAAACACCATAGCACCTATGAAACTAATTATAACACCTCGATACAAGTATATCCGTCAAAGATGCATGACTGATATTGTCAGTAACAATCTCAAATCATGATCGGACAGTTGATGCAACATTGAAATCATCTTGCTCTAAATGTATGCTAATAGTTTCATTTCTCTCTATAACTATTTAGGGATCTATACCGTCCGTCAGAAAAGTCAACAATGAATCGGAAACAAGTTCTTACGTTGACCCCAAAATCTGTCCCTACAATTCTGATCTTGTGGCCTTTATTCGGCAAAACGACCTATGGGTAACATCATTGTCAACCGGTGAAGAGAAACGTTTAACTTACGTCAACAATGGTAAAAAAATAGTTCACGTTCTTCACTATTGGTAGCCTTTGATTATAATTATCAGAAGTTATACACCATACTGTACTGAATTATATGGCGTAGTAATGTGTTAATATTGGCAGAAATAGATAGAATATATCATTATCAATTAAAACTGTAGTATCATACAGTAATTGAAATGTCGTAATTGCTTTATACATCACTGAATGTATCATATAAATAAATAACTATATTAGAAAATCAAGATTTGAAACGAAATCCGTTATCAGCTGGAGTACCCTCTTTCGTAATGCAGGTCAAGATTTGTTTGTGGATAATTTATTCTATTTTTATGATATTCACTATAATATCTACATCCTATTTTTGATTATATTACATCTTGAATTATTGATTATTAGTCATATCTTGACATGACTTTGTCTTTGCTAAAACATCTCGACAGGAAGAATTCGATCGTTATACTGGCTATTATTGGCAGCCATGCCCTTCCGTTACCGATGCCGACGGTGATCAGGGCCTGTATCGTATTCTCTATGAAGAGACAGATGAAAGTATGGTTGAGCTAGTTGGCATTAATAATGGATCCAATGTGGACTATTATCGCTATCCGCGTGTTGGTGAGTTATCCTTTCCGTAAAATATTCTCGATCAGGGCAATTGTTTGAAGACCGTACACTAGACTTGTTAATAAACAGTAGCTAAGTATTTTGTTAAATTGAAAAAATCCACAGGCAAGCCAAACGCTGTTGCTCGTTTAAAGATCACCGAATTTCAATATGTAAACGGGGAAGTAAGGATACAAAATTTTTTCCTTTTAAAGCCTTTCTATTTTTCGTCACTGTTATAATCTTAAAAATCGAAATTATTATGCTATATGAATAGCTTTGAATTACAACGATTAGCCGTAGTCTTAGAGATAAATTTTGTCCTACTATGTAATTCCATTATATAGTTTCTATCTCCCATTGTTGAGTATGAATTGCTGCAATGTTTGGATGACCTGTTTCCCAATGTCGAATATTTGGTACGATTCGGATGGTTACCTGATAGTTCAGCGTAAGTACTGTCAAGTGCTTATTTCTATTATACTAAAATTGCAATCTAATATGTAGCCATGATTGAATTATTTAAAGTACTAATAAATTCATAAACTTATACAGGGTTTATGCGCAAATAGTTGATCGTATGCAGCTAAAGTCCCAGCTAGTCGTAGTACCTCTGTCTTGTTTTATACCAATTTTAATTCCCAAATCTGCTAGCCGAATGCCTTCGACCGATTCTCACTCAGTATACGTGCTTCTTCAAGAAGAGTCAACTGTCTGGATTAACGTAATCTAATTTTTAACTCTTAAGATGCTTGAATTTGACACTGTCTAATTTTAAATGTTGCCTGTGGTTACATCGTTACACTTACTTTCATTCATTTTATTTTAACTGTAAATAATAGGTCCATAATCTGATACACTTCTTACCTGCTGGTCATTGGTCTGAGGCACCAGTTGGTGACGCAATGGAGTCGTGGCAGTTCATATGGGGCAGTGAGAAAGATGGTTACAGACATTTGTACTTAGTTGAAGGTAGCGGATATACATTGTTAGCAGAGACTAAGCATGCACAGAGTGAAAGCGAAGATAGCTCCGATTCAGATGATGCGGGTGATCATAAGATTTCTTTCTCACCTAAGCTGCATGACGACGATAACTGTAAGGTATTCCTGGTAAAAACGAATGTGAGACAACTTACGAGCGGTAACTGGGAAGTAAGCAAAGATAAGGTAAGTTCAGTTTGGGTAATATAGTACTTTGATGATAACAAGGTGTTATAAAACAAAAATTAAACATAATAAACCTGTGAACCAATTTGCTATATTATGATATTAAGATGTGGGTAGACGAAAAGCGGCAACTGATTTATTTCACTGGCACAAAAGATAATGATTTAGAAAAACACCTGTAAGGTTTTATACGGCAGGCATACGCACTTTATGTTGTACCTTAGACAGCCAGTAAACATAATTTCAAAATGCTTCTTTTATGATTTCTATTAGCAATAATACATATAGCTTAAAGTTATATCGTTTCTTATCTAGATATGTTACCTCCTATGGACACAACCAATTTCCTATTCAAAGGCTAACCCCACCAAGTTTTTCTCATAACATTTTTATCAGTGATGTTAGTCGATTCTTCTTACTTCTAAATTTAATCTTATGCATCCTTAATAGTTCAGAAATTCTAGTCCAAATTATTATAAATGTTGAATGATTTATCAATATTGCAGGATTTCTCATGGTTTGTTAGCATATTTTCCTCTATGAAAACCCTGCCTGGCGTTGGTATCTTCCATATACCACATACCATTTCTATGTTAAATGATCCAATATCTAATTGCAAGTTGATGCAGATACTTTTAAATCCTAAAGGTTACTTGTACTCCTTATAATAGCACAAAGTACAACAGTATTACTATTATGTTATCATTATGTCATCAAATGTATCCATTAAATTAAACATCTTTTACTCTTAACTTTCAGATATCCTTGAGCCATCATTGATTCCGGAAGTATTTTCCTTCGTTGGAAGCCATGGTAAGTATACATTATTTCATAGTCTCCCGTATGAAGTAGATTCACCTAAAATTTATCTTAACTTAAATACTGTTTAGGAGAGAAAATTTATGGAGTATATCATAAACCTATGGGATTTGTTGACGGTATAAAATATCCCACGATATTATACGTTTATGGTGGTCCTGGTGTTCAGGTAACTATACTCGCATTTCAATATTTGATTATAATTATCTAGATCTACAATTTAAATTGAATAAAGTGATTTCAGCAAAACTACTGATACCGACTTTGATGTCAAATACGTGAGGATCTGCCTTCTAATCTGCTATGTTGTAATTTATATAGATCATAACCAGCGGTAATACAGTTCAACGTCTAGTACGATTACAGAATTTTATTCAAGCAGGTTATGTCGTAGTATGTATGGACAGCCGTGGGTCATGTGGTCGAGGAATTAAATTTGAAAAACATATTAAGAATGCAATGGTTGGATGATTATTCTCTTTTTTAGTTTACTTTAGTAGCTATACTCTTACAAATTCAAGACGTTTATTTTCCCATCACAACAGGGAACCATTGAAATCGAAGACCAAGTTGAAGGTTTACAATATCTCGCAAATAAGCTTAATTTTATCGATTTATCCAGAGTTGCAATCTATGGCTGGTCATATGGTAAATCTTAAATTAGTAACTTGGTATCGACTCTTATGCGTCATAGTATGTGCTAAAATAAATCTAATGTTGTAGGCGGTTACTTGGCATTAATGGCGCTTGCTCAACAACCAGATATGTTTAAGGTAATATTATTAATATTCTACTTGGATGATACCGTATTATAATTAATCGATTATATGGGTGTAAAACCAAATAGATTGCTATTGCTGGTGCTCCAGTTACTGATTGGGAATTATATGATACTGGCTATACTGAACGTTATATGAGCTTACCAGAATTTAACTTTTTGGTTAGTAAGGATATTTGCTTTCTTTTTTAGCTCGATGAAGTTATACTAGTTGAGCGTTATTAATACGTATTTATGCAATAAGTTTTTGGAATGCTGTGTTGTATTCAATAGACTCTAATTTCACCTGAATGTTATTAATGTACTATGTTAACAAAACAGCTTTTTATATAATATCATTGGAATACATATTCTCGACCTTATAAGCGGGTTATAATATTTCATTGATTAGGGTTATGCCAATGGCTCTGTCATAAATTTTAGAAACCGATTTCCTGATCAGTAAGTACGATGAGTTTATAGCCTATAAAGCTGTACTTGCTTGCGATGTCATCGATAACGGATATATAATTTCAATGCGTTGGCTTCTAGACCAAATCGCTTATTGCTTGTTCATGGTTTGAACGATGAAAATGTACACTTTACGCATACAAGTACATTAATCAATTCTTTAGTAGGAGCAAGTAAACCGTATACTTTACTGGTAAGGAGATTGGGATATAGCTAAACGTGATTTAACTCTTTCTCTTTTACCCAAAGTGTTGCTAAGTAGTGACTATTGCTACATTTTTACTTAGGTATATCCAAATGAACGTCATGGTCTACGGAAAATGGATTCCCGCGAACACTTTGAGACGAGTCTATTAAATTTTCTACAAAGTCACTTATAATGCCGGAGAATTTCGACTAATTTGATTTCCGCAAGATTTCTCGTGCAATTATTGCATAAGATGATATCAAACTATCCTGAAAAAGTGCACGTTATGGTGATCCATGTTTAATGGTAAGCTGTTTACGAGCTTTCGTGATCACTCTTAAGTAACTAAGAAAAAATTTATTTTGAATGTTAGATGAGTCTAGTTTGTGAATTTAAAGTCATAAGTTAGTTTAAGTCGAGCCAAATTTATGGCAATAAATCAAGTATGCATATGGAGCATGTCATATCAAACAATTTAACTACAGTACAATGATAAATATTTTAACTGAACTTTAGATCTTTTACTATCCTGTAAGAATTTTATCCTCTAAGCTGTTTTTACTTGTTATAAGGCGTTATTTCAAACGTTGTAGATAGAGCTATAATTTCATGTTAATGTTTATCACCTTAATGGAATGGTATCTATTGTACAGTGTACAATCTACGATAATTGGACACGTTACCAGGTATTCATTAGTCTATATATACAATTAAAAATTGTTCTCAATTGTAGTAATAAGAATTCGTTTTACAGTTTCAATGATTCCTTTTAGACGAGAAGTTACAATATTTTATTTAGAGTTAAATAGTCTCTGTTTTATTGTTATTTCTTAAACTCTAAAACTGCATCGATAGTATCTTTAAGTCCAATTAGAATGAATTTAGAGTATTTATATGCAATTCTATCTTTGCAAATACATTTAGCGCGATTACATCCGTGATTGCGTTCGCGTGAACTATTTTTATCACTGCAAGCGTTTCATTGAAATAAACATTTTATAAAATTGTTTGGTGATGAACTATATCTGGAAATTGATATCAAAGATGCATATTTAGCTTGTTACGAGTTGTTGAAACTGATATATTCTGCTCTATCACTACTAAAATACGCCTAACGATATTGAGGCAAGCATATTTAACTAAAATTGGACTCACGCTGATATCATGAAAGGAACTTTCGATCAAAATTGCAAGTGTAGTTGTATTTACAGTTAAAATAAGCAAGATGTCATAGTTTTTGTCCATGATCTATGAGATACCAAACTTCGATTAAATTTTGGCATATGTACGCGATTCTGTACAAATATGTAGACTTTTCACAGCTTGTAAGCAATTTAAGGCACGATATTGAGCCTATTGACTGACATGAGCCCAGTTCTGCATAAATCTTACTGTATTACTAACTAATCTCGCATACTGATGAAAGTGTGCATTGCCAATAATCAATTTATTTTGTATATTTTCGTTATATGACCGTATACCTGATTGATTCAGTTTTTATTCTTTCATTACGTTGACGGAAAATTAAAACATTACGATTAGACAGATAAAAGTTCACTAAATAATATGAATAAGTGTACTATTTACCTTGGCACAATGGTGTACAAATTATATTATAGTCTATAAACTACGTATGTATGATATGAATATTAAATCGTTCCGCATACATTATGCATTAAAATGCAAATTGACTATAGGATATTAGTTATAAGAAATCTTACATCCGTAAACACTATCGCACTAATTAGGAAACTATCTAGAATATCATGGCATACGTTGTATAATTTGTAAATCGCTCACCTGCTGTAAATGCGGTTTAAAACAACTGCGAAATTTACTTAATTTAAACTGAGGGAAAAATTGTAAAAATAATTCCAATCTTTCCTGGATGACCTAATGTGCAGATTACCTAGTGGTACGTAAAATTATAGAGGAAGACTACAGGTACTTCGCGAAGGCAACTAGTGTAAAGGCTCAGAAAGATTCGGGATAGAAACTAGGAATAGCAGTAGTGCGCTCTTAAAACTCAAGTTAAACTATGACAAGATCATAAAATCTGTTTCGTGATAGTTTCAAGTTTGCTCTGTCCAATCCTTATCTAAATTGCGTCGCTAATCATAATTTTTATTGTATAAATATCTAGATAGAAATTAAAGATCAAGAAAGCGATAAACTTGATATCAAGGCATTCGCATTCTATTTCTACTGTTGTAGTTCAGACTTCTGTTATAGTAATTGCTATAGAAGGAATTATACCAAAGTGTATCAACATCAAGTTCTGATACAGTATAGTATACTGTACTTATGATAGTCTATGAATTAATAGATGTTTTATTCATGAGTTAGACCGAAAAATAAACAAATTATAGCCCATGTATATTAATGCAAAGTGGTATCCAAGGTTCAGGCACTAAAGGTCAATCTAAAGAACGAAGCTTTTGAATATCTCTAATGCATGTAAATTACTCGTATTTTAGCTGTTGCAACTTTAAGTAGCATATAACTGTGCAAAAGAAGACCAATTTCACAAATTCATTTATCTAAGTTGAATCCAAATGGATACCTTTCAGGATGTCGTAGGCTCTATACAACATAGAATCCACGCATTCAATCATCAAATTTCCCAAATATATCAAAAGATTGATCATCTACGCCAAATTAATAATCCAGTTATCGAAAACTTGTTCAGTATTGATCAAGAATACCTTCATGGCCACTCGAAGTGTAATGACGTTCAAATCATCATCACAGGTAAAATGTTTAAAAATATATTGATATTTTTACTTCAATTTCATAGCAATGATGATAGCGTAAATAAATAATCTATAGGCAAATTTAATATTGATAATTGCATATGGTGGGGTATTTCAGAAGGAAATTAGAGACGAGCAATAGGCCAGTATTATGTGGTCAAAAATAATACCTCAATATTCTTCATGTTAAACTCTGGTTTTGCCTTACTTAGGTACTCCTGGCGTGGGTAAAAGTAGCTACATCAATCAATTAATCGACTATCCTTTACTTCCAACAAATTTTTCTTTATCCAATTCTTGCATATGGAAAATTTATTACAGTCAAGAGCCAAGAGTTATAATTCAAAATTATCCTGTGAACGCTGACAAGGGCGACAACAGTAATTGCCTGTCTCAAGTAGTTCAGATAGAGATCAATGATTACCAAGAACTGCAAGCTATCTATAAAAGCTCAATTTTCACTAAGAAAAGTGACTTCAATTGCTACAAGATAATAACTCTATATTGGCCGCTAGCAGCTTTAAAGGTACCTCATATTCTATAACACGGCATGTTTATATACCACCTCTTATATTTGAAAGAAATCTCTTCGGTGAGAATGTCACAATACGCCAAGATTGTCAGTAGTAAAGTACTATACCACTAGGTTTGCATAGATTAACAAGTCCATAGATAATTATTGAAAAAATGATATAATAACTTGATATAAGACTAATTTGTATCGCTATGTCCTAAACAGAAATAGAACCCTTAAACCAATATAATAATTTATTTTACTACTATTAGTGAATCAATGGAAATTTTATATTTGCTATGCAAGACTTTGCTTGAGACCTTAGAATAGTTCAATGCTATGCATTAGTACTAAGTGATCATAACTCTATCATCGAGCATTTTGCATAAAGAAGTATTGATTCTCGTACTCTAAAGCTAGTAGCTACTAGCGCAAATAATTATATTTACAAAATTAAACAATACCAAACTTTATATATGAGCAGAAAATCTATGCAGGGCAATGCTGTATCGATGCCCATATTTGTGATTAGCTCTTTCATATAGAAGTATTATTATATTCTTATTTCATCTACCAGCACTGTAATATTTTAACGCGGAAATAGTAACACCCACACAGAGCTACATAGAGTAACTCTATATTCATATACGCGTACAATTCATATTATATATGTACAGTTGAATGGTAAGTCCTATTTTTGCATGCTGTTTTATACTCCTAACATACAATATAGCGCGGATATATTTCACTAGTAGCTGACACTAACTGCTTCTCAAATAAATTACTTCAATTTGCATTAGTAACGTCGAAATATGATATTAATTATAATTATCTACTAGGAGAACATATCTGTCATTGAAATAACTTCATCTTTATGGCATCTGCTAGCTGATAAAATATCTTCTGTCATATCATCGTCTTATCTGGCTCTCATCTATATATTAGATGCTACGCTTCTGATTGATCAAACAATAAAACAGGTAATATAATGTCAGCCAAATTTATTCCCTCATTTTTATGTTAAAAGACCTGGAAAAATCCAATCATAATATAATGTAGATAAATTTCTCAATTTACATCGTTATCTACTATGCCTTATAAGATTTAAATATGTGCTCCTTACCTATTTACTGTATTTATCGTTATTAGAATGTTACTCGCTATTTCCAACCTTGTATTTATGAACTCTTTATTTTGTAGTAGAATTTATAGTTAGGCCAGCTAGCCTTAATAAAATTAATATCCCTACCTAAGTTTATTTTCTCTAAATAGATCAATGATTTTAGAGACAGTATTCAGCAACTCAATAATGGTATTAAAAGTCATCACATCATGAAATCAATGCTATTCGCGTGCAATAAGATGGATTTAATTAACGCTGATCGTAATCCAATGTCATTATCAACATATGCTACTTTACACGATTTCCTATCTAAAAGCTGGATTGGCTCTCGAAAGCAGCGCTGCTACAATTGCATCTCCATCACCACTACAGATATTGCCATGGCCGCGTTCTGTAAAAGCAGCATACAAGAAAGACTACTCCATATTAATGATATTTTTAACTATCAGATTAGCCGTGAGAATAACGTAAAAATAAGGTTGATTAAAACTTAAATTAACCTATTTAGTATGCATAGCGCTATCTACAAATGCATTGGTTATATTGTAATTAGTTATAGAATACTCGTATACAGCAGCTTATAAGTAGATCGTGATCTTAGAATATAGATCTCGGTAAAAATCATCTTTAAGACAGTTAAAATACGCTTCCATTTTGTTCTCAATTAGCTCTACGCTTACGATATGAATTCTTAAATTAAACGTCTATTTTTCGTTTCTATTAGAAATCTGAAAGAATATATAAATAGCTTAAGTCAAAACATTCAGTTTTTGCAAGAAATGGTCAATTTGAAGATGAATCATGATCCAACTTACGAGATAAATTCAGAAAATTTTCGACTTCGACTTTGCGAATTAGAAAGCAAATTGAAAAAGCCTACTAGGAAGCTCTTAAATGAACTAATGTCAAGCAGTAACCAAATTCAGCGCATGGAAATGATTATTTTGGATTATTGTCGGAAAGATCAAGTTCATGCCGATTTATTCCATTGGCAAGAATGTGATTTCCATGATTTCTGTTGGTTTCAAGATATGTACTCCTATGCTCAAAATAAAGTAGCGACAAAATTATTAAAAAAAATTAATGAAAGCGAAAATATTGACCAACTTCTGATGCAATGGAGGCATGATGTTTTGGATGATATACGACTTTATTTTAATCCATTCTCTGCAGTAAAAGATCAATACAAGCAACAGCAAGATGATCATCAAAATTTATCAGAATGGATGAAAGATCAAATACATCACTGGAAAGACGAGCTGCCTACATTGTTCCAAGCAATGACTATTCCAGCCATGCTATCTTTTGATTGTGGTTATTTGGGATTAGCAACAGTGACTGTTTATTTCATCTATAATGCTTATAATATCAAGCCAAGACTAATGCAAGTTTTACAAGCAACAAGTCATAAAATGTTTCATGACTTAGTTTCATCACCAATTATACATCTAGTACGCAGAGAACAGGATAAACTATTACAACAACAATTAGATAGTCATTTAATATCGCATATTGAGGCTACTTTAAAAGCCTATGAACAAATCTATCGTGATATCAGCGATGATGACATGAGTCACTCTATAATTTCGTCATTTAAATCTATTCTGCCTCAAATTCAATTAATTCATCAAAATCTTAAAGTGCTGGATATTCTTTATATTGAAAAATTTGAATTTTCATCTCTCGATGTCATGGATTATCAAACCTTTCCGGATCATTTTGTGCGTGATTCAGACCCACGACTGCTTAAATGCCGCATTCAACACCAACACTATCGACAACTTGATGTGCATTTGCGCCATTATAACTATCAAATCGAGGAGTCTAATGTTGATGAAATTCTGACACTTAGCCAATCGTTAAGGTAACTTAATTTATTAACCATTAGTCTCTTCATAGGCTTCGTCATGCAGATTCAATTCTAATTTAACACATCAGCGATTTCTAAGCAATTTATTGATTTCGGCACTAATCATCGGATAGGTTATCAAATTATTAATTCAATACACGATGATCGGTATTGATATATAATTCCATCACTGCTTAACCATTCATTCCAAATTTCCGTCGGTTTTTACTTTTAACTTTGCTTGTTATTCTTTTAAACGGGAATAGTAGTAAATCAATGCTAATCAATCTCATGATAGACAAGCCCACAGAATAAATACAGAAATTTACTTGCATGCTATAATGTCAATATCTTGTAAAGCAATCCGTTTAAATTCTTCACTATGAATGCCAAGGATAGTGAATGATACATTGAACTTTTAAAATTAATTATGAAACTATTACAAGTTTAGTACCTTTAATTATATACATAGGAGTGGAATTTCTACCTCTAAGAGTGATGCCAATAGTATAACTCTGACTATAATGTAGGTAGCCATAGAGATCAGAACAGTTCTCCGCTAGTACAGTATTTGCTATTCAGTATGATCAAAGTCTGAACCACAATTCCTAGTCGGCGTTTTCATAAAGATCATGAAATCTTTAACATGATGTGAAGAATAACCGAAATACAAGCAAAAGTATTTATTACCGTACTATATGTAATCGTTAGCCCAAATTGGTAGATATTATTTTATCCATATATTCATGGTGGCTGTATATTTTATTATGTTCTATTATAGAAAGTGCCATCACGTTGAAGACATATAGTTAGAACTGCATCTTGTCTTTGTCTAGAAATCGTAACTAGTGCAATTATTTAGTTAAATATTAAGAATTTAAAACATTTAACGCCTAAATTAACCTTTTTTACCGTGTCGAGAAAATATAACTTGCCATCAACGGTCCATAATCTGCATACAATTCAATTAACCCTAAATTCCAAAATTGAATCTAAGTATTTACCGAATATACTCTTTTCTCGGTGATATAGTAGTACTTGTGTCAACCTATTTACTCCTGTACAAAATAGTCGGATTGTTTCTCGGTCGTAAGTAAATTCTAAATTATGTCTAAATGCATACTACTAACAAAATAGGAAAATGGATCATCAAAACGTAGGAAAATTACAAGGAATTCTCAAACATATCCATCTAACTCATTGTCACCTTTACTTTACTTATCCAAGCACGGCATGTACATTAAGAGAATTTTTAAATGGATCATCTGATTGCATTCCAGCTCATTATTCTTCCGATTTTACTAAACAACTATCAGCTTATCAATCCATGTTATCCTTAGCTACCGATATCTGCCAAGGCTTAGCATATATTCATGAACGAGGATTCATACATTGTCATTTAACATTAGACTATGTTCTGGTAAGATGAGGAAATTACAGTGTATTTGATATTTGTTGTGAAATGTACCAATCAGTTTTATACAGATATCGATGTTGCTTACCTGCAACTAAGAATGCCATAGTATATTAGTCTTGTAGCCTGTTAATATTATCTCTTATTAAATGATTTACTTTTAGAACTAGTAACTTAAGTATAAAGTCATATAATCTCATTTAGCTATATAAATGCTTCTATCTTTAATTTTTCTAATGTTACAAAACCAATTACAAGAACTTTATCAAAGTTTTAAAATCGATTTTACTTTTTTTAATGCAATCTAGCTAACGTCGACATGCACAGCAGTCATTTGCGATATTGGCTCACCAAAAGTAGAGAACTGGATCTTTGATATCGAAACATTATCACATTATCAACTAAAATTAATGCAGTATATGGCTCCTGAAATTCTGCACAGGCAGATTCACAATGGCCGATCAGACATTTATTCCTTTGGTCTATTACTATGGGAAATGTGGTATGGCCTAAGCATAGATTGCCATATTGAAAATCAATCACAAACCAGTAGAAGTAATATCATTGAAATGATTCTTCAGCAACCACCTCCATCTTTAGATATAACTCCAATCCCCGAAGAAACGTTCAGGATCTTTGTTGCTCAGTGCCTATATGCTCAACCTGAACTGAGACCAAGTATACAAGTTTGTCAGCAAATTTTGTACGAACTACGTCGTCGTGCCTGTACTTCTGATTCTTAAAATAAATAACATGCACAATTGGATAGATAACTATGAAATACCATGATTACTTTTCTCCAGAGCTAATAATATATAATTAAATCATTGCGCAATCTATCGTACTTCATCTATTTTAACGTAATACTTCAACATAGTTTGTAATTGCAATATCTGTAATTATTTTGATAGGTTTTAAATTATGATAAGAAATCTTAAGTCACTTTCTATTTACTGCATTCCTTCTTGTACATAATTTTATATTAACTTCAATGATATTTCACCAGCTCATCTAAATCAAAACACAGCATACAGTATAGCGAAACCTGCTTTATATCGCATCAACATACAGCAAGAAATCATAATTAAATAATTGACCATATTCATATCTGACTATAATCTAAGAAACATTGCCGCTAAAATTCTGAGAAATTGCTGTAAATCAATGTCTTAACTGGAAATTCTTTATTAATACACAATAGTTGATTTCTTAATATAAAGTTATCGCTCATTACTAAATAGCCAAATACAACTTAAAAATAAATGCTAAAACACTTTCAGACTGATAAACAATAAACTTTAAAATTAATAATTAGATACGACTTTTCCGTCGATATCAATCAGCTTGACGAGTAAAAATTAGACATAGTTCACTAGAATGGTTCTATAGAGGCTGCGGCAATTAAACCTGCTGCATACAGTCTCTAATAGGATACCATTACAAGAGCTACAGAGATCAGTATGTAAGATTAATGTGCTGTTTTCATGCATTAACACAATATAATGTATTATACTACCACTGTATTATCAACACTATTGCTAGATTTTCATTCAATACCATAACCAATCCAGTCGTACAGTATATATGATTATAATTCTGATGCAACACTTTTTATACATTTATACTGTAACTACAAGCATTTCTAACCTGAAGTCCCTAATATTAGAATAGGTGAATTATTAACTAGAATTATAGTTAATGCGCTATTCTTCAGTTTATTAGCAAATAAGTAACTTTTAATTATCAATTTCCTGAATGGCCTAAATTTATAATGGTAACGAAATAACAAAGTCCATAGTAACCCAATCTTTCTCATGTAATTTCACAGAACTTTGTCATGATGATTAGAACAATTACAGAATACTTTATCATTTGGCGAACACATGGCTAGGCGTATGAGCAACGCTAACAAAATAATAGCATCCTACAGTAACATATATATATATATATACGAGTAATATATATTTTGAAAGCTATCTGTTTGTCAATTGCATAATCAGCACTATCAATTTATAGCTTTTGCTATTCATATGTGCGCATTTCTACCATACTGAAGCGCATATATTGTTATGCATCGAAATGAAATGTGCTCATATCTATTACTGTGCATTTCATTAATTTCTTCGTCAACGCTATTCAGCAATATAGTATCGTTTATCACTCATTTACGAGTATACTGAAGATTCGACTGCTGATTCGTAGATATCTTTAACATCCGCTATACACGAACGACGATATGTGAGCACTGTATATGTTAGATTTTACACATTCTGATGTGTTTATTAATCTGTCTTTAATGTTTTTTAGGAAGCCATCTGTCTGCCAGATTCACAGTTCCAAAAAGTCATCAACTGTTGCATGCTACTCTTTTCGCCCAATGCTATAAGACATGCAACATATCCTTGTGTATATAGAAGTCAGCTGCAAGATTTACAAATGCTTGCTACAAAATATTTCCATAGCTACTTCATCAATATTATTTCATAGTGGTGTTAATCCATATATTTGCACGTAGTTCTACATATACACATTGTAAGACGTTGTACTGTGTTCCAAAAAGTATTCAAAAATTTATTCGGAAAAGCTCTTACAATAACTATTAAGTTAATAAATCGAATCAGGCTGCTCAAATCTAATTACGGTTAAAGCTGGTTTATAATAATTAAAACAATTTCGTTGGCATTAGTCAATTATAATGTGTCCACGCAAAATGTACGTCATTAATTACGGTAATTATTTATCTACTGTCTTTTATTTATAATAAGTAATTCGTTCTGAGTAACAGTTATGACGAAAAGGTAGAAATATAAAATAAATAAAATTTTAGGACTACGATGCCTTTTTTCAATATTGATTCATTATTATATAGGCGAAAGCCATCGTAAGATTACTCGTTTAAAGCAAATCAAACCAACTACAATAAATAATTTCATAAGCATCTGGCCTTAATCCTCTATAATTAATTAGTTAAATTTGATCAGCTACAATTCATAAATTGAAAAATCCTGACTACATCGAGACTAATTTAGTAAAAAGTTATTGGTTAACTTTTTGATAATATAATAAATAAATAGTAAACAATCTTCATTAATTACGATAGCGCAGCACATATGGTACATCCATTCTTAAATTTAGTAAATAGCTATAGAATTAACGGCCTGACGTAGTTTCAGATGTTGAGGGATTTCATTCTTTTGTTGGATACCAAATCATTACTTGTATCGCTAAGTAGCCGTAAGCGAAAATTGATTTATTGACTAATCTCCCATTTACCTATTCATTAAGTCGTAAAGGATATCATTCAAAAGCTTTTACCTTAATAATACCAATACGGGCCTACCATGTATCAGTGCATATAATATATACAGGATAACGCGAAAATTTGGCGATATATTTGTGTGGAAGTCCTGTTTGTATGGCTAAGATCAAATATTTTTGCATTACAATTTTAAATAAATTTATGAATCTAGTAATTGTAGCATGATAATTTGAAAAAAGCCGAAATAAGTAACCCTGTTTATACAAATTAATTACTTAGATAAATGCTATTAAATTTTAAAGTAAGATGTTCGTATTACTGAAATATTTGTTAGAATTATTAACAAATGTTTCATAAACTCAGAAAGAGACAACCCTTTCAGCATTACAAGTATTCCAGTCTTTATTACAAATTTTGGATGATTTATAAAGTAATCTTATAGATAATATCGTAAAATAATATTCGTAATGATCTTCAAACGAGAAATACTTAAGATATCGGCACCGCATCTCTAGTGAAATCAAGGATATTTCGTTTTCACTCCAATGGTGATAATTTACTTAATAGCCTCTCCTCTTGTCTATATAGACCACGCTGCAGTACTCATAGTGCTGTTTTCCAAATTACTACCATTACAAACTGAATCCTAGGTATATCTTCAGAAAAATGTAATAGCAAAGATTTTTTTGATACTTCTATCATAAATTTCAGCATCATAGTAATAAAATTCTACTGGAAAGTACTGTACACCAAAATAAGATAGTTTATCTTACGGTATACGTGTACCTTACGACATGTTACTATCACCGTACTGACATTGCATAAATTGTTACTGATTTATGATATTATATGATCTATTCCAACTAATAATTGCTATGGGCTGTGTAATTCAATATCATTCTAAAATGCCCAATATGCTTTTCTATAATATATCTAGTAACTAACAATACCTTAATATCGTTTATAATTTTGTAATCTTAACTATCAACGAATTTCTAATAAGTTGCTAGTTCTCATTCCTCGCCATGAAATTTAATTTAACCTATATGATGAGAACAGAAAGATCACTTTATTACTGAATTTAATTCCTTTCCTATAGTTAGCTAATTTAGGCAAAGCAGGTCATTAATCAACAACCACTTTTAATAAAGCGCACCTCAGGATAATATGCAGCAATCTGCTACACTGCATATACATACAAATGCTAATACACAGAGAAACCAGTCCATAGGAATTGAAAATGAATGTACGCAAATTTCAAGTAGAAACTTTTTGTTTGTTCTGACTACAATAAGGTAAAACTACTGTACGTTATAATGCAAATTGAAAACCTAAGGACAGATCTAGTAATAAAATTTAAATTTGATAGTATAATGGTGTATATTAGTGAGTAAATATTTGAGTCGCCTCAACTGATACTGTGTTCAATAGAACAGTAGCCTCAAAACAATTTCACTCTTTAACTACTCTTGTGACCTATTGAATATCGTTAACCATTAAATACATTTATGCCCGCTTGGATAACGTTAGAACACATTCCGTCACATTAGCGTGGTAATTACTTAAACTATTACGAATAGCCGTAAAGACAATAAATATCAAGATTAAGGATTATTCACAGTTTTTAAAATTAGAATTATCAATAAAAAGATATTTGGCGAATGATCGAGCATTCGAATGAGATATCCGGTATCATAGATGCTTATTGCTTGATAGCTTGCTGCAACTATTCAATAGCATTCTTTTACGTTAATATTGGTTCTCGACACTAAATTTTGGCACTACTACTGACAGTTATGATAGTTGTTTTCTACCCTTTCTATAGGAAACAAAATTTAAAAGGCATCTGATGCGTGTAACAGTTTTAAGATAAAAATAGTACAACAATCCACAGAGAATTTCTCTTAGCTATGCGATAAACTAAATTCAAAGTATCGTTCTTTATTCAATCAGCTGGATACAGTTGTTATCGAATAATCAATAACATCAAAAATTTTGTAATACGAAATTCATTAATTACACGTTATACAGGTTCAAGATATTTGGTTCCAACAAGGCATGAAATGCCTGCGGCACTGTATAGCAGTAGTTAATAGATGACTACCATTTTACTTTGGCGGTTACGAAATTTTATGGAAATTGTAATTGATTTAAAGTTCTGTAAAATGAATAGGAATTTCAATTTACAAAGCACGAAAGCACTTGGTATAAATATTAACCGTAGCTGTAGCTCAGCTAATTCAGTTCCGAAAGTATGAAATCATTAAAGTTTGTTAGCCGTGATGCAAATTTTACAGCAAATACTATTGCAAGAATTATGCATCAATTTTCTTGCGCGACAATTCGACTACGTAGAAGAATTTCCTCTATAGTAATTTTTTGCGTAGCAAATATTATCAGAGCAATAGGTGTAATTCTATTAATCATTGCTCTATTTAGAATAGGCTTATAATGCCAGGATTCACAATGGTGCCAGCACTGCCTGATATAATCGTCAATAAATTGTTACGAGCCCATATAAAGTAAACTTTTTCAGATTATGATGAATTATATAATATACAAATTTATTATATGTTTTTGATGCCACTGTACTATCGTTTCTATTTACAGATATAGTGGACTGCAACACTGCAAAAATTTAATATTAATATACACAATTGCTTGGTATATCTAAGAATGTAGGCTAAATATATATGCAATTAAAAAAGAGCTCTAGTAAGACAATAATATTGACAGTGAATCTGTTTGATGTAAATAAATGAAACCTGGATTATTATATTTAAGTATCCATAGACACCAAGGTCAGCCAGTAGTTCTACAGTAAAACAGCTTTGAAGTTGTATATGAGATATTAGGTGAAAAGGTTACATTTTATTGTCATAAACGCAACCTTACCAATTCAAGACAGTAAATTAATGAGTATCGTAATTAATTTAAAGGCAGAATACATCTTAGATATTAGCGGGATTGTATTAACTCTTGCTTTCAAGCTTTATGTCGCTTTGATGATAGACATACATGGTCATTGATACTTGAATGGCTTGCAAAGAATAAAATTACAACTAATCTTACTTTTAAGATGAGAAACGACTAAGTAAATATTATCAATCCAGCGACAAGATAGTCTGCGTCATAAGCAGTTATGATTTCATTACATAAGGAAAGTTGTTCATTCTGTATTTAGCATCAGCCAAAAGCTTGATCGTCCTTACTGTTATTAGGAAAGTGTCTATTACTTTCGAATCGCTATATTTACTGAAATCAAGATAAAATTATAACCTTGACTCGATATAGTTTTTTTACACCATAATTACAAATTAATATCATCTTAACATTGATGCTCTATGGTAATAAATCCATCCAAATATCTTAATAATCCACTTTCTTTGAAGAATCAATTCAAGCCGTTGTTTTCCGTACATTTATGGTCATGGTAGCTTTTTCCATTTTGCCCTTGGTTCTGAACAGTATCCCATACTATAATTACAGCATTTCATGATCACTGGTATTAATAAACTAAACGAAACTGTGGTGAGGTTTGGTAAAATACAATTGAATTAATGTTGGCTAAATCGCAATTTCTTAAATTCGAAATTGATTCGTAGTATTCTACAAATGCTGTTTGTCCACTATCTAAATACCGATTTGTAAGTTCTTCAACAGCATTGTTTACCATGTATGCCATGATGTAATATCATGACAATGCGGACCAATTCAGTAATTCATTCAAGAATTTATTAGTATATTATTGACGTTACTAATCGGCGAAGAATAAATAAAGGGATGAATTGCCATATTCACTTTTTGAAGTAGAATAACAGAAATAGAAACATATTTCAACGAAGCTACTGTCTGATTAATTTCCATTGGTTGTAATAAAATTGCTAGAGATAAAGGTAACCAAGTTGTTGCATCAGTGATTGCAATTGCGATGGCAAAAAATATCAGCCACGGTCTAATTTCATTTCTGACTAATATCGCATCGTTGCGACTGTGATGTTGTCGTGACGGAATTGATTGTTGACACCAGCCAAGTGTAAATATTATATGAGCATAGATAATAATAACTAAGCAGTAGGAGATAAAGCAATAGGCCAAGTAACATGTTGCTGAATAAAATAAGATCTCAGGTGAAGTATTCAAATAAATACATAAACCATTGACATCATAAGTATCATCGAATGGTATTCTTGTTAAGGTACGGGATAAAATTGTAACAATGCTGGCAGTTATAATGGCTATCATCCATATGATAGATGTGATTACTAGTATCGTGATGCGATAGTCTTGCCAACTCAAGGCACGATAGTGTAAAATTAATTTCGATCTCTCAATAGCTATTAGAACTGCAAATGATGATGATGCAATCGTAGAAACACAGTTAAGAAATCGTAAGACAGCACAAAATGAACTATTTGGCCATTGATAGTACTGTGATCTATCATTTGATGGATACGATTGACGATCCAAGTAAACGTCAACGGCAGCAATAGCAGTCATATAAAATGTACCGATTAAATCAGCAAAAGCAAGATGTGCTAGTAAATATGACGGTGTAGCATGTAATCGATTACCATTATTGTGATGTATAGAAGATACACGTTGCACAGTATTGGTATTCTTACGGAATCGCTTACAGTGAACTATAATGGCAGCAATATTGGCTAAACTACCTAGAACGCCTGGTATCCAAGTCACAAATGGTGCGAAAACCCTATGTCCAGTAATTGCGGATGATCGATTCGAAGCCATGACGTGGATGCCACCTTAACTAGTAATCTTGGTAACTAAAGTGAAGATCAATTCCCAGAAATGTCTCTGCAATTATGCTGGTATATTTCTATCGGTACTAAATTTACTAGATCTAAAGGCTTATGTAACTTCGTATTTACTTTTGATGGTATTACTGAGTTGAAACTCTAAAATGGAAATTAAGTACGGTAATATTTATGAGATGAATTATTACCCTTATACCCCAAACACTGAGTATTAACAAATGATGTTGATGACATCTAACGTCGAATAGTATCATGGCAAATATTTAGTGTATATTAGAAATTCAAAGTTGCGTAATCATAATTCACTTAATTAATTAACGATCATATTTAAGTTTATGATCTTAATATTCTGAGACAAAAACTAACAGTTATTGTATTTTTATTAATAATCCGTGCTGAAAGCATTCATATATATAAGGAATTAATTAATTAATATAGGAAGAATAGCTTCAGACGTTTAGGTTGATCTACCGGTCATTAACATATAGCTAATATAACCAATAAAAAATTTACAACAAAGTCCCCCTAAAATAATAGCAGCTTATTGTATTCGGTTTACCAATCTGCTCATAACGTCATCATTATTACAGTCATTACCATTTGTATTATACCTCATTTTTATCTACTAAGGTAGCCTATAAATTTAATGTATGATCGATGTTAGTATACGAACTAGAGAGGTACTGTATCCTATTGAGTTGAGGGTTTAATAAATATTGATGAAATTAAAATCCAATACGAGAATATAAAAGTAATAACTTCTTCTGTGATTTCGAATTTTATTTCTTTTGAGGTTTACTGTACTATTTGTTACAGAGGTCAATTTCTGCCTTGATGCTACTTCCATAATTATGAATCTTTCATAGCTACAGATAGAGATATAAGCCAATTTTTAGTTCTTACCTTTGATAATATCAATCTATAAAATGTTGTCTGAGAGTTTTTAGTAAAATGGGGTAAGTTTATAAAGAAACATCTGTGTTACGCTGTCAACAGGAAGCCAACCATTTCTTAACATTCGATTGTATTTCCAGTTAGCGAGGTGATTAAAATAACAATCCAATACAAGTACAATGCTAAAATCGATTGAACGTCATGCTATTATATTAACGTCTGAGCTCAAGGCAACCATAGTTAAATAAGTTTACTTTAAATTTTAAAAATAGGAAATTTAATAAGAAGTGCTACTAGATGTTCAATTTTAGTCCATAAATGGTATTGTACGAGAACTCTTAATTAAAATATAGAACTTAACTATATTTTTCCTGATATTAAAATCTCCAGATTTTAAATTACTTCTTATGTATGTAATGAAGGATGTAAGATTAAAACTAACAATTGGCAATGAAAGCCATTATAATCTATCATTTTAGAATAACCTATGATGTTTAAAGAAATAATATTTTATTTGTTTTATTATTAAGAATTGAATTATTAGCTAAAATTAATTAAAATAAATGCCTATAATTTGATTTATGAAATTAAAGGTGGCATGATAAGCTAGTAAAAATCTGCAATATACTTGTATATATTGACACATATACTAATCCATGATACATCGAAAGCAAATTTTAAAACTATGGAACAAGGAGATACACGCGCGATATCGTTTGTGCTGACTATACAGATATCTACGAGTATAAAGAAAATGTCAAGAAGATACTGTCCCTTTCAAATCTATCACCATTATGTTAGTAACCTTCTGTTTAAGTTTCATTTTAGTGGTACCAATTAAATGGAGATAGACAGAAATATTGAATATTAATATTTTTGCTACGGAAATAAACTTACGCTAAACTTCAATTTTATGATAATTTTACGTAATTATTTCACGCATTGTACTGTATATATATATATATCATATTAAAATCTGCTTGCAAAAAAATATGTGTGCAAATATTCGGTGTAAATTAATTACGTCTCGTATACGGTATTGTACTTCATAAAATTGTTCGTTAATTGAGGGAAGATAACTAAAATACTACGTGATTATTATGAAGAATCGAAGATTAAATTATATTCCGCGTTTATTATACGAGCAATAACCTTTATCTCCTGTAATTTGGATTCTAGAGTAAGAAAATCCATGTATAATGCAATATATCATTGGTACATATGTACCAATAATCTATTCATTTAGGCCTTAGATTAGTAATTTATCAATGATAAAGTCGCGCCCTTATGGGCTAATTTACCTTATATTTACAGATGTGATTATACAGTGCAAGTGCAATCGAATTCTAATTACACTTTCAGTATTTAATTAGCGCTTTTCTCACTTAGAAAAGAAGTAGGGAAATACAAACTAATTACACTAATAGATCTGAATAATATACTCCCTAACAGATTTTGCTCAAAATGAGATCGTCTGATCGCCAGATAAAAGCAAAAGTTAAAATATTTATGGCATTGCGTAATAAATACTGTAAATGTTCATGAAAATCTTTTAATACGAATACATTGTACAGTACTGTATAGTATTGTAAAAGTCATCTCACTACAGCATGGTATCCGATGGCAAATCAATCTGTAAACGATAGCATTTACATTTAACTAAATAGTCCAAAATTATACTGTTTTGCTAGCTAGTATCCAATGGTGTGTAATTTGTTGTGCGTAGTACACTATGTAGTAGTAGATAATTTCCGATTTCTAACATGACTATCAGGTATGAACTTTTTCTTCACCATACCAAAAGTACGAGTATGCAATGAGAAATGTCTTACCCAAAGGTGTTTGTTTTTGTCAATATCTATTCCATATTATAAACCTAGTCGTAATTTATTTTAAGAACGATAATGTCTTATTAAGAGTCACATTTTTTCGCCATTGCTCGTACAATTTCAAGAAATTAGAATTTGTTAGTTAGGAGATCCAATAGCATCGTGTATTGAATGCGTCGTTGTATTGGCCAAAATAGGTACATGACAGATACCAGCTCAATAAAATTTAATTTTTAAAAATATTATGTAACAACGTCCCATAAACAAATAGTATTAATATGCAGACTTTTTATTACAAGAAACAATTATGATAGCGATATAAAACATTGAATGCAGAATGCAGTCATCTTCAATCGTATAGTTACTAAGGCAATAGATAATGTGAGGATTCGATGCTTCGGCTTGGAGTAGATTGATTACCCGTTGACCAGGACTGACAAAGCTTTGACAACATCGCCACCGTTTTCTCGTAAATTTTTCTCAGCTACAGCTTTGGAGATTTCCATTTCATTTGCCTAGTTACAGCAGATAACAGTATGATCGTAACTATGTTATGCAATGATAGGAAGGCAAACTGATCGTAATTATTAATTAATTCTATAATTTGTGTTTAATTTATCCTCTGTTATCCTAATACGAATGGATTTGACTTACAATTAACTCAATGTCTTCCTTATTCACTTTAACTTTAGCTAATTCCAGCTCTCTATGAAGAAAATAGCAAATATTGTTCTCATTAAAGACGCGACGTATTATTGAGAAAATTCAATTCAGCACAGCGTAGCTAATAAACTATAAATAAGCAATCTACAATACACTCAATCCATCGATATGAATACTAATGACTGTATGATCGTTCGCACCGTCAATAGCATCTTGTATGATGAAAATCGAACGTAACATCGACACGTATTTCGTGCTAATTCAACATTGCTATCGATCGACTGAGCAAGGTATAGACCAGCTATTCGTTTGCAACTTGTATTACATACCTACGCGCTTTTTTATTTAATTCTTGTTGACGTTTCTCTCCGATGAGTTGGAAAGCCTTAACATATGAAAAATAATAGAAAAGTAACAAGGTAAAATTTCAAGTTGAGAAGAGGAATCGACACTAACATGAATGCAAATCTCCTGGCAGAGGAGAATATCAAATTATAGCTTTCCATCCTGCTAAGAACAGTTCATGGTATACAACTGATACGAAAGCTCACTACTGGTGCCTGATTTATTTCATTCCCTGCATCATTACCAAGCAGGCATAAAACAAGCACTATGTACCTTGACAGTTTGTTTTATCATAACGACTTGTCTAGCCTGTAACAAACTGGAAATGAAGGCTTAGCAGGTGAACATGATCGTAGACTACATTATATCCATTCTTCCAATGAAAAAGGTACGCAAAAGTTTCAGATTGCTACAAACTATATTAAATACCCACTTTACATTGCATCAATCAGAATAGAGATGTGTGGATATCGGTGATGAACATTATGGTGGGTATGAGTTAACGGCCACCTTGCAAGTCGTCGCCTCAACAACAAACGTAGGATTGATCAATAATTGTATAATAATTGTATTCTTGAACTAAGTCAATTTCATACTGCACTCATCGATATCATCATGTTACAAAACTGGCTGTTACTACTACTGCTACTACTGACATTTTCAATATCCAATTTAATTTCTTGTTCTTCAGCATAATCAGTGACACGTTCTAAATCTGCAGCAGTTTCACTATCGTGTTTCTTGCCAGTATTAGGGACGCCAGCATTCTCTTCCTCCATTTTGCGTTGTAGTTGGCCGTGACCGAGGACTGGTGTCCGTCCTGTCTCTGACAATATCCAGTATGATGAAAAGCCCTTGGCTATCTAGTGTCTATTGTACACCGTGCAGATTATAGTCTGCTATAGTGAATATATTTCAAGATCAATTTTTATTGCCTTTTTCTTGCGCAGGAGCACATGTACCATACGTACAATGCATTGTACTGTACATAGAGGAGGTTTTCCTTGACCACTTGACCTCCCCTGTGCTGTACACTGTAGAGTACAGCATGTCAGTAAGGAATCACTAGGACTACTGAAAGATGCGAGCAGCTTGATACAGATCGGATTAATGATGGCGCAAGGTTGGATTCACTATGAAAAATGATTGAGTGACTGCTCGCTCATGCGCTAAAACCGGTCTCCTACACTCGTGATACTTTAGTATCGTCACGGAATGGTGGTATCACGTGTACATCATCACGAGTCAGACGCATCGAGTTCATAAAAGGAACTCTACTGTAATGTACTGTACATTACACTGAGTGTACAGTGTACAGTACTGTACTGTACAGTAAGTTGATAACCAGTGTTGAATGACCAGACTGTAAGACTTTAGTCGTCTTGTACTGTAGGTGTATCGTGCATAGATTCAGCTACAGTCAAGCCTGTGTGGGCGATACATATCATAGTTTGCCGTGTTTACTACCCAGCAGCAGCCCCATCCAAATAATACAGTAGTGTGTTCCATCCAACTTGATATTGTCCCTCCAGCTACCTTGAACCTGACTCAAACAACCAAGGCCCAATTAGCTCTTCTCTTCCTTTTCCAGACTATTCTTGCTACTCATGAGAGCCATTCCATTCCTCTCTATCTTTAAATTAGCCTTATTTGCCATGGACCTGAGCAATTGAGCATGGAATAGTGGATAGTGAAACAAAGTACTTGTCAACCTCCTTCATTCAGGAGTGGATCGTGCTACAACATTGTTAAAACGTTTATCATTGTTGTTGATTTCCATTGATAAATAGTTATCCTACCGTCTATTAGACTGGTTGTTTTCAAGCTTCGAAAGGGCCAAGATGGATGCAACCAAGTCAGAAGATGAAGATAAACGAGAACCCTCCAAGGTGCAAGTAAGCCTCCAGTTTTTTTATTTATCGTACAGTTAGTACTGTCCATAGGACTATTTCTCTCAGATTAACATGTTGAGTGTTGCACAATAAAAACAGTCAGACGAGTGCTGATAAAATTAGACCAATAAATCGATGCTGATAAGAATTAATTTTACTATATTATCATTGATAATTAATGAATGAATGGATGAATAGATGGCATGTTTGTCCAACTGCTGAACTGAATGCCATCTACATGGATTCAGCTAGTATGGAGCTATTATTAACTCTTTCACTTCGATTGATTATATTATACGCGTATATTGTTTAATTATCAATGTAGCTACGGTTCGACAACTTGCATACCTTGATGACAGCTTCAGTTAAAATACTTGTTCACGTCGGATAGTAGCATAGCTAATCCTTGGTCCAATGGCATATTATAAATCGTACTGAACTAAGTGGATTGCTTGAAATTCGTAATTTGAAGTCTTGGGAAAGATTGCTTACTGTTCAGTAGAATTACTTTCGATTCTGTCACTTCAAATTTTCATTAACAACAATGATAAATTAGAATTATTCGTGCTGAGAAGTCAGATAGATGTGTGCTGAAATTGTACACTTCCACAATAGTGCATGAGTGATTAACTTGCTTTCAAATGTTGATTAGAGACGCTTGCAACATATTAGCAGCACTGTTGACTTGCAAATGTTTACTGTAATGCGCCATACGATAAGCTGAAACAAATATCGCTCGGTTATACGGTTTACGGACAAGTTCAGTCATGAAATCATTCAAAGTAGTCGATCATCAAGGCTCTGCTTTGCTTTCAATTGATTTTCCGCTATTAGGATACCTCAGGGGTGCCCGTATATCTGCATTCAATGTTGTCATTCTTACTAGTCGGATATATTTTCCTAGGATAGTAGGATGCCTTGTATTCGATCACTTACGAAAGCGAAGATTATTTTTAATAATTTCTATTTGCATTAGCTTCATGAAATACCATCTTAATTGTACGTGAACTGGAAAAGTATTTATCATGTTGATCTACTCTTTCATGGCAGTCATTGGCCAATTCTTATTCACTATTTTGCAAGCATGTCATTAAAATATCGTTTATCAGCATAAAACAAGCTTAGAATAGACGAGTAGTAAGCCAGCCGACCGCTTGCTAACTAACCTCTAGTACTTTACTGCTCTGCAATACTCAGCGTTAGTCCGGTACAAACTCCATTTTTGTTAGGAAAAGGAAATACTTGCGTATTGCTACTAAATAAAGCCAATATTAATAATAATGATTGACTTTTTTGAATTAATATAATTGATTTGAATTCAATCTAGGTTCTGTCAGCTGGAGCTGTTCCTTTTGTTCCATCCTATTTTTTAAATAAACAAGAAGATAACCTAGTTGCAGATAAATTGACATCATCTAGCAAGCATGCCCAATTGCAGAACAAAAAAAACATTCATCGCAGAAATAAGGCATCAGGCTATGCTGCCAATTACTATCCTAACATGCCATCTCCAGTGCGGACCAATAATAGTTTGCCACTACCCGGAATGCCGGGTAGTAGTAATAACTTGACGCCTTGCGATCAATATCTTCCGATAGATTATTGCCCTTTTATTCCGATACCTTATCAATACCCACCTAATACAATTTCTGATAATTACCTTATGAATCACAGAGGATATTATCCCATACCCGGAAATTATAACCAAAAGAAGAAACCTTTTCAGCGTCACAGTAATCCTGATGTGAAACATGATACCCATGAAAAAGATACTAAAGTTCAATCCAATGAAAAGGAAGTCAGCCAAGTTAACAATGATACTAATACTGTTGACACCACTAGCAACCGTAATAACAATAATGCTAATCAAAATGAGAAAAAGATTACTCCATTAGCTGGTAACTCTGCTGATTTATTACAAGAAACGAAAAAGTCGAAAAGGAAGAAAAAGAAAAAAAACACACCTGCTAATGACAAAGTTTTGTCTACCGCCACCGCATCCGATAACTCCCATCAAGGTAAATTTAGTCATAAATGATAGCTAAAACTATCGCTTCATTTTGCAATTTGATATCTCTGTATTTAATTCTTGATAGCTTCTGCTCTAATTAAGGCTTGCACTTTAATTGCAATCAAATTACGTAAGGGTCCGATATTGACATTCATAGATTAATTTTTTTACTTAGAAATTCCAATATCAAATGACAAAAATCAGCAGACACAAGATGCAATTTCAGTACAAACACCCAGCTCGATACTAGACGTAGTTTCAATGAAAACACTAAATCCGTCAAGTTTAGAACAATCTGAAATAGAAGATTTTCCTCAACTTAAAATCAATTCAGAATCCAATGTAAATACATCAACAGTAAAATCCTATAGTCAAGTTCTACAGATGCCTCCTTCGAAACAGGTAAAATTCTAAAGTCACCATTTTGTAGAATCAGAATATGTGAAATTAATTATTTCGATGGCAATAGCAAAACTGATCTTACTACTTATGTGTTGATATAAAAGTTTTTTACGTATCTGCATTAACTACGTTAGAGTGATACGAAAACTATCCCCCAAGATAATGACAATGATATAAACCGGAAGGATCTAAATAGCTCTAGTACTAGTGATAACGATCACAAAGATGATTCCAATCAAGATCAGGAAACAAAATCAAAAAAGAAAAAAAAGAAAAAGAAGAAGAAAGCTAACCAAGGTGCTAAAGCAATTGACCGAAAGACAACCTTTAACATAGGTGAAATAATATCTCAATCTCAACAACGCCAGGTAACAAATTACTTTAAAAATAAGTTATATAGATATTTATGACGTATGCATATATTAGTAACTGATAGAGACGATAATTCGATAACGTGGTTTATCAATAGTTGAATACTCGCAATATTGTATGTGTAGGTATGTAAATAATGTAATTTTAATGCGGTTGATTTTCATTTAATATTTAAGACTACTAGTAATAACAAAGAAAAAGTGAAGAATACAAAGAAAGGTATAACTATCAGCATCGGCATTAGTAATCCAGGTATATACGTCCACAAAAAAAATGAAGATAGTCAGCGATCGCTATTGCCTAGCCAATCTGATAAGAAAGTTAAGGTATAAACTACGTAAAAATCGTTGTTTTACAAGGCCCCATAACATGATGCCAACTACAGTAGCTGCTATGTGCTCTTTCGAATTGATAGTAATTATAACATAATTGTATGTATTACAACTTAGATAATCAAATTAGCGTAGCATTAATCAATAAAAGAATTATACCTTCCTCATTGTGATTAACAACAGTAAAAGTGATAAAAGGACTAAACGGCTTGTAACTACAGCATAGAAGAAATTGTGACATTAGATAGTAATATGTCTCTGTAAATATTATATTACTGAGTAATTTACATATTGTTGTAACTTAATATTCAGACTATCCGTGATATGCAAAATTATACATATGCAAGTCATCTTTTTGCTTCGTATCATAATGCAAAATACAATGCTCGACTATAGCGACGCATAGATTCTAAGTCACTCGCTAATAGTTATTATTGTTTGCGTAAAAATGCGCATTAATAGCCCTTGAATCCACTTGACTCTTCCGCATCAACTATTATGCATGGCAAACAGCGAGAGACACCTAAGAAGAAAAAGCCGAGTCTACTTAAACGTGTAAGTAAATAAATTTAAAATTTATAATATGGCGTTACTAGGACAAATCTTGATATATTTTTGCCTATTGTAAATGACTTTAGGTCATACTCAAAGAACGTAACGACAAGAAAAAGTCTAAAGATATTCGGGCACACTCCTTACCAAAGTACAGTTGTTTGTTGTGAATTGTAATTTTATATTGTCAACATAACGCACACTTTGTGGAAGCTTTTCAAGCGTCATCTCTATGTATAATCATATTTCACTGTGTAAAATTTCTTCTAGTTTATATCAAGACAACAATTTAATTGAAATAGCTGATGAAACCCACCAGTGCCGTAAGTGATTAACTGCTCAAATACTTTTCAACTTTACTAAATAGTAAATATTAAGTGCAAAACTTACTGTAGTGGTTAATGGCTGTATAAATTATATCGTTGAGCAAGGTAACACTATAACTGAAATATATCGTTTAATACTGCAGTTTCATTGAGTACCCAGCACCATCCCAAAGTCGGTACACTGTTCTTAACTGTTACAAAATATGGATCAATTGATGGCCTTACCGAACAATCGACGAAATCAGACATTCATAGTCGAAAGTTTCGTGAGTATGTAAAATATAACTTGCTTAATTAATATATTTTATTTATAGATCGATTATTAATAGTGACATACTTTTGTCTTTTAGGTACTGTGATCATGTTTTATCTAAAGAAATTAATAATTACATATGGGATTTATTAAGAGAATTAGTCCGATTTCAAGATCGGCAGTATCAAAAAGATCCCATTAAGGTAGGCGGTTGCTTTAAATTTATTACTACAAATTGTAGAATATAAATGCTACTTCTAGTTTATAGTTGTGATATGTATTAAAAAATTGCTAATTGACAGGCAAAGATTCGACGTAGATATGTCTTAGGCCTTAGAGAGATTCAAAAGTATCTTCGCCTTAAAAAGCTAAAATGTGTCGTTATTTCACCAAATTTAGAAAAAATTACTTATGAAGGTAAACTAAATTTGTATTGGTTAAAGCGCTATGTTACAGTTAATTATGATATCATAAAGTTTGCTCACTAAGCAATTCTGATATTCTGCTTACCTTAAGGTGGTATAGATCATACGTTGCAACGAATCATTGAAACCTGTCACTTTCAAAACGTACCTGTTGTTTTTGGGCTAAATCGACATTCTCTTGGTAGAGCAGTTAAGAGACATGTTCCTGTTAGCATCGTTGGTGTAGTAAATTACGATGGAGTACATGTAAGAATGTAAAATCTTAAGATTAAAAAATTAGAAGATAGTTTAAATCGTCTTACTAAGTTATTCTAATGTAGATCGATTGATGAATCTAAAATCGTATCTATGCTGACAATTGTAAGGCGTATATTACTGCATTGCTAATTTCTAATATGATCTTTGATATTCATACTGACAGGAAAAATATCATGAGTTAATGAAACTGGTCAAGACTGCACGTGAAGATTATAAGAATCTGAAAGTAAAAAAGCTATTGGAAAATATTACCAATTAAATCATTCTAATCCGATAATATCAAATTAATTGTATTGCCCTATTTGCTTATATTCCACTGTTACTTACGAAAACAATACTATAACATAGAAGGTTCATTTAATGATGGAAAGCAATTAATATATTTTATGTCTGATTTATTTACATTTACTATTGGTTACTTTTAGTAAAATCGTCTAATGTGTTATTATCTTCAATGGAACGTGATAAGTTCTCTTTGGATATATGTTCTTTTTTAATAAAAACAACAAAAGTAGGCAGCGAGAAATAAAAAGATGTCTTTTATATCGTAATTTATGACCAACTGATCATGAGCTTACAATATTCACGAGGATCTACATTTAATAGTGATAGGTGTACACATAGAGCACATACGTAATACTGTACAATGTACATTGCTGTAGTGCAGTCCCAAATATAGCTTAGATTGCGATTCAAGATTATACGAGAATAGGTTAAACCGTACGTTAGAGTGTAAAATTGTCTTAAGTAACTATTTGTGGAAGATATTTACAGTACATATTGTAGTAATTGTATTGAGATGCTTATATTAAGATTCTGAGATAATAATAGATAGTACTAATTATGTTAGTACCGTGAGATTTGTATTATGACGCTTTAATTAGAAGTGCGAATTATGAATTGATACATCTGACTATAAACTCTAATTTTATAAATGATCTCCTTGATTTATATTCGATAATTTATCTGATAACTTCCAAAATACAGCTTGGCTATGTTCACATGCTATTATTTGCCCCACTAATTCTACTGTTGATAAAATCAAAAACATCATGCTCAGTAAATCTCCTGGCGACGTTCGCGAACATAGAAGTTGTGATGAAATTCTTGAACACGAATATAATTATCCACTAGAGTTCATTCATTAATCAATTAAATCCATCAGGATTGCCTCCCTATAACTTACTGTTGAAAAAAGGCTACAGTATAACTCTTTTAAGAAATTTAGACATGAAAAATGGCCGTGCAAATGGCTGTAGATATGTAATTAAAGGATTGTATGATTACGTTATCAACGCAGTCATTGCTATAGGCATTAACGCAGGAAGCAAATATTACGTATTAATTTAATTCCAACTGATGTTATTTATCCTTTTCATACGCAAAAAAAACAGTTTCCAATTCGGACTGCATTTGCTATAACAGCTAATAAATCTCAACGCCAAACATTAAATAGGATTAGACTGTATCTTGAGTAGATAGACTAGTTTAGGTACGTTCAAAGTTATTTTGTGAAGCACTTAGCCGCACACGCAGTGTCAGCAATGTTAAAATTCTAACCAAAAACGCGCATCTATCCGATAGTATTATGCAATTTGCTGATAATATAGTACATCCTGAAATTTTGTATATAAATGCACTTATCAAGACAGCATTAGCCTTTGCATATAATGTCTACATAATTGAATTGAGATGATTTTATCTTAAATTGTCAACATAAGGCTTGAAATTATATCAATTGTCCATGTAAATTTGAATTAAAGTAGGTTATTTTCATGATACCTTTAGTTTTGCACAGGATTGAAATCATTCAACAGTACTATATACAGTACAGTATAACGCAAATTATAACGTAAAAAATCCAAGAATAGTAGCTGTTAAACACAAGATTGTCAAAAATATATTGTATTATACTTCCTTCCCTCCGTTCACATGGGCGGGTATTCTTTACAACGTAATGGTTGATTCGGGTATCGTGGTGCTGTTCTATGGTAAACGTATCCTACTTTTTACATACATAGTAATAGCAAAGGTTAACGTAAACTATATTAGGTTTCCGTTGCACGCTATCGAATGCGCATCAACACGGTAAAAGTTACTGAACCTCTGACAGGTCTATCAAATGTTAATACTATCTGTTAAATGAGCACATTATCGTAAACCGTCAGCAAACCAACGGGAGTTTGTACTAGTAATTGTTAAACATACGGCATTACAGGATGGTTATTGTACGGTAGTATATTCACATAGCTTTAATGCGGAAAAAGGATAACGCTAGACACAGATAGGAATCTAATACAAAATTAGTGAATACAAATTGAGTTGTACAGTACTGTATATCGAGGAAATCACGAACGAATAATGCCACGTAGTAATAGAAATTCTAATGTCCACGAAAACCAACCAACAAAAATCATCCCTCCGTTCACATGAACGGGTATTTTTTTTACTAGTCTTACGTTATAGAGTGAAGTTTGCAAGAAACTGTAATTCTTGTTATATTTTTGAGAAGACACTTTATCACAGTTGGATGCAATGTATGTCAGTACATTAGGCTTAGGTCAGTGTAGGAACGTACTAATAAAGGCAGTGGACAATGCGAAACAGTTCTTTGCTTGATCATTTACGATATCCGATCTAAACTAAATGTTATCTTTAGGCAGCTATGAAGAGGCCTATACGTTAACTGGTCAGAAATATTTATAGTAGGACCTTTCAAGGTCGTGATGTTATAGCTTGCGAATACTGAATCCCAAGCTATTATTCGTAGAATGAATATAATTGATGTGGTACAACGAGTGGCTGTTGTATGTGACTAAATATACTGTGTACTCGTAAGCATCAGGCATAAAGATAATAACTCTTGTCATTTCTAACGCTTACGCATTTCCCTGTACTACTCTTATTATCTACAATTAAACAAACTTGAAATAAGAAGGAATCATACATATCATCAATATCAATTTTATTATCCGAAAAATGCAGGAAAGATGTACAAAATTTGGCCATGTAAAAGCACAATACATGTATGATAGTAAAATAATCCAATCGAGGCTTAGTTTTGTGAGCAATAACAACATTATTGCATATCACTGATATCAGATAATATTATTGCCAGATTTTAATATAACAACAACTGCATTTGTCTAAAAGCATACCGCATATACGTACTGTTAATCTCATTACCTTAAGACTTTACATCCAAGATATACTGTACAGTCACAGTAAGATGTAGCATAGCAGCTACACGATCAACAAATATCCAAAGATGTTTCTTACGTTACTAAAATTACTGTATCTCAGCCAGAAATAAAATTAAATAATAATCCATAACTAAATGTCATATAGAACCCGTATCTGTAATCTTCATTTCAATAATTGACTAGTTACAACTTAAAATAGATAAAATATCTTGTGACGTTGATAAATCTTTTCAAGGTACTTTGGAATTGATTAGATTAGTTTAAGTATTATCACTATCATATTGTTAATCTATAATCAGCAAAGTTAATATAAAATAATTGATTGATTAACACCAACCGAATAGAATCAAGTAATTATTTACTTGTAACGTTGTAACAGGAAATTTACTGATATTATAGCGAGTGGTCTACACATTTTTCCTTTATCAGAGTATCACATTTCTGTTATGTAACGATCTAGTTTGTTTGCTAAATAAGAATAATATTTATAACTAATCTTTTGGAATTGCAAAAGATTGATCCATTACGTGAGCCAACCTGAGTTCAAGTCGTAAGATGACGTTTGTGTTAGCAATTTACAAAGTACCGTAATTATTCATTTTAAAGGTATATTGTAAATGTGTCGCATGGAATAATTATAAAATGCTATCCATTAAAAACGTATTCATTCACAGGAAATTTCCGCACATTGCAAAAGGTAGGTTAGAACAATATCTCAAGAGTACATAGTGTAACTGTAATTCAATTTCCATGGCGTTTTAATCTTTAATAATATAAAATAAGGATGGATAAAGCATTTCACAAAATATCTATCATCTTTCGTAAGATGGACTAAAAGATATCGTAGAGTACAAATTGAGTATTTATCATACAAATTTCTTGTGGTATCTTCATTCAGTGTATAATATATATATTCAGATACAATTCGATAAACAAATTCATTTCTTTTTGGCACTTAAATTCTTAATAGTTTCATAACTGATAATTATAATAATACTTGACGGGGCCATAGAAATAACTCTGGCGCTCATCCCTTTTGTAAATCCAGCTAGACCTTCTTCTTGTATTAAAGTCTTTGTAGTTGCAATGATAGATTTAGTATCCAGTACCTGATGAATGACGACGATCAGATAATCGGTAAGAAAGCAAAATTAGTACAGTTACATCTAAAATTGATCAACTGAACAAAGAATAAGGTAAATGAGCTTATAATCTGCTCTAATTGCACTATGAACACCATTCAAATAAGTACCGTAATACACTTATAAGATTAATATTGCAAAGTTTATTCTTTCAATTAGTTTATCAATTGGTACTTTTTCTGCTTTTCATCTATTTTCAATTACTTTTAATTTTATCTACCTGCATTCTGGTACGGATAACATCAACTGGATTGATTAGAACCGCTGACGTGATACCAGCTGTGGCCCCAGCAGTAGCTTGTGCCACTAGATGCGGTGTATTAGGAGGTATAAATTTGCTTAATAAGTTGTTATAGGCAGCATAAGAACCCCACCAAATTGCGCTGCTAGGACCAAATGTTAAGATAGATATTAAGTATCCACGGTAAAATCCACGTATTCCGTAAGCTTTCCAAATTTCATTAGCGATAGTTTTAGCCGATTTTAACTTGGCATCTTGCTGACTAAGAGTATATAATGAACGAAATTGAGGCGAATTTATAGTTTTGGTCGATTTTTGACTGGAAGACGGCATGATGATGCTGCTGCTGCAGGATTTCTGATGGCGAATGGACGATCAGTCGTGTGTCTACTTGCAATGGTTGTGGTTGCTTTGCTCTTTCTATCGTATTGATCTTGATTAGCGATTTCCTTCTTTGAAGAAGGTGAGTGACTGGTATAACTTTCCGGTGCCTGTTGACCTTGTACCATTAGTTTTTGTGACACAATATCAATCGGTACTCCAAATGATTGAGCAATAACGGAAGCCGCACCACCAGCAACAAAGCCTCGAGTAGCTTCGCTAACATAATTTGATTGTAATTTTTGCCTAACAATCTCGTAGGCAGTAATGTAAATCTGGCCAATACCTAAACTAACTGAATTGACAAGGAATCCTTTATATAAGCCTCGTAATCCTTCGTAACGCAGTATCTTTTTGAATGCATCAAAAGTGCCGGTATAAATCCCAGTACCTCTCTGTACTTGTAATCGTGTTTTGATTAGATTGGCAGGATATAAAGTAAATCGTATACCAAAATAAATAGAAGGTCCAATAGTATAATACTTGAATTTATCTAAATCATCCCAACCAAGTGATTCAATTTTTTCTGACATGGTTGTGCTTTCGATGAATAAAGTGTATGCTAGTAATAATAATAATAATAATAATCCAAATGTGAGGATATGAATAAATTGATACTCTAATAAGGTGATGGTGTGCAATACGCGAATCGCCAATGGACGACGTTATCACGATGTAATAACAGATACTGTATCTAAATATGTAGAGTACAATATAGTACTTTACAGTATAGCAATCAAGTTCCGGTCTTTGCCAGGTAATAATTTAGTGTTACAACATGGGATTGTAATAATTCCCTCCAAGCGAATTCAAATTCAAATTCACTTACTATACGATATCAGATTTGACAGTGAGTTGAAGACATTGATCGCGAGATCGAATATCTTCACGTCATTAATTTTTATTGCATCATTCAACCAATCGTTGCTTGGAATGAATTCTAATCATTACTCTGAGTAGATGAAGTTGTTATCTAATGACCAATAAATTAGCTACTTTTAACCATGGATCGTTTATTTATAACAAAGGTCAACGTTGGTTGGTTGATTGTTTCTTGCTTTTTCCCACTAGGAAGAATTGGATGGAACGAATTATCCGTTCTCTCTCGGATGATTGCAATAAGTTATCAGCGTAATTTCAATTTTAATCACCGCCACAACGCTGGCAAAAGACCGTATGCAGTAGAAGTGAATACTTGCTTGCAAAGTGAGAAACTTTTATGACGTACAGTACTCTTCTAAACTTAATATGTGATCTTGTCAGTCTGGATAGATGGCATCCAGTCTTGCAGTCAATTTGGCTTGAATTCCAGTTTTCGACGAATGGAGCGCGATCACATTAGACAGCAGAATGGTTGCATCTAGCGTTGCTGCCGTCAATTTTGCCTCTTGGCTCTTGGCTATGGAGTGGCTAGATATTCTCTTTTAAGGGTCTGGCCCGATCTTGGTTACCGTATTTTTCCCCGTACATGAACTACCGTACGTACTGTACACTGTACAGTACAGTACTGTACAGGTACTGGATTAGTGGATTGCGTGAACAGAGAGCAGCAGCAGCGACAATCCAACCCCATTTTTTCATAGCAATGACTGAGCATATTGCACAGTATTGTACGTCTGTGCTGCTGATCAGACTGAAAACCTCAGCCGTCATCGTATAGTAGAGTGCTACAAACTGGCATAATCGTACGTACTGTACTGTAGAGTAGAAAGGGTAAAATAGGGGAAATATTCACGGTACAGTACCCACTGCGCATAGGCTATGCGGCATATCGTGACCTCGGTCACCTGTTTACATACCCTCTCTCATTCAGTGTTCAACAATTGCTTCTACCGTGCAGTAGAATTTAGATTCCACTGACCTCATCTGAGTAGGCTAATTTGCATGATTACAGTAAGCAGAAAGAGCAACTCGTCGGAATTTACGGTCTGTTATTACCATTTTCACTGTAGTATACTCTATTAATGACTTTACGTTCAAGATTGGGGGAATTTCTGTCAACGGTTTGCGTAGTTAAAATGTCAATTGACGTTTTTATAAGACTACAGCGTGAAAACCATGGACAGAAATTTCCCCCCTGGATAAAAAAAGAGGACCCTGTTCGATAAAGCCGCCCATTTCTCAGATAGTGATAGAAAAACACTACAGGTAGAGGTACGTACTATGCATTTCTGTCAACGCTTTGGGTAGTTAAAATGTCAATTGACGTTTTTATAAGACTACAGCGTGAAAACCACGGACAGAAATTTCCCCCCTGGATAAAAAAGAGGGCCCTGTTCGATAAAGCCGCCCATTTCTCAGATAGTGATAGAAAAACACTACAGGTAGAGGTACGTACAGTACAGTACTATACACTTCTCACAAGCCAGCATCGTACATAATACCGTACTATGGGGTTCAGAAAAAAATGTGGAGCGCTCTTTACAGTGTACACATGTACAGTACATGGCGACAGTACTCTGCACTGTATACTACAATGCACGGTACTGTAGTTTTTTTCAACAAGCTGACGCTGTAACAGCAGTGTACTGATGGAACCGTAGCTGTTGCATCGAAACCTTGATACACTTGATCGCGAGCGAGTACTGTACTGTAGCACTCGGCACTCGCTCAGGCGGCTCGGTCAACTACAGTGATAGCAATAATAATAAAAGTTGACCAACATCACACAACCCGCATTCGGTCAAATCCATACTGCTAACATTGATTGTCATTCAATTCGTTCAAAGCTTGCAAACGATGGCGGCAGGAAAGCGCATTAGTTGTATTTTAATCGATCTTAGTGGAACATTACACGTTGAAAACCAAGTTATTGCAGGATCTATCGAAGCACTGGACAGGTTAGAATTGGCTTAACTAAACTGTTCAACTACAGTTGATTTGAATGCATTGCTGGACTTGCATGCCCAGTTACTTTCATAAGTAAATACAGTACTTTAATCCTGGATCAATTAATTATATTTTCTGTTGAAGGGTGATGAAAGACCCATCATGAATGTATTGTTGTTCGTCAGCGAAAGATATTTTCAGTGAAAAATGCGATGGATGCTTGCAAACGATCTTTTTCAGTTTTTTTTCCATAGTACGTAATTTTACGGGATATGGATATCGTTCATTGAATTTATGCTCCACTCCTAACAGGTCATTTCACCCTGACGTCTGAAACGGTCAAACGTAACAGTTCTTGACACCAACGCACTTCAATCCGCCTCCAATTCAGATTTCATGTCATAGAGTTTTACCACTGTGAATTGAAATTTAAACCAATTAATCGTAGCTAAAAAAAGTTCAATAACTTCCATTTCTATACTAAATTATCCTTCATGGCCAAGGATGCAACGGTATTTGTACAGTATGATATTTAATTTTTTGTTATTGTTATTGCTTTTATGATACCGCAGCCATCACAGACTACTTAAATGTTGTGAGTAGTGTCTCCTTCCGTCATTCAATCGTTGACATACGCAGTGAAATCAGCCTGATTGAAGTATGTCGGCTGCTCGCTTACACTGCAATGCCAACTGCAATGCGTCGACGTAGATTGAGCAACCGATAAAGCGTTCCATCAAAGTACATGTTGAACTAATTATACAATATGGTTAAGCAACTATCCATTTCTTATGCTTTTAATTAATTTATACCGTAACGAATCCTCGCTGTGCAGCTTTCGTTTTTTTCTTTTCAAAATTCAATTCGATAAAATTGCAATATCGAGTGCTGGTAAAGGGCGACATATTACACTCACCACTGGTTCTAACGATGCTAGAAAGCATACTGATATTTTTAGTATCATGCTGTCAGTCCTAATCATGCATGATATTCCGATATGTTCTGAAGTGTTATATCATCCACTCTCATAGTGCAGTATATAGCAATGTTTTGCCAAACAAAATGGTGTTAGAATGCGTAAACTTGGTGGACTGTACAGTACTTAGTTTCTATTTCATAAAAGAGTATTGATCCAATTTATGCCGAACTGCAGTTCTTGAGGTTGATTGATTACCTTCTGTACAGGCATGGAAAACAGTACTGGAAGAAGACTTCTCCTGTAGTGGTCCTTGATATTTTGAAATGATTTCACACCGTATCTGTTTCAACTGTTTAGCGTGGATAATAATAATAATAATAATAATATTTAAAGTGAAATAGTGCTGCATAGGTTTGTAACCTTGCAGTTCACGAAGGATCAGGGGTTATTTCTTTAGCATCAAACTTGATGAAGGAATTGGTTTTAGATGGCCGATTGGCGATGCATAAATTTTTGTCAATGTTCCACAATTCAAATCCCAATTGCAACAATGTCACTACTTCGCAAGTTTCCGTTATACATAAATAGATATTAATTCGTATACTATATAAATTAGACGTACGAGCAAATTATTACTTTGTTTTATTGTCAGCTGCTATGATTGAAAACACAACATTTATAAAAGAATATCGTTTAAATATCTTACTACAGTACTTTTATCTACAGTATTGCTCCTTCACTCTCTATATTTGTAAGTATTGCTTAACGTATGTAATAGGCAATAAGTATACGCTCATTCTGGTGCTCCTTCTTCTTCATGACTGTATCAAGAAGTAACGCACCCATACCGTGAAATGGATTTTATTGACTGCGAGTTCAGTTCTAAATTGCTGATCGGAACTTTAGGTAGCGCCATTTTAAAAAATTTTAAAGATTTCTACCTCACGTAATAATTCGTACTCGTAATACTTCAATAGTAATGAGTGCAATGAATTCATTAATGAATGGGGTAATACTTTGTGTTCGGTTGTTATGTCAGCTTAAGCGTTCAATGTTTAATAATTAATTATAATTGCTATTTAGGTACGCTATGTTACAATGCATGATTTAATGAAGCTATTTTATACAAGGTTTTATATACACCTTCTACAAACACACTACTGTGTTGCAGCAAGCACCGTACGACCAATCTTAATTTTCGACAATTTTGTTCCTTACTACAACACGGACTACCCTTTTATTTAATTTAATTTAATTGTGCATACTAGCCTGTAAATTACGTCGTATATCATTATATTTTCATGGTATACAACTACGCATTCATGTTAGTTTGAATTGTACGTGTAGACTTTTAGAATGAACAAAGTAAGGCAGATAGAACGACATATTCCTCAATTTAAAACTATCGAGACTTTTTTAGAGATGGCGTAGCCAATCTTATAAATTGTTAATGACAAGATTAAGTATAAGGCACCATTCTGCTTTGTTCTTTTTTCCTTTTAATAATAATAATAGCTTATGGTCGAATAGCACCCTACACAAAACAGTCATAGCTAACATATGATCAGTATCTGGCCTATCACTTTTCATTTTACACTTTTTACACTTGGGAGTTTTAGTTTATTTTTACCTTAATATACTGTATTACTAGTAATGGGCTTTTACTGAAGGCTGTACTGTAATTGTACTGTGTATGTGTTACGCATAGTTTACATAGTGATAGGTAATACTGTAATTACAAGTAAGCACTTATCTCCTTTTATCAAGTCTTTACAATTTTGTTTGCAAACTAAGTTGAAGCACGCATAGCTTCAGTATTATAGAATCTTGATTAATAATCTAGATAATGGACTGTACCTGCAAACGAAAATAATATAATCATAAAACCGAATTTTAGCTTGTTAACTCCATGGCTATGAACTTGATTAATTTTACAGCGTTTGCAAATCAATAATTGTTTACCTACTGTACTTTGCCCTTACCTTATACGCGTACAGTAGTTACTCACAGACATTGATTACGATCATTTATACATTTATAAAGCCATTAAACTTACGCAAAGATGCAAATAAATTTAAAAACAATCAGCTTTTATTGTTTTTATAGACATAAAACTAATTATAATGTCGCTAAACTGAAGCTATAAAGATCCTAATTTGAGTTTCTACGCACCATGCGTACAATATCGATTAGATTATTTAATTAATTAGTATTTATTTACGCTTCTCACAATCGTATATTGATAATAATTATATTCAATATAACTTAATTATCATCCTCTTATGGCACATAATTACACATCAGCAAAATCTTCTTTAATTCATATTACTATCATGTACAGTATTTTACCAGTAATATTTTCACTGCTGGTTTGTAATGTATGTGTTAAACAAAGACTCTATATATGTAATATTTAATCGGATAGTAATCATAATTTAACATACTGTACAGTATACTGCCTATTACACTGCTGACGATGATTTGATCAGATAGTAATAATCAAAGTAAAATTGAATTAAATTAAATTACTCTAATGTATTGCCTTTTCTAATGGAAAATGACAACACACACTTGTATACGGTACGATACTAGTATAAGATTTCTCCACTACTAAAATTTCATTCATCCAACGTTTTTACTCATCGTTGCTCTGTTGTGCCTGCTTAACATAACCATGAAACATGACAGCTTGATTTTATATTAATTTGATGACGGAAATTATTATGCTAATATTTAAGACTGTAACTTCGCCTTGGACTTTTCAACTCTTATACAGTAATTTGTAATTCATTAAAAAATGCCATAGTACATGAAATGAATTACCATGTCACCAAAACAGTTCTTATACAATAAATAAATTTTTATGAACAAGTACATGCAAGACATTAAACTAGCTGTGTGTTTAAAATGCATTACTGGATTACTTAGGTAATTTAGCAACTTTGCCAAATCAATCTTACGATAACATATCGCACTTACTACTGGTCTATATGTACGTCTTACCTACACAGAATGGTCGAGAATCGTGAATTAGTTATGAAGTATAAAGATATTTACAGTTAATTAAAACTGCTCATGGTACTCCACCTTCAAGTACGGTTTCTTGTCCAATGTTAAATTTCTAACCAGCATAGAAAGAACAAATAAACAGCCTTTTCTTTCATTTAATTTTGTTTTACCATGATATTCTGAGAGTCGATGATGGAATGTGAAATGTGCAAATCTAAATCAGTAATATTATTCCCCCATTGTAATAGTGACTATCATAACAATTATGAACTAATGTAAAAAGTTAATTATAGTGTTACGATGTAGTGCAGTCCATCATTTAAATGCATTACATAAAAGCTTGGATTTACGTCTAATTAACGTACTGAACGTTCATATGTTCATACAGCTGTAACAGGTTAATTAAAGTAACGCAATGAGTAATTATTGGATTGTATTTTGTTAAAGATTGCGAAGGACCAACCTAAAGTTGAGATTTGTTACGAACACAACGAAAGAATCGAAACGACTTCTTGTTGATCGACTAAATAATTTAGGATTTGGCGTTCGAACAGAGGAGATTTTTACATCTTTAACTGCTGCTAAGATTATGGTATTAAAGAACAATATTAGACCTATGCTAATGCTGCAGCCCGAAGCAAGAGAAGACTTTCAAGGTAGAACCATATTACCGACTTTTTCGTAATTGTGTCTCAAAATGAAACATAAAATTTTGGCCATATTCAATGTCGAACATTCTCGATAAATAAAGGTACTTGATTCTTATATATAATTATAGATGTTCCTACAAGCAACCCAAATGGTGTATTGGTTGGCTTATCGCCAGACTCATTCAATTACCAAACTATGAACGAGGCCTTTCGGTACATCTAAGTACAGAATCTTCTGACTAATAAACAGTCCAATTAAATTTCACCTCCATCTTTCTATGATACTATTCATATTATATTTGAAAGTATAGACCTGAAGACTTATCTTGTAGCTTTTATTAATTCATTTTAATTAAGCCATCGTTTGATATTATTGGAAGTTTATGTACTATATAATACTAATACTGAATAGTTATACTTCAGAATTGATTTAGCTGTAGTATACTTAGCTCTGATGGCGAATGGATACTTTCCTTTCTTATTGCATATACTGCTAAAATTTTAGTATTAATTTGCACTGTATTTACTGAATTATTTTATGCTTTCTTATATCTAGAATCTTAGGTAATGCTGGATCTCTGATTGCAGTTCACAAAGGACGATACTATAAAACTCTTGAAGGGCTATCGTTAGGCCCTGGACCGTTTGTATCTGCTTTGGAGTATGCTACTGGAGTTGAAGCTAAAGTCGTTGGCAAGCCTCAAAGCAATTTCTTTCAGTCAGCACTAGAAAGCGTTGACGGACTAGCTGATGAAACCATAATGATTGGTGATGTGAGTACACAAAATAAACGGTGGTTAACGATACTGCTATGCAATACGAATCCTTTAATTTACTAACTCATAACAGAAGTTGTACCGTTTACTTCGTAGTAATCAAGTTTATTTAATTTCACGAATTGGTTAACGAATAAATCTTATTTTATGCCTTGGCAGGATATCAGAGACGATATTGGTGGAGCACAGGCTATCGGCATGAGAGGAATCCTTGTAAAGACGGGTGAATACATAACATAATTCCTCCTAAAGCTAGTATCTTTTATTCGTTAGCCTTACCTAAAGGTAATTTTACTTTATTACTTAAATAGGTAAATATCGAGAGGGCGATGAATCAGCTCATGGTATTAAACCTTTCGCGGTTTGTGATAAATTCGTTGATGCAGTAGACATGATTATAGAACTGTTGTAACGTAGCAAATATATTTGAAACCAGCATCAAGAGAATTATTGATATTAATGCATCACTTCTAAAAGCGATTAAAATTCTAGTGTACTTATCACTCAAATATATACTCCTATAAGCTATAATATTGATAGTAGAATATATAACATTAGGCTGTAATAGTAATTTTGCGTTTAAGAGTAGATGTACTTTCGCTATGCTACAACAAATGATGCAATCTTTATATTGTATTACAAACACTAGAACTTTTAGTATAACCTAATTGTAAATACTATGTAAATTATATAATATCAAGCTAGACGAATTCCTTCATGTGGTTTTAGATAAAAACGATTACGATGAAGTGATAGTGGAAAGTAGAATACTTTAGCAGCAATACATTGTCAATTTTATGGTTTCAGACTGATAATTTCCGAGTATAGTAAGTTAAGTTTAATAGTTGTTAATTATTGTTATTATGAAAAAATTTCCGCCTGAAATTATTCTAAAGAGTTTTTAAAGTCCGCCCGCTACATTAAATATTTTACAGTTTATTACAACTCAAGTTTCACAGTTGTTAATTATTATTATTGTGAAGAAATTTTTACGCCTGAAATTTATTCTAAAAAATTCTTAAAGTCCACCCGTTATATTAAATACTTTACAGTTTATTACAACTTGCACAAGTAGAAATTCAAGTCAAAGAGTATATTGCACATATTAATTTACTAATATTAAAATTTCTTGCTAGGACATTTTCTATAAGCAAATAAGTTTTCGTCTAAAATGCCTATCTAACTAATTATGTATGTATAATAGAAAATATAGAAATCTGTACTTCTTAGAGACCCGAAATTAAAATAAAAGAATTTTTATTGATAACATCTGTTACGAATTTATGCACAAATGACAAATCTGATCGAATATGACAAATATCATGTATAGTTTGGACTATGAAAACACTGTTTAATGCTTAAAGAGCCATCAATTTGATGGTGTAAGATTTTACTATATTACTTAGTACAGCTCTAAATTGCTAAGAATCTTCACTACATTGATTCGTAAAAAATTGCTTAGCCGATGCACAAATTGGGTTAACACACATTGGACACCTCAAAGCGAACTGGCGCGTAGAAAGTTGACCAGATTTTAGATGCTTTGCAACAATATCTGCTAAGGCACTGATGAATAATGGGCTATCGTTTAATGATTCAGCCCTTATAATATTTTTAATTCCGCACTTAGTAGCTAATTCGTCGATATATTCTATATCTAACTCGTATAAAGTTTCGATGTGATCAGAAGTAAAAGCTATTGGCACTAATAACAAGTTCTTTTCATTAGTTCTCGCAAAACCTTTGATCGAATCATCGGTTTGAGGTCCTAACCACGGTAAAGGACCAACCTAAGAAGCAATTTTAAATTGCCATTTAGAAAAATTACGCTACCAAACGGTTACAAAGTATCAATGATATGGGAAGTTTCCATTACCTTCGACTGCCATACAAGGCGATAAGGATGAGAATGATTTAATGCTTCCATAACTCTTTCTACTGTAGATGCAACCTCTAACGGGTAAGGATCACCACGATTAACAACCTGTAATTAACATAAAATTGTCAGCCCACTAACCTACCGTGGAATACAGCAAGCAATGTTTGCAAGTGATAGTTTCATAAAAACGTTACGTTAGGTAGGTGAAAATCGAGCTCTTTAATCAACAAAAGGTTACAATTTTTCTATCGCAGCTATGATGGATGGATCGAAACTGCATTAGAACTTACTGACATAGGCAAAGAATGAGCTGAAAACAATATTACGACATCGTCTCTCGTATTTTCAGGGAATTGCTCTATCCCTTTACGAATATTTGCTGCAAAAGCCTGCGTCAATAAAAACAGCTGACGTTATAGGCAAGACTATTAATTTTGAATGATCAATAGAGATGTTTAAAATTTGTTAAATTTAACCTTAATTAATCCTGGATGCGTTGGCCATCGATCGATGAGACTCCAACGAATATTGCTAGGATTTTTATTGACATAACGATAGATAGCATTGATACTACTTCCAGTAGTAGAGCAGGAATATTGTGGATACTGTGTAAAAGCAACTACTCTAGAAATCCCATCGCTAACATAAACAGAAACTTTCTTTAGTCAACTAATAATGAGGAATATAGAGAAAGATACTGTCTGTAAATTTTTGTAGTCAAGACTATGGAGGCTATGATCGATGAATAAAGCCGTCATGTAAAAGTCATACAATGTATGAGTCTTAAAAATGGTAATTTCAGAAACATATTACTTAAATACTAGTAACTAAACATTCTAAAGAATATACGATAATAATGAGAAGCATCACTGACCTGATAATCTGATCGATGGCGTCTTCTGTTAGTGGGTTGGCGTACCTAAAACCAATGTAATGCTTATGGGGTGCTGCAAAATGACATAAAATCAATCAACAACGGTTGCATAGTATCTAAATCTAATAGCTGAGTCCTAACACATCACTGATTGTTTTTTTTTAAGTATTTAACTAAAATTACGAATTTCAAAATTATGCATTAATCTATAAGACTTGAATACGCAAGAAAATGTATATATATACTAGTAGTAAGGACTGGCTAAAGTATTGAAGTGCCTTCCAGCTAGGCTATTGTAAAATTCTGGCAACATTCATACCGGACTCTGGACAAACTTCATCCAATATTTTACACATTGCCTCTCCTTGCTTAGTCGTCCACATTCGAATTGGAGATCCGCCACCAATTTTCTTATATTGTTCCTGAATTTTGGGAGTTCTTCGCTTTGCAATCCATGGCGCAAGTTGACTATAATTACGACAAGACAGTTGAAGCAAATATTAATACAACCATTGGTATTTAAATCTGCGTACGAAAGGCTAATACGCATGTATGTACTAGTGCATGCTTATCGATATCAATTTGGGATGATAGAATTTTACTCCTATTTTCTTTCATTACTAAAATTCAAAATAGGAACCATTATCTGAAATATAGACGCACATACGTACCTCTGTGCAGGTAATGGAATCAAATCTTTATCCATAAACAATCTCAGTAAGAAATCGTGTACGTCTTCCGTTTTCTCTGGACCACCCAAATTAAGCATCATAATAGCGGTTTTTGGTTTTCTGTAAAGTTAACCTTTATCAGTGCTAATACGAGTACTTTAACTTGGCATTTGTGCAAGTTCGACTCTACTACGTACAAGCATTAGCTATGTATATATACTAACTTCAGTTATTAGTAGATATATCAGTACATATACAGTAGTACCGGAAACTGGACAGTGGACATCTTACATGCAGGGTAGCTAAGCAAAGCAATGTCTAGAACTTTAGCTAGCATATAAGCCAAATACTAAGCCATAGGTATAGAGTAGATAAACTTTTAATACGTGTATTTTCCGATCATCGTGAATCTGTAGGACGTACACGAGACTAAACTCGTAAGAAGTGCCGAAGAGTATGATAAATACAATCTTTATCAAACTATAGCAGTTGATTCGGTTACTCATACCTCCCTTAACCTATGAAAGGGGATTAATTTGGCCATCAGGTTAATACAATATAACTGATACAAGCGATAGCTGTACTAAATTCCATTGCATAACATAACTCAGGGACGACAATAAAATATACATAGTAGGCCTGATTACTCAGTACTGTTAATATTTGTTATCCGATGAATCACACCGTCATTGTACACTAAAATAATCCTTACTCGTACCAGTACAGCCTTAGTTAATAGCTACGTGTTCGATACTGCATTGGCATTAATAATATCATACGCAATTATACTAAATAAGGAACTTACACATGGCTGGAGTTTGTAAGAGTTCTTGTAGACGTTAACCAGCTAGAATTAACGATGAAACGGCCGATTGAAGCTTGACGCGAGAGCATTTTAAGGTACTATTTGCATACTAATCCTGCAAAGAGCGAAAATTGATAATCTACATTAGCTCGTGCCACATGCATTCCGAAGATGGCGAATTAATACATATAGCAGTTAAGAGAATATTCTAGCGAACGATAATTCTATGCCTGAACACAGTAAATATAATATAGGCCTATCTCTACAGTATATTCCTTAATATGATGTGATCAATGCAATCGATATCAAAAGCATATTGGTCCTTTAGTAGCTACTATTCTATTTATACTATCGTACTCTACGTAGATGGAGTGGAGTATAAAAGGCAGTAACTCGATTGTGAATGAGGAGCGGCGGCGTTGCTCTTAAAGCCTGAAAGGATTTATCTAACTGTATGAGTGCGTACAACCATGCAATGTACTTCTAGAAAGTTGTGTTGCAAATACACTTAAATGAATTTTATTCAATCGGTACAGATCCTGTAGTACTTCATAACATCGGATGATCGCGTTCTTCTTTCTTCTGTACTTCACTTTCTGTACTCTTGTACTTTCTTCTGTATACTCTTGTAGACTCAAGGTGCAGTTCGCGTATAAACTATTTTGTTGCTTGCATTTGACGTTAAGGTGTGATTTGGAGTTGAATTGCCTTCTACCAAGTTATGCCGACCATTGTATGCGATCCATTGATTACAGTAATTGTAAGCGATCGAATTTATCAACGCCATACTGGGCAGGTAGTTCATTTTGAATTCTCACCTGATTTATTTGAATGATGGCTGGTATTGGGATTAGAGTCGATCCTTTCTCGTGGCTCAATTAGGTAGCAATAACTTTCTTGGTAGGGCATCACTACGTCAACCGAGTCTAGTATGACTGTTCTAGCTGTCATAGAGGCAAGAAGAATCAGCAGTGTGTCATGCGCAGTAACAATCTATAGTCTTGCAGTACAGTGCAGTACTGTCCACTGTCCAGTACAGTACAGTACAGTACAGTACAGTACTGTACTGTACGTCTGTCTGTACTATACATACACACTGTACACTTTTTAGTGTACAGTACTGTACAGTGTACAGTACAGTACACAGTATTCTAGCACAGTACTGTACACTGTAGCATACAGTACAGTGTATAGTACTGTACTGTACGCATACTACAGTACAACATACTGTGCGGTACTGTACGGTACTGCTCGGTTTTCTTTCTTTTCTACCACTCTGGTGACAAATATTCCTACTGTACGCCAGTCATTATTGCCAAGTTTAGTCAGTAGTCTAGTGGTCAGAATGTTGGGCAACAGTACAATAGACTTGTACTACACTGTATACTGTACTGTATAGAAAAAGGGACTGTATAAAAAGCACCTTGACGCATCATCGTCATTGCTCCATCTTTCGCAGTCACCATGGCAGAGGAGGTGGAAAAAGCTCAAGAAGCACCCGATACTGGTGATACAATATTTGGTAAAATTTTACGACGTGAAATTCCATGCGACTTTCTGTATGAAGATGATTTGGTAGGCTACATAAATAGACAGCATTGATTGCGGTGTTACATTGTTGTTATTTCTTGCACGAAGACGTAGGGTAGCTGTTGCATCTGCAACTGTCAATAAGGGCGACAATCCAATGAGTACTGTAGCTACTACTTTATTGAAAATAGTCCAATTTCCTTTGTCTGCTTTGCATGGATGCTCACTGTATAGACGACAGTGAGCATTGCTAAAGCTTCAAATCAAATAAATTATTCGTTATATGTAAGCAATAATCCCAGTAAAAACGGACAAATTCACATTCAATAATCTTTATACGTGCGCCCTTCATGAAAGCAAGCATACGTGTACTCATCGCCTACTGGGCCCTCACTTTAGAATACTTCACGGTATACATATCGCAATCTAATTATTGATTTTCGCAAAACTGATTGGCAATGAACTGCAGCATAACTTCTGCATAGCATTGTACTGGACTCAATTTATACTAGAACTAATTTTGATGTTAAGACTGTAATTTGAAACAAGAAAAAGAGATACATGTTCTGAAATAAAGTATATATACAGTACAAGTGTACGGTATACGATACACTGCTATTGCTGTACTTTGCCATGACAGGTTATTCGGAACTACTGTATTTACCACTTAGTTCGTTCCAGTGTTCTCGGTAGTACTCGGTATTACCTTTACAAACGTCATGGAAATGAAATTTTGTCTCTCTGTATACGTGACGATTGATGAATCTTTGTTTAATGAAAATTATCCCGAATGAATTAACAGTTTTATTTATGCATACGTTTCATATTATTTAGTGTGTAGCTTTCAAAGATGTTAATCCTCAAGCTCCAGTCCACTTTTTGGTCATTCCGCGAAAGCCTATACCATGCCTTGAGAAAGCTTGCAATGAGCATACTTCTGTAAGTCATTACTATTGCTCATTCATCCATCTGTGTTACGCACTATTGAAAAAATCACGACATACTCTTATATCTGTGATAGCGTAACCTTGTAAACTACTGTGTACCGTATTGCAATTTCCTACATTGGTATCTCGTAGCAAATCCGTTTGTGTTATCTACATTCAACATTTTTATATCGATATCCTGACAACCATATTGCTGACTGCAACTTGTATGTGCTTATTAACAAGATATGATAATTATGACTACAGTACAGCATTTACCAAATAATAGCAATACTAAAGTTTGCCAATAAGCCATCCTCAAGCAGAGCATTTCAGTAATACATGTCTACAGTTGCGTACTCGCAAATAATCCGTCGTCTCTGCATAGTAGTAAATTAGCTAGTGATATATCTAACTGATTGATCATATAATTAGCGAAATTAGCAATTTTGATGTACGATACCATAGTATACAGTTTACACTTTACAATAATTACAATATTAGAACTAATTAATAACCTTTATACTTGATAAACAGTACGGTAGCTGTACGCAAATTTGTATTTCCGCTAGCTTCTCCATTAATAGAGATTTCTGAAGGTGCCAATCACAGCAGGACTGATTGGTTACCCAATGATGTAGGCCTACTTAGATATAATCAAATACTGTAGTCGAAACGTTGTGAGCGGCTGTAAGGAAATTGCTATTTACACCTTTAGCTCTTTTATGAAACTTGCATCCTTAGTTTAAGTGTATTATCATGATGCTACGCCATATCAATTGTAGACCATGTTATTACCACATATCGAACGCGAAGGCGACTCATTTCTTTTTTAATCTAATCTAGTTACTAGGTCATTTGCTAATAATAGCTAATAAAGTTGCTCAACAACTGAACGTCACCAATGGATATCGTGTTGTGATCAACAATGGCAAAGACGGTGCTCAATCAGTTTACCATCTGCATATCCATGTCTTGGGAGGAAGACAAATGCAATGGCCCCCAGGCTAACTGCTATACTGTACGCTGGTAGCAAGAGTCAAAAAGTTTGTATTACATGTGAATTGCAGCCGTTGTTATTGACTCTAATATCAATGCGCTATCACAAACTGATAATCTAACATAGTTCAAAAGTTATTGTCTTAGATCTAGCCTTGCAGTGTGATACAAACGCATTTTTAAGATAAAAACTCAATAAATATTCCAAAACAAACTTTTGTAGTCACAATATTCAATGCAAACTTTATTAAAGCTGCTTCGTAACAAAATAGTGTACAACAGCCATATCAAGGGCTAATTTCACTTTCTGTACATTCTAATGTTGCTTTCTACGGAACGAGCAACCTGAAAGCAGATAAGAATAACATAAGCATTCGCAGTCAGTTTCTATCAACGTTAATGCTAGCAATTTTATCGTACCTTCAGTTAGCCTACATCGCCCACCGGTTGGCTGCGATAAAACGGTAGAGCAGCTAACACATAAAACTACAGTTTGAGCGTGGCTAAATACCGTCGTTATCTTAAAACATCCTGCAAGTGAAATAATGCCAGTTAAACAAGTCACTTGACAAGAATTTGGCAATAGAATTTTTACTAACCAGGGCATTTAACATCCATAAAGTAGGAATTAGGGCTTTGCACTAGTCTTTTCAATTTGTGCTTCCTACGTTCTTCTTTACGATTCGGGTGTAACAAATCTCGCGGAAGCTATTTGATTATGAATAGTAATCAAAAGTTAAAACGTGCCATACTGTACGTAACTGACAATACACAAGTTCAACATAGTAAGATGCGTCAAAATGTAGAAAGTCAATGTCTAATTTCTGACTATAAACTACCGTGATCACCAATACTGTATTACAACATTACTGTTGACGTAGTTACGGTATGTTGGTTAAAACTGCGACTTTTCAATCAGACGCAACCTTGCAACACTGCCTCATAAATATCAACGTCGCTGCGACACGACAGATACTACCCTAGTACACAATCAAGTTCTGTAAAATTTTGCCCTTCCGCTACGGGCTTACAGGCTACAGTAGAGTCTGTGACTCATCTCCACCTAATTTCTGCCAAGCAAATGCACTTTAACTAACCGTTATAGTTCAAAATCGTTAATGTAACTATTTGGTACCCTGTTTCGCAACCATCACGAGATGCAACATACAGTATGAACTGATTCGTGATATTGAACTCAACTAGGCCTTTCGATTCATGCCTCGAGTCATCCTTCGTCAGATTGGTGAAACAGGTATCTAAGAGCAGGACTAGACAGTACCAGAGTCTCCAAGAGAGAACCTTAAAAATGAATTCAACTAGTTCTTTGCAACGGTAATTGATAAGTAATGTTAGGCCGTATACTCTTTGCACGATTGTGGTACTGTAATACCCTAGATATATTGTAATGAGACGCTAATAAGGCAACATAAGTAATGCTTTCCAATGCAGTAAAACTACCGTAGTACTATCAAGATACTGCTTACAGTCTATACTCAAGCATGTCTAGTTGAATACCGTATCGAGTAGTAAGAAATTATCTACCCGTGACGACTAGACTGTTCGATCTGTGATGCCACCGACTTATATTACTGATATGAAGTAAAATGACACTTTGCGAACTAACTACAACTCGCTCTACCAGGTACTGTGTGTGGGCTGTATAGAGCCGACTGCATTACAAATAGATGTTGACGAAATTAATTGGACTCGTAAGCCAAGGCAGGGAATACAGTACTGAGTAAGACTACACTGATTGATATCCATAGTAAAGTCTGAATAGAACAACTTAGCAAAAATAACACTACCATACACAACATGATTCTATGTACGAGTACCTATGCTAGGTGAAAATTTCGTGTAAAAGCTTCATTTTGTACACTACTAAAAATGATTGTTTAATTGAAAGAAAATTCTAATGTACTAGAACTAGCAGATATGACTCCTGTATTGGATTTGATCCGATTTATTAAATAGTTCATCTTTCACGGCAAATTATTGGCGATCATTTTATCAACTTTTTCGCTGACGATGCACAATGTCTATAGCGACAGGGTGCATCCCTTTGGCAGTACCGTATCGTGTTTCAATCTTTCATTTCAACAGTATGATCCATTGCAAAACTACACACACAAAACACATGTATTGCGAAGCAATCGAATACAACTAGTACTTCAATTTTGGTAGAATAGACATAGAAGGCAATGATGACAAGGAATAGGATTTGTAAATTGTAAAAATAACCTTCATCCGCACGCAAATGCAGCGCAATGATGATTCGAATTTGCTATACTTACAGGCATTTTGACTCCTCGTGCTACCAATAAGGCGGAAAGAAAAGGAAGATCTCCGCGTGTACAGCATGTATTTGTATAAGTAACGACTCTTGTGGGGTAGACGTGGTTGGATTTGCAGGGGCTTTCCAGTAGTGTGTAGTTTGTACAGGCGAAGGGTCTCTAGTACAGACTACAGACCTGTGCTTCACTTATGTACAGTATAGTACAGTACTATATCACAGTACATTGTACTGTGAGGACCGAAGAGAACTGTACACTGTACACTGTACAGACAGAAGAGTACAGTACAGTACAGCACTATACTGTACATTGTACAACTGTACTGTGTTGTGTATTACTGTCTAGAGTTGATACTAACAACTGTATTGAAAGTTCGTCCTGCACTACTCTCCATGAGCCTTACAGTATATGTACTGTAAGTCAAATACTGTACACTGTACTCTACCCAGACGCAAGGATTCACTAGTGCCACAAGAGTAAGTTATAACCGTAAGCTGATAGGCGTTTCTTTTACCTCGTCCTGTGGGTGTATCAACATGAGTAAGTAAAAAGCAGACTGCTGACCAAGGTTTACTAACAGTAAAAGCATTTGTTCATTTGTTCGTGTTCATGTAACAACCAAGTAGCAGTACAGTATAAGAGCGATATACTGTACAGCAAGTACAGTACACCAGGTAATATCCGTATTTACAGTACTTTATCCTACAGTCAGCTGGTACAGTACTGTACTGTACTGTACGCTAAAAATGATTGAGAATGCTATACTGTACACTAAAAATGATTGAGAACGCTCTACAGTACACTAAAAATGATTGAGAATGCTTCACTATACTGTACTGTACAGTGCTGCACTGAACTGTAATCAGGACGCTGTCGCCTGCTTGAACACAATACTGTAACTCATTCAGCCATCATGGATGGGACGCTTGGAAGGACAGGACTGTTCCCAACACGGTCAACATGTTACCTTATGCAACGTCAGTTGTTGCCAGAATGCTATACTGTACATACACTGTACAGTGCTGCACTGAACTGTAATCAGGACGCTGTCGCCTGCTTGAACACAATACTGTAACTCATTCAGCCATCATGGACGGGACGCTTGGAGGGACAGGACTGTATCCAACACGGTCAACATGTTACTCTTTGCAACGCCAGTTGTTGCCAGAATGCTATACTGTACTGTACAGTACATACTGTACACTGTACAGTGCTGCACTGAACTGTAATCAGGACGCTGTCACCCTGCTTGAACACAATACTGTAACCCATCCAGCCGTCGTGGACGGGACGCTTGGAGGGACAGGATTGTACCCAACACGGTCAACATGTTACCTTATGCAACGCCAGTTGTTGCCAGAATGCTATACTGTACATACACTGTACAGTGCTGCACTGAACTGTAATCAGGACGCTGTCGCCTGCTTGAACACAATACTGTAACTCATCCAGCCATCATGGACGGGACGCTTGGAAGGACAAGACTGTATCCAACACGGTCAACATGTTACCATATGCAACGCCAGTTGGTAAATGAATCTTAAATAGGGCAGGATTACAACATCAGTACTGTACTGTACCCAACTCATTTAAAATACAAAAATATTTGCCTTGAGCAAAAGTGCTCAATTTGATTAGCTTTATTTACAAGCGTATAGTACTGCATTTTCCAGCTGGAGTCATGCATTAATCCCGATTGATATTTTGAATGAGTATATAGCAACAGTCGTTCATCAGCAATTCTTATGTATGGAAATCAATGAGATGAAAAGAAACAGCTTGGAATAGTTTTCAATCCATTTCCAATCAATCTATTGACAGTCAGCATATCTATTTGGAAATTGAGCATTCCATTCATCAACTTCATCGTATTTGTGGATTGGCGATGATAGCAATCAGGTAAATATTCTTACTATCTAGTATTAGCCAGTTGTTGATTTGGATCGTTGAGCTAGGTAGAAAAATAACGATGATGATGATGATGTATTATTGTAATAGATAAATAAATAGAATGCCTCTTTCGCTATCACCGTTGAATTGATCGATATCACGTTAGCCTTGACTATCTTTGCTTATGCGCTTTTATGGCACTAATTATTATTTTCGATACAAGCATCAACAAAAATCATCCAAAACACAATCATGTCGTCCAGTATGAAATGAAACCATCGACTCGTACAATCTAGTCTGTAGTTAATTTTGTACAATTGATTTTGATTCAAGTACACATATTTCATTTATAGCCTGTCATCGACATGCCTTTTTGCTAACTGCAAATTTTATCCATACTTGATGATGATGAGCAAGGATGGCGTACAGTAGTATTGGAAATACATCGATAATTGTACTTAGGTACTGTTAGCAACATATTGCGCAGCAACGACAAACTTGCAGTAGACTGCAGTGTTAATGTATTGAAAGGTAATGGAGCAAACCTTTTAATCCTGTTCCTTTTACAAATAGTAATAGTAATAGAATTAAGGAATAACTGATGCCGTAAAGTAAAATGATGCGCTCTCCGATCTATAATTAATAGGATGATCAGAAAATTATTTTGATATGGAATAGCAACTTTTTAAAGGGAAATTGTTTTAATAGCAAGCTTTATAGTACAGTATATGTACGACGCGTTAATTCTACCCTTAATCCGTCTATCGCTTCAAAGGTAATTTTTTCAACCAATTACTAAAACATTCAATAACATAAGTTACTTTCACATAAATTAATTAAGGAGCAGACATTACCAATGATATAGCACAAGCGTTCTTTAGAAAGATAAAGAACCGGTAATAAATATCGTAGAAAAAGTATCGATTCTCATCATTGCTTCAACTTGAATCTTTTATTTGGTAGACATTTGTAGTCAATGAATATTCTAAATGGCGAGAGATTTATTTTTTTCTTTCATTTTATAGTGTGAAATAATCGACTCCAATCGATCAAAATTTTCATTTCATTTATTGATTGGCCTGATAAAACGGCAACAAATTGATTGATTGTTAATGTCGTAATATTCCGCTGTCTCATCTGTCATCATTTAGCAGCTGGAACCATTTTATGAAGAAGAGTAATGGTGTTTTACGACATTAGACACTAACTATTCAGTACTGTAGAAAGAGGTACACCAATAGAAGCTATAATATTTATTGATGTTACTGCAACACCGGCAGTGCCATCGTAGCAGCGGGAGGGATGGAACAACATAAGGTAGTGGATCATTGAAGGACTTCACAGAGTAGATTGGTCAATCTTAACAAACTCCACTGACAGTATATTATTATTATGTATATCGATGTACGCGTCATAAAAAAAAAAAGCATTTGGAGGATTGATCGTAATTTATTGATTTCATTTCGATGAAGTTGATAAAGATAGATACACAAACTTGTATAATTTTACAGCTTGTGCAACATTTACTGAAGAAATGGGATAGACTGGTACAAGTTTGAATTCATGTCATGATTTACGCCTTGTCTGTCTAGTATACACTATAGTGTACAGTAGTTTGTAAGTACAACACTCAACCAGACAAAGGAAAGTAAATTTTATGAAAAGTTCGTTTTTTTGGTATCCCATATCGTAAATAAAGTATTCAATCTTATTAACATGATCAAAACATTCCCAGTACTGTAATTTAGAGTACAATTGAAAGTTTGGCCCATTGCTTACACTAATATGAGCGAGTTGCGATTAAGCTAGTGGATTACTTTGGCGACATAATTTGAACCATGTAGATTGAGAAAGAAGCATTTCATAAACTGCTATAAAATGGGATCCATTAAAAGAAAAAGCATAATATGCGATGCAAGCAATGTTTTTTATTCCTTATGACGCTAAACTGTCATTGATGATAGCAATCAGATACAAAAGGAGTTATTCTCTAGTCGACTCCTATTGCTCTACTCAATAACTCAATATTCCATGACTTCCACGGTTATTGTGTTTTGCCCGTGTTTCATCACCGAGTTATTATTAAAAGGCGGCAGAGTTTGTTTTGACTTTCATAAAAGAGAATACAAATAATAACATGCCTAGCATTGTATAACTTTCTTTCTACAGATATGCTAATAAATAGTTACTATAATAAGTTGTTATTACTATTGTTGAATATTTTGTAAAATTGACTCAACTATCTACCATTCAAGTCCGTGTAGAAAGCAATGGTAAATGCAATGTTGAAAAACACTTTAAACCTCTTAAAATGCCACTACAAAATAGAAGTTGTAAAATTGACTCAATTCTGCATCATCCAAGTCCCTGTAGAAAGCCACTGTAGTAGATGCAATGTTGAAAAACACTTTTCAACCTCTGAAAATGCCACTACAAAATCGAATTTGTAAAATTAACTCAACTATCTATCATCCTACTCTCTGTATAAAGCCATCGTAGGTGCAATGTTGAAAAGCGCATTAAATCTCTTAAAATGCCACTACTATATAGAATTTTACAAACAGTAAAATGGTTACTCCATGCTATACTCTACGACAGCATAAATTACTCAATTACAATCGGATACAAACATGCCTGACAAAATGGGTGTACTAATACAAGCAGATTTATTCCTTTCTATCAATAGCTTGAAATTGCACATTGGAAGTGTTTGGACTAGCGAAAATCACATGTAGTTGCTATATTAGAAGCAGAAATAGGTTATTACCAAATTTCAATAACTTTAAATTTCGCATTGCCAGCGTTTGGACTAGCTAAATTTTCCTGTACTCGCTACGCTACATAAGGAGAAGTAGATTATTGTAAAATATCAATAATTTCAAATTTTCCATTGATAGACTTGTACATTGATGTGTACTTTGATGTTGAAAGGCAAATTATACTTCGGGCGAGCAGGTTTCCTTTGATAATGGTAAAACATTTTCTCATTTAGTTTGATTTTGATTTCAAATTTACAGTGTCTGGTTTGATTCGGCATTGAAATGGTGAAGGTTTCAAAACCTAAACCAAACCGTGATCAGCTGTAGCTGTATCTGTTGGTCCATAGAAATAGATTATTACAAAGTACCAATAACTTCAAATTTCATATTGATCCACAGTTTTTCATCCATTACCAATGCCAATCTACTCTACTTAGCTTGTACCGTACTAGAGGTCAATCCTGACCTATTTCAACGCTATAGTATTATAGCTAGTTTTTTTTTCTTTCTTTTACCCTCTGTGATATTACGTATATGCTGGCTGTAAAGAAGTAACCGTTCAAATTTTAATCGTTATGGAAGTAGGGATTAAACTCTTGAACCCATCATTTAAGTGAGCACACCTTACCGACTCGTTTGCATAAAATTTTGGATGACTAAGTACAGTATAGTAGTATTGTATGTAAACCAATGTAGATATTGACACCAGTTTTTAGGAGATTGAGGATAAATTGCCTGCATGGATTGCAGTTATTATGATCTGTCTTAAGAATTGGGGCATTGCACATGTTTAATCAGGTTTAAAGGGAATAATGTAGCGGAATGGCTGCTTCTGCAGGTAGAAATTCAATTCTAGTGTACCATTGAATAAGTGTTAAGTATGATAGATTTGAAGCACACTAGTTTAGTCTGTTTGCGATCTTGTGAAATCATATCTACTGTAGTACTAGGAAATGAACACGAATGAATTAATGAATTCAAAAATGCGTAGATATGGTATTTGGCATTGTTTTGAGCGGCCTATTTTGATTTCTATCTAGTGCTATCGGAAGTCAACTCTATTTTTTTACCAATTTAATCCATTTATTTCATACCATCACATGTAACAACTTAATGTACTTCCATATATTGATTTTTCGAGATTGACATAGTATCCGTAATGTCCGTAATGTAGAGAGTTTACAATAAAAGTTGTATAAGGACTATCGAAATGTTCGTTAAAGACGGCGAAAAACTAACAAAATGAAATCACTAGAACTGTTATATCATGGCTGAATTATATCGATTTTAAAATTACCAATATACATGAGCGTAATTAGCGAATTGAAATTTAGCTGTACAGTATGATGTTTGCACTAAGATCGTACTACTGAAATTTTAATAAAAAAATTGATTGATGTTGCTAACAATGATACTTGCTGTTGTATTAGAGCTTACTGTTATTTTAAAAACTGATACATTGGACTTTTCAATTTTCTTCTTCTAATGTATACTATGCAAGATGTCTTGACGACTGTAGTAAAATGATGCTAACCCTTATGTGAGCATTAATGACTATATATATGATCTATCATTTAAAGTGCAGCTGTTTTATCATTTTTTGTATCTATGCAAGCAATATTGACACATACTCTTGGTAACCGATTATTGCCATAAGTAGTTTACAAACATTGATCGCTGTAATTATTGACTTACTATTATACGCAGTGGAATCGAATTGAACTAATAATGACGAAGAAATCTATAGAAACGACAGTTATGTCTGAATATTATTATAATAAGTAATAACTGTTCCTTATTGCAAGCCAAGTGATGTATCACTGCAGTAAACCGACTATCATATTGTGTATTTTATTAGCCGAGAAGATTTTATCTTGTCAGGAATTATCAAGCAACTTTGTCTACAAATATTATACTGTAGTATTTCTATAATAATTTGGGATCTACTAAAATATACGCGTTTGACAATTACCACTTACAATCTCTACAGTAAGTCATCAAATATTACGCCTATTTAAAGTGGCCTGGCTGCCAGCTGTATTCCAACTTACGTATTTTTACGCTTACTGAAAACCTCGAGATCTCTTCAGTAACATATAATAACTGTATGCCTTTCATATAGCTCTTATATACGCTTAGTTCAAAATTACAACAGCAAAAGTGAAGGGAAATATTATATATTATTCTTACTACTGGTTTAGCTTTTGGAACGAACCGACTCATATAACAATTTATTCTGTAAAAGTAACACCGTGGAATGGACAATATTTCTATATCATGTTAAAAAAGTAAAATTAAATATCTTACCTTGCAATGTGTATCTACGAAATTACTAGGATACAAATCATTTTGTAATGAATCTGCTTCGTTTGCTATTGCCCATGATATATACTGTACAGCATAGGATACTAATATGATAGCACACAAAATCGATGAAGGAAATGCTCCATTGGTTACCGTAATTATTTATAGATTTTATTCTTACCATTTTAGCACCTTTGCTACCGGTGGTACCTTTATTTGAAATACTGCTAAGCTCAAACTATGGATGTCGTTCGCCAAATCACTTTACTAATAACTCAAAGCAGGCTTCCACATTTATCAAAGAAAGGATTTCTCGAAGGGCCTGATTATCCGAGATTACTAGGTGCCCCACAACAGATAAAGGTTAGTAATAATCATGCCAAACCGTCTTTTAAAATACGCAAAAATATCTTGATTGTTTCTGTTTTTATGAATTATTGTATCTAGTCTTGAACATGTTTAGAATTAAATACAGTTATCTTAATTATCTTAAATTGTAACAATCCTAATCTACTAGCATAAAATTAGGGTTCACAACAGTTACAGTGCAATTGTAGTAAACAGCGTTATCTTCCGTTTGCCTAGTGTTCATTGCTATATAGTATGTACGCACTTTTGTACTATACTATATAAACCTATTTCAAGTACTTCATTTTAAATTCTATGTCAATATTGGTACAACTACCCGCCCAAACTTAAGCTAGCTGTTCATTCATTTTGTTAAAATAAATCATTTTTTATCTAATACCTCCAATAAACTACGTTATCGCATAGACCCAATTAGGAAAGGCTGCTATTAAGCAGTTTGATCGAATCATAAGCCAAAATAAAAACGTGGTATGTATTGAAGTATGGGTCAAACAAAGTAGTTTTGAAACGATTACTAAAGAATCATCAGAGAGAATAGCGGATCTCACATGGCCTCAGCGTGTATCATGTCCAACTCAGGTCAATTCGGAAGATTTCGTCCTTATGGAACAGTGGATGATATCGGTTTTGAAGGAGTAAGTGATAAAGTACACAGTTTAGATGGTACTGTACTACAGTTTATGTAACTGCTGTGATATTATTTTGCATTATCGCTTTAAAATATCCCAGTAGCGATGCCATACTGTACTGAACTGGCTCTTAAAAAATGCAGTGATTATGGCTACTTCTGGAGTTGGAAATGAATACATAGCTATAAAATAATTTTCTCACATACGAATAGTTTCTATTCGATATCATCCCATTTTTTACCTAATTAAAAACGAAGACGAAATCGGATTCAAATAGCTAACCTATATCAAATTAACCCTTTTATGAGTACGAAATTGTCATTATTCAAGCTTGATTGCAACTTAACTATATTGGTAACTTGTAATGCATCTACTTTAAATTATAATACCAAACTTATCTACATGGATGATATAGTCACCAATTGAAAAGTATTTCGAATACTACAATATCTGTTTCAGCAGTATAATTGATATCTATCCATCAAAAATAATAGAAGCTAACTAGATTTATAATATTGCAATATATATTCAAACACTGGAATGTTTAGAATAAGAAGAGTTGCAGTTCTTGAAATAGTTTTACTCATATATACTGTATACTCGTTATGTAATTATTGAATTCGATATTAGAGAAATTTTCCTTCATATGTTTAAATATCAAACTGTTACGGTACGGTATTTGAGAAGAATTTTATATGTATTAGTTGATTTTTAAAATCTACAAAATCCTATTCCCTATCAAATTATAACAGAAACTGGAGAAATGACGTTTGTAAGGATTACTTAAAGGAAAAATGCTTTACTATATTAGAATGGCATGCAACTTGTGATAATACAGTACGAAGAAGTTTTAACTTTTATTAGCCAAACAAAATAAAGTCACACCAGCAAACTAGAAATTCTTGCCTAGTATGTATTATTTGTAATTGTTTTACTATTCTTTAATCAAAATTTTACAGTGGTGAAGATTCCACTAGCAAACCAACTCCTATGTTAGCATCGAATCTAACGGTTAAGAGTATGAAATCGCATCTTTATTATTCACAAATTCGAGCAATGATGCAAGAAAGTCAAGGCCAAATGCCATCGAATGTGGTCTACAAGTTAGTAATTGACACAACATTATTAATTGAACTTTATTCATGTTATTGTACTGCTCTAGGCAATTTTAATGAACAAGTGACCTACTCATGCAGTCATAGTAATGATCAAATTTCATAGCCTCTCTAGAAATTAGTCGAATAAATTATCTAGAGATATCATCGCGAATAGTACACTGTGCAAGATTATACACCCACAGTATTTTTACGCTGCTAACGATGACTTCCTTTTTAGTTTTGAAACAGCAGCTTTGTACGCTTTCCTTCATATCAATGCAAGTAAATTACTAAAGTCCAGTTAAAGCAATATAGCTATTATGTCTGAAACTTTGATTTAATTGAGTTCAATAGTAGTTTGCTACACTAAAATTTATATACGACTGGATGTATGTCAATCATTGTCACGGATTCAATTTTTCTGTAAAATTGTAGATATAGCTATTATAACACTTCTACCTAGTTTTCGTAATGCATAGTCACACCTATACCTATAGTATATCAAGATTCATTTTTTTATTAATGAATTAAAAAGGCAACTAAAATTTTTATCACCGCTCCACTAAAGAAAGTCAGCACGTTGGTCTGCTATAACAATTAAATTAATTATTGTAATTAGGATATGTAGCCGGGACGACATAACTAAATGCCCAGGATCGCCGTTAAAGACAATATTTCCTGCCACAAGCTTATCAAATGTAGCATCTTTACATCTACAAGTAACCTACCAGCCAAGTTTCATTCAATCTCAACAAAATAATCCGAATAAAAGACGACAATCGATTGATCTAGGATTAGGAATTCAGAATCGAGGTAGTGATATATTGTGTAATAGTTATTAATACGTATGTAACAAGTTATTACATGCTTACAATTTTATGCGTTAAGATAGTGAAATAGAAAATTCCAAGAGTTTTGCAAGACCTTAAATGCAATATAGTAAATTGGTTGATAAAAAAAGTACTCCTCCAGATAAGTTTGCACTGATCATTATACTTTCCCAAGATTTTTTTATCCTAATTATCTACCACGTACGGACGCTTTATTTTGTAACTGTTTGACCTTGGGTGAATAATATTAATATTAGATTAAAATTTCATAACGTATTATAATTATACTGTACTGTACATTTCTATATCTATATTTCTATAAGGAATTAATTATGTTAGACTTATTCATGTTCTCATCATTTATTAATCACTTCGCCAATGAAATAATTCGTAGCAAATTGAACATTTCGAAGGTCATTCCATTGGTTATTGTTTACGATCTTAGTTCAATATCTTTCACCTTTTTTTCCGTGGCTGTTATCATCTTCACAATGATTAACTTAATCTATTCAATATTAAGTGCAGTAGCAAGTACTACCGTATAGCAATTAATACCTATTTCCGCTATATGAATACGCAATAGGTGCAAGCTTACAGACCAATGGATGTCGCATTAATAATCGTGAGGTGATAGCAATCGATAATAGACCGAGAAGAAATTCACTGGCTGAATGTGCTTATATTTATAACGAAACTATCGAACAAGAAGAGGTCAATGTTAGCCAAAACAAAACAACTGATCCTTCAGCTGTTCACGAAATTGTAGTGAATGTCTTAAAAAACGTAGAATCAACTAAACATATAGACTCTATGAATCAAAAAAATGGTAGCAATAACGGCAATGAGTCATATGAGATTGGAAATCATTATAATTCATCTCCAAACCGTAAAAATATCGAAATAGCTAAACCTGAAACAAAAAATTTCTATAAACAAAAGACTGAAACAATTGATCCAATTTCGAAGGATAGTTTTGAAAGCAACAATGAAACAGCAAGCCACCGCGATGCTATCAATAAGAAAGTAACTAAAGCTACAACAAAGCCAGCAACATCGGCAGCTAATTTATCGCCCAAGATGAAAGATAAAGTCGATAGAGATAGCGATCTTACGGATAAAACTACTATGGCAAACGTTCATAAAAAATCTGTGCTAAGATTTCGATCGAAAAGTTTCAGCGATCGAGAACATTCAAGTAGCACTCAAGAAGTAAAAGTATCAAGCCCAATTTCACCCCGTCATTCGAATGTGTCACGTTTTAAAATGCTATTATTTAGATTGCACTTAAAAGAATTAACACAGAGTGCAAACGATATTGGTGACGACAGTAACAATTATCGGCGTCGCTCGTCATCATTAGGATCTTATAAGCAAAAGTCAGGTTTAAATACGAAAGAAACCGATACAACTCGTCGGTCTTCACTACACTTGCCGAAGCTTTCCTCTGGTGCCACTCCCGCCCCAGTGGATGTTAATATTAACACCTCCACGCGAAGTCCAACGGTACGGTAAAACTAATTTATTAGAAAAGTGAGGAAATAAATTTTTTAAAAGTAATATTTTAGAACACCCTGTACCTACAAAAAGATAGGTACCATCAATATCAGTGAAGTGTGGCCATTTTATGTCCTGTGGTAACATATTACTTGGACATGACTATAGAAATAATTTGTATTTATTTACTTAAATTTTTGTGTCCTCTTGAATATTACGAGTATAATTAATCCAGAAAAACTCTTATAGTTTACAATATATAATTCATTAGATTATAGGAACTAAATCAGATATACATTTTTCTTGATAGGAAGTAGACAGGCATTCAAAGCTCTTAACCGCCGAGAGTCCTACGCAGTAAGTTAGATGTACTGGGTACAGTATGTAATTTGAGCGTCGATTACGCTATTGCGATACCGCCACAACAAATATGATTAATTGACTGTAGATAATACGGTATATTGCTAGTGCTACTAGCCTCAAAATTGTTCTATTTGATTGTAATTTGTCATTACCTTCGCTTTACATAGAATTTCAGGCAATGTTGCAGCTTTTGTCAAGGTGAGATAAGAATCAAAATTCTTTTACGCCAATTCAATAATAGTAACGATGTTAGTCGTGCTATACCTATCTGGAAGGTGATATAAAATGAAATAGTCTAATTGTATGATGATTCCTCTAGGGTCAGAGATTGTTAGTGCATCAAAAGCGATGTTCAAGCCCACCAATTGGCCTTCATGAACAGCGACTTCTTGGAAATTTTGAAGTAATGTTTTACCTAAAATACTTTAGCACTTTAAACGTTCGATATATGTATAATTACTGTAAAAATTAGATATTTGCAGTTATTTTATAAAGTAGCTACTTTTTGTTTATACTCACCATGGTTTTAATGCTCAAATAAACGAATATCATTATTTATTCGGGTACTTAAGAAGATCAAGTGCTTAAAAACACAAATTGTATCTTCATGCTTCATATAGCTAATGCTAACTATATTGCCATTGTAAATATTGCACTCAGGAATCTGTACTAAACAATCGACTCGAATCGTCGGGTAGAATTCAAGTACGTTCGTATTAAATTCCAAGTTCCAATTGAACTTTGCATTAATATTAGTTCTTCTATTAACCAAATGTTTGTATTAATTAACAATATTGCGATAACCAAATTTAGGGATTTAAATTGACCTTAAGCGTCGTCGGTTCATCAGCGCAAATAGTTACCCTGCCTATGAATACCTTTTACTATAACGTTTCAGACAATAAAGCGCCATCGCCTTATTTGGTAAGATATTCAAACCGCAATCTACTAGACTATGAGTACAAATAGCAGATTGTACTAGATCCTTAAAGCCTACTACTGTTTGAATTTAATATTTATTCTGCTGATTCTGTAGGGGATAGCAACCTTGCAATTTTTGAATAAATCACGGTATCATATCCCAAAGAAAGGTACTTTAAACATGGTAAGTAAAAAGCTGATTCAATATCAAATTTACCCATTTTCGCCTTTTATAGTAAAACTTTCATATACGAGATTACGCAAGACTAGGATGTACTATATGATTCGTAGTATCGACTTTTTTCCTATCTATTTCGACCTATTTAATAATGTTTATTATTGAAACACTCATCAAGAAGTTCGCTCTTTCTCCTGAACAGACAATCTATAATCCGCAAGAAACTATTATTAAAGTATTTAAATCAAGTTATGACCTTAGTGACATGCCCGGTAAATCGAAAACTTTTTTACGCCAAAGAACTACTATAATGACGAATAGGAGATCGGTACGTTTGAAATTGTCCATTTAGCTAATTTTAAATTAGCGCTATTTGATACTTTATTGTGTGCAGTACTTTAAGTGCAATGACACTAATTTCTGAACATCCTTTATGATAGGATAAACATACACTATTATACGTTATTCATTTAAGGTAGGTTATGAGTAACTAACAATCATTTACTCGCAGTCAATAAAATTTTTGAATGAAATTTATACTCAGCGATGAAGCTATTTTCAATCTTAACGTTTTGGTGTAATCTTACACAGGTTTATATCCTCCAAATCATGTAGAATCTATCTATACTCCGAAATTAAGACTATATTTCCACATAACTGCAATCTTAAAGTGCAGCAGTTTTCATCACAAGGTTCAGAGGCATTTTTGGAAACTGTTACAGAAGGTCCAACACCAAGATATACTGATCGCACTTGAATTTTATCGTTGATTCGATATTGAATTACTTTTTAGCTACTTTAATCTACTACGTACAGCAAAGTTTTGAAGTAATTTTGGGACTGCATTTCACTTGGATCATAATTTCAGATCGTTATTCTTAAGATAGTTGTTTACAGAGGCTTTCCATTTGATAATGTTACTATTATATGGATAAAATTACAAACAGTACATTGCTATTTTTTAATCTACCATTGCAATGAGTGTCGATTTATTTTTGAATATTAATACTACTTGTACAATGCAAAGTATCTCGAACAATACCAAGTCTTTAAAAAGAAGTTTTCGTGCCGATGCCTTAATCCATATCCTACTGCATTTTAGTTGAATTAAGGCACCTACAATGTATTGTTTTCAAATGTTGTAGTTTATAAAGATTTTGGCATCAGTTTATGAGGTGCGCAATTCAATACCTCAATATGGAAAATAATTTAAAGTAAATTTAGTTATTTTAATTTCACTTTTAAGCTGACGGCGTGATATTATGGAAAAGATTAAGTAACAAAGAGTGAAAATTAACATATACATATGACTGATATCGTAACGTGATTATAATTTATATATCTCATTAGGTTAACATTGATTTCTCTGCGGGACTTTATAATTTCTATTTAAAAAACTTATTAATAGTAATACCAATAATTATAATTAATCAAGAAAATGATTGGGAAAAATTCAACATGTAATTATATTATGAATAGAATATTGCTATCGGTCACAGTAGCCTGAACGATGTCATCCACCTGTACTGCAAACCTCCGAAGTGGCCAACTTTATAGGGTAATTAATTATACGATGCATATGTACTATATATTTATATGTACACTAACGTCAGCGAATATATGTACAAAATTTATGACGATGACAATAAATACTATGTTCAGTATCACACAAAGAATTATGTAATATGTATTCTTGCAAGTATGTTGTTAGAACGTTTAACACTATTAGTAATTAACGTCTTCAAGTCATATACTGTATATCACGAGAACTGGAAATATGAATAACCTACACGGCACACATATTTGATTGCAATCAATAAGGCATACCAATTATGCTGAACTACAGTAAATAATACCACGAATAATGTACCCTCCAGTGACTTTATGACAAAAATCGCTTAATTTAAAACATCTTAGTATAAGTGCATTACTACCAAAATAGCTTTCGTAGCGTACAGAAAGACAGTCCTTTAAGTAAAATCTGTTTTCAACGAATTCTTGTTTCAAATATTTACAAAATTTGCAGAAGATCACAAATGATCGATTTGGCTGGCTAATTTGATACCGATAAGCACCAGATAGCAACTGTCATCACAAGACAAGCCTACTTTGCATATTATAGAATAATTGGCCCGTTTGCAATAATAGAAGCTATGGTCTTGGACTAAGATGTAGCTATTTCATCCATTGTTGATAACTGAACTTCATTAAGATAATCTAGAACATCTTGAGTTAATCCCGGGTATTTTAATGACTAGAAGAAGATATAAAATTCTCAGATTACATCTTAGTATCGATAAACTTGTGCAATGTTATTAGTAGCGGGCCATTATGAATCTTTACTACTGCATGGCCTAAAGCTAAAGCACCAGTATACTATGCTGTGAAATTTTCAGCTACAACTAGAACGAGCATGTTTTCATTTCGAAGCACTATCCAAATTACACGAAATGATCATCTATCAGCTAATGCAATGGATTTTATGTGAATTAGAAGGAATATCATAGAGACAATCTCGAATACTTCTAGAAGTATAAAAATGATATTGCAGTCGATGCAGAAAAGGTTACAAAATACTATTAGATGAGACTTACATCTGTTTGCAAAGATTGAAATGGTTCCATTCCATACTGTTGTAGTATACATCGAGCAATTTGGAACGCTCTACAACGATATTGATCATCGCTATAACGATTGATTGCCGTAGTTAATAATTTATCAACAGTTTTTACTGCCACTGATGATTGGGTGGTATCCAATTTTTGCATTAAATTGGTCAAGCGATCATGCAAATTATCTCCATCATCATCCGTATGATGAGTTGTTAGATTGCGATTGATACTATCTTGGTCATTCAAGCCAGTAGGGCAAGTGATGTAAGTAGGCGAATGATCATTATTAATATTATCGTTTTCTTCATTCTTCCAACACGTTGCATCATCGTTCAATGAATCATTTTGCGTATAAAATGGAGCAACACAACAACCATCATCGATGATGGAAGATGGCAACGAAATTTCCGATTCCTCCGAGGTTAACTTGCTATCAGATTCCATTACCTTCTAATCAGCTTTATTCTTTCACTTCGATTATAATTATTGTTTTTACCTGTAGTAAAAGCATAATAAAGGCTATTACCATGTTCTACCACAGTAAACGATAGCATTGTCTATCAATCCTGAGCCATACTAAAGTAGTAATTATCGCGATCTCATTACCTAACTAAGAAAATTTTACTTTTAAAGTAGTTCAAGTTGCTCACCAAATAACTCGTGCCGGCCCAGTGCCCAATCTCCATAGGGACCATTTCAGACCCCTGGTCTTAACTGAAGGGATCGGCAACATACTGTAAGCGGTCGACAGTATAGTGTATTGGTCTTACACTATTAGTATACTAGTTATTATAGCAGTCCCTGACTCTGAGACAGCTGCAGCTAGTGAATCCGGTACACGGTGCATGGAAGCTACGGATAGACAGATGGTTTCATTCATGACAGCATTTTCTCTTTCGAGTCCTTGTTACGGTGAAGTAGGTATTCTATGATGGATGCATGGAGGTCGAAAAAACTTTCCATTACCTCGATGGATAGATCACTTTGTGTCATCAATGTAAAATACAATCAATATTGCTCTAACTAGATGAATCAATGGACACCAATTGCTGTTTCATTGATCGCCTACGGCAAGAAAAATTTTCTTTTCACGCATTACAGCCTGGTGCGTGCAACTCATTGGACTCGTCTGCAGAGCCGATTCCTTCTTGAAGTAAAATTGCAAGCAAAATATGCAAATGAAATGTATCCAACTGTCCATTCCATATCATTCTATGAGTATTCGTATATCATCCAATCGAAAGACCCCTAGTTGGTGCCCATCAATTGCAGTAGAATGTATACATCGGCTATCCATGCAAGCTCACATACCTACATTATTCAATTCAGCAAACCTTAATAAAATGCATGCCACCATCGATGTCGATGACAACAACCTTATTATAAACCGAATACCATATCCAACCATACGAAATTTTCATAGCTATATAGAATACAGTATTATGCTCTACTTATGCAATACTTTCGCAAAATAGGTGTACCTATGCTTTCTTGAATCATCTATTGTCAAAGGATTATTTTTTAAATACACGTATCTCCTCTCCATTATGGTCCAATAAAGAATTAGTTTTGACTAAGAATAGTATCTAACGATGCACTGGTATTTTTAGTAGTCCATAATCTAACTAATCCTCATTAAGATCATTCAATCGAAAGACTCCAAATAAAGTACACCATACGCGCATAATAGTGTAAGCTGGAGTGCTATTTAATATCTACTTTATACCATTCAGCAAACCTCAATAAAGTACACCTTACTATTACTGATGCAACCTTGACTAGCCGATCATGCATACGAAAAATTCGATTGCTACTGAGGGTACAGAGTATATTATTTTATTATACTATACTTTTATTTAATTTGCATAATAGATGTGTCTGAGCTTTCTTGAATCATCTGCTGTCAACGGATATAGAAAATACTCCTTCCGATCACGATCTAATAATAAATCATGCATTATTACTAAGACGAAATATCTACCTGACGTAAACTCAGTAAGATATCGAAAGAATCCTAGTAAAGTGTAGCGCAATCTGGATTGCCATTCCATACCGGCATTATTGTATCCTAATCTACAAGCTTAAATAAGAAGCAGGCCAGTGTATTGACAATCTTGACTAGCTGATCTCATATATCTAGCTAGAAAATGGTGGAAAATCCTATAGTGACATAGAGTATAAGTACAGTAAGTTTTTATGCTGATCGCATAAAACGCATACCAGTGTACTCGTACTTCTGCTTTTCTTAATTGTCTACTGTCGAAAGACGCAAAAAAAATACCTCCAATCTCCTGCCAATAATATCGATAGGCAAGTATCGAATAATCAATTATAATGTATATTCCCGCTATATAAGGACAACTTCTAACTGATCTCGACCCCAAAATGACTCACAAGTTCATTAAACATCCGATCAACAGGAATGTAAAGTGTTTATTCACTATCGTTGGATAAATATTTTTCAATAATATCAGCTTGAAGACTCTTTTTATGTGTGCACAAGTCTGTGCACAAGTGTTTTATCAAGTATGAAATTCTCACAACCAATCTGGTACAAAAAACTCTCTCTTATGTAAAAGTTGGAGTGTACCACTCCTAAAAATTTACCGTGACCGAAACCTGAACCACTGGCTACTAAAAATGAGTGAGGGATATACCATGTATCTGTGGACAGTTTTAGCAAAGTACTCCAAGAATTGGTTAAGTAGCAATGTACTCTATGCGTACTAGATTGCACGGTGTATGACTTAAATTCACAGCAAGTAAAGTAAAAGTACTCTCCTAATCAGTTAAACTCAATATCACTGCACCGCATTTAAGATCATTTTGGTCATCCAAAGACCTCGAAATATCTGAATTAATTCATTACCAATTGAATATATCCTTAGATGGTTCGGATTAAGTGTGAAGAGAGCAATTTTTACACGTGAATATCACAGCGAATGTTATAGTCTAGTAAATATTTTCATCAAGTTCTAATGGTAGGGGGGCTTCAGAGTGACTACCATGCAATGATAATAAAATAAAAATTATCCCTTCTATATTGGCGTAAAGCATCGTTTGAATAACTTTGTACACAACCACCAAGTGAGATATTTTTAAATGTCATCCAACTTCTAATTGTCAACAAATACAGGTTAAAGTAACTTTGGAGTCAAAAAATAAGTATACCCGGTTTAAATCCTAGCATATACGCGTACGTAGTACTAGGTAATAAAAAGAAGAATATCATCCGTAAAACATGGAGTAAATAACCAGCAATCAAGCCCTGTCTTACTAATACTCGCACCGATATAACAAGGTCATGTCGATGTACTGTAAAGTAACTTTGGAATCGAGAAATAAACACAAGTATGTCAGGTTTAAGACTTATCATACGAGGTGTTTGCGTAAAACGTAGAGCAAATAACCGGCAATGAAGCCTAGTCTTACTAATACTCTTATCGATATAACAAGCGCCACGTCGCTATACAGTACAGTAAAATAACTTTGAAGTCGAAAAATATGTTTGATAGATTCAAATCCTAGCATGCATCTAATATGTTCTAAAACGAAGTGCAACTGTAAAACATGCAGCAAAATAACCGGCAATCAAGCTTAGTCTTACTTATACTGAGATCGGTACAACAAGCGTCATGCCGCGTTGGACTCCGGAGCTCTCTAAATATGTCACAACTAGGTGATGACAAGATAGGCCTTGGACTAAAATGACTTCAGTAACAACTCATAAATGATATTATTGATATGGAAAAGGATTTCCCAGTGATATTGATCCACTCTATTTTACTCGAAGTAACGTACTGAAATAGCAACAAACTGATAGTAACAAAACTACAATACGCTACATGATGTTATAACATTCCATTGGACTAAATCAACGAGAAAAATTGATCGATATTACTATAGATAAATGAATATAACGAGCAAAAATGCCCTACAGCACCTTCATGCTTATTGATGCGATATTTTTATATCTTGAATTTAGAGTTTGATGTTGTTTATTCATTATTGATTAATCCTATAATAGACGTGCACTGCTTTGTCTCTTTCAACCGTGCCAAGATGTAAGTTAACATTTTTGGTATTGATGTTGAATAGTTTAGGCTTAAACTTTAGGGTAGACAGCTGCTAATTTTGAACTTTCTTCGTTGCGATTAGGATTCTATCATTTGCTATGTAGATGTCGATATAGGGTAATTTATACCTTGTGTAGAAACTGCTGAGGATCTTCCTAGTAATAACAATTAACATTTTCAAGTATTTCATTAGTTTCTAGATTTCAAACTGCTCAATGACAACTCCAGAGTTTGTTATATATTAGCCAAATTAAGTCTTTTTATTTCATGCCATCTTCGTGAATAGCGTTAGTATATAGCCTAATCATTGTGAATTCCGAGACAGCAGCAGATAGAGAGAGCAAAACCGATAAAACCTCATTTATACATGCTTATAGAATATATCGTCGCCACGGTACTAGTTTAATCTGTTTTTTTTCTTTCTTTCACTCCTGTCATTTTTAATTATTGCTTTAGCAGTATCTACCTCAAGGTATAAGCAATCAAGACTAATATAAGATTGTGTATATTCATTTCCAAATAACTAAGTCGTATCTAATCCTTAACTACTAAACTGGATTCAAATCTTTCACCAATTTTATCTTCGAACTTTGCAGTATAATAAACTATTAAAATGGCCTAATTCCTACATAATAATCTCTATATTTGCTATGAATGCACGTTTTCCATTTATTTACTAGTCTGCTAATCATTCATTTACTACTGAGTACTCTTTAAATAACATGTAATAAAAATTTTCGTTGGTGCCTTTACGACTTAATCAAGCACAATTGAAGATATAACACAATCAGTAATCAGAAACTATCCTATCCTCCCTTAGATCATTGTAAATCACACCTCAAGTTCTATATTAAGCTACTTGATATGGCGATAATATCAGGTATCTTTAGAGGATTAATTTAAAATAAACTACTAGTAATTTGTTACAAAAATTTTTCTAACTTTAACGCGATATACTAAGTTTCTTTATCCATACGATCGAGTTTAAAGATTGCTCTCGTCAATACACAAGTAAGAACAAACTCATTTTCAATCGGCCAATTTAAATAGGCAGGTCGACGAAAATAGCTCTCTGTTTTAAAACTGTAATGGTTAACACCTGTTTTCTTTTTTATCAAAGTGAGATAGCTACAGCAATATGAAACTTGATCGCTGTTCGTTGTAAGTTAGTAAATTCGAATGATGCGAATCTATTTTGCACTTTGATCTAGTCTCCATATTCCATATTATCGTGTTGAAATGTCCTAATAAGATCCATCATTGCAATTTAGAGAAGCCTATAATATCACTGCTAACTATTCCACTTAATAAGAAGAATGTCGATATTTATTTATAAATTAATCGATCATGCCATATTTTTGTATTAATAATTACATAATCAATATATTCCTAAAACACACAATACTTTTACGTAGACTACGTACGCTTTTGCATGGACTGCAACAGACAGAAACTGAATGGTCAGGTTTGGTTTGTGAGCCATGTAAAAGCATAAAAAAAAGTATGACGACAGTATGCAAATTCTTTTGAGCTGATTCGAGCAATACAACTACTTTTTAGGCAAAAAAAAGATTTAGAATATGCTATACAGTCTATTTGACTTTAATTGCCCTTTGCCTATTTGCTGCCAAGAATGAATTATTTCAATAATTATATATAGAAATTAAAGCTATAAAGCATAAGATACCATATAAAATACAATCATTCGAGCTGCTCTAATTCTAGCGCAGAGATGATTCTGCATCAATCGCTAACCTCCTAAGTGGATACCAATTAGGTAGAACTACTCCTTTGTTGGATCAAAGCTATGTGATAATTACTTGCAAGTGTTGCTCTAAATAACATCTATTTTAAGTATCGACCATGAATGATCGATTGATTCATACAAGAATTGACTAAAAAATGCCCTTCTAAAATATATCTGACTGAAGAGGTAAAAAAAGTGTACTACTATAAACAACTCAAAGTGGTCTTATAATGATTATTAACATTATTCGTATTGGATAGTATAGCAATTGGGATAAGTAAACGCTTCCATTAGTTACTGCTGAAGAGGCTTATTCGATACCCCTCGAATCTGAGTATTTAGTAGCTATATGTTAATGTGCCCCATACTGCCAATGATGACATCATAAACAAAGTTCGACAATAAAATGCCCTTTCTTGTTGATAGAGAAATATTGAATATTAAACAACTTCAAATGTGCCATAATCCTAGAATACAAAGCTATGCTTGATATTAAACGAGCTGTTTATTAATCTTCGCTGTTGGATAGATTATGCCGGAATTGCAAAATCAATGAATAATGCGTCGACATATAAGGCCATTAGTTTTTTCCATCTTCGAGTAAGCTGATCTATTTCATCCATAACCATCACAACAGGATATTATTACCATTTTGATTGAATTCACCGCTATTCTATCATTCAGTAAGTTGATGTAGACTAGACGACGTTAATTCACCAAAAATTAACTATCAATTAGATGTATTGTTAGAAAGACTTCTTTCTTGTCTATGAACATTTAACACATCTTAGACAATCAAACTTTGTTCTTTTTTCAAAATTTCAATCCAAGGCACACGTACTCCACATTATAAGGATACACCATCTCTAGATAGACGAACCTGTATATACCAGTATATAATATACAATGGGAGAAACAACTTTTACTTTAGGTTCTGGTTTAACTGAAGATCAGATTGACCAAATTGAAGATTTTGAAATAGCTATGAAGTTACTTAAAGCGCGTAAAAGTGATATTGGCAACATGGCTATGACATTAGACGATGTTAAAGATATTTTAAAATTATGTATTAACGGTGAAAGACGCAAGAATAGCCAGGTAACCCAACCATTGCGTTAACTCTTCCATTGATTTGAGTTGTACTATAAAATGTGATTTTATAGATTAGTTTACTTATTCCCTATTGCAAGGCAAACTTTAAAATGGAGTTAAACTAATTTCCTAGTATTCAGACTTTAACCGTAAATTAATCGATAAACTTTGAACTAATATACTAGTAGTTCATTATTCTACAAACAACGTCTACTAACATTCACAATCTAAGGCTACCATAGACGAGTATAAATTCATTTTGTAAAGCAATTTGAGATAAAGCTTTCAGCTTTTGATTTTCAACCAATACATAAACTCGAAAAGATATAATTTACAGATAATTGGTTATTTTGCAAGATCAGGTAGTAGCATTTATAGTCGCCACTGATCTATCCGCCACTTAAGATGCATTCCATGGTCGAGAAAAGTTTTTTTATAGTCTATAAATAAGAATTTAAATGAGAAAAAATGATTGCATTAGCTTGTTCAAGCCGATCAAGTTTACTAGAAATAGTGGATATAGCATAAGATTGCAAATATCATTTTTCCTTTTTTCAACCTCAATTGATACTCAGCTTGAAAAATTATATCGGTAATTTTTTATCCAAGAACAAGTAGAGCATGAACATCTACAATTATAATTTATACAGACAAGGCCATGTATAATCTAATTCATTAAAAGAAAGTCTTCTTGAGGACTTCGATAATGGTTACATGACATGTTTACATCAATAAGTCAGGCAGAAATTTTGATATACCGTACAAAAAAAATAATGTAAAAGTAAAGTTTTTCACCACTTCAACCGCAACAATTACCAGAAAATCTGGTAATAATTCAAGGTAATTATATTTTTTGTAATAACATGAATCATCTTCGATAATGAGTGCAATTAAGAACACCGTATAAATCAATTGCATGAAAAAGGAACGATCTTCTACCATCTTTGAAGGAAGAAAACTATTGTAGTGCGGGCCCGAACACACCAAAGAAAAGCCTGACATACTATCGATTTTAACAAAAAATTGTGGTTATGGCTTAAATCAACAAATTATATTTCGAAAAACGGCATTACTTGTAGTAGATTGTGGTAAGAGGTACAAGCAAAATATTCAGTATCATCCTATGTGTCTATAATTTGCATTCCCATCTAGACTAGTCAAAATTAAACCACATGATTGCTGTTTGAATATCATCTTAGCATTCCTTATTGAATGGAATTACAAATGAAGAAACGTCTATTTTATCAGCTACTAGCATCCGATTCAGTAAAGAGAGCAAGCTAATGAACTTAGCTACTTGGATTTTCTTAAATTAACAGGCTAACTTCTTGGCTGCAATCAAGTAGATCTATAGCAGAATTTACTACGTTACTTTCATTGATTACTTGGCTATTGACTGTAGCTCAACAACCACTCGTAAAAATGGCCAATCAAAGGGATCTTTTAAGATTTAAGTTTCTAATCAAGGCGAATGACCATCGATGGCCAGGAAAACCCTTAGAGAAAATATCCTATAGTCGCCATTTCTAGTTATTTCAAAAATGAGTCCTATCAGGGTTATCCAATATATCAATAAAGAGCTTGCTACAGAACGTAAAATAATATTCCTTTCCATCGATTTATCCCATGCACAAGTTAACGGAATTTACTAGTTTCATTGATTACTTGGTTATTGACTGTAGTTCAACAACCTTTGGCAAAATTGATCAAGTCAAAGGGATCTTTAAGATTCAAGTTTCAAACCAAGACCAATGACCATTGATAGCTAGGAGAAGCCTTCGAGAAAATAGCTTATAACTGACATTTACAGTTGTTTTACAAAGTTATCCTATTAAGCTATCCAATGTATCGATAAAGGGTTTGCTGATCAAACAATAAATAATTCGTTTCAATCGAATTAGCCCATACATACTCCAGTAAAATTATTCAGTTATGATTTTAGTATTAATCTATATAGTACAACAACTACCGAACTATTTAGACTAATGCTGCTACACTGATGAATTCATAAGTATTCGAGAGCTAGTTAAAAAAACAAGTTAAAGGCAAAATTGTTCATACTATTTACCGCTAGCAGAGATTTGTTGCTGGTCTTCTTATTCTAGCATTAAACCAACAAATTTTTTTCTACTATTATTCTCTAAATGATGGAAAGGAATGATTACTAATAGCTTTGTCCATTTCGCTAGCATTTGCAGATATAGTCTAGGAAAAGATATGATCCTTCCATGCACTGAATATATCATAACTAAACCATCCTACCATGCTAACAATTGAATATTTTTGCTACTTAAACTACATATTAAGAATAGAATCAATACTGATACGCTAAGTTCCAGTTCAATTATTTTATTATTTACATTAGATGATCGAATAGAAAGGATGTAATATATTTTATCCATTCCATAAATTAATGTTTGAATTCAATTCTACTTGCTTATACTGCACATATACTTATTAGCTCATAGCTTATTGACATTTTGCTATTGTTGTTATTACGTTTTTGATTAGCTTTCCACGGTCATCAATCAATCAGTAAAAGCATGCGAAGAAAATAAGATAGAGTTAATGAGACTGACCAATGCTTTCCATGACGATATTGTAGCATCGGTAGACGAGCTAATGAGAGAAGAATGGCATGCAGCCATGTTTAATGTGGATCATAAACTACAGACCATTTCTACTCAATTGGCGGATACTCGATGTCGCTTACTAGTAGTAGGTAATTTAAGATTGTTTCAGGTCGTATTGAAACGGAAGAATGTGCTGAAAAAGGTCTCTTAGTAAAGTTGTTACTAATACTGTTTATTATTTTCATCAATGGTTAGGAGAATCCGGTGCGGGAAAGAGCAGTTTTATCAATTTACTTCTTGGCTATGATATCTTACCCAATGGTTTCGAATTCCCTACTACATGCCCTTGTGAATTGCATTATAGCACACGCCCTGCTATACACTTATATACGGATTGTCACGGTTCTTCAGAGCCCATTATTGTCCAATTAGATCATAATCTTGGATTTTCTGAGCAATTGATCAATTTTACAAGTTGCTGTGATGATCAAAATAACTATTATCAAAGAGCAGAAATTTTCTTACCTTTACCAATTCTTAAGGTAAATTTATATCTAGGTTTGTCTAACCCTAATTATAGCAATTTCGCCTGTTAGTTATTTCATCAAATTTTCATCTATTGCTTTTTTATTTACATTAAACTTAACCGGTATGATTTCTTTTCTTTTTTACGGACAAAAGTTACGGTAGTTAATTTCTAGTTAACCCATCGTTTCCTGCAGTTTTCCAAGTAGATTACTGATGTGCCAGAACCGAATATTGTTCCATATTAATTATTATCATTCACGATAATTTCAAATTTCCAATGTAGAGAATTAAATAAGTATACTTTATAGCTATTGATGGTGATTTCTGAAACATTGATTTCAATTGAACTGCATACTAATTATTCATAGTTAATACAGTCTATTTCTTGCTGTAACAGTATTTAACTATTCTGCAAGTAATGGTTATAGCTTTCAATTCGGTCTAGTGATTAAACCTACCACCTTATTTAATTAGTTCATTAGCATGGTCAGCATTTATGGATAAAAGTTAGTTTATTTCTAGTTAATCCGTTATTTCCTATCGTTTTTTCGATAGAATATCGTTATTTGTTAGCATTCACAATAATTTCAAACTCATACTAAAGGGAATTCAAGAATTATGTGGCTATTCAAAATTACTTCTGGGTCATTAATTCCAATTTGTTCCTTTCAGCTTTAATTACCAGGTTATTAGTAGCTATATGCATTTTTTATTACTACTTCGATATTTTAGCTATTCTTTTGATAGCAAATAAAATTCCAATACAGCGTAGCGAGTGATTCTAACGCCATTAAATACTGCATTCACCAATTAAAGGCATTTCGCTCTATTGCTTCGTTAATAAAATTGATTACGCAAGAATTTACAACGATTGATTTATACAGGGTTTTTAGAAAAAATTGCATTTAAAGTACTTGTGATAAATGAAGCAACAATTTCGGCATAATATCGACCAATTAACATTTTTTCAATTTTAATGTTGAAAGCATGTATTGTATTCAAAGCAATTTTATCTTCATCAAAACATAACAAATCCCATCTCTATTTAATGGAATATAAAGCAGATTGGGCATAATATAACGAGTCCATAACGTTCTTAATTCCAATACTTTTGTATCTTGAAACGATATACAGTACTTCTAATCATCAGTTACATTAGGCAATACAAATGCTACATGTGTCTTCTAACCTATAGGATATTATCATTATACATTCTTTCTTTAAACTAACTTATAAATAATTTCATTTTTACCAGCACGGCTTAGTGATTATTGACACACCAGGAATCGATACGGGAGAAGATACTATTAAACAGTTAATGAGCTATTTACCTTTAATTACTGGAGTTATTTATGTTACACGATGTGATGATGATATTAAATTACAAGAAAATCAGGTATGTGAATAAACGATTATAAGTAGATAAACTTGACCAATCCTAAAACTCAAGTTTAGATAGTTTGATTTAATAATTACTTAATGTAGACTACATTACCGAAGATTTAGTACATTAATCAATTATATAAAGATATCAAGAGCGATTTAATACCATGTTAGCACAGATTATGTAAGTTGGTAAGGAATTATCATAATTTAATAAGAGTAAGCTAATAATATGATTAGCAGGATCTCTACAAAGCTACAAAATAATTGGATCAATTATACGAAAATTTGTCGTAATTTGATATCTGTAGACATCACTTAAGAGCATCTAATTGATAACTATGACCAAAAATTAAGTGCTGTAGAAACCAAGTACATATTAAGAAAAAGTATTAAACATGGTAGTGAATAATGCAAAAGTGATTCAGTCTATATAAATGATACATAGAGAAATCGTCCAATGTCAATGCTTCGCCTATGAAAATTATAATTATAAACATAATATTCTTCCATTTATCTATGCCTAGTTTATGGATCTATTATCCATCATGTACTATGAATATCAGAAGCTTTTCGAACGATTATCTCCCAAATCTGTCATATTTATATGCACACACAAAGACTACATGATGCCGCAAGAATCGATAGAAGATTTACAAAGTAAAATTCGTGCAAAAATGTTAACTTACTGGAGAGGATGCACTGAAACGCAAATCCATTTCCTTTCAATTACTAAAGCTATCCATTATTTCCATCTTGGCTATATTTCCGACGAATTATACTGTATCATTGGTGGTCTACAACGGCTAGTTATAGATGGTATGAATGACAAAGTGCTCAAGCAGGGCGAGTAAGTGTTTGCGATTAGCTTTTCAGCTACACTTGCATTAAGAATGATTTATCATTTTCCTAGTTGAGACATCCTATTCTAAACCTAGTGCTAGTATTATAAATAGCAGCTGCTATTTCAAAATGTTTAGAAAATGATTTAGAAAATCTTGCAATTCTTAACGCCAATAACGTATTAAACTATAACTTGCTTAAAATGATGTAGTATAAACAAAGAAATTTCATAGCCCCAAATTTTACTTATTGAATTTTACTGTGCCTAATAATTACTGCGAATATCAAATATATACTTATATTATTTATACAGTTTTAATTACATTCGCTTGCTAATAATGAATGATACATTTTCGGTGTAAACTTACAGAACTTTGCAGAATCTACTCGATTCCATCCTCTTTCGTTACCGTGTAAGACTACAAAATTTCGACAAAAACCATCACCAAAGAGAAGAAGAAATTGAAAATTTGTTAAAAATTTTGGATCAATTAACTATTGAAGTTGAAGAGAAAGATGTCTTGAAAGATACTATGGACCTAATGAAAGAGAAGCAGGAAACCATCATTCATAATATCGTTAGCTTTCTGCAATCACCGCAAGCCAAAGAACAGTTACTTCAATGGTCTGATAGTGATCTGCCATCCGGTGAAGGTATGAAAATAATTGATAGTATTATCCAAAAGAAAATTAATCGGCGTTATATAACCATTGTTAATGAATGGGAGGAAAAAGAGCAAATGTTTGCTCAATTTCGCAGAGAACTTATTGAACGATTAGAGGAAAAATTTGGTGCTATTGCAAATACATTAGATAAATATCGTAATGAAGTAATTGTTCATTCCACGATAACAAGTCATGGTAAAGCATCTTATCCATCCAATACACTATTTCATCGTGCTTTTTCAACCAGCGAGAAAGTAGCCATAGGAGTAACTTCACCAATTTGGGTACCGGCAGGCTTGTTAGCAGCTGTCATTGCATTGCCCGTTATGGGATTTAAATTTACACTTACAAGCTTATCGGAAAGGCGTAAAAAGCATAAATATAATAAGGACAAGATAAAATATGTCCAAGAAATAGTAGAAGCATCCCTTGAATCTATTACTGTGCCCGGCCGATTGAATTCATTAGTGGAAGGGCATATTAAGCCAATTATTGAATATTATACTAAAATGAGCTCAGAAATACCAGGTATACTTAAAACCGAAAAATCTTTATTACAAAAAGAGTTAAATCATATCCATAATAATCAATTCATCTATGAAGACACACTCGATATACTGCAATTTGGCCAACAATTATTAGAGGACATTGCTACCTTTAAGTATACAAAATTAAAACAGCATCAATTTTACAAAATGGAAGATATACTCGATTTAAATTTGAAAAATCCAATTCTTCAGCAGGAGAAAAGTAGCATGTACTTTAGTCGATTAAAAAAATGCGGGGGTGAAATTATTCCAATAACATTAAATATAACTAATCAACCTGCCGACAACGACATTAATCAAGATGAAGCAAAGTGTATCCTTCAAGTTCTCAACACTGAATCGATCTTGAGGTAATATAAATTTCATATACCCCTTTATGGATATTAATTTACGTTCATCGATTACTGTAGTCCATAGTTTTCTGAAGGTTGAAAAAGTGCAATGTTTCAAATAATCTAAAAATGTTTGATGCCTTACTTTGAAGCCAATATTATAATTTAGCTAAAGTAAAAGTCGCTAAATTAATGAAAGGGCACTAAATAGCATTGGAGCTATCTATCTCTGATCTTAACTCTTTAGTGTATTAAATTTGACTTATTACTACTTACTGATATTATATCTGCATTATATTCAAGTATTGCTCAAATTACTAAACTTAAAAAAATTAACTCAAGGATTGAAATTATAGCATCAATCATTTAGCAGTTATAGCGCAAAGATTTTAATATATGAATCCAATGAAAATCATACAATTACCATTCAGTAGCAAAGTAGTTGATAACAATATCAGGAAATATAAGATTATTACTGCACCTGTTATGGGCTTGACAACATCTATCATAGCCGATGATTGAAACAGTATTTATAATTGTTTTCTTACTGCTGCTCTTACTTAACGAAGTAACTTATCAAAGCTTCATTTAAGGATACGCTATTGTAATTTATATCAATTTAAAAATTTAACATATACCTATGAAGTTACAGTTTTTCTTTCATCGATGATGATATCAGTAAATATTTTATTTTAATATCATTTCATTTTGAACATCTTAGAAATTTAAATCATCGCAATATTATTGCATTTTATGGTTTGGTAGTGGATCCGGAGCGAATACAATCACCTTATTTAGCCTTTGAACAGATTAAAATGACTCTGAGAAGTTATTTCTTTGATTATATGGCCAATGTTCCATCTTATTATGATGAACATGATACGAATATGATGGAAACCTATCATGTTGTCATTCGCTATGCAACTCAAATCATCTCGGCACTAGATTATATGCATACCTATGGATATATCTACAAGAATTTAAACTTGGACACAATTGCTGTAAGTCGGTGTAATTTTAAAAGTACAAATAAATATTATGGCTATACTATTGTAAGATCTCTCTTACTTCACTTCGCTTATATTTATTCAATTTGCTAGAATTAGCAAAACACTATCTTATCTCACAATAAGAATAGCCGATATAGACATAGCCTTCAAATTCAAAGGGTTTATTAAACCGCTATGCAAATTAAGTTCTGGAAGGTCCGTCGTAAATCACTTCTCCTCCCTCATAAGAACAGTCGAAAGTGGCTAAGATAAACCGGATAATCAGACTTAGCCAATTTTTAATCAATCACAATTCTATACCAATCATATATCTACCAGTCCCTACTCTCTATATAGTAATTCCTTACTTGAAAATCAGTCAAACCCAGAAACGACACTCAGCTAAGATAAACCGGATAATTATCTTGATACTCAGGACTGTAGAATCATCGTGCAGATTATTATTACTTTCTATAGAACGTAGGACTTATAACTAGAGTATTACTCAGCTAGTTAATACTGAAAGAATCTTAAAATTTACGCGGTGGTACAACTGTCTAGCATTAAGCGCCGTAAGATAATTATTCTGTAATGATGTCGTACAACCATTCCGGCATCACCAGTTTTGCAGTTATTGATTTCTTCATAATATGCTGCAACATAAGAGCACTCTTATTACGAGATTAATAGACTTGCAAATTATACAATCCACCGTAAGTATTAAATTTGAAACACCATAATCCTTTAATTTCCATTCTGGGCTGTTCCCTCTTTCATTCTCAAGATAGTTTTATGACTAAAAATATGCCTATCATCAGTAATTATAAAATCACTAAATTCGTAAATTCAAGGTAATAACAGCATATTATACTGTACACTGTGAGTATCAAATTAAAACCATAACGATGCATTAATTTCGATTTTGTACTGACCGATATTTCATTCTCAAGATAACCTCATACCTAAAAGTATTTCTATCGTCATTGATTATATAATATTACTGAATTCATGAATTTACGGTAATAACCGCTATTATACGGATATGCCGTTAATTTGAGTAGTAGTAGTATCCAAAAAGGGAGCATTATTCCAATGTTTAATTAATGGAATTTATTTTCATTTCGTTAATTATTCGTAAAGGTTACTTTACCGAGTACTTATCGAAATTGATACGGAAACAGTGACTCATTACATACATTCCATATTTTTTTGGGTAGCTATCGCATAGCAATGAAATTAAACTGTGTGAATTTGGATATGTTACCACTTCTTCACAACCGGAAGACGATGCATCGTCTCACTTCTATATAGCGCCAGAAGTATTGACCGGAAAACGAATTTATAATGTCAAAGCAGATACTTATAGTTTTGCTATGGTAATGTATGAGATGTGGTACGGAAGTTATGCTGAAGAAGCTATGCCAGAGAAGGAGGACGATAAGAAAGAGATTGACGAGAAAAATTATATCGATGCGATCACTCAAAGCAAGAGGCCTTCATTGGAATTTACACCACAACCGCCAAAAGCTTGGATAGACTTAATGGTTCAATGTTGGTCTCTGAATCCGGTTTCTCGTCCAACAACAGCGGACATTCTGCTTTGTCTTTCAAAATGTACATATAAAGATTGTTGATTTAAGACTTATCTGGAGTCCGTAGGATCTGATATCATTTTACGGAAAGAATGTATTAATATCATGATAAAATAACTTAATAATCGATCTATATTGATTGTTCACTACATTATATGAAATCTTCATCTTAGTTAGTCTTAGTTTTAATATTATTTAATACCTTGAATGGAGTTGTTGCAATTTTGCTGGCACCTATAGCTATTAGCATATTGGACCAATTCTCGATGGATTTTTTTAAATCATCAATCAGTAATAAGAATATTAATGGTTGTAGTCCTTTGCATTGTAATATTTAAAATTTGTTGTAACAACTAAACGGTGCTGCCTCGACCACAAATGATAGCTGTAATAAAGTACTTGAAAAAATCTTTGTGTAGTGGTGAATTTATATTAAAAACCTTATAGATACCGTAAGAATGAAAATATCAGCTGGTGCAAATTTTAGTAATCATGAATTATTAAATGCCTTGACCTCAATCATAAATATACTGCGCGTGATGCCGAGATTTGACGTAGAATTGCTATTATTAAGTAATTTAAGCATATTTATGTATAATACAGCCTACCAAATATTGTGATTCAGCATTAATTTATTCAATTTCTAATCAAATAGAAGAGCAGGAAATACGGCTCTTCTACAGGAGATTACTAGAATCGTCATCTATATGAGGTATATCGGCATTTAATTCTGTGTATCGTCTTAGTATTCTAACTGGGGAAAAAATTCCCATTGCAAACATAGATACACGAAAAATGATCAAAATTCGCCAGGATGCAATAGCTAGAGGGTAGCTTTTAGTATTGCTATTGTTTATAAGCTACAGTAGATTTAAGATCAGATACTCATACTGTAGGGTTGTGTCAAATACGAAAATGTTTGTTAAGGAGTATTCAGGATAGTCAACTTTCGCGGTCATTAGGTCAGCTATTAGTTTTCTATGCCATATAGGAGTATAACGGTGTGATCTCACGATCAGTAGGTAATTTTTTTCATCGCTAATCAAATTTTATGACTTAAAAATAATTCATTTAATGTTGAATTGAACATAAGAATACTATATAGACTTTGTACTGAAGACTATTATTACCATCGACTATATTGAATTTCTCCGCTATGATATTGTAACTGAGAACTTTTACATACCTTCTCTACTATTATTATACGTAAAATTACGATAGGTTGTATAATTCTCAATAGAACTTACGCGATAGTAACCCATTCTTCAAATAAGATTTGCTATTACTATAGAAACGATGCTACTGCTTTTTCGGCTAATAGTTATTATTTATTAATTGATATTCTATAGGAACAATGCGGCCATGAATAGAAATACTTGCCATAGGCAAGGCTTCAAAGTTCACCTGTCATAAATAAATAAATATAGAACACGTATAAATAAAATCCAAGCAAATTCAAATAATGTAAATAATAAAAAATTCAATAATACATCTTTATAATGACTTATCTGACTGAATAATGAAATATTCCATCCTACCCTATCTCATTATTGACTTTGTATCTAGTCCTGGTATTAGATTTTTTCCATAAAATATTGACTTCATCATGGCTGGAGATTACCTGACTGAAGAGGAAATTGACAGACTTTATGATCTAGAAGAAGGATTTCAACTATTAAGATCCTTTAATGTCAAAATTAAATCAGTAAATTCTATTTCCGAAGTTAAAACCAAGTTAAGATCGATTATTCGATCGCAATTTCAGCAAGGAAAAGACGTAAGTGACGAAATTCTAATTACTATTCTTATCATCCTGTTATTCTAAGTTATTAGCGTACAAAAACTAGCCTTGTCGATGTCCCTTTAAATTTCGCTAAATCCTGTACTCAACCATGGAATACTATATATTAAATCAAATATTTTGGTAGATAAAATGACCACTAGAATAGATAAGTTCTGATGGAAAATCGATTCTATGATTTATTAATTTAAAAAGTTCTATAGGAAATAGACATAAACTTGATCTTGATCTCTTTTAGTGTATAAGGACTTTAGTGCTGAAAATGGGTACTTTAAGATTTAATAAATTCATCTCTCGAAATTTCTTATTTTGAATTCAAGATGAAATTCAGATTTCTATTCTCATTGTCCTGTTGTTCTAAGCAATTAGAGAATTGGACTATCAATATCAATATCCCCAAGAGAATTGCTGAATCTCGTATTGAACTATAGAACATAGTACATTAAAATCTAATATTTTGCTAGATAAAATCATGACTGCAGAAGATAAATTTCTAGCGATTTATCAATATTACGATTTATTCATTTAATGCGTATAAAAGGAATAAATAAAAGCTTGATCATCGTCTCTTAGAGAGCATAGGCAAGGGCCTTAGTACGAAAAATGATTGCATTAAATTCAATCATTTCCTTATTTAAAATGTTTTGTTCATTTCATATCTATTGAATATAGCCTGCCGCATAGATCACTTATTAAAATATTCAATTTTTTTGCCCTATTGAATGCTTTATTCTTAATCATGATAGCTCACAACTGTATTATCTACGGCAATCAATGACTCTCAACAAAAATGCCAATCCATGTACGAAATTTATCAGAAAGCCCCAGATATTATTACTGCACTTGATGAAGCCAGTTTAAAGTATATCGCTTTAAGAGTTGGCAATTACCAAACTTATCTGGACCAAACCATTCTATCACTAAAGTCAGGATCAAAAACTATATGTATAATCGGTAAGAAATACATAGTTTGTCTTAATGCTATCATAAGACTAAGTGGTTACATATCACTTCATAAAATATGAGGTAGTCGGCAAGAATTTAGGAAACTAGATATCAGTAATACACCACCGTGAAAGTGAGACTTAAATTAAGGCATGATATAGAATTCTGAACAAATTCAGTTTTCACACCCTACGTTCTCTCATGGCCCGCTTGATAGGTTACATAAATGTATGAAATAATTTAATTCTTAGGTTCTACTTTTTGTCAGCTGGCATGACCTATTCATAGCTTGTACAGAAAATATATGATCGGATCAATTTTTATGTAATTATTGTAAACCACTCGATCAGAAACTATTTCATAATTTATATAATATTATACATACCCTTAGATTGGATTTTAGACTCTGTTAGCCATTAGCCAATTCGAACTACTTGAAAGTGTAAATCAGTTTTTTTATCGATATTTAGACTCTTGCGCTATGTCAGCTAGCATAAACTATTAGATAGTTACGGTACAAAAACGAATGGATTGATTTTTACAAATTAGTGGTTCATAACTAATAATGCGCCAAAAATTTGTTTAAAACTCTGAATACGTATGGATTGATTTTTAGATTTTATTTACCGTAAGCTTATCTGAACTACTATAAAGCTACAACAATATCTTATCAATATTTGAATTCTATTTTCTGTTAGCTATTATGAACTATTAGACAGTTTATACAAAATATAAATAGATTGATTTTAAGTATTACAGTAAGCTAGTGACTCATAAACTACTCGATAGTTTGTATAAAGCATGCATATGGCAAATTGATTTTTAGACTCTATTAACTACGAACTAGTACGAAGCTACGCTTATTTCTAATTAATATTTAGATTCTACTTTCTGTCAGCTGTAATGAACTATTGGATAGTTGATACAAAATATAAGCAGATTGATTTTACGTATTAAGTAAGCTAGAGATTTGTAAACTACTCAATAGCTTATATAAAGTATGCATACGGGTAGATTGATTTTTAGACTCTATTGACTACGAACTAGTCCGAATTAGTTAAAAGTTTAAACCATTTCTATCGACATATACGCGTGAAGAGGAAGAAAGATTAACTTCATATTCTACTTTCCGCATGATGCGACAATTTCTATATAAGTATGAACAGATTGACTTCCTTACTCTACTTTCTGTTGGTCAGTATGGCTAATTTAAAACTAGTAGGCAGTTTATCTACAAAAGACAGGAATAGATTCATTTTGATCTACAGTCCAGTAATTGACCTGAAGTGCAAATAGCGAATAATACTAATGCACATGATTTGTGATATATATGTACGACAGATCACTGGGATGCTAGCAATCAGGGTTCGCCGTTTTTAGCACTATTACTAGCCAATACAGAAATTCCTATGGAAAGTTGTTTAGCAGAAGCCGATATTTGCTTGGTTCGTTATGGCACTGACAAGAAACTAATTCTAGCACCTTATAGTAATAGCTTGGATGAGAGTCCTCGAGACAAGAAGCGTTATCAAAGTCTAGTTTGTGAACTAGATGATTACCAATCCTTCGAAGAACAAGCGTGCTATTACTTGCAACGTTATCGTGGTGAAAATAAATTCAACTTAATTGAAATAGAATGGCCGCTACCTTCTTTAAAGGTGCATTAACAACATGCAAAGTAATAAGTTTCGTGCGACTATTATAGCTTAAAATTTTATCTCACATCTTATCGCGCAATATTAATTATCATTACATTACTCTAAATTAGACCCTAGAACATATTGGTAAGCAACAAAACTTGTATAACGAGATAGAATAGATACTATATCAGCATCGCTCTCACAACGTTAGATAATCATCAACAACATAAACAAAAAAATATTTAGTATGTGATTTTATCACAACTTAGAATCTAACTTCAAATCTATACAGTAGCATGCGTTATTTCCATATTGCTTTAAATCTCAATTTTAAAACTAGAGCAGGAAAATAAAATTTTTTACGATAATATAGGATATTCATCAGCATTACACATTAAAAAACGAAAAATTACCTACAATAATTTCTGCCGATTGTCAATTTTATTGTAGGACTCTTGCCAAATCGTCAACATTAATGGATTCGCGTATAATGGAGAAACGAAAAGCTCGATTCTAGATTGGTTACAATCCTCTATCCTTCGAATTCATATTGTCCGAGACATTGCCAGACTAAATCATGAGGTATTGTGCTTGCAAATCTATTGCAAATCTACTGTTTCCTTAAGTAATTCATTTCGTTTGCCACAAAGAAATCTATTAAACAGTCGTTTAACCTCCAATTTATATCAGTACATGGTTCTAATGCTTTATGTACAATAATTTATAAAATGGCTGGTTCACTTATAAAATTAGTGATAATTTTATAAAGTAGTTTATTACTTTGAACAATTATTGTTTTAGTAGACTTGATCTACCATATATAAAGAGAGAGAAATTTAATTTGCATGCTGTAATAGCCTTTTTCCTTCTATAGATGAGCCAGTTAACACAAGGTTTCCATTCAATCGGTGATATGAAAACATTAGCGCTTTGGTCTAATTCATCTGTATTCGTTTATAATATCGACACGGAAAATGATACTAATTCTTGCCTAGACGATAAAAAGATTACATCCATATTACAAAATATTTGGCCGGAATGGAAAACCATACCAATTTATTCCATTAATATTCATCAAGAAAAGACTAATATAATTCACCATCAATTGACGGATATTTTTTATCAAGTATTGCATCAGTTCAAGAAAACTATCCAAGATCACTGTAAGCTACAATTGGAAATCTATTACAGGTAATATCACAACTATTGCTATGATTTTACATCATTATATTCATCTAACACGAACATAAATACTGGTAGAGTGTATTAATTGTTGTTTTGTTTTTTACAAGATGGCTACAGAAATTGTTGAACTATGCCGAATTCGCTGATCATTTTCGTCAGTACTGTGAAAAATTGCCTCTTGAAGAGAGGAAGCTCCACCAAAGCCAATTACAAATTAAGCTCATTGATATCGCGCGCTTTCTACGTAAGATTCATGCTAAACGTGAACCAACAATGCTACCCGAAACGGTTAAAATTAATACTCAAGATTTTCTACAATTACTAAACTTAAAATTACTACGACTCATCAATGAGACTAATTCAACTTTTCTCGATAAATATAGCTTACTTTGCAATCAAACTGTAACTGATTTTCGAGATATTCTATCTATGGTCATAGATCAACTTGACTTGCAAGTAACACAGTTTGAAATTGAGAATAGATTACTATTAGTAGCGAAACAAAACTATATCAAAGATTTACTATCATCTCATGACGAAAGTAAAGTATTAATTGATTATTTTGAAGGTTTAATGCTTGGTTTTAATGATCTTCAAGACAACATTAGTTTGTTAACATTAAACAATTTCATTCCAAGCCAGTGCATCATTACGAATACTACAAGTAAAATTAATCTTTTCTTGAATCATCCAATCCTGCTGAAAGCTAATTATCCAACAAGTTTAGGTTTATTTAATGCTCAACATCAGCATTTTATCCAAGTCTTACAAGAAAGTATGGATGGGCAACCTGCTTCCAATAGAATAAAAGTTTGTATTACTAAAGTTCTTCATCACTTCACTGATGATAACATTCAGCGAGAAATGATTAATCATGAACTTCGCCCGATCGGTTATCACTTTCATGAATGGTTGGAAGATTTCGTTAAGCTAACTGAATATTATGCTTGGTTAATACAAGAACAAGACTATTCTGCTACTAGCAACCAAGGCAATCGAGACCATTTAATTACACCAAATGCCAATATTAAAAATTTGCAACGTTCTTTGGCCTATTGTTTCGTTCTATCGATTGAAAATGATGTTCATAGATATGGTCGAAATGATCTCGACACCATTGCTGTCGATACTGTTATTGGTACTGGTATTATTGGCCAATGCCATCATGGTACAGGTAGGATTGATCAATCAAATTCACAGCCACTATTAATCAAAAGATTATACGACGATATTAGCAAGGATAATGCCTTTGAGTATTTCATTGAAATCGACGCTTTAAGGTAAATTAGAGAGAATGATTCTAAAATAATTAGATCATAGCTTGGCAAAGGTGAATGTTGAATCAATTTCTTCTACTAGCTGTGTATAGCTCAACTAGTATTTATTTCATTTTGCAGTTAGCGATTATTGTTGCCAAATTATGATAAATTATGCAACACATTCTCTAGTTTCGGTTTTTCGTTAATCAACACAGTCAAAAATGGTCAATAGTGCTTGAACATCGCGACTAAAATATAGAATGGCATCGTATTCACCTGTTAACAGATACAGAAATATATTGTTCACACTTATTTTGGTGCTTCTCCACCATCGTTGAACAATTGCAAACAGTCTAAATAAAGTATTTATCTGGTGCAACTAAATACTAATACTTCTCCGTACATTCTGCAGCAATAAATATTTAAATGGCGTCAATAAATTGGATTTAGATATCACGACCAAACTAGATAGCAATATTCCTTCGTAGTCTTAAATTTTGACCTACTGCTAAATTTTATAATTGGAAATAGTTCTAGCAATGCCATAGTTCTACGCTGCTAAGATTAATCGGCATTCTCAGCATACACATTTTGAGCATTTTACCACGGAATTATTAAATATTGATCGCTTTTATCTTGAATATTATGCTACACATATTTCAAAATATGCACCTTTCAGCATTAGAAAGATTTTAGTAGATATTAGAAAGGTGATGAGGGAAAATAAATTTCATACACTCTTTTGCGTAGTTAACCCGATATTTATGGTATCTCATTTCAGCAAGTTAAAGTCTTAAGATTCATTAAAAATTCATTGTTATTTTATTACTCTAATCAGTATAAAAATCTATTTCTGTGCTAATCTTTTACGTTCTTTCTATACCGTATATTTAGAAAATTGAAACATAAAAATATCATCCAATATTATGGAAGTATTCGTCGATATGGCATTAAATTACAAATCGATATGCTCCTAGAAAGTTGTCGAAATAATTTGAGATTTCTTTTGGAAAGCAATCATCAATTAATACCGTCCCATTTCACGATCACGGGCTATCCTAAATATCGGGCCCGCCTCTTATTTTTTAATTTAGCAAGTCAAATTATTAATGGTTTACAATTTCTACATCGTAACGGATACCTCCATCGAGACTTGAAGCTCGATAATGTGTTGGTGAGTGGTTATAGTCCTACAGGCAAATATTCCGTTGCATACTTTACTTATTATAATTTAGATCATCATACATATTATCCGTTAAAGTTATAGTCTCTGATCTCATATCTACGCCTAATTTCATCTGACATATATCTATCTAGCTGTCAGGATAAATTATATAGTGAGAGTGTCTGTTGGACAGGGCAACAATGAAAGTTTTAGATTTCTACTTAATTTACGCCACTTGTTACGCTCAGATAGTCAAAAGTATTCTTATGTCACATCTAAGGCATAAATCTGTCATGTTAGCAGATATAAAAATTCGTATTCTTTAGCTTTAGCTCGATATGACATCAAAGGATAATTATATTTTTCGTTTAGAGCACAAAAAGTATTAGTAACCCGTATTTTTTTATCCTATGGTAACTTTTAGATTAACGAAGATTTCATCGTCAAGTTAACTGAAATTGGCCAAGCAAATTTAGCTAAAACAACGGCTAGCAATGTTATCAGTAACAGTATTATTTATAGCGCGCCAGAAATATTTAAAAAGCAATTCATTAATCACAAAGCCGATATTTATAGCTTTAGCTTAATGCTATGGGAAATGTGGTATGGCAAGAGGGCATTCAATCAAGATTTCGAGATCAAATTTATCCTTAATGGTCATAGACCATCGATGGATGCTGAATGCCAACCTGAAACCCATTTAAAAGACTTGATCCAATCCTGTTGGGATAATAATCCAAAATGTAGGCCATCAAGCGAAAAATGCTTTCGTATTTTGCGTGGCTGTTTTGAAGAGCTTGCCATGCTAGAAACTGATGACTTATTACCACAGTTAAGGGGGCGTAAAATCAGTCGATCCATCGGATATACACCTAAAAAAATATCAACTTCAAATGAAAGTATTATTTACAGAGTATAGGATCAAATAATGTTGGCTAGAAATTGATGGCATATAGCTATAGTTATGAGAGCGTAAAATCAATCAACCTGACAGATACATCTTTAAAAATATTTATTTTAATTGAGGATAATATCAATGAAGCTTGAAAATCAAAATAGGTTGGCTAGAAGCACACTGCCTAGGTCGAGATATCCTAAAAATTCATCGACCTGATGGATAAACGCCTAAAAAATATTCATCTCTGTTGAAGATAGTATTCTATGAGCAGAGCTTAAAAATAAATTTACTGGCTAGAAATGTAACAGTTGAATCTATTTTATTTATTACTTTTTGAGTATAGAATCAAAGTTTTATTATATACGTAGTCAATCATAGACAGTAGCCAGTTGAGGAAAATGTCTATAAAGTAGTTACTAATAGTGTTTTTAAGATTAGAATGCGTCTTTTGTATATTATGATTTTGTAAGCTATTTGAGAAATATTTCTAGAAGACCGGGTTACGCTATATATAATCTCATATTCTATGCCTGGAATAACCAATTCAATTTAGGTCAAATCGTAATTTTAGTTGCAATCATTCAAGGTATCCAAATACTTTAAGAAAATGTCATATTCTGATGCTATATCGAGATTTTTAATGGAATTGTATTCTGATATAAAACAGAAATAAATATCTAACGATAATAATGTATTTTAACTATGAAATAGTATAATCAGGCACTATAAATGACGGGAGATGTTTTGCGTAAATTTTGGTGAACAAATTGAAATAATTTGAATAGAGAATAGTCAAAAGTAACAACTTTAATTTAACAATTAATTAAAGTCTCATGTTACTGGGTCTAGCCAAAAATTCGTAATAATAAAAATTCTTAGTACCTATGAATATCCGTATCTGCCACTGCAACAGACGTATGAAGCGTGAAGCAAATTATTCTAATTCGCTTTGATTTACTGTGAGATAAAGTGCGAATTTGCATTGCATATTTAAATGACAGATATTAGTATTAACTTTATACTCAGAAATTGTATTATTTGAACCGGATAAAATCCTAATTAATAAAAAGTTATAAAATTTATGATCGTACATTACTAAACAATTACAATCATGTACAATATTAATTAAATAATCGATAATGAAGTTAAGGTTTCATTTATATCAAAGAAATGACAACATCGTATTTATGACAGAATGTACTTTATCCTGATGACACAATCCTATTTAAATTATTAAATAAGGATAAGCATACATAATATTAATTATAAGACTAGTTTAATTAATATTAAAGCTAGAATATAATTTTTTGTCAAAGAATTTCGGTCATTCTTAAATAATCGATTTTAAGGTTACTATTTCATTCGTGCCAAAGAAATTACGATATCGCACTCATGGCAAAATGTGCTATACCTGGATGATACCATCCTATTTTTAATTATTAATGAATAAGGATAAGCGTGTAGAATATTAATTATATGACTTGCTAAATTAATATCGGAGCTAGTATTGAATTGTTGGCAAAAAATTTTAATGTCATTCTGATTTAAAGTACTATTGTAGATCCTTACAGGGCTATTAAACCTGCTTCGATTTTTAAATCTTGATTCTTGTGATCACGCTTCAATAAAATTTTTATTATCATTTTATGAGAATATTTTGGTAGTATTCAGTATCGTAGCTGACACATGAATATTTCAGCTACAGTAAAGAATAAGAATACTCTAAATTATATCAACAAATAGATCTTTAAAGATGTCCAGGAGATTGAATTACTTGGCGGTATTCAATCGCTGCTATATAACTTGTTCACTTATAGGTCGTTAAAAAAACTAGTATCTTGATGATAATAATTCAATTTATTTCGGCAGTGTTAAATGATTAATAGATGAAGATATGAGACAGTAGGGAAAATTCCAATAAGAAAAGTATCCATTTCCAAATTTTCCTAACTAGCAGATGATTGGAGAGGTCGTTTCTTCGGGATCTTCATAATCGCTACGATATTGTAATGCTTTATAGCATTCACTAGACGATAACCGCTCATTAGGATCAAATTGAAGGCATTTAGTAATGATGTATTGCCATAAATCAGGAGGTGGAGGATAAATACTAAAATCGGGATTAACACCTTGAAGTAGCTTGTCTACAGTATCTTTCGATAGACTAGCCGAATTGGATAAGTCTATCAATGGTTTGTTGTACCACATTTCATGTAGTATTAAGCCATAATGGTACATATCGCATTTATGGTTATATACGTTACCAGCTAAATATTCTGGAGCTGGATAGATTGGTAGTTGACTATTCTTGATCGAATCGATAGATGCAGATTGAAAAACTACGCTTGGATCACATAACTTGATAGTGTTATCGATGCTTAGCTATTAAGCAAAGTGAGCAGATTTGAGTACAAATAGTTATGAACTAAATATCCAAGATTAACTAATTCAATATCACAAACAAATAGTACTCATATTTATTATACGTATTTGTATCGTTTGCTATGCAATTCTGCCAATCCAATTCATATTTTACGTAAATATCTAGATTAGTAGACTAGGCTTTTATAAAATTAACTAGCGATTAACAAGATACAGTATGAAATAACAAGCTTAATTAGGAATAGGTCATTACTATACTACTATTAAAAAATTAGCTAGACTAATTTACACTTTGCTATACAAAAGTAGATAAGCTTCAATCATCTTTCTGATTAAAATAAATATTACTGTATTTCCAAATAGGATCTATAACAAGTCAGTAATGGTACTTACTTAAAAATTACATTCTTTGATAACTTACTAAATTAGATTAGTAGACTACGATTTTCAGTAAGATATGATGTAAGAAACTAAGCTTGATTAGGAACTGGTCATTGCTATACTGCTGTCAAAAACAAGCTGGACTAATTTAAAAATTGATATCAAATGGAATAGGAGATAAATTTTAATCATCTTCTGATCGATAAAAATGTTACTGTATTTCCATTAATCCCAGATAAAATTCTCCAAATAGGATCTATAACAAGTCAATAGTAATATTTACTTGATAAATATATTCTCGGATTACTTACCAGAATATTATCCAAGTACAGATCCGGATGGACATAGCACGCATTATGGATATAGCACAAACCAGCTGCTATTTGTAATGCAAAAATTTTAATTTTCCTGTAGGCACATTGTTGTTTATTATATCGGAAGGGAAAATCTGCAGGGATGCAATCATTTTGGAAATCGAAGAATTTCTTCAACGAACAGTGACAAATCTCACAAGCCATCGTAAAGTTGTTGACACGATCTTCCAATGATACAAGGCCATAAAATGTTAAAATATTTTTATGATTTAGCTTTCTAAAAAATGTTAAAAATATGTCATTTGTCGATAAATTAGCCATATGATTTTTTTAGATTTGGAGGCTGTAGCAATAAAAAATCTCTCCAATTTTTTTTTATTTATTAAAGGTACTTTTGACAATAGAATATAATTTAATCACTTTATTAGATATACATCTTTCTACTTCGCTCTAGGCTAGCTTAATAATGCTAGGAAACATTTATAACTTGTAAAATTGGATTAAAAATAGGCAATTCAATTTTAAATTACTCGATTCAGCTCTAAAGTTATTGATTCAATATTATCCTAAGCTTACCGTAAAGCTTCTTCTTCACTTAATAGTTTAATAATATTTCTGCTTGATACCTTGCGATTAAATATCTTCAATGTTATAGGCAGGAACTGAACATCCTTATTCCGTAATTGACAAGTAGAATAAGCAGCTGTAGAATTATGATCAAATGAATAATTTTCATCATAACCAACTAATTGATTAGGATTGAATTCAGCTTGTCGTACATATCTGACATTAAATAGCATGACAAGCCTTGATAGATGCTGATTGATTGTTAGTAATTGATTGGATGAATCATTTCCGTTAGGAACATTTTCGGTATGATTATCATCCGATAGTATATGCTGAAGTAAGTTGCGATAGAATTGGAATAACGTTGGTAAAATACTGAAATAATTATCAAACGAATCAATGACAGGTTTCATCATCATAGTCATAGCCTCAATAACTTTAGATCGCTGGAACGAATCTTCCATAATGGAGATAACTTTAGCCTTGAACCATACTATTAATTTTTCTTTAATCAATTTTTCACTATCAAAATGTTGACAATAATTGGCTATAATTTCATTGACTTCATCATCATCTATTTCTTCTATTGACTGAATTAAATTGGTGGAAAAACGGCTAGGTACCCATAATGGAGATATTAGATCAAAGATAACCTTCTCTTGAGTCGTATATTGATCATCATAGAGAAATTTGTTTTCGTCATAATCCTGTAAGATATCTAAATTACATAATGAGCCTCGTTCAAAATTCTCTAGTAAAGATTGCATACGAAATAATTTCTTCTTGTACTGTTGGATTAAGTAATAGCCTAATTGATTGAAGTAATCTTGTATATCTTCCCTTCCTATAATGATCGATGTCATTGTGGTCTTGGCAAGCTGAATTAACTCATGATACGTTATATTTTCGTCACTTGTAATCTTGTCTGTTAACGATTCTTGTAGTATATAAGTAATATCATCGTCAGATTGAATAAATTTCCAAAGGTCACGTAAAACTTCTTCTTGTCGAAATACTATATTAGTGTTTAATTGCCTTATTATATCGTCTTTGCTGGTCATCATCTCAATGTTATTTAATCGAGCTTGTAGTTCACTAGCAATTAACTTCCTTGATTCCAATGATTTCCTGCTCATGACATACTGAAAGTGGTAATTATACGAAATTCTACTCAACAGATATTGTAGCCATCTAAAAGGAGAAAAAAATATTATACCATCAGATAATACGATGACAAGAAGAGTTTGTTACTGTACATAGATTATAAGTACTAATAATTAAGTATTTATATATATATATATATGAGTAGAGTATGTTAATTGCAGTTTAAAGATATTTGAAATATTTTAAGCCACAGTAATTTAGAGCGATTTCTAATATAAGTGATGATTGATGCATATTAACTTTAATCTGATTAACATTATAGAAATAAAATGTATCCATCATCGTACGCGATACATTTAACTAGTCAAGATAGAATATCTAATGTTACGGCCGCATCGATAACTATTTGATGGAGATTACTGAGTAATATTATATACTGTACTTACATATCAGTCTTTATTAAATAGTAGCAATACTTAATGGGAAGTCTCATATCCAATGATTATCTCACTTAATCATAGGCAATAGGTATATTATACAAAAAGCATCATTAATGGTATAAGACGTTTAATTCTACGTAGAGTTATATACGATATTATGCATATCTTGGTATATTATGCATAAATCAACATAGTTTTCTTATGATTTTGGGGTATGCGATATAGCTAATATTTGATCTTATATTATCGTGGCATTTTTATGTTGTCAAGTGTAAGATGTTGTATTAGGTAATAATGTAATGGCATGGCAATATGGTATCTGCACGAAGCCTACTCAATATTCTAAAAATAGGATAACAAAATAAATGACTAGGTACCCTATGGCATCTAGAATTATTATTATGATGGTGTGGCAATACTGTATGTGCATGAAATCTATCCAATTTTCTACTAAGACCATAACAAAATAAATGACTAGCTTCCCTATGGCATCTAGAAATATTATTATGAAGATCTGGCAATGTTGTATTTGTACGAAAACGACTCAATTTCCCACTAATAGCATAACAAAATAAATGACTAGATTCCATGTGGAATCTAGAAACATTATTACGATGGTCTAGCAATAATGTATATGCACAAAAATGACTCAATTTCCTACTGATAGCATAGCAAAATGAATAACTAGGCTCCTTATAGCATCTAAAGATATTATTAATATTAACCGGTGACGACATACCTACTGAAAAGCTCAAGTTTATACGTTAAATTATACGGAAGAAAGACTTGTAGTTGCATTATAATATCGTGATATTCTTGGCTGACAATTCCCAGATGATAATCTTGTACAGCATTAGTTATATTAACCACTAGAAATTGTTGTAATGAACAATTAGGCCAATAATGATCCATTTTTTGATAGAAGCAATCTTTTTTAGCTTTTATATCATGTCCCTCCAAACCTTCTGCCTTAGTGTTACATATAAATATAGTTGAATCAGGTAAAAAGTATCCTAGTGTTGCTTTCTCTCGATGCCATACTTGCTGTAGGATTTTATTGACCTATTTTAAAAGAGAAATAGTATTATTAATAATTAGTATATCCTATCTTCAATGCCATTTTATAACCATCAAATAGCATTCCAATATCATGATTTTAGAATACTTTTGTTATGTCCACGATTATATTTTGATCAATTTGTAGCACAAAAATGACACCGAAAGCATTAGAAAGGCACTTTATAAAGAGATCGGAAACGACAGGTAAACTAATGGACCAGGGAAATGAAACATATTGAATACCACGCTTTAATGCATCTATCGGCCAATAAATTTTAATAATAGCAATATCCTTTTCATATTTTGTCATATATTGATCAATTTGTTGAAGAAACCTTTCATCGTCGTCATCTTCATTGTCTAAAAAGATATTGGTGGCTGTAGTTTCAACTTCTTTTTCGATCCATCGCTCGATTTGTACATATCTTTCAGAATTATAACTTAGTAAATAACAAAATCTGCGGTCATAAATTTGATTCAGTGCAGCACATTTGCAGTGGATTAATAATTCGATTAGATCTTTCTTGCCTTGACAATCATCGCCTACGATAAGTAATTTATTAATTAAATTGTATTTGCTTTTGGCATCTGAAGAGTGAATCAGTTTTGGCTAACATTACAGTCATTACTTTAATTATACAAGCATCTCATATCAACAGTACAAATATTCACCTATAGAAGGGTACATGATGTTATCGATCACATTTATTAATTCATTCCAGCAAAAATATTACGGCTATCAATTAAATCATGTCTACTTCTATAAGTTTAGTCAGAATAAATACTTACCAATAAGAAGTACAGGATGCTGATGATTTTGCAAAGAAGTAATATGCCCTTGTAGTATTGCACGATAATCGCCTAAATTTTCTAGTAGTTGTGTTTGCTCAAATTCACTCATTTTACTAATAAATTGAAGAGTTTGTTCGAATAATCCTTTAAGAAAAGTCTTCCTCTTTTCAAAATTATACAATAGCTGTTCCATCATTTCTTCTGTCCTTCAAGCTAGAGTGTAGTATATTAGGTGAGAATATTATTTCTTATATATCCTTGAAATCGAGTATCAAAGCGGTAAATGTAGTGATTGCCGAAATTTCCGTTGCAGGAAACTCTTACGGTAAAAGTTTCTGAAATTGCTATCAAGTGTGTAATTATAACAGTATATAATTAAGCTTGATCTATCGTAACTTGAAGAGTCGATTACAATTATGCTGATCTACCATATAAAGCTGATATTACAGGATTGCCATCCAAAGCTGAACGATAGATAGTTTTCATACTAATTAAACTACTTTAGCCTTTTTGGTTCGCATAAGTTGAAAATATATAAAGCAGGAGAGTGTACTATCCAAGTGTGAACTATCCAAAGCGGTACATTGCATGACTACCGGAATTTCTATTGAAGAAAACTCTTACGGCAAAAAGTTTCTGAAACTGCTATCAAATATGAAATTATGACAAGATAAAGTTAAGTAAGCTTGATCTATCGTAATTTAAAATGTCGGTTACAACTATGCTGATCTATAAAACAAAGCTAATATACAAGATTAGCATCTATAGCCGAGCGATAGATTGATTTTTATATTACTTAAACTGCTTTAGCTTTTTTAATTCGCATAAATTGGGAATATATAAAGCAGAAGAGTATATTTGGAGCAGTAAAATTTTTAATGTTATATATGTGTTGAACGTGATAAAATATGACTTGTGCAATTTAAAGAGTTAATTTAAAAGCCTTATGCTACACGTACAACCGTAGACATTGTTTGATGGCGAGTAGAAGATACTGGAATACTAATTTACTTGCTGTTAGCTACTTTGATCTTCTTAGTATTGGATAATTCATAAACTATGAAGGTAGAACAGTGCTGTGTATTTGAAGTAACGAAATTTTACCTTAATTTCTTCAATGTTTCTGGCAAATATTCTAGTCGCGCAACGACCGAAACTTTTCTCAGGTTTATGATGCTGGTAGACCACTTTAATGTGAAGTTTTTACATTAAACTTATTACATATATATGGTAAATGAGAAAACTGTAAAAAAAATTTAAGTAAAATGATATAGGATAATTAATTATTGATAAAGAAGCTCGTATTGGATCGAAAGATATCAATTGTGCTTATGCTTGAACAGTTTCCAAGAAGTGGCTACCATTCATTGTATGCTTGAATAACGGACATAAAACAAGTTTACTTGAAGGATTTTGATACACAATTTGATTCACTGTTGAATAGGATCGCCTCAAGTAAAATATTTATTATTAATGATACCGTTGGTTAATCGTAAAAGAAGTCTTTATCTCCTAGTTTCTATTTAGGACCCATGTAAAATAAAAAGGAAGCCATGAAATCTAGAGTTATATTCTTCAACGTACAAATTAACGCATAAGAAGAATACAGAATCGTCTTGCATTACTTAGACCATTCACAAGTAATATGGCTAGCTATAACATATGCTTGATAAATTAATCTTTTGTCAATCAGCAGCTACCTCGGACAGACGGTAAAGGAATTTTATAAAGAGAACTGCAAATTCAATTTATCTTAATCGTACTTCGACAATTAATATGTAAGAATATTATGTAATAAATGTAATTGAATCATTATTTTATGAAATTTTAACATGTAATACGAGTTGTAGAATTTACCTTGAGGGTATAGATCAATATTCCTTTGAGGATTATCTTTACTATTGTTTTTCTGATTTAGTTACGGCAATTCGACCTAAAGATATGTTCTTTAAGAGTTTATTCTCTTCTGATAAGTTATGGAAATGAATTCATCATTAATGATGAAATAGACAAGATATTTGTCTTTTCTGAATGAAATCCGGTTGATAGTTGTAATAGGTAATAGTTAAAATTTATTTAAGTACGGTATAACCCATAGCTAGTCTGTAGAGCTTAACTTTGATCTTATAAAACCTGAATCTTACTTGCAAAACTGATCAAATTTTTAATACTCAGTTGGTAAAAGGAATTTTAAGAGTCAAATAACGTTCGTATAGGTATTTTCCAGCTAATAGGATTATTCAGACTAGTGCAATTTTTCTATACGTGTGTATTGGATAGCACTAAATTAAATCAATTTCCTATATCCCTCAACAATCTTCGGTTATTCGTACTAAGTATAGTGTTACCATAATTTGTGAGTTAATTAAATGAAGCATCTAGTTGTGTGCTATTACAAATCTCACAATCTATGAAATAACGATCATTTTAAAAATAGCGCCATTGTAAAATGTTGGAGGTAATTCATTAATGCTACGTTAAGTGTTAAATCAACTCATCACAAGCAATATAAAAAATACGGCGTAATTCACCCATAAATTTTAACAGAATCTATACCTCTGCAAGGCACAACATTAGCGATTAGACTTTATCGAGTAAGGATTTTAGCGATGCCTAAAGTTTTCGATATCCATAAAGCGATTAGGTCCAATACTTTGAAACAAGTCTTACTAGCTAATTTATTACATTTGTAACAATCTTTTAACTTAAAGGATTACTGCAAACAAGCAATGAACTTACGGCCTTTTACGATGAACTATTTTGTTCATCATCCGATGAGGTATAAAACTGAAGAATCTTATTAATTGGTTCGAATTAGATATTTGCAAAAGCCTTTTGAGCCTTCTACGTAGTACTGCAATCTCTACACACTGAATTCACTCACTCCTATAATGTATTTCCAGTCATCATGTTAGGCTAATTAATTTACTAGGTTGGTAAACCTGAGCTCTACTAGTTACGATCCAATTCACTATAGAGTAAGTGCATAAAACCATTAGTGTAAATAAAGTTGTCCGAAACGTTTTATTTCATATTAGCATATTCTATAAAATAATGATCCAATATCTGTATAAATTAAAGCTTGATACTGTACATAATTGAATTGATCGAATATAATGTAAATTAAAAAAACTTGCAAATACAGCATATCCATTATATGAGTGTATATATAACATATATATACAAATACGAGCATACAACGTCTTATAGATACAGGCAATGCAGTATTTTTATCCCCTACGGTAGCGTAATATGTACAATCTTTGTACATTAGCTAAGTGATGAGTAAGGTCTGCGTATAACTTTACAGCATGTGTCACGATAGGCACATGATGTCGATTATTTGTATTAGATAAATGATTTGCTTCATTTCTTTTTCGATTTTTTCTTCTTGTGATCTCTTTTCTCTTTCGTGCACTCTACGGAAGCCCTTTTCCTCTTTGAACTACTCTTAGTATTAGTGGAGTTTGATGAGTCTTTGTTCTTCCGCTTGCTTTTTTTCTTTATCACGTCTCTAGTAGAATTGATTTGTGATGCCGATAAAATTTTTTCTTCCTGCTGCTGCAAACGCTGAAGTTTCCCACTTAGCTTATGGCCGTGCCTTGCAGCTCTACAATATTTTCATTCAAGCGATGGATGGAATAAGTAAGATAATAATAAATACAGCATATTCTGTTGTAAACTTATAAATTTCAAGAATTTCATGATAGATTTAACCGAAGAGGTATTTCCTTACTTATGTGCTGTTCTTGCACCACATGCAAGATAAACCTTATCAGGATTGGTACTAGAATTTAATAAGTAATCAGTTGTAAGATTTACCAATTTAATAAAGAAAATAGCTAGCTCATTTATAATAATACATATATATATATAATATAATTGCTTTATGTCATGGCTGTAGATGTATATACAGTATAAAGCACTATATTGTATACAGTATATATATGTGTATTTTTTAAAATGTACTTTCGACCTACACTTCTTTTTCTTGAAAGTGCCTAGCATTCTTTAGCACTTCAAATGGGCTATCGATGTCGGTAGCCTGATCTTTGTCACCTGCCTGCATGTACGCAAATGAACAACATCTTGTCAAATTATCATAAGAGAAGAGCCAGTCACTACATTATAAACTGTCATAAGTAAGGTAATGATCGACAAAAGTTAGGGAAAATCCGAGTACCTACGATGGTTAATATAGTCACTATTATCACATTATAGCTGTCTAGCCGACAGTAGCCTTAACTAAAACTGAACAAAAGTAAATGCCTATGTTACCGCTAGCAGCTGTAGCCGCCTACTATGATGTAAAAATCTTGATATCTAGATACTTGTGCATGGTTAGGATAAAGTAGTAGCAAACAGTAGTACAGTACATCTACAACCATTGCAGTTTAAATCTTGAATCTTTGATTCTATTTATAGCCTAACCTTTACAAATTGGTTATACAATTTCTTCTTATCCTTAGAGGTTTCTGCCTTGGATTTTTTACGACCATTCGATGACTTTGTAGCCATTTGAATCTTACCCTTTATGGATAAATCATGAAAATTATTATCTTTTAATACAGAAGTAGCAGTTACCGTCAGGTGTAAGGTAAACTGATCTTTAGCACTTACTGAAATAGGTATTCTAGAGTAGCTAATTGGACTAGAGTTACAGGAATATGCATTAAAGAGCGAGCTCTTTGTAGAAGAATCGATTATCAAGACTGTGCTTTGGTGAAAATATATTCTGATTCATTAGTCAATTGAGGATATTTTCTATTAGACTACATACTACTATGCTCAACTCTAATTAAACAAGAAGATAACAATACTAGAATACGTTATGAGCAAAAGGTGCAAGAGAATACCGACCTTATCGTCTTTCTTGATAACAATATTGTCGGCAGCTTTATTAAATACATGTTCCCACCAATGGAACGTGAATTCTTTACCAGGGTCGTGACCAACCTAGAAGACGTACAGATGCAACCAATACAACTTATTTAGATCATGCAATTTTTACTAGGACATTCTATAGAATGAAAACTATATGAACTGGCTTGTATCAAAAGGTCGAGATCGCTGATGATCTCGATGCAGCTTGTAATTATGCAATGTGTTATCATGAATTGATTCTTGACGACAAGGTGTTAGAAAGTGTAGGTCTTGCAACGATGCAATTTGATGCAAGAATGAAGAGTCACTCATGACTAATATCCAACTCTACAGTATATTGGAGTGATATTGGAGTGATAGAGTGCGTACCTACCTTTATCAACAGCTAGTATTAATGCTTTAACGAATTATTAACTCTACAGGTTACATCACCAAAAGTAGACTACCAATTCCACTTATCACTACAACTACTTTTAAACTAGAGTTCTTTTAATACATCTAAAAGGCAAGTTTCAGGTTTTCTAATCACTGCCTGTACTATTCACTATCAATGCTACCGGTCAATCAGCAATCCCAACGTTATTACAATATTGCAAAATGGGCAGCTAATTCCAGTATGCATACGATACGTGTCCAATAGATCACTTACACCAGCTGTATCTTGTTTTATGTTGACTTTGACAGCTTCAGCGATTCCATCTTCATCCTTGCCAAGACCTTTACCTGATTTCATTCATGAATTCATTCAACATGGGTATTAATGACTACGTCTCAGCAGCCCTAGTTTGCATTGATTGACGTCTCATGTACAATCGACTGCAACCTAAGTTGTACATTAACATCAGCAATTGCATTCAATGGTTTATGTACTCTATGCTATACAAACTCTATACAAAGCTCAATCTCTTGAACAGAATCCATTTCTACCTTGTTGCCATCCATGCTTTTCCAATTGACGTCTAGCAAATGAATTCGTCAACGCCATGACATGTGGCAGAATGAGAGGCCGCATCGTACAGTATGCTTGAGCACCGCTACTACAGTACTTTGTTACAGTAATAAGTACTGTCGAAGTGTACTGTACACTGTACTAGTTGGAACACAGACACTACGGACGGAACTCTATAACCGTCACGTGTCAGTGGGGGTTTGCTTTCTATAGCCAATGTATTTACGGTAAAAGAATTTCAGTATATTCTATATTGTACAGTCTACAGCATGAACCACTGGACTGGGGTTTGTCTGCGTCAAATGATGTCACCCCTTGTAGCATCCTTTCTTTCAGTTTGTACTGTATATCGGAGTTAAGATAAGGTGTGATTGCCAGTTCTTTTACAGTACATAGTCTATTGCTACAGTACAAACCTAGCTAAGAGGTGACATTATTTCACGTACAGACTACTGTATACAGTACAGTACAGTAGTACGCAGTAGAATACCTTACACAGTACAGTGCAGTAGAGTGACAAGGGGCCCGGGGGGATACTGTACACTGTACTGTACAGTACAGAGGAGGTCAAGCGTCACCAACCGATCCAATCATCCCCCCCCCCCTACTCTCAGAGTCCTCAGCGGGCTCTACCCCAGCCCCTGCTGGGCTGTCACAGTGTCCGGCCGTAAGCCTGAGGTAAAAGCTAGTCCAAGTGGATTACAGTAAACATACGCGTTCATCGACTAGATTAGATTATTAAGATTAAGTGGATGTAAGCCCAATCTGCTGCAGGCGGCCATCATACAATCATTAATTAGAAGACGGCTATTAATTAAAGGTCATCTCTATCGATAGAAGACAGTCGTTGCCATTAAACTCACAATCTTGATTCTTACTATTGCGTTGAAGGACAATTTCAACTAGTTTTGGCCTAATAAACATCGCTGTCGATCGATCATGTCGTTGCGTACTGATTACGCCTTAGATAAAGGCGGTAAGCGTCGTGGTAAAAGGCGCGAGTTAACTGAAGAGCAAAAACAAGAAATTAAAGAAGCTTTCGAATTATTTGATACCGACAAAGATCGAGCCATCGACTATCATGAATTAAAGGTAACTGTCCTCTTTTCAAGGTTTACAACTTTAGTTCCTGTGTACATGGTTAGTTGTGACTGGATTGGATAGCTTTTGTATGATCGTTAACGCGATCGTAGTCAGTTGATCTCGCGGTAATAGACGATCATGCAAAGCTTTGCATATTTTATCATGCAGTGAGACCAGCGCTCCTACGTCTTTCTCTCTCTTCTTTTTAGTATTCCCTGTAGACAACTTACCATTGTATTGTACATTGGAGACTCTAAAAAGATCTCTACAAGTATATTACGTTATCTAAATACGGTAAATGACAGTTATGATGTATGATAGGATATTTTCCATACACTTACGATTGGACAAAAATCAGCCGACTGCGCCACTTCACGATACTGTACACTCGATGGCTCATCATAGATTATAATACCATTAATCAATAATCCAGGATGGGATTATATAGGATAGAATCAGTTAAGCTAGCAAGATTGCAGTACTTTGATGCTTGAATCAAATGGGAAAATTTGAAAGCGACAACGAATCATCAATAATTAACGGTATTCGCTTGTTTGAATTTAGGAAACAATTGACACCCTATTCTGTAAGTTGTGTACTCGGATTGTTGATAGCTTATAGCTCACTGGATGTCGCTGCTATAACATTTCACCGATCCAGATAGTAGTCAATTGGAAAAGGTGCCCGTATTCCAACACATAGTATATCGTAGAATGGTATTGATGAATTATTGTGATACTTGAATCTTGCCAACATGCAATGGTCATACAATATTGCGGCGATTGACTGTAATAAAGTAAATGATAAAAGTGAAAGTTCAAGACCAGTAAATTACACTGAATTCAATGTATATCGTTGACTATTTTAAAGCTGTCATGCTTTAGAGGACTACAATTGAAGAAACTTTTAAAATGTTCCATTCAAGAAAACATCGGATCCATTACTATCCATTCAAAATAACATTGTCACTAAAGTACGCATTATTGAACTCCTTGACTGACTGCTTTGATATTCCGTTATGCCATCTTGTGAAGCATGCAAAGATGGATCTTAATACGGATGGTTTTACAATGAACTTACTACTTTAACACTATTGTAGTTAGTAATTTGGACAAATTTGTTTGGATAGGAACGCCATGCTCTAATCTAAAGACTAGTAGTCATAGGAATATTTATTGACACAATCATTTTATACAATCACTATAGCAAGGTCTCGTAATTGCTTTCAGGTATTCACTTATATTGAGCAACACTACTGTCCTGTATTATTATTATCGACGCTATAGATTCGCATAATACGTTCTAATGGGAATAGTTGGATTACTTTGAGTAATCATGGTACTAAATTAGTGTCGGTATCGCTTTTTCGATAGCTTCTAGCCTTCACATTGAATATCTATTACAAAACTCGTAATGATCCATGCATAGCGTTGTAGAATGCCTCTATAAGCGAATAATGGTGTGTATGCACTCTTATTTTCAATATTGACTTATGTATGTGTTTGGCATTGAAAAAACGAACATACTGACATCCAACTGCAACATATTGACAGATTGACAAACGCCGTATTGATGATTTTTGACCCTTGAGTGTAAAATTCAATATGCCTACAATACTAGCTGTTAACGGCGTTGCCATTAGGCTAATCATGCTACTATACTATACCTGTACAAGTCATTACTGCAAGTGAACGATTCGTTTTATGGCACAACATAAACCGTTGTATAAAATTTCTATTATTCTAATACTATGTAATGCTGCAATTGATTATAATTATATTATGATGCTTTTAAAGACTTATAGAATATCTAGGAGGAGTATAATTAATTAATTAATAATGTAAATTCTTGATCGTTCGTAGAACATAGAATAGGTACAATTCAGTACTGTAAAGGATGAGTAATACAATCAATTTACATGCTTATTATTATGATAGAGTCATTGCATCATTGGTGAAGGCATGCATGATACGACGTAGCAAATTAATAATTAATAGGGCGATTGTATTCTCTGCTTGAAGAATAAATTCATGTAATTCTAAAATACATCCACTTTTATTATAATGTACTCAGAATCACTCTATAGTATTGTCTTAAGTTATGTATCTGCACAACGGTACACATCTTAAGTTAACAACAAAGTGTATCTAGAGCTAATGTAATAATATTCACATGTCTCTTTGATAGGTAGCAATGAGAGCTTTGGGCTTTGACGTTAAGAAAGCAGATGTTTTAAAAGTTTTACGTGACTATGATCGTGAAGGCACAAATAAGATTACTTTTGAGGACTTTTTCGAAGTCAGTAAGTAACCAACGGAATTATTATTGCTATACTCGTTGCGTTGTCGACGCATGGTCCAGTTTCAAGTATTCTGTCTTCGTTACATAGTACCAGGAAATAAATTTATTTGCATTTAATTTATACACGTATGATTGATTATAGTTACTATGCATTTTAAGAAAAATTCCCAACTATTCCGTACAGTATAATAATAGAAATAAATCGTAGTACGTTAGTATCGCTCTCATAATAGCAATTTAACTAATTAATGCTAGAATGGACACAAGAACAAAATCAATACTTGTTTAGAAATTTTTTATTAATACAGATAATTAAGGAGACGATCCGATAGGAAAGTACTTTATCACTTGTATTTTCGATTAGTACTATTGAATTACTGAATTATTAATGAAATTATTTAATGGTAGAGTCCCTTTTAAAAATAGCGATTCATTCATAAAGTTGTACAGTTATTCACTGAAACTAGCAAGTACAAATTTAATGACTAATTTCTTGACATAGTTTGTAATGGTAAATAGACATTGCTGAATAGATTTACGTCTGTTTTGGTTTTGCGGTGCATGCAAATCGCTTTATGTAATCAGAGCGAATTCCTAGTTATCTACAAACTTTAAAAAGTGCTTCAAGTAGAACTGCAAGGAGTTAACACGCTCAATTAATTTTAAGTGACAGACTGGATGCTTGATAGAGATCCACATGAGGAAGTTTTTAAGGCTTTCAAATTATTCGATGATGATGGTACGGGCAAGATTAGCTTAAGAAATTTAAGACGTGTTGCTAGGGAATTAGGAGAGAATATGGCTGATGAAGAGCTGCGAGCAATGATAGATGAATTTGACAAGGACGGAGATGGAGAAAGTAAGCAGTAAAAGTACTGATGAGAGTAATGAGCAATTGAGTATGCATACCTACCAATAAAATGATCTGATTAAGTGCATTGACCACTATGTTTGATTTTTTGTCATGCTGTTTAGTTAACGAAGAGGAATTCTCGGCGATCATGACTGGTGATACGTAATTTTACACTGCTAATAGCTTGATATGTTGTAGCTTTATACGTATCGTGTATAACATTCCACTACTAAAGCCATGATTATGATTATTATGCAAAGTGGTAGCTGTCTACTTACTGCTACACTGATAGTAACGATATTGTATTTGTAAAAACATACTCCACTACGACGTTATCACTGTCACAGCTATTTCTTAACTTATCATTACATCTCAAGGAAATGAATCTACTGTAACTTTAATGATCATTAGCAATGAAGTTCTTATTATATTTGCAGTTTATTGAAAGAATTTCTCTCTCCTTACTACTGATTACGACAACAACTTTCTTTAGTTTCCTCAAGTCCTTCCGATGTGTTTTTTGATGTAAACTATATTATTATAAATGTGTACATTGCATATTTAGTACTGTAGATCTTGTCATATGTTGTAAGATATCTTTACGAAACCTGCTACAAGAGTAAAGTCTTCAGAATTAAAATAAAGTTTGGCAGTTTTATTCGTCGAGTACAAGTTGATCTAAATAATCATTTTCAGTCGTTTAAATTCAACTGAAGAATAGTTATACCTGGCACTATAAAAGGCACGCTGCTAGACAAGTCAAGTCTTGCTTGATATTGAACTAATATTAATTTTAAACACTGATTTTAATCATTTAGTTAAGTCGACTGTAGATAAATCCATTGTTAGGATTTTCTAGCCCAGTAAGTATAGTTTATGCAAAGCGACATGACAGCGGCAATTCAAAGACATTAGATAGATTTGATCATGGCAAAATTAATAACCACCGCTATATCTGTACAACTTTTCAGAGACTTACCGCATTTGCACTATTCAAGTTGTAGTATGTTATGCGTTAGTAAACAAGTATACGTAAGGCGAATGTCACAATCGCGTAAAATTTTTCCAAGAACATGTGCATACAATCATCAATTTTAAAAATACTAAACCATTACGGCCAAATGTTAAATGGAAAATTAATAAAGCACTGAAAATTACTGCGAATGGCAAATCGATTTAAATGCGCAAAAGTTTGTTAACGTTAAGAGAATTATTGAAGCAACGCTTTACAGCGACGAAATGATTACATTCTCTTAAGAAATTATTCATGTATGGTTCTAAAGCGTCTAACTGTACTATAATAGTCTACGTGTTATGCATTCTACATCAATAGTAATTCGCATTACAGCACTTTTAATTATATCCCTAGAAGATTGTATTTTAAGTATGGTTGTAATTCGATATCTATTTCATTACAGCACCTTTATTGGCGAATGGTGCAAAAATGTACCTAGATATTATATATAGACTTAATTACGTAGATGTATTGTTATAATTACGCCGCAAAATAACGTTATTACCAACAGTAGAAATCTATATATATATTTTAGCGAAAATTTTGCACAAATTTTGGTGAATTAATTCACTAATTTTCATATTTGAAATCTACCGATTTTAAATTTGATGTTATTAGCATAGAACGGTAGCAGAGATGCAATCACAGCAGCGTACACCAGCTAAAGGAGCGATTTGCATTAGCCTTCTTATCTTTACCACCTTGTGATCCGACATGAACATTCGGGCTACTGTGTGAGCCACCACCATTATTGTTTTCTTGCTATAATGGTCACATATTAAATCGTAGGTTAATAAATTTGAACTTGAGCGGAAATAAAAACAAGTCATAAAATAAGTTACCTGCTTCCGATCCATCTTAGCCTTAATATCTTTTGCTAACGTCATGAATGCCTGTAAAATGTTGATATCATTAATATATTTGCATTATATCGTGACTTTAGACGATGGCGATTCAAACATCTAAGCTCGATCCGATAATGCTAGATAACGGTAGTTGAACAAAATTTACCTCCTCTACATTGTGACCATCTTTTGCGCTCGTTTCAGAAAACTTAACGCCATATTCTGCTGCAAGCTAAATGAATTGATTTAAGAAATAACCAACGTACTCTATTAACGATATAATACGCGCTATAAATTGCAATCAATCTGTAGTACCTGTTGTGCTTGTTCTTTCGAAACCTGACGCTTGTCAACTACGTCACACTTATTTCCTAAAATCATCTTTTCTACATCACTGGCTGCATGCTCTTCAATATTCCTTATCCAAGTCTTGATATTTTCGAACGATCTTTCGTTTGTGATATCAAAAACGAGCATAATGCCCTATAAGTAGCAATAACAATTATTAGCAGACTTTTACACTCGTTTGAGGCTTGATCTTACGCTTTGTAACATTGCACACAGCATTGATTCAATTGATACAAGATAGCCTAAAATAGATTACTATAGCTGAAAGAGCAATTACACGCGTATAAGATTACTTTCACTATAGGTTACGTACCATAGCACCGCGATAGTAGGCAGTAGTGATTGTTCTAAATCTCTCTTGTCCTGCAGTATCCCTATCAAATTAAAACGATATTGTTCGTAGTAAGCAAGGATGGCTAGAATGATCTTTTCCTTTGGCTATAACCTAGAATTATCATCTTTTATGTTATAATGCTTAGGCCTATTGTCGTACTATGTTACAGCTATTATAAGCAGTGTGTATGCTGTTCCTATTTATATCTTTTAGTGTAATAGTTGCATCTTTTAATAATATACTTTACACTTTTTAAAGTAACATTATTTACGGTGTTAACAGCGGTAAAGTACAGTAGAAGAAATGATAGCAACAATAGCGAGGCCACTATCAAATATAATTTTAGACATGTACTTCCAAGTATTAATTTACGATAGCATACCATATTTGCAATTTAATTTTCTTTCCATCGAGTTCAATGGTCCTAATTTTGAAGTCAATGCCTGAATGTAGTATAAATATTAAATTAAAAATTCTCTCATAAATGAAAAATTTAGTAAATTCTTTAATTAAGCTTTCGAGATTGCTTCATCAAATAAGTCCAATAATAAAAATCGATTAAAATCGAGTTTTTATTATCTTTTAATGACAATTTACGGAATTTTCAGACTCGGCATTGATTAATGCGGCAATTGTCAGCAATGCGGTTAGTGAGTCCGTTGAGTAGTAGTTTGCAACTACAGTCTACAGTAATGCAGTAGCAACAGATAGGAAAAATCTACATGTGTCAACATAGTGGTTTGAACTATATTATCAAAGCGTAATGCTCCTTTTGAGGCAATGATACTAATTTAAGGCAATCATAATGGAAAAATACATATTGTACTCGTGTTCCATTAACATTAATGAGGAATGCAATATTAGCAACAAACAGGTCTTAAAAGACATTGGAATGAGTGTTTATTTCCGCGTTATTCTCTGGTTCTGGTTAATTAATGTTCAAACTTGAACTTACATATATACCAGAATTGCGAGAATGAACCGAAAGGGATATGTGCGATGAATTTATTCAAACATATGACGGTATCAGGATACGCGTGTAGGAAGGTCACGATGACAATGTCTATGATTTTACAATGTAACAGAACGATGTCGAACAAGAATGTAACTGTGTAACAGTAGAGTTCCGTAAGTAAATACGACGAGCTGCCGCATTAGCTGAAGCCAAAATATACCGGCAAGGCAGGATCGACAGAGGAATAATAATATATAATATACGGTAGCATGATAATTAATCAAAACAAGTATAGAAGATTTCCAATCGCTGGGCTAGAAATGATGTTGTCAAATTTCACCGGATTCCATACGGTTGCAGTGCATCAGTAGTAAAAGTATTGGATCCATTATGGCCGATTGGAAACAATGTCCAGGTAAGATAGGCGGCGTATAATTCGAACGAAGTAGAATTTCAAAGTGTAGAATGGACAGCTAAGGGATTTACTAAACTACCTATTATTATTCAGGGTGCCATAGTGCGTTACTACTGTATTCCACTTCGGCGGTACTGTATGAAGTCTTGCAAGAGAGAGAGAGAGAGAAAAGACCTCCGGCAGCGCTAGTGAAATCAATTCAAACTGTCTTCGTCATTGCCGAAAAAAAACCAACCGGATAGGTTGGCATAAGGAAATACAATAATGTGATGGATTACTCGAAGAAAAGGCTTTGGACGTAATGAAGAATCGGACCCAGTCGAGAAAAAGCTACAAAATTTGTTACTATTTACACAACTCATGATATTACAGTATATTGTGGGTTTTCATGCCCATATGATCAAAGATCATATCCAAATTTGAGTGGGCATAAGACGGAGGTTGAGGATTTGATTGGAAAATATGCAAAGGTACACCATACTGTACTGCAAAAATAGAAACATCAGACTACAGCAGAATACCCAATTCATCATAATAAAACTGTACCGTACTAGAAGTGGGAATGCTTTGTTTAACTTTCTTTCCTTTTCCGTTGAACTACGTCACCGTCCTCCATGTAGCCTATCTACCGTATAATATTAGGTGATGACATGTTGGAAAGAAAAGGTACTAAACTATACCCGTAATCCAATGATTAATCTACCATCGATGGATCTACTTCCACTACCATAGTTTGTGTGTCAAGCTATAGACTGTGATATCCATTTTTACAGTACGATATTAACTATTCTTACTAAGTAAGGAGTACTTGCAATATGCTGTGTAGGAATATTTGAAACAAAATCAAAGATGAAGTGTTAACTTGAAACTTTCAAGTCAAAAAGGGTCATGGGAGACAGTACAGTAATATGTTTTTGAAAGATATACAATCAGTTACGATATGGGCAAAATGAGGATTTGCTGGACAAGCAATTTATGTGCTTGCCCCTACGATAGTTGACTAACAACATCTTGATCATTATGACGATCGTTAGTGGCATGTAAAATTGTGTTGGAAATTGTAAATAAATCATGTCTTGATACTAGAAAATAAATAAAAAGTTCACTGATATTATGGATCAAGTTAAGACTAAGGATAAGCACTAGTTACGATAGGCAATCTTCAGAATTAGTCATCAAAAATTGAATAGATAGTGGACATCATGGGCATGTTGTATTAGTCATTGGATCAAAACATGCAAACCCCAACGGTGCACCGAGTCCTTTGCCATTGTGGTAGATATTCTTCTTTATAAGCAATAGCCAAGCGAGCAATGAAATAAAGACACTAGCACTGTCGATAAGATTCTATGGTCTACAGTAGAGTACAATACTTTGGACTAGTCCAAGTTTTCTTTTTCTCCATTCTATCGTCGTTCTTTCAACATGGATATACAGTCAAGTAATGGATAAGTTGTGATCCAGCAGGCTGGATGGTGATGACATCACGACTAATCAATCCTCCACCATTAGAGAGTAGGATAGCAATTAGCAGGGTAAGATTCCCTATCCACTGGGATAGAGAAAGACGGCAGACATCTCTAAATTACTAATATGTTTGCTCTATCACGACTACCATTGGACAAAGTTTAAAGTGGCAGATAGCCGCCCGCCTAGAGTGCTAAAATGATCGCCACAAGTTCTTATTCCATCCATTCAAGATGGTATGACAAAGTGTAAAAAAAAAAATGGGGTTGCTTCATCGATGGGAGCGATCCATCTGAATGAGGGATGTATGTATACAGTACTGTAGGATGGGCTACGTTTGGTAGTGCCTAGATGATGATGATGATCAACGACTATGCAAGTGATTCTGCTTACTAGGTGAAATTGATGCAGTCCAAGTGTGTGATGGGAAGCTTTGATGATCAAGTCTTGGAGATATGTCATCTTTTAGCACTATGGGAGTTGATGAAGGGAAAAATGGGCATGGGGAATCCTATCGTCCAAGCAATAACATACCAAAAAGTGCCTGGACATACGTACGTCTAGGCGTTTCCAGTAGACAAGAATATGGATAAAAAGACAATCATGACTATAAATGCATTTCTTGGACAAGGGTGGATGATAACAATTAGCCTGAATATCATCATCGTCTTCTTGTCCTTTCTATTTTGGAGTGTAACATGGCATCCATGTTATTGTAGCAGAGGCTATGACAAGGAAATACTAGCAAGTTGCGATCCTGCATAATACATACCAATCGTTGAGATGAAAGTTGAATTGAAAGCGTCTTCGGAAAATCGGAATAATACACACGTCTTGCCCACGCCGCTATCACCAATTAATAGCAATTTGAATAGATAGTCGTATGATTTAGCCATGATACAATCTGTATCTGCTTTTTACTAGCCACTAAAGTATTGCTAAACTATCAAGAGAAGAATGATTGGAGTACTAAAAGAAGGTCCCAAAGTGAGTCCTTTCTTGGATGAGTAGAGAGCAAACACTGCTATGTCGTGGCTTGAATGTTGCACAATGAATGTTCACCGGGTAATATGGAACGGGTGTCAACGATGCCCAACCACCTGGAGTATTAGGTTGACTATAGGACGAGGGTCGACGTAAGCGTAGTCTACCCTAACTTCATAGTCTGTCTACTTTCAGCCGTGGCCGTCTGGTCGATCCACCACTCAGTGTGGATCGACGCTTGGCCGGACCGGGTAGGGTACGACACTTCACTATTCAGTCCAGTACGCTGATAAGAAAAGATGGCATTGCCTGGTGTGAGTCACTACGGTACTCAACTGTAAGGGATTACGTAGTACTGTATACGTACGTGCAGTACTACGTCTACTACTCAGATCAACAGCTCAGTGTGGATCGCCGCTTGGCCGGACCGGGCCAGGCACGAGTAGATCTTGGCTTGGCCGGACCGGGTAGGGTACGAGTGTACGACACTTCATCGCACGGTCTGACTATTCAGTCCAGTAAGCTGATAAGAAAAGATGGCATTGCCTGGTGTGAGACAGTACGGTACTAAGACAGACTTTGCACTGTGACACATCAGACAGATCTCTTCACAAATTACAGTACAGTATTGTACAGTACTGTAGAATGGGAACAATCAAAATACTGTACTGTACTGTACGGTGTACAGTACACTGTACACCGTACAATAGTACATTGTACCCTATACCATGCACTGTACACTGTGCAGTCATCAAAATCTGATGGCAGTCGTTTTCACCCAGTGATGTCACCCAGCGGGGCGCGATGACCTGCCAATGTGTACAACAGCGGCAGCTCTTGACGTTGTATGGGTGACATTGATTTTGCTATGGATTTGCCCTATCAAGAGCAAGGTAAACTATTGTACTGTACTGTACATTAGGACATACGGTACTGTATCAGCGATCCTATAGACTACTGATCTTTTTCTGGTAGTTTATGCAATAATCAGGTATCATGTATCAGTAGGCCTCACATTGTTACAGTAGCTAGACATACTGTATCAGCGATCCTATGGACTTACTTATTTTTTTCTAGTAGTTTATGCAACAATCACACCCTGGAATGGCAAGCAATTCAGGCCACAGTAGGGTAAAAAGACTCAGGTATCATGTATCAGTAGGCCTCATATTGCTACAGTAGCTAGACATACTGTATCAGCGATCCTATGGACTACTGATCTTTTTCTAGTAGTTTATGCAATAATCACACCCTGGAATGGCAAGCAATTCAGGCCACAGTAGGGTAAAAAGACTTAGGTATCATGTATCAGTAGGCCTCATATTGCTACACTACTGTAGCTAGACTTGCAACGTAGTGTACAGTATACATGTGTACATGGACTATTTCACTTGGGGTGGGCGATTAATCCACAATCTCTCCCGAAAGGCTGCAGTAGGCTTGCAACATACAGTATGCCTCCAATCATACACCGATTGTCAGCCAAATAAGCTACTACAGTAGGTTGGCTTTTACTTAGGGTCTCTAGCTTTTGACCACTTCAGTACTTGCAGCGATGACAAGAGAAACGATCAGTGCTTATGTGTCTACACTAGTATTAGCCATGTAGGGTAAAGGACATTGCTTGTAGGTAGACAAAGTGTGAATTGACTGTCGTAAGCGGCTTTTACTCCATGATGCAATGTTATCCCTACTCTACTGCACCAATACAATTCTTAGCCCTGATGAGTGTTGACCCTCATTAACAGCCCATGCATAATCTTACTAACGTAAGCATACAGTATGTGTTTTACGACTCTACATCATAAAGCTGAAATGGACATCTTATAACTTATAGCATACCAAAACAGGTAAAAAGGCAGTTATACTACCACAATTCCAACAAAATTGAGGACTGTTGACAGCACAGCAGATACTACATTTACAAGCTTTTAAGCTTTTCATTTATTTTGATAGATCGCAATGCTACTGGATTACGTTGCCACGGTTGGCTTAGGTATATTTTGCTACCTAGCCGATGCATTAATGGATGTCTCCTTTATTCGTCAGAATACAATACTAAGAGCAATCACGGATAATGCTGCTCATGGCATTATCGCTGCATGGTCGTGGGCAATCGCTATAGGTTTATCTATCAATTGGAAAACAGCATCGGAAATTTTTCTATGTTTCATTTGCTCATCCGGCCTTGATGTGGATCATTTCATTGCAGCAAGATCAATAAAGCTAAAGGTTAGCATACGATCTCAAGATGCGATAACAAAAACTTGAATAGTTTACTCATGCAGATCATACGTTGTTGGTAAATTCAGAATTTATGCAATTTGCACAACGAATTAAAATACATCGTGCATGTTATTGCGACGCTAATTTCTCTTATCAAAAGGCTAATTTTTTGTAAAATTTAGAAAACACTGCATCAATCTTCTTACAATAATTTGGCAATATTTTATATTAAACATTTAAACTTTATGCATCTATCAGCATTTAATATTATTAACGCAATCTTACAATTGACTGCTTAACTGAAAATGAATAGCATGTGGTTTAATCATTCCTACTTTGCGCTACATATCGCATGAGCCTTAACCAGAACGAAAATTTAGTCTGCTGCCGTTAGTAATGAACAAAACGCTGTACACTACTTTGAAATATGCTAGCCAGACGCACACAATGCATATGACACCATACTTCATTTTGAAAGTACAGATAGTAGACTCCCCCAACTTTAAATGATAACGTCATTTGTATTATATCCTTTCCATGATTTAAGACTATGACATACTAGCACCTGATGTGCATAATTGTTCTATTTCATTTTAGGATGCTCTAGCACTGAACAGAAGGCCATTTCTCCATGCCACTTCACTAATACTCTTTCTATTTTTTGTCACCGTTATCGTTGTTCGATATATGCCTTTATCGGTATATCATAAAATGAAATATTTACCATATATATTTCTAGCAGCATCACTATCGCATCATTTTCGGGATGGATATCGTCGAGGCCTATGGTTTGCACCATTTGGGAGTTCTAGACCTTTACCGTATACATTGTACGTATCATTAACTATGGTACTACCATGGATTTTGATTTATCTAATGTGGATAACTGAGAGCGAAAGAAAGATAAAAAAATCAAAAATATTACTGAATGTATGAAATGAAATTTGAAAATTTATCTGTCTGTACTGTATGTCAGCACCTACGTTCATCGTCCACGAGTAAATGAACTATTGACCTCTACTAATTAGCTCAGCCTAGACGAAAGCCTTATGGAATCAAATGTATTATATTTTATTACTTGAATATTTCATATGCGATATTGTAATTTTCGCATAAATGAAAGTATGATCGCTATTATTATTATAAGTAGAAAATAGAACAATATTTGATTGGAAGTAAAGGATGTAAAGATCTTATCCAGATTATGCACCATTTACAGACAATCTTTAATATTCTCAATTAGCAATTTAAAATTACGCATGTAACATAATCTTCTCTAATTTAATATGTTGGAGATTATAATTTATGACACTATTAATATCAAAATAATGGAAGATATGGTAGTAACCGTGTGAAAATGCAATTACAGAAACTTATATTAACACTGATATACTGCTATCTTTGCCAAAATAGCAATAATGATGAATACCTTGCAAAGTGGATACAACTTATCAACGGTTATAATAATAATAAAATCTAATCTATAGAACTAATTTATCCATGATATCAATGCAAATATAGTGTACATTCGAGTTGAACCTATTCATGCAGTAATACTATACTGGTTTAACTACAAATTAAACGACACTAAAGCAACATTTTGCCCACTGCAGACTTATTAGTCATGTACTTACTGTAACGATTTATTGCCTCTAGCGCGCTTATAGAAGCCCAATATATAGCAAAAAAACTACTCAGTGCTGTAGCAACAGATCATGTTTGCTCATTTACTTGTCCAGTCTAATGGAGCAGACTGCTGGTTGCTGTCATGCATTGTGTACACATTTCTACTCTACGTGATAGTAAATAATTGACGCCTATGGTCCTATACAGCATATACTGCACTCCCCAGTATGGCATGATACATAGTATCATTTGCTCTACCGAGCGCGCTATCTACACTATAACGGTCAATATGGCACATTGGTGTATTCTGTATCCTGGAGACGAGATTTGGACGGGCAATTTAATACCTTACTAACAATTCTAATTTATAATACGTAATAAGGTACCTACCACTTCGCATCGACGTTAGCACGTTCATGAGGTAACAAATTGCAACCATATTTGCGTTCAGATACTGTAAATCACCGATTGGCGTAGAAGCCTTACAAAATAGAAGGTAGTAGTTCGTTGCATTATATATATGTATATATATATATATATAGTAGCACTATTAATAGCTATATCTATATGTATATAATAGCATTATTAATGACTGTTAGACCTTGACGTTAGCTTCTCTCTAAATTGTAAATTGGCGTAGATTGTAAGCTACTTCTGCAACGTATCCCTAATAGTCAATATTTTGTTCATGTTTATTGGTAAATCAGTGAATTATCCGTTAGCTGTACCTCCCAATCGGTTAAGCATTGGTTCCCTAAAATAACTATTATCAATCTGAAAGACATACTTCAAGAATAAAGAATAGATATCATTAGTACACTATTCTACTAGTTGGTGCTACATACAATTGATCTCCGCTCTCTATAAAGTCTAGCCATGGCTTCGACATCGGTAAGGCAATTTAATTAGCTGATTAGTAAACTATAAGAGTCACCATATATGTAACAATAAACTGTTTAAGATCGTAATAATTCAAAATTATACCCTACCAGTAACTCAACAGCATAATATACTATCGTTGGATATATTTACAGCATCCATCATGTTTTCAATAAATCTTTAAAATGATCGATTACATACATATACTTCTTTCCATATCCATGAATGCACACGTATATGTGAATACTTTTTATGCGACGTAAAATAGTCCATAGTTACAGTAGTGTGAATGTGAAAAATTATCAACACAAGCATGTGGAGAATTACCTTCAGATGCAATTAATTTTGTAATTAACATTAGAATTACGATACAAGTGAAAGAAACTTACAGACACTTTTCTTGCTAAAGATAGCTAAGTGAAAAACTATCATCACTTATATTTAAAACGAAATTAATTTCTCGAAGTTTGATATCAACTTTTACTGATAGTCGGTAAAGATCAATTTCTAAATGTTACTTTATACGTATCTAATTTGGGTAACAGTATGATAGTGCATTTTCTATTTCATGCCTAAACTATCTTCACTCGAACAAATTTTCCGATAGAAAACCCTTGGTAAAAGAGCTTCGAGTGCTTTTGGGCGATCACATGGATACAATAATTCGAAAGAGATAAATTGGCCCACTTCGAGCTCATCTTCTTCAAGACAAAGAACTTCAAGTGCTCAAAATTCTAAGAGACCTAGTTCTAGAAATTCTAATACTACTGAAATCAGTCAAGGAATATTGGAAAGAGAGCAGGAGTTAATGTATGATTATAAATTGTTGCACAATATCGCAGCTTTACGTTAGAAAGTAATTTCTTTAACTATAATTCGCAAATCTATCAATGTAGTCTCCACAAAAAGATAGGGTATAAAGTTATCTGAAATAAATTGTACATGATTTTATCTTAACATAAAATCACTTAGGGAGGATTAAAAAAGAAAATTACAAATTTAAATCTATAATTCAATAGCTTTACACCGTTAGATGGGTTCTACTACTGCTAGAGAATGTCAGAATTGCTGGCTTTCATTTTATTCTCTGTTAATTTAGTACAAACAGCTAGCAGCAGAAGCACTACAGTATCTCTGGAGTCTTAGTGCTAGGTCTAAGTGTTTAAATTCTAGCGTATTCCATCAGAAATATTATCATACCGATTGTTCATACAATTTGATAGATTCTTTACTTTACAGGCAAAGAAATGCTGAGTTGGAACAACGCGCAGCAGTCTTGGAGGCAGAAGCAGCTGAGATATTGGTAATGATATCTAATCATTTATCATCCAGAAGCTTTTTAAATACGCCTAAGTGCTTCCTTGCTAATTAATATGAGCATAAAAAGTAGTAAATTGTACTCTCATTGCAATGGGATTACTTAGTAATATCTACGATATTGAATGCATTTAACAGAATCGCCAAGACGAAATCTTACTAGATGAAAATAGAGACATAGAATTCGAGGACGAAGATACAAATTTCGAGTGTGTATAATTTCAATTGGCTCTTATTCTACTAACGCATAATATATCTAATATAGACAGTGATATAATTTAATTAATTATACATCCAGAATAGAATAATTTTATTTTAAAATCTACAGAGAATTTATCGAAGCCGCTTTTGAGAAGAATAAAAAAGTTCCTCAGAAATCGAAGAAAAAGAGTTCAATACCAAAGTCAAATAATCGGAAATTGACACCAACTAATAATTCGTTAGTAAAATATATACGTGTATATTAACTTTCTAATTGTGTTCACTTTGATGATGTTTTCTTTCGTTCTATTTAGATCAAGGTCTTTACCTGCGAAGAAAAATAAATTGCCACCTAAAGAAAAGGAGGCTTTGGAAATTGATAATCTGGATAGTGATGCAGACGAGATTACCTTAGCTCAAAGGATTTTAGAACTTGAAGAAGAGATAGATAAAGGCAAAAAGAAAATCGATTATAAACAAGATGATATTCTGCCAGCGGAAGCGAGTGAAATGGGGACAGGTATTTGTTTTGCCATCCATAATATCATTACAGTATACAAACATTGTATACCATTTTACCCTTGCCTACAATTTTTGTCAAAAATTATCGCAATAACACAACTTGCTGTGCCTCTGTTGGCTTGTAGAAGCAACTATTCGCTTTTTGAAGGCTAAAATTCGTGTTATGCAAGAAGAATTAGAGCGATTAATGATGGATTGTAATTTGAAGGTCTGCTGAGAATAAATCGTGCATTTATAACAATCCCATTTTATATCGTGACCATCATATTACAAAAGACGTGAACAGTCATAACTTTTATACTCATAATATCATTTCTTGTTTGTCGGGCCTTAGGACGAGAAAGTTACACGCGCTGAATCTAAGGCAAAGACAGCCACTGAAGAGCAAACTAAGCTACAAAGATTAAATCAAAACTTACAGGTAGTATCCATTATTTCATAGGCAAAGTCGTAAAATTACATTTTTTCATTCTTATGCAATCGTGGCAGACATTATTCCTTTTTACATAATTTGCGCGCTTTGTCTCTGCTAGAGTCAGCTGGATAAGTATAAGAAAGTAGTGGATGAAAATAAGAAAAAAGGCGAGACATTAGAAGCGCAACTTACTACCTTAAGAAAGGTAACATTTATCACTTCTACCTGCTTTAATTTATCGAGGTAGTGCTAATAAGGGTTATTGCATGACATTAAATAGGAATTAGATTCTAGTCAACGCTCTCAAAAGCAAACTGCTGTTAATCATAATGCCGTAGAAGTCAGGTATGCTTAGTCGTTATTTGAATGTTTACAATACCTTTAATTCTATTACAATATATTGTGATAATTATTTCTTGCTCCAAATTAGTCTAAGAAGATTTAATAACTATAATAATCAAGGTATAATAATATTTATTCAGATTAAACAGAGCATTAGAAGAAAATGAAAAGTTAAAGTTATCAATGCAAAAAGCAAAAGTTGAATCTAAAGTATGTATGGTAACGTACGTGATAATATAAGCGTTCACGATTATGATTGTCTTACAAACTAAAAATCCGCATAGGATTATACAATTATTAATATACTAGACTCAAGACTTAGTACACACTTGGAAATTGAAGCCATAGCATATACACTAGAACAGTATAAAAATAAGCCTAAAATTTGAAATTAGGCTTAATTGATGCGAGTATCTGATTAGCTCCAGTCATAATTCGACAACAGCATGACCACTTGCTGTCGTTCGGTACATCATGATGACTAACATCGAAGTATGCTGATGATTGCCCAAATATCTATATAGACATAGACATAATGATGGCAATTTTACCGCAAAGATATAAAATTTCCTTATTTTCATCTATCTATGGTATATTCATAAATCATAGATTATTAATGAAGCTAAAAACTAAGAAAATAAGTACAAATTTTTAAATAACGCTTATAAAGTCAAGATAAAATAGTTCACGCTCGGATTTTTTCATTCATCCAAAGTAAGACTTTTTGATAAAATATAGGAAATTTTAAATTATGCTATACTAGTTGATTTTAATAGCATTAGGAACTAGTAGTAAGTTAAGTCCTAAGCGTAATAGAATAAGTCAGAATATATTTAATACTGTATGACTCATATTTTTATTTAAAGTTGATGCTACATCTCAGTAATCTTAAAACCGAATTTTGAAGAGGAAAATTACATACGCTATTATTGCGAAATTTTTTTCTCGTATTAATTTTGTAGGATAGTAAAGTTCACGAGCGCAAAAGAATAGAACAACTACATGCCGATAATAAAAGATTAGAAAAGCAAAAGAATGAACTTATGAATGGCTTTAAAAAGCAACTCAAATTAATTGATATATTAAAAAAGCAAAAGGTAAATTAATTATCTTGTGTAAATAATAATTCAATAAGGATCTGTTGTTATCTTTATTTTCTAATATTGATATAGAAATAGAAAAACACAAAGAAATTATATTTCTTGCTGAGCAACAATTGATATCTAACAATTATAGGGTAGTAATCTTATCCACCTATGTAAAAACTTTAATCTAGGGCCCATAGTCACTCGACTTATAATTGTACTATACTTATATTGCGTTTTCTATATTCTGAAGAATTATAATGCGGGCTATAAATGATTCATATTCACTATAAATATAATCATATATAGATGCACATTGAAGCTGCCAAACTACTTAGTTTTACCGAAGAGGAATTTGTACGAGCTTTAGATTGGGGTTCCTAATATGCACTGGTAAATTTAGCTGCAATTGATAGTATGCTCTTATACCTATAGCTCTCATATCGCAATAAATTGAAAATTTTCAATTAAAACGTTATAAAATAAGCTTTTATAATAACAAGGATGAAATGTTATTACAGGTAAAATAAATCTACTTAACCATACTACAGCAATTCCGGTACTGATTGTAACTTCCAATTTTGCCAATTTATCGCAATATCTACCATCTGCAAGAAATATATTTACGTATGCCTTCAAACTGTTCAACTTTTAGTGAGAAAAAACTAAAGACGAGATGTTAGATTTAATTCGTATCTAGTGGAACTGTGAATTATTATAATTCATTATATTGTACTTTTATTTTTATGATGAACACTATTTATTAGCATCGCTTGCAATTTTAGTTCTAATAGGTGTCACATTAGCAATTCTAAAGTAATGTATGTTGAATTGGTGACATATCGTAATGCTGTGATCGAGGTCGAAATACTGTATAAACAATCATCATTGCGTTATACACGATTATTCGTACAAGTACCTAACTTCATCTTCAAGAAATTAGCTTCTATTTATTGCCGATCTTTTTGAGATTGTATTGCTAGTTACTACACCCTAGAACGTTATTTTGAAGTATGTTTGTGATAGAATAATGTACATAATATTTATTACTGCTTTTAATGGCATTGACTACCGAGCGATTGTTCTTAATTCCATCAGTAATTCTATTTTATTTCAAGTACGTTAACAGAACTACTCGTACATATTCTTCGTGTTTACCGTATCATATATCATTTGTGTACTCCTTCTATTTGAACGACTCAAATTAACATGAATATATGCTAGCCAAACTTGAAATGTATAAACAAATAAGTAAAAGTATATCTTTTTGTAAACAGCTTATAGAGGAATAAATATGCTCTCATCTGTTACGCAGTTGATTCTTAAGAGATAATTATAAATTGTAGATCATCTTGCTCAGTTGAACAGATGCGGTGGAGCGCTAGATTACTTTTAGACCAATTACTATGATGAATTATGGTCTATAATACAGTATTTCAAATTTGAATTTCCGTGTGAAAAATTATTAGTCTACGATGTAATGTATAGTAGGTACTTTTTATTATTCAGTGACATTGACTGAGAGGCAATTTTAAATACTAATTACTATCTAATACTACCGCATCATTCAATCTTAGCACTCTACAATCTACCCATTGCTATATCGTAGCCGAAATCGGGTAATAAAGCGTACACCACATAATAGCCTTTTTAAGTATCGACAATGTATCAATCTAAAATTCGCTTGAAATTAAGTAACACTAATGCTTTATTAATTTAGTAGCTGTACACTCATTCTTTATAGTTCATATTCAATCGCAAATTTCGTTGATTAAGAGATCAATATGATCACTATATGTCTATCTAATCAGTACTCTTACCGTACTTAATACGATATGAGTAATAAAGTCATTACATAGCAGAGCATGTATGGTTGAATTATAAACGAAGGTATCTAGGGTAAAATAGATCAGCAGCGCGTTTTCTCTAGCAGAATCGGTAGACCTGAATTATTGCGGTATACCCTTTAAGCTAGAAAATTATTTCAAATTTTATTTCCGTAACTTTAAGTAGTTTATCGAGCGAATGTATAAGATATTTTATCCCATATCATCATAGAAATGAATTTCACTTTCGTAGAATAGTCTTGTTCGTTTTCCTTGCATAAGTATATTGGTGTTAAATTACTATTATTTATATGAAAAGCTGTATAACCCTGAAATTTTGCTTAGCAGCTTTTCACATTAAGAAATAGATTAGGAGCACGCTATGCCAAGCAGTAAAATACATATCAAATCAAAATGTTGTATCATATACCGAATTCTGCATACATAGATGATAGCTAGATTACTAGCATATTAATTATCATTATTATTAGATTATCTTGATGATTTCAACACTCTTCTGCTATATCAATGTTAGAATAAAAATTATTCATTAAATAATTGTAGGTTTATCAATTTATACAGCAATGATATTACACTTCGCTATTATGATCGATGACAAGGTAAAGGGTTTTATTGTCCCTTCAATTTGTCAATTATTTAGCGCAATATGAAAGATCCGATCTTATATATTACAATATAAAGCAGCATGGTAATATAAAACATAAACAGGACTACCAACTGAAACAATTGTACTTATACAGAGCTACTGTCAAGCTATCTTCGAGGTTCTACCCATGCTTCGACATGTCGCCGAGGACGAGATGGATTATTGACGGGAGCAGATACGGCTCTACCTGGCCTGTTGATATTCCGATTTCGCCTACAGTAAAATGCTATTCGTAAGTTAGCCCACATAGCTTGTCGAAATCGAGGATTTTGAATACCATATAACATTGGATTATATAATGATGTTAAACAAGTTACTAAAATGGTCATTAGAATAACAGTAAAAGTAGGAAAGTTAGTTTCTAGGTAGAGGGCGGTAAAATTTTTACCGGTTATTCCCATGCTAAGCAAGACAACAAAGTAAGGCCAAGAAGCTAGCATAAATACAGCTGTTGCTATAATTAAGACACGCACTGCAGCATAACGTCGATCATCAAATAAAACCGTACTATGATATTCTTGATCAAGACGAGCTTGACGATTATATGTTGCTCTTATTTTGAATATGATTCTACCATATAAAGAGACCATTAAAAATAATGGAATAACGTAAGAGATTAACGTTACGATAACAATCGTTACTGTAAAACTACGATAATATTTAAGATCTAAATCACAAATGTATGAAAAATTAGCCGAAACATCGGCAAAAAGGATAAAAGGCGCCGAGCACATAAGGCCTGATAGCCAAGTAAAAACAATCACTGACATTAATTTCCACCTTTCATTAATTAAGGTAGAAACACGATTAGATATTATTACATAATAACGATCAATACAAATAACTGAGAGGGATTGCGTTGTTGTCACTAAGGATAACATTAATGGAAAGATAACTAATTTACATACTGTGGCTAAGGTACTGATGGAAGCAGCTTGAGACAAACATAACGCTTGAGCAATTGTGAACAGAATTTGGCATATACCGCATAACAAATCTGATACTGCCATATTGGCGATAAGTATAAAAGGTGCTGAGTGCATACGGCGTACACGATAAACAGTATAAATTACTAGTAGATTACTGCATACAACAGCTAATGCGTTGAAACATAGAAAACCGGATAATATTGTATAAGATTTAATTAATGGTTTAGTTGGAATGGGTGTACTTGTAACATTGGCCAGGCGAAAAAGATCCATTCGTAATATTGACAAGCGGCATGAAATGATATTGATGATTTGATGTGTTAGACGGCAAGAAAAACTAGTATTTGTCTATTGCAGTTTTGAATAGAGTATCTGATCTGATGGTAGAGCCAGTTAAAGTTAAAATTTGAAGAGCAATATATCGTTTCTTTTTAGAATAAATTAGCTTATATTACTTTTCAAAACACAAACATTAAATTAACGTTATTAATGTAGAAGATTCTAGATAATTAAATTGATTCTATATAGCTTATATTTGGCTTAAAAAATGTAGTGATAAGTGGTAATGACTTCAATGATTGATATTAGTTTCATAATAGCTACACATAATGTCTGCTTTACTGTTGGAGTCAATTACGTAATTTAATCTTAGTTTTTTATTAATTAATTAATAAATGAAGGTTATTTAATCGATACGATAATCCTCTATACTATTAATCCTTGCTTGATTCCAGCTTTCCTTGATCCATTCTAGTATTATCTTTTTATCTTATCCCCCATTTTATTGACGAATTCTCAATTTCATAATCGTTCCAATTGAGATGACTGTAAATATTCCAATATTGAGATCAATAGATGATATCTTTATAATAACAAACATTTATAAATGAAAATCTTGAAGATCGATGTCATTATCGTCAGAAATACGTACGTTGTAAAATGATGAATGTTTTCTTAATAATAGAGTTAAAGTATAAATAAATGGTCGTAACCTATTTATACGAATTGTAAAATTAAATTAAGAACCTATTCAATACCAGTATTGAAATAAAACGTGCTTTTATTTTTAATTTAAAATATATTAAACCATTACGTTTATCTTCAGTATTAATAGATAAGATCCAGTCGAGTTAATCATAACAACCTGATACAAATCATATAGATAGCAATCAATTATGTTATTTGTTTGCATTTTACGTTATAAATTATCTATTGCATACCATATTTGCTCAGCTATTTTGTAAGAAGAGTTAATCTGGGTTTTAATGACGATCAGTTTGATTAAGGTAGCAACACTTCAACCCTATAGTATTTCATCTATCTATTCCCTACATCCACTCAAAATTTACGTCAAGGTCATCGATACCTTTTACACCCTATTTATTTACTTTTTCCATTGCATTGCATTAAGTGTTGACTCAAAAGTACTTTATATATCTATATATATACAGTATATATATATGTTATATATATATACTATCACTATGGCGTATGGCAATACAACAGCTTCTTGACGTTTACTGTATACTCTGATAGTATTTAGTAAACTGATATATTTAATTATCAATACTTGTTAGGTGTGGTGTTATCACATTCAATAAACGATAATGTGAAATAAAGTTGATAATAACTTATTTATATCATTTCATTAATTTAAAATGATGTTGATTTATTTTTTGTAATAAATATCTATTGAAGACCAAAATATTATTTCATTAGCAATGATGACCTTGACATTTACACTATTTCATAACATGATCGACCACTTCAATTTCTCGCCACTATTCCTTAAATGGAAATTGTCTGTATAGTGGTTCAAAAATCGTTACGAGCTAGTTATGATGTGACTTAGGATATAGATGATAATAGTAACTGTAAAAATTCAAAAATACATGAATTGGAATCATGTAGCATATGCCTTAAAGCATCGTTTAAACAGTTGTGGAAGGGTAATTACTAATATATACATATTATTACGATATAAGTTTAAATGTTCGTAATGATAAATGGTTGCCAAAAGATTTTATTAGCCCCGATATGGTAAAAGATACAGATATATGATTAATAGCTACTGTCTTGTATTATCTGCTAGGATACAATTTTTTGTCGGATGTAATAAAAATATGAAAAGAGTAGTGAAAATTTCAGAATAATTAATCCTGTTAATTTTCAACTAATCCAAACTGTGGATTTATAATAATTAGTCCTTTACATAAACCCAGCTTAGCATCATAACTTTATATTATTTATATTTTTACGTATTATATAACAGAAGAGATTAATTTGAACTTTACTATTGTTTTCGTTTGTGTCGTGTAAAGTTTGATATATTAAGTAGATAGAGAAGAGTTGATATAATATTGCGCTTTTGTTGTATATGTGATTTGAACGATTTCTATAGACTGTAGATATATCTGATTATGGTATTATTTCAACTATTAAGATACCATAACTGAAACGGTAGACAACTTTCAAAGTTCGATTAAACTGCATATTTGTTATCATTGAATTGTTGAATGACTGATAATATTACATCTCATATCATTTATCAATTAAGGGAATAGTACGGAAGGAATGTTACATGTATCCTTAATTATTGCATAGTGTATACATATTAAAACGACCATAAATGAATTTTAAGTATCAAAATTATTGCATTATGCTATTCCATTACCACTCATTTACAAAGATATGGATAGTTAAAATGGGATTTTCTTACTATATATTTTCACTCATGCAGTGGTACAACTGATACTAGAAGAATAAAGAGAAGTTTACTCTAGATACAAGAAATCAACGAGTTTCATTTTAAAGATATAAATGTTGTGCGCTATAATAAACTTAGGACGGGATCTTAGATAATTGTAAGAGAATTGATGAGCTATATTCATTGCTATATAATTCTTGACGTTGGTGAAATCATGATATGGGTAAACTACTTCCTAATGTCAAGGGTAATATCTGCTATTTGAGTTACAGAACCTGAAAGACTAGAGCTATTCCAGCGTAATTGAATGATGAGGTTTCAAATTAGATGCATTTTGCTAAGACATGTTGAAGTAAAAGTACAGCATATCTTGCATTCAGCACAATTTATTGATAGTATAGTATCCGATGCTGGCTATATTCGGCTTAAATTTTTATAGGCAATAGAATATATTCGTATAGTAACTATTACGTTACATGATAAATTGTAAATGTTGGTTATGAAGTAAACTACAGTATCTCAGTTCCTTAGATATAAGCAGTGGTGGCTTAAGCAGCTTAAGACTATTTTCTATAAATTATTTTGCTAGTTAGAGCAAGTAGTTTAAATTATAGCAAGTATCTCTATGCCATGCAGATAGCAATCCGCTCTTACGTATAAGGAATAATCGGCTTATATAAAACGGGATGGTGTGATACTCAGGACTTTCTGTACGTGACTACAGTTAGAGCCTAGCAACAAATTGCTTATAAAAGAATAAAAGTTAGATTAATTACTAAGGCACGATCGATGTGAATGCTGCTATTAACAGATGTTCTATATGCAGATTTTTTGCGCTTGATGTTATGCATATGCTAATGATGAGACGTAAATCAATTGAAAGCGAACTAGATTTCCCGAAGTCATTCTACTGTACTTTAAGTAAATGAAATCTTGTGTAATATTATTTTTAATAGTCAATATTAAAGTGCAGTATAATAGAGAAGAGATATCCGCAGTTAAGTTAGACCACTCAGGTATGCAGTAAAACGTAGAACCTTTCATGATATTAAGAAAATAGTAGAGATGACTTTGTTAAAATAGACTGATAGAGTATACAGTAAAGCGTAGAATTTTTATCACGGATAGATTTATCTTTAGAATATCGTTAAAATAAAATGGAAATGGCTTAGTAGGCTGTTACAGTGTTAAATACTGTATTACAGTAGAAATAACTATGTTAGGATAATTCTGTTAGACTATCCTTATTTAGTTAACTTCTAATTTGGATATGCTGTATTTTAATATAGCACTGACTTTTTATGACAGTGACACTTATACACATACTGAAATTAATAGTTATAATAGGGAATGCAAATCATCTGCTTACAGTTCGAATCATTGTGATTGTAATTTACTTATGGTAGACTGTAAATTATGGTGGAAATGTTCCGTGATAGGACATATCGTAATCTGACTATTCTGTATTAGTCATTACATGCCTATGTTCGTAAATACTGTTGTCTGCATTAAGGGAGCTGTAGCTAAAATTAATATCTAATTCAGTAAATGATTCTAATGTTAATTGTATTAACTATGACTCATGAACTATTGAGGAATAGTATATAAATGCAGTATATCGTGAAATAAAGAAGAATTGTCCAACTTAGTGTTTAACGTAAAATACGAGGCGTTTAAGTCTTTGTGTAGTCTGCTAGTAGAGCAAAAGTGTTTGTGATAGTGCAGATATCGTTCCTTGATACGTGGTTCAAGGAATTGACTTATTGATCGTATATTGCGTTATCTTGTTGCAAAGCTGTTTTGTGACATAGGCACTGAGTTAATCTTAACTTTGGAGATACCCAATTAACAATTCTTGCCCTACAGTAGAACTGAGGGCAGTTGTTTAATCGAGAATTAATCGTCAAAGTTGAAAGTCATTAAGGATTGTATAAATATGTTAATCATTATTCAGTAAAGTAGCGTAGTGGTTTAGGTATTTAATTCAGAATTAAGAGTGTTTCTTAGATACAGCTTAGGAATTATTTGTTGCCATGGGGACAATCATTGCAGTAGCCTACTACTTAGATTATTAAGTTTGGCCTTGTGGATAATTGATTATATATTACAATAAAGCAAGAAAATTTGTATCAAGTGTGATTCAATACCAATTTTAAATCTGCATTTCTAATTCATGAGGTATTTACTGGACAGAAAATAGTTTGAAATATTCGATTAGATACCATTTTATCAATTGAATAGGCCTTATTGTCAAAGCTGTGATAATATAGATATTGGTTGGGGTTGAAGATATGGATTCTAATGTTCCCTAGAGTAAAGTATTTACAAAATTTTTAAATTATAAATTTTTAATGCGACACGACGTTCCATTTATTCGTGAATTATACCTAATTTTAAAGATACATATCGAATGTTATCAACGATGATGAGGGCTTTGTTATTAAAATTGATGAAGGGGCTAGATCAATTTACGTTTTGTCGTTAGTTACCGAATTAATTATTGATGGCAGATAGTTTTGTGCTCAGATTATTTTATTGAAATTATAAAATATTAATATGCAGTATTTGCAAAGCATGCCACATCAGAAATAATGCGATGCAATACCTTAGTCAAAATTTTCTTACTGTTGATCTATCGTAGACTGGGTGTAATCGATGGTATCCGAGTTACTATCTTGCTTATTTAGTCACGCTAGACGCGTATGGAATTTACGATGGAATATAAGAAGTTAGATATATAGGATTTTGGCCATGATATGTGAAATAAATTGCCTGTATTCCTAAAAGTATACAGATAAGTTACCAGCAGTAAGTATCAAGAATAATCATTAAAGTCGAGATGAATAACAATATATTAAAATTGAAAATGTCGTTTTCTATAAGATATAAATCGATTTTAGGAACGCTAATGATAGTTTATTCGTATTAGTTAATTTAATGCGTTACACGCAGAATTAAGGATAGACTTTGCTGCTTATTAGCAGACATAGCCGCGGTTGAGATCGACGATATTCAAACAATTCTTTACTATTTCAGCGTTCATTGGAAATGATCATGGAATTTCGCAATGGCAATCAATAGTAGTAGATATGCCGATGGCAGTGTTACATAATGGATCATATTCATGTTCCGTTTGTCAATCGTTTCTTAAGGCAACAGCACCAGATATGCCGATGGTAATGTTGCACAATATTCCAACTCCATTTATATATTTGTCTCTTAACTCAATCGTGGCAGACATGTCGATGATTGTACTGCGTAGTACATAATAATATTTAAGCTACTTTTATTCCTTGTTTCTAAACTGCATTAGACATGCGATAATAGTATTTAAAAGGACATGATTTTCAAGCTACTTTTACTAGTTGCCTCTTAACTTAACAGTAGTCGACATGCCGAGACCAGTATTACATCGTGCCTAATATTCAAGTTGCTTTTACTACTCCTTTCTTAACTCAACAGTAGTAGACATACCGATGGCCGTATTACAAAATATTCAAGTTACATTTTATGATTCCTCTTTGATTCAATGGTAGATGACATGCCGATATCCCTATTGCATAGTATTCAATTTTTTTGGTACTTGTCTCTTCACTCAATAGGCTTGCTGTAGTCTTTACAACTCTTGCCGAGCTAGTCAACATGCCAGTTATTAATCATATTCAAGTTATGTCTATATTATCTCATCATTTAGGTAAAAGCTATCTTTGCCACTTTTGGGATTGCTGGTGAAGCAGTACTCATGCTAGTTAGAGCAAGAGTTACTTTTAACTGCATCGATGGCGGTACAAGATGCAGTGTAATACCTTACTGTAGTACAGCATGCTAGCCGAGAAGATTTCGCTAGCCATACGTTTCTGCCAACAGCCATACTGTTATGGTAATACAGAAATTAAAAGAAAAGTACAAGAATGCATCATTATGCTGTATTTGCAGTTCTAATAAATATGGGAAATTTTTGTTTGTTTTGCTGGCAAACCAGTATCGTCTTGTCTCATGGTCAGCAGCGCTAAGCATCAATACACAGTGATTTACAAACTTTTAAAATGAATGATGATAACGTGCTGAGTGCTTTGCGTAGTATTTACTAATTATGCCACTAGAGTGCAATCATGGAGCAGTACATCAAAATAAGCTATAAAAGATATCTTCCACTTGATGTACCTATTGTAACTTATATTGCTCTACACAGTAGTTGTATTTTAATCAGCGACGAGCATTTCCTTGCTACTTGCTAACAAGGCGATGGATATGACCTGATAAAATAAAGCAGTGGTACAGCCTATCCATAAAATCAATTCCAAGTAGACATACTGTAGAATAGTAGTCATGAAGATCTGTATCAGGAGATGATTGATTTTTACTCTTTAGAATCAGCAATCTACAATAGCATCGGGATCGAATGCATACTTGGACTTTATCCTTTATTCAAAATAAGTAGTGCGATATGATAATAATATCCTGAAAGCGGCAGAGCGGATACTGGCTAATTACTCGTAGAATTAATGATTACTGTACACGAAACAACTTAGGTGAAATCGATCAAGATGTTGAGCTGACAAATAAAGCTACTACCGCTATCATTTCCTAGTCAATGTTGAACAGTCCAATCTTTAAAATGCGTTTCGATCCAACCTATTTAAGCTGTCATCAATAGGCTATCGAACGTCCAATCTATGCCAATGATAATTATAATTTAAGAGCTGTATTTGATTACGCTAAGGATTGCAAATACGCCAGACTGAGGCAGAGGAATAGCCATGACAGCTGCATGTGGATGATAGGGTAATACCTACGGAGTGATCTAGCTTTAGCAGCCATCAAGAGGCTATAGAATATCTGAATCATGCCCATGATCATTTAAGAGCTGAGCTTGATACTGCTAGCTTACTATAAATATGGCAGAGTCAGTTCGAGAAATAGCCATGGCTGTACCATGTGGATGATCGAGTATTAATTATGCCTACACTGCACTGTTTAGACAGCACGATGGGTGGGTGGAATGAGAAAAAAACATTTTGCTAAAAGCTTCTTTCTGTATAAAGCCTGCAATCTGTTGGGCTGTTTGCTACCATGCTTTTGCTACTAATCCACTACGCGCAAACGCCGCAACGAAGCAATACCTAACAGACAGACTGAAAAGACCTGACCAATAATTCATACTCTATAGAATCCAAGAAACAACTATACGACAAGGAAAGTAGCAGCAAGGCGAATTTTTGGTCAGTCTATCTCCATCGTTCACCATGCCGCAGCCATTAGAGACTTTTGACCATAATTATAAAGTATTAATAGTTGGTGATAGTGGCGTTGGTAAAACGTGCGTCCTCTTAAGGTTTAAAGACAATGATTTTCAGTCAACGCTTTTAAGCACCATAGGTAAGTCTTGTGATTATTCTTATTAGCAATCTATTCTAGGCTGATTAATTGATAGGACATACTAATGTAAATGATACAGTGATTGCCATCCATTACGTCCATGATGAGTGCCAATAGAGCGGAAAATGGACTCTGTAACATTCATTAATTAATTATAGATCGTCTAGTATCACATTTGTTGATCGTGATCAATGGCGAGTAGTGTATGGATGTTGTATCCAAGTTTCCATCACCGGTTATAAAGTAAAGGAATAGCAACACGTTGTAGCTCATCTTGTCAATCATCGCTCTCGATCATAATCCTTAGCAACTCAATAGAGTTGTCCATTAAGAGCAATAGATTATGAGATTGCCTTCAAAATTCATCGGTAGAGTGTAGATTCTACTGTAGAACCACTGTCTACATTACCTTGATGATCATCATTATTGCAATGGATAGAAATGATTATTCGGCTACTGATGAATTTACATAGTAATACATGTCCAATTCTTGACAGTGCTGTCCATACCGTATCATGGCTAAATTTGCAATCGCTAGAAATGGATTTGACATCAGTTCAACTGGCAATGACTATGCTTTATTTGGCATTAACCATTCGATAGCGATGTCCACGATTAGAGCAATACCTTATAAAAGCTATTCCTATCACGATAATAACGGATTGCAATCGATCTGATGATGTCATTTTATATAGTATCGAAGTACTGGCTATTAGATGGCGTAGGACTTTTACGATTACGATTAGAACTCATTCCAGTTGATGTGAATTCAATTATTTAACACTAGTATGACCAGTGGCGATTGCTTGATATGGTATTGATCGTCAGATGTCGATTTCTGCCACTGTTGATGATTATGATAATAATTCATTCTCATCGATATGAATTATTTGGTATGGTATTGAGTATCCCATGTCGATTGCGAGAATAACTTATTCCAATCGATATGAATTACTGGACGCTAGTTAGTCATGATTATTAGTCATGGTATTGGCTATCCGATTTCTTCGACTGCTAGTAATAACTCATTCCAATCGACAGGCATCAAGGATACTAGTTAGTGATGTGATTGGGATAGGGTATTGATCATCCGATATTGATTTATATAGTGATAATCACTCATTCAAATCGATATGATCTCTTTGACACTAGTTAGTCTGCTAGTGATGATTCTATAGGGTATATATTTTAGAGGATGCAAAGGTCATATGAATGGTCCCCAAATGTTTACCATCAACACTGAATCGTTCCGATAATAATTTTACTACTGGAGCATGAATTATTTCACATAGTATTGATCATCCGATGCCGACTTTGATGACTACTACCTACATATACCGTATAATGGATAGCCATCGATCGATGAATTTTCCAAATCTATTGGATCCATCATTCTTATTTATCATGGTTTTAATCCTCATCCGATGTCGATTTCTATCACTACGGCAATCGGACTAATGACTAGTAGCAATCGGTATGAAATAGTTGACACTAGTTAGACTAGTGGTAAATATTATTTTGACTGCTGCAAATACCGTATAATGGATAGCCATCGATGGATGTATTTTCGACATCCGTTTGATCCATCATTCTTATTTGATATGGTTTTGATCATCCAATATCGATTTCTACCTCTGCGGCAATGAGCCTAATGACTAGTAACAATCGATATGAAATAGTTGACACTAGTTAGACGATTGGTAATTATATATTTATATTTTGACTACTGACTGTAATACTGTATAATGGATAGCCATCGATCGATAAATTTTCCACATCCGTTTGATTCATTAGTCTTACTTGACATGATTTTAATTATCAGATGTCCATTTCTACTACTGCGGCAATGAGACTAAGGACTAGTGGCAATCGATATGAAATAGTAACGCACACGAGTTAGACGATTGGTAGTTATTTTCATTATACCTACTGCAATATCGTATAATAGAAAAGCATCGATCGAGGATTTTTCAACATCCGTTTGATTCATCATTCTTATTTGACATGGTTTTAATCATCAGATGTTGATTTTTACCAATACAGCAATGAGACTAGTAACTAGTAGCAATCGATACGAAATGGTTGATACTAGGTAGACTAGTGGCAATTAATTATTTTATATGGTATTGGTGATCCCGTGTCGATTTTTAGGACGACTGATTGCTATCGATATGTAATTGACACCGGTTTGATTCATGATGATTATATATAATTATTTTATTGGGTATTGACGTACGGGTAGCCGGTTTTATCATTACCAATAAAATTGCAGTCGATATCAAATCTTTGGCGCTAGTTGGACTTGTAATGATTAATTACTTACATCGATAGTATTGGCCATCACATGTCGAGTTTTACATCGACAGTAATAAACGGATTGCTATCGACATGCATTATTTAACGCTAATTTGACTAATGATGATTATTTTCCATCGATAGTAATAACGGATAGCTATCGACCTGAATTATTTGACGCTAGTTTGATTAGTGATGATGTTTTTAATCGAAACTATTGCCTATCAGCTATCGATTTTTACCACTACTGTAATAACTGATTGCTAATGACTTTACGGTAATTATTTTGACGTTTGACTAATGATGCTTATTTTACATCGATAATATTGCCATCAGATGTCGATTTTTACCACTGCTATAATACCTGATTGCTATCGTGATGAATTGATTAGTTTAAATACTGTACATATTCGTATACTCGTATTTATTTAACTTTGATCCAGTGTCAGTTTTCACCATGACTGTAATAACTGGCAGCTATCGAAAGGGGTGAATGAACAGTTGCATACTAAACATGCACTTTCCGCTGCACGCTAGACTGCATAGTCAATTAGTAACTGCTGTGGATTTTAATCGATTCGATATGCCGGGCTATCTTTTAAAGATAACGTAGAGAGAATTACTTCCTAATGAATAGCCTGAAAATAACATACAGGAACATTGATGAAAGTATTCTAAAAATGTAATTACGCTCCTAATTTATAAACGATGGAATGGCTATTATTCTATGAAAATTGTACAGTACTTCTTGATAGAAAATTCACTCTCGGTATTGTTATTCATTTATAGTTATAGAGTTATGATATATCTTGGTTATAATTGACATAGTGCTTATGGTTAAGGAAATGTTTCATTATATCTTTGAAATACGTAATAATTTTCATCATAAACCTCTCCACAAATTTTTTTAGTAAAAATAATTTGACAATATAATAAGTTTATAACATGGATTTATTGAAGCAGAGTTGTCCCTAAATTGAGTGACTAAATTCTGCGTAACATGGACCAAATGTGATACAAAAAATAAATCTGTTGCATTTTTATTTTATTTTTTGTATCTAGCAAGACATTTTAAAATACGGGTAATTTGTATAAAATGAATCAGCCTAACTTCGTTAATGATACACTACCGATGCTGAACAATATGCATACTGTAAACCTAGGATAAGTTAACAAACTGAATAATGACTTATCGTGGATATTATTTGTAATGTCCGCATAAATATTGAACCTGTTTAATTGCATTGGCCATTATCCAAGATACGGCCATAATTACTTTCAACGAATTATGTACCATCTGTAGGTATTGATCTAGTCAACAAACAAGTCGTCGTTGATGATAAGAAAATTATGTTACAGATATGGTAAGATTTTGATTTCTTGTTGAATCTCGTTTTTCATATTAATAACTCGTATTCGATGGTGTTAAAGAATTTGATCAGATCGTATCCGTACTGTGTTACTATAAATTTACTCTGTAGGGATACTGCCGGTCAAGAAAGGTACAAAACTCTTACTAAAGCTTTCTATCGTGGTACTTCGGTAAGGAAAGAATATCATTATAATCAATCACGCAGCTAATGAAAGTAATTTCAATCAAGAATATGCTATAGTGACCAAAAATTTCGCTAAGTATCTGAATGTAAAATTTCTCTTAGGGCATACTACTTGTTTATGATATTACAAAGAAGAAGTCATTTGATAATATCCGTTACTGGATGAAATGTATTGCTGATGTTAGTATATGTGATAAAAATTTTGTTAACAATTATTCTAAATAAATTGACGGTATTCTTGAGTACGGAATAGGCTGATAAAGATACGCTTATCAAAATATGAATAAATTGCCTAACGTAGTATAAACTCTAACTTTGAAGTGTTATAAGATCTTATTTAATGCTAAATACTGAAACAGTGTCTTAATTCTTTATCATTGTTTTAGTGTTACGATGGCGATTTAGAAAATGCACCGATACTCTTTATAGTTGGTAACAAGAATGATTTACCCAGAGAACGGAAAATCAAATACGATGATGGACAATTAGTGAGTAATCCGCACATCAATTTCAATTACAGCTAACCAACCTATAGCAATTTTCTTATTGATATATTCACATAAACACTTTTCACTGAAATTAATAACGAAGCTCATCAGAATTTTACCTTTATAACCCTTAATATGCTCAGTAAGAAAAAAATATTGACTCTGTTCTATTAATAAATTTTTACAGTTAGCTATAAAATACAGTGTCAAGTTCTTTGAAACAAGCGCTTACACAAACTGCAATGTCAACGATGTAAGTCTTTTGATCTATGTAATCATAATCTAATAACTGTAAAATAGTCTTGTCTTACGCTTACTTACTTAAATTAGTCTTAAAAATGACAGTGCAATGTGTTTGTTTAAAGTTAATGGCCATTAAACAAATATTGATGATTATTATTAGGTATTTTACAGGCTGGCGGAAGATATGTATTATAATGTAAGTTCATGGCAGTGCAATCAAATTACGGCTTTATATTAATGCTATAACATTTAACATATCTTCGTTCATTCTCATTATTTTAAAGATATAATAATATCGAATTATATAATTCATAGTAGCGTTGGTAAATTATAAAATTTATAAATCTTTGTGTTGTTTTAGTCAACTGGTAAAAGACACGTAACAGGTCCTGTGTTTAATGGCACTATCAAAGTTGATAGGAAAAAATCGACTCAAAGGAAAGAAAGTGACGGTGGACATAGTTGTTGTTAGCCTCGAGTTATTTCAAAGTAATTTAACATATCCCTGAATTATCAATATTGAATAGTAGCTTTCACGACAATTTGCACGTCATGAAGTACATTTACTATATGAAATTGAAACGGTATAGTGTACATTACATTATGTGCATTATACTATGGAGATGCATGTATATATAGCGGTAATACAAGAGCAGAATAAACTCAAATGCCATACTCTGTATAGAACTACTTTTTATAATCTATTTTGTTTATTAATCCTTGTGGCAAGTGCTAACAGTAGTATACTTTCCGTGACGAATCTCACAAGGTTTTGATATTTCAATGATAACTTATTGTTACATAAATCGCTTTTTACGTATTATGATTCTAGAAAGTATACGGATATTTTAAAACGGCCTATAAGGATAAGTTGTTATAGCAAGTGATTCTAGTAAAATCATGATTTGATCTAAATACAGTTTTGAGATACGAGTGGTATCAGTGACAAGCAAACGTTGGGTATCACTGTATTTATGTCTTATGATTAATTCGTAAAGCCTGACATAATTTCTCGTCTGGTATTAACCATATAATTATTTTAACTTTCAAGTTATTTAATAAGCTGCAGTTCTATAAGAAGATAAATCATATCAAAGGTATTTCTAGTATTATATTAACGGATCTAGTTTATTTATTAAGCAGTAATATTTCGACTTAAAACCATATATAACGGAAGTGATAAAAAATAACAAATGTATTAGCGATAGAATCAGTTTTAACCTATGTATTAATAACTTCATAACCAGAGTTGTTTTATTTTGACCATATTATTTGATTGATAAATGCTACAAAGATAAAATTCAGTAACCAACTTGTATAAGAATTTGTATCAAAATGTATCATTAAGCATCGCAATAAATTGGTAGTAATGTTTGGAACTTGAAATACATTAAGCTGTTAATTGTTGCAAAATTGTTATACAGATATATATCTTAAGAAATAGAATACGTATTTTATAAACTTCAAGGTAATGACAATAAATTTGCTAAAGTTAACCAAGTGAGATATTGCCAACAACTATAATTTGTTTTTCATATTAGTGGTGCAGATGTTATACGCGTAAATATCGCTAGCTAAATTATAAGCTAACACACGGGTCAGGCCAACTTATTCTAGAGCAAAAATATAGTCTCTCGTTGCCCCCTTCGCTGAACCTGAAGTTCAAAATATTGATTATGAATAAGTTCGAAACTATTTATTATAATTATGGGAAATGATCTGTAAGATAGAAACCTAACTATCAGTTTGCTCATTACAATGCTAGCGTAAAGAATCTGAACGTGTTGTGCAGGATAAATATCTCCGTTCAGTCATTACCTTAAGTCAACAATCTATTCGATTTTGATGAAATCTTGGATCATATCCCAGCTACTACTTGTTCAAGTTTTCGCGAAATTAGATTTAAGAAGAGGGTCTAAAGTACTTTACTGCCAATAATGAACGGGAATTTATTCAAAATCTTAGCCATATTAGGATTTTAACTGCATATATATCTCACTAATTTATTTTCTAATCGAGTTTTAAAACAAATTTATGGCCTCCACAACTTAATTTACGGGAAGCTAACAACCGCAACACAATAAACCTTTTAAATTATTCTGACATCTCGAAAATATTTCTGCATAATCTAATTCTACCTTACTATAAATATGACAGCGATTCAATTAATTTAGAATTAAGCACAACCTAAACAAGTCATGCGAAATTGAAGGCATATGAATCTTGTTACTGCCAGATATTACCATTGTACATAGTACGAAATCAACACTAGTTAAAATGAGTAGGTTTAAAATTCAATCGGATAAACTATGCAAAAAATATCCCATAAGAATATAACACGTGATTTTAAAAATTATAAATTTACATTATTAAGCTCCGTTGAAGAGTTATAAATATTATGTAGTCGCTACCTCATGCTATAATAGCAATTTAATAGACATACGGTCAGGGTATCAGTAACAACTTCAAAATGGAACTTCATGTTAAACATGAAAGTACGTAAACTCATATAATTTGGATTACGATACACTATATACATGTGTTGAAAGATGATATCATCACAAAAAATGATCCTTTTTCTTAATTAAAGGTTGCTGATTCTTTCTAGAAATTAGTTCACATTGCCACAACAGCCAATATTGTACCGATTAACTGTAAATACCAGTACACCTTTATAGTAATTAGAATACGTTAAAATTACGATAGCTCTTCTATTGTAATAACTGCTATCTCTATATACAGATACATGGACTCTTTCTCCAAACAAAGCCTCAACAAGAGCATGAATTTGCTTCTTTCGAGTCATTCGTAACAGAATTTAATCGGCTAGATCCATCGATTTTATCGTTGCTATTTGATAATCCATCGATTACATGCTTATTACCAAGAGAATATTCCCTTGCTATCGCGAAGCAAACTTCTAAGAAAATTTCTGAAATGCCTGCGAAACGATATCGGAAAATAAGCTATCAGATTTAGTATATGTTATTACACCTCTATTTCTTAATAAGATTCCTAGCTTTACCTTCGCCGGTAGCTGCAGAAGTTTCCATATATATGGCTGAATTATCATGGGCTAGTTCCAATCCATCTTCTTTACTGACAACCCGTTGATCAGCTAAATCAGATTTGTTTCCAACAATGCCTAAAACTATTTGACGAACCCATAATTATCAGTTCATGTCAGTAAAATAACTTGTACATTATCATTTAAATTAATTTGAAAACTTACTCAAGGATTTATCAGACGTGTTTTTATGCAATTCTTTAGGTGATAAAATTAGAGGTAGTGTTTAGTTGATCACTTTTAAAGCATAAGTCACTTTAGATTTATTTTTGCAGCATAGGTTTATACTGCAAATATAAGTATATGCCTGTTTGCGATAGTGTTAGCATTATATTAGCAATACCTTCAATCCATCCTTTGGTAGCTTCAAAAGTACTAGAGTCAGTAATATCATAAACAATTATCGCCGCTTGTGCTTTGCGATAGTAGAGTGGCGTCTATTGAAATAAACGATATATCAAATTATAGGCAGGTCAGCAACTATGATGAGAAAGGGTGTCAGAGAAATTTTAGACATAAATGTGACTATACAAAGCTACTCATGCACTATATTTTTTGCGTTAAAATTCTTACCATAGATCTAAACCTAAACGTGGAAAAAAGTATGCAGTTAGGTATGAGAAATGAAATTGTTATCATACTAGTAGTTATGTTACCTTTCTTGTCCAGCAGTATCCCAAATTTGTAAATGAAATTTGATGTTGTCAACGTGTCTGCAATTTACAAACATTGAACAAATTACTTTAACGAATCTACAATTTAAAAGTAGTTCGTATTATTGTGATCAGTTAAGAAACTACTACAGCGATGTAGCTTGTTGCGATCAGTCTTTTACTTTGGTCAAAGCCAATACACATCTAATTCTTTTCTGGTATTAGATTCAATTATTAGTGTTGTAGGAATTTCAATTCTATTTACTGTGAATGCATATTCAGTATACAGTATACACCTATCTAATGGATGAATATTTGCTACAGGCTGATCTTAAAAATGTTATCGGATCTAGTTGAAACTAAACAATTCAATATATCTGTGAAAAAGGATAGTATTATATTTGACTTACACAATATTTGTAAAAAAGGATGCTCCGATTGTGGAATTACAGGCTAAAGGATTCCTTCGTTTCAGGTAGCGCAGAACGATCGAGCTTTTCCCGACATCTTTTTTGAAAAAGATTTAATGTACAGTTAAATCAACTATTCATGTCATATGTTAATAACACTGGACTCTTTGGCATGCTATATACAGTAAACCTACATCTCTACAGATACTACCACTATGTGAACTATTGCTGCCTTCAGCCTGCAAACCTTTCATAATTACAATCGACTACTCTATACGTATAAAAAATAATATATGCCTGCATATATAAGTGATGTTGTAATCTAGATATTTAGGGCAATACTGCATTACTTCTAATTGAGTGAATATTGGTTGGTATACTATGGTTGAAATAATAATGGCATTCTTCAAAACTATCATTTTTACGTCATCGAGAGGACGATAATTTTATTTAGCTGAGTTATTCTATCGCACTACATTGTCTGTCCTTTCAATTTTGTTTATATTGGCAATCTTGCAGGTTACGTGTATCGATGTACGGGGATAATTTCCATATGTGGCATAAAATACTGCGATCTCAATACTGTACTATATGATGATGATTTTTATCCAAAGTGGTAGCAAAGTAGTTTGCATACATTGCTGTACTAAATGATGATGATTTTTATCCAAACTGGTAGCAAAGTAGCTTGATACGTATTGTTGTACTATATGATGATAATTTTATCCAAACTGGTTTAGCAAAGTAGTTTGCATACATTGTTCTTCCTATTTCGCTTGTACAGGGCATAAAATACTATAATATCTGGTGATAATTTCCATGCAAACCGGTAGCTAAGCAGATGTAATAAATTCTACATGGCTAGGAAATGGAAGCGACAACATTACACTGTCTTACTCATGTTGATCTCAATCATAGGTGCAAATATTGACATGATTGCGACGCTGTACCACCATGATAACAATACAGTGATAAAAATGGATCAATAAATTGACCGTCTGCTTATGGTTTGAAGGGATTTCAAGCATTCGCTGTCATCGTAAAATTTGATGTAAAGGCAGTAGTGGTTATTAGCTGTATGTGAGGTTCTTTCAAGCAAGCATCATTTTTTTTTTGATCACGTCATCATCAATGTTTGTTTTTACATATACTATTACGAAGCCTTGTATAGCAAGAATAGCTTCAAAATATTGGCAGTAAGCATCGTATTCCAATCTAGCATATTCGCAAGCATTCATCTAGTATTGATCCTTTTCATTCAATCCTTCTTAATCAGTGTTAATGGGATTGTTATGTTAAATTAGAATCGGCTTTTGACATGCTCTATTATCGAATTCCTAAACATTTGACTTAGAATTGATTATACGCCCATGGTTCTACTGTCAGATCACCGAATTTATGTAAAAAAGAACTTGTCCATATAGTACAGTACGGCGATGTCAGCACTCAGCAGGACATCAATAAGATACTATTCACCAAATTTATGTGAATATAGAAGATGCTAGTAAGTTTTGTGTATCTTTCATCAGCATTTCTCTTTGCCGTAGAAACGCAGTTCATGTACCCGTACGAGGCATAACTTCAATTAAGCAGTCAAAATGAACCAAAAATCTTGCATTGAATTGACTTTGTCGATATTCTAATACCAATCAATATATTCCATAGATTAAGAATAGATCGGACAGGAATGAGTTGTACTGTACTGTACAGATAGCGATTTGGCAGTTATTCATATCATACTTCAGATAACGATTCCATTCTACAATATTTGTAAACTATCGAGAAGGATTTACAAGAATTTTCCTTGTGTTAATGAGAGCGAAATAGACACAAGAAAGATTGATTATGTTGATATGCTAGTGCACAATCGTTCTTGCGTAGGCAATACGTAGACAAAGGGTATATGGGACAATTGCAAAGTCCAAACGTTTGGACTGTAATTAAAAGACAAGTAAAGTAGTAAAGACGAGTCCGAGTCTTATGACCATCACATGGGATCAATTGATAGGTGGTATCTCGATCGCTTGCCGATGTAATCGATCAAGTAGTGACATGAATTGATATGATGAGCTCAGCTATTAAAGCACTAGTTCACGGGCGAAGCGAGCTTTCTCTACCCGTTGAAAGCTGTTCATTCGTGTTTAGCAATAGTGGTGCACTAACGAGTTCTTCGAAGTAACCAAGGGATTTACTTTCAATTTGGCTACGATTTTTACGTCAATAGATCCATACAAGCTTGTAAGGTTTATGTAAAAGTCAAGGGGTAATCGTGGTCTATTGAAATGGTCAAGAAATTCTAAGCAGCTTCATGAGTGTGTAGCAGATTCATGTACTGTACAGTAAGTAATCGGTATATTAGTTAGAATCTTCATTTTGGTTTGCAAATAGATCGATAGCTCATTACGAAATGTAGGTAAGCTAAAACTTGCCACGTGTACAAGTTGGAGACAGTATTGTAAAGGGAAGTTAGCTAGGCAATGCCTACAGTTTTGCTGATATCACGAAAGGAGTAGAAATTATCAGTTTATGGATCATCTCTCAATTATAGCAGCAAGGAAAAGATAGTGGCCACTTTCATGTTATTTTAATGATGCCTTCGTAGTTCATTATGCACTGCGCGTAGGCTTGAAATTGTCAACAGACAAGTACTGTACTGAATGCCTATCCTCTTCTCATAGATAATTGAGTGTATTTTTCAGACATTGTCTACCTTTTACCTACTCTCCTCTATTCTATAAAGTATCGTTAAGCAATCTTGAAGGCAATGTTGGGATATACTGGGTCTCAGGCCTGCATTTTGCTGACGAGCGTATATACAGTACAATCGATCAAGAGGCGGTAGAAACCCAATCCATCGTTGAGCCATTGCTCACCGATTGGCTCGTCTATGGTATATCGATCGATAGAACCGCACTTTTGCTGTCCATTTCTGATTCAATTGAACAATTCAACAGTACACTAAGTTATTTTTACACTAATTATATTATCAATAGTAGCTGATTCGATGGCTAACTTGTAGTTGATGTCATTATAAGAAGCTCCAAGCAAGCCTAAACTTTATCTACAGTCACGAATGTTATCGTTATGATAAGATGGCAAGTAGACAGTAAGTTGATATGATGAAATCAGTGCATCACCTACCTTGACTTCCTAACATCACAACCTTGGGCTCCATGACAGTTAAAGCCATGCCTATTTACGCTCTCCTTCGAAGAAAGATTCTTCTTGTCAAGACTTTCACAGCTTTCAACTTGTTATCACACTTGATAGCTTATTTTGCAACGACAAGGCCTAGCTTGAAATGAAAAAGTGCCGATGATGGAGACTACACTCACTATAATGATGTCTTGTACTTTATTCATGCAGTGTAGACCATAGTAAAGCATGCAGTGTATTATCATTCGATTAAACTACCGTAAAACAACCTATCGAATGATGGCATCGCATTCAAAATGGAAATGGAGGCAAGCGATGATGAATTTTTCGACTCTTTTCCACAGTCTTGGCCTGATATTCAGAAATAAATTTAAACTTTTGCAAACCTCATACTACAAGAGTAGATAGTCTACAACAGTCTTTCTTGCCTTATAGGTTATTATGGAGGAGTTGCTATTGGAAACCTATCCTGGTCCAGTCTTGAGTTGCGTCCAATGGTCAAGGCTTGAATTCATACTGTACACTATTCATACTGACTACTGTATGGGGATTTACCTATTTCACCATCTGAAATCCCTATGCAACTATTCTTTTCAGCTCGAGCTCTCATACTTTGCTCTATACGACACACTACCTTATCCTACAGTATATTAAGGCATTCCTGTCACTAGCCCACTCTACGTGACCGCAATAGTGGCAATAGACAAATCGATCGATGATGCATAATCATTTATACATAAATAAATAGAAATACTCTAGGATAAAGGCGGTGATGATGTCATGGAGTCGAAAATTCTTTCTTATTCCGCACCGGTATTTACTGTGCAAGTGCATCGATCAATCGCATTCTCGATTTGCTGCACAGGTACATCGATCACAATCAATCCAATCAGTATTCTCCATTTGCTGTACAACTGTATTAATCACAATCAATCAATCGTATTCGCGATTTGCTGCACAGGTACATCGATCACAATCAATCCAATCAGTCAGTATTCTCCATTTGCTTTACATGTGCATCGATCAATCGAACCAGTATTCTCCATTTGCTGTACAAGTGCATCGATCACAATCAATCAATCGTATTCGCGATTTGCTGTACAGATGCATCGATCACAATCAATCCAACCAGTATTCTCCATTTGCTGTACAGTACAAGTGCATCGATCACAATCAATCAATCGTATTCGCGATTTGCTGTACAGATGCATCGATCACAATCAATCCAACCAGTATTCTCCATTTGCTGTACAAGTGCATCGATCACAATCAATCAATCCCATTCTCGATTTGCTATACAGTACAAGTGCATCGATCACAATCAATCTAACCAATATTCTCCATTTGCTGTACAAGTGCATCGATCGCTACAATTTTTGAGTAGGAATCTCCGTTCAGGCTGGGAATGCAGCCATCCATGTGAATGGATTTCTATTGCTAAATTGCCGAAAGCTACAACTTAGCTGAAATCGGACAGCATAAGCTGGCGTGAGACGCACTATCGAGCCTGGACAGACTAGTGGATACTCTCACAACAGTAGCTCAATAAATCCTCTTACAATTTAGTAATCCATGACTGTACTGTACTGTATACAGATTAATCAATCTTGGTGAATTAAGTTGTCAGTCTAACAATCATAAAGATGACTAAAATCTTTCTGGTAGACGTGTATTGAATAATTAATTAATCCATGATTATGTACACTGCCAGTTCATCGTCCGATCCACTGCACAGTGCACAAGAATGAGCTAAGGGATCAGGCTTAGACCTGAGAAAGGCCCGGTTTATAAACACTAAACTAAAATTAGACCTCGTCTTTCCACTCCACACTGAAATACTTCACAACTAACTCACCATTTTACTCCATGACTGAATAGTACTGTCATCAACCGCTAGAAGAAGATTTCAAGTGGTCATAGAGCAGCACACCTGAGGCATGATGAGCTAAGCGATCAAACTTAAAAGGTGCAAAACTAAAAGTCAAGATTCGATCTGGTCTCCCCACACTAGTAGACAGTAGTTCAAGCATTGTTCATCAGTACAGTACAAGTATATCGATTGCCTTGAGCTAAACAATCAGACTTGAGGGGATATAAACAAGAAAATACCAAGTTTAATTCGATTTGATCTTTCAATTCTACTTGAATATATGGTTTATATGGAAAATTGCTCAACGGGCCATGGCAACATTGACCAGTTAGCTCTGTTTAGACTGAACATGCGTACACTATCGCTAAAAGTTTACTGTATTAGGTTACCATAGCGACCATGCACAGTAAAGTAAAATAGGACAAGAGAAGTGTAAAAAAGACTTGGATTCAAATTCTTCTTCTATAGTCTACACTATAAGCAAGGGTTATGCTTTCAACCTAATATCACCGGGTGGGGAGAGTTGTACTGTAGATATGTGCGCCTTATTTTATTATCAAACCACAGCAGAATTTGATCTAGTGTTGAAATAAGTACTCGACTGAATATTACCATATTAGCGCTTTGCTTAGTGTTCTAGTCAAGAGTGACAAGTCGATGGTTCTCTTATTCCGATACATTTTAAAATAAAACAATCTTCTTTCTTGACATTGGACATTTTTATCCCTAATCGATATTCACTACAACGACAGCCTAATTGAAAGTGACACCATAACCACCGTAGGCCTTCGTTAAATAATATTCGATCAACTTTACCACAAGTCTCATCAATCTATCTCCAAAATGGTAACATCAAACGAAATTCAATTATTAAAAATTATAAACCAATTCCATTTCAGTTCAATATATTATTCTATTCTTGACAGAAGAAATAGTTTTACGAGCACAACTGGAAACTATCCTAGCGTAGTAAAATACTATATAGATACAGTGTATATACAGTACTTACTAAAATTTTATAATTATTCATCGAAGCGGTTATCATTATTTCGGATTATAGTATTTAGTGCGTTGACTACTATCTACTATGCACTAGACAGCAATTATTGATATGAATCCTTTATATTCCAATGGTGCCAATGATGCCATAGTTAGTCGCTGTTTATGAATATTAACCAATTTAATTTTAACTGTCACTTTAAAGTAATAGGATTGTGTTGTGTATTAAATGTCTATCCTCAGATCTAATATGCAGTATTTGATCGCGGTTATTATTCTAAAATGGAAATCACTCGTAATTAAAACGCTGTAGTGTAAAATTTAGTTGTGTGTAAAATTAGTCTCCATCAAATACTGTTAGATGGTATTTATTACATTGTAAAATTAGATAAGATCTTACTCATATTGGGACATTATACTCAAAGTAACCGCAGTACAATCATGTTTCCATAGGCTTCAATACGACGAGCTGGTTATATGAAAAATTTTCAACCGGCAAAAATGCAAGAACGCGCTCATAAACAAGACGAATTACGAAATGATTTAGCAGTGAGAATGCAGAGAGAACGCATGTTACAGGCGAACTTAGAAAGTGAAGAACGAGTTGAAACGAAACGGTTTATCAGACAAGTGCAGAAAGAAGAAGAAGAAAGACATATGGCTCAAGCCTTATATGAGGTAGATATACAAGTTTTACTATTATGGCCCTTGTAGGAGAGGAGCCAATCTTATATTAAGATATTACATATAGCACGTTTAATAAAAATAATTGAATGTTGTTACATTAAAAGGCTGAGGAGCAGAAAAGGATACGCTTTGAACTTGCTGAGCAGGAAGAGCGGCTAGCCAAAGAGTTAGAACGTCGTAAAGCTGAAAGAATGCGCTTAGAGAAACTTCGACAACAAATTCGCGAAAATAGGTTTGTAGTTAACTATTATGTCAACTGTAAAGAAAAATCATACTGATTAATAAATTGCTGCCCAAAAGTTTTACCTCCTGCGAGTAGTCGCACGAACAATATACACTCCATGCTAATCATAAATTTTTATTACTTAACCTAACATAGCCCGGAACTACGAGAATTAGAAAGTAGACTTAAGGCTGCCTATATGAATCGTGAGAGAGCGGCTCAGATAGCCGAAAAGAAGGCTAGATCATTAGATAAGCAGGTCAGATAGTGTTAAATAATTGTAAACAGTGGAAAGTTTTTGATCAAAAAAATTTTATTATCTGAAATAAGACAATCATATTATTATTTACATGTATGATATCAATTTGTTGACGTTTCCAGAAAGATCAAGATGAGATCGCTAAAATGATTCAAGAAGAGATTCTCCGAGCGGAAGAAGTTGAAAAGCAGTTGGAAGAAAATAAAGCTAAGCAAAAAGTTCAATACAAGGCACAAATTCAACAACAACTTGATGAAAGGGTGAGTTGTTATTCTTGATTAAATCGTAAAGTATGGTCTATTTAATCCATGTAACGATCTATACCTTAATATTGATTGCTAGTAGCCTCTACTACACTATTTTATCGTGCGTGCACTCGGTCTTAAATCTTGTCATCTATAGCCTACCAGTAAAGCCTATGTATATTTCTTTATTCATATAGAAAACGTATTCCAAGATAGTAACGCTAAATATGTTAACATACTTAAATTACTAGATAAAATTGTATTCAGTTTTGAATTTGAGTTTATTTCTTGCGAAGTATTATATTAATTAAGGCTATAAATAGGGCAATTAATTTGTGTTAATGATTGCTGATATATAGCTTAATTGACACTCTGTGATGCCTCTTTCCTTTCAAATCGATTTCATTGAATTATCAAATTATTATAGGAAGAACTAAGAAAACAGGCGTATGAAGAGTTTCTTAAGGAAAAACTTATGATAGACGAAATTGTACGCAAAATTTACGAAGAAGATGAAAGGTAACCATGCAATCCAAATCTAAATCGTAATGGGTACTATTTTAAAAATTTTATAACCAACTTTGAAAATAATTACTGCACTATTTAGAGAAAAGCAATTACGCTTTGAGAAACAACGTGCTACGCAAAGGTACATTGAGGATTTCAAAACGCAGCGTGAAGAGGTATCATACATGTCATATTTATATGAAAATATTGAACGTAGCGACTCTCATTACAATTAATTACTTCCCATGATGGTTTTTAGTGGAAGCAACAAGAAACTCAACGCATGGAAGAGGAAAATCAAAAGATTTTACGATATGCTAAGCAGCAAACGGAAAGGGAAGAAGAGCGAATGGAAAAGAGGCGACAGGAAGATCAAGCAAAAGCTGAGCTACAAGATAAAGTAAGTTTTCGTTATATTATGTAGTTATTGTTTCGAAAGATAGATTTTGTTACACGATATATTCTTCTGGCAGATTTAGTTTCATCTTTAGTATACATAAACTCATTATTACGTTGCTTCTGTCGATACCTTTGTATGGAATATAGCTTGCTACAGAAATGAAGAGAAAGCAGGAGGCTGTAGAAGAACTAGAAAGGTAATCATTTAGAGAATGCAATAAATTTTTAATTATGAAATTGCTGTCCAATATGGTTTCTTAAATTATGATCAATTGCTATCGATAGAATTCGTGAAGACTTATACTTGGAAGAACAGGAAGAGAAAGAAAGGCAAAAAGAAATGGTATCTATCTATTTATCTAGTTATATCCTTATCTAGTTTCTGTAAAATTTATCGAAATTGGCACGTTTGAATTTCTTTAAAATTGACATATATTTTCAGTTGTATGTAATCTATTAATTAAAATTTCAATCGTATAGGTTGAGATAGAGAAACGTATAAGACAGCGTCTAGCATTGCAGAAAACTTACGAGATTCAATTGCAAGATAAAGAAATGCGCAAAATTAAAGAAAAGGAAGAAGAGGAAGCTTTCAGATATCAAGTTAGTGCTTTAATCTTTATTTCATAAAATAAGATTAAGTGAACTCATCATACGCTCCATGTCATTATCCCTGATATTTTTTTAGTCGATTCATTAATTATGTTAACATATTCATTGCATTTTAGATGTTGGCCAAATTTGCAGCTGATGACAAGCTGGAACAAATCGGTGCGCAAAAGCGTCGCATGAAGCAGCAAGAACATAAACGTGCTGTCGAGAAATTGATTGATGAACGAAGAGCTAAAAGAGAGCTTGAAAGAGTGCGTAATTGCGAAATCTTATCTATTTTTAACGTCTACAATTATCCACCATTCGAAGTACTAACTTTGCATTCTGTTTGGCATAACTAGCAAGCTGAACTTAAATCTAAAGAAGAAGAAAAAGAAATGGAGAAGTTCAGACAACAAATTATTGAAGATGAAAGGCAGAAGCTGCTTCGTGAGCATGCTTCAAAGTTGTTGGGATATTTGCCAAAGGTAAGCAATTCACCCTTATTAATTAGAAAAAGGCTAATTATGTGTACGAATAAAGTGTACTATACTTCGAATAATGAGTAATGCAGATTTTAATCATCTTAATCTGAATTTATGATTATAATCTTAGGGTGTACTACGCAGTGAAAACGATTTAGATTTTTTCGACAATGACTTCCGAACTGAATATGCAAGGCAAAATGTAGATCCTTTTGCTAGTGAAGATTTCTCTTAGATCAGATAGACGTAACACTATCTGGAAATAGCACCTGCAACAAGTGATAAAATCTCTGTCAATTTCGCTTTATGGAAAAGTAATGTATTTATGATATTCTTTGTTAAATAACAACCATGTTGTACGACTTTCGTAACGATTTATAATGCTACAACCACTTTAAACTGTACCGCTGATTGATTTCGAGGCTTTATCATTGAAGGTAAATAATGATGCTAATGTATAAATACCACGTTCTTAAAATTTGTTACAGTATATAGCGCACTTTCATTACTTCATTTGATTTCAGATCAACTATTATAAAAAATGTGCGACAGCTAATGGCAGATTTCCATTTGTACTTTCGTCAATTCAAAACTACACCATAAGCTGATTTCTTTCTTATTCCAGTTTTAGTTGCATCGTACACGCAGATCTTATTCTATGGTAGTCTATTCAGTTTTGAACATATTAACGCTAACCAATAAAAGTGAGGTGCTATGTTAAATTATAGCCATCTCTTTAATTTTAGACATTATAGTAAGTTCAAAGGATAAGATTTGTAATTTCTTGCTTAAGATCTGTGGAAACAATGCTTGATAGGTTTATAATTATCCGAGTAACTGATAATGCTCATCTTTAAATGCTTGTTGATGAGTCAATCGTGATGAAATATTTTAGTAAATGCTACTAATTCGGACGCTTGTTAATATAGCATTTAAAGTAAATGATCAATAAATAGGAATCAATATTGTTATCAATATATGAGATGATACAAAGTACTGATATGATTGCATGAACATTTAATACCGACATCAGTGATATCTATATAGATCTACGAATCCTTTAGAGACTAATTTACTTTATTTCCAATGAGATACTTTATATTGCACCATCCAATAACTATAATTGCTCAATCAAATATAGGTTTATGTACGTGTTTACCTCTCATTTGGGATTGTACTTTTGCCTAGTTTGTTATTGAGGATTATACATATTAAATATGTATCTTGTAGTAAGTCTCATTTATTGATAGATCTTTTATTAAATAATAGATCAACGCTGAACAACCTTATACAGTATGATAGAGTAGTAGGAATAGTATTCAAAGTTATCCTTTATCGATGGTGATGCTCCTTCTTAACATGTCGAAATTTAGCGAGTTGGTCGTGACAAGCCAGTAAAATAGGAGTGTAGATGTGATAACTCGTTTTGCACGTGTTATATTTTTGACAGTTTGGTAATATCCATTACACAATCCGTTCCTGGATATGGCGGAAGATCCATTTGGTATTTGTTTTGTAAAGTGTTTGGAACAAAGCGTCCTCCAAGGTAATGAACTCGACCATTGAAATATCTAGCACATAACTTAGGTGCTGTCAAGGAAATCAACATATCAGGCTGAATACCATTTGGGTCTCCACGTTCTACATCCCATCCTACTCATATGAAAGTAAGATACCAAATTATCCAATGCTAAAGAACAGAGTCAATTATTAAAATTGAAGTATTCGAACCTGAAGGTACATCAACAGAACAGATAGGTAATCGCGATTCCTTTAATTTACTTAACACATCATCGAAAGGAGGTCTTGGACTACCTTTAAAACTAAATCCAAATAATGCATCGACAATTAAATCATACTTTGCTTCTAAGTCAGTCACCGCAGATAATTGGGTTCCATCAAGGAATTCAATTTCCATTTTTTGACATTGTGTAACAAGGTTGTTGAATAATGTTTTATTGGGTCGTTTTGGATAGTATATTGTTGGTCGAAAACCCTATGACGGAATTATAATTAGAAATCTTTACAATACCTTGAGAGTGCATAAAAATTGATGACTTTTCTCTGTAGAGAGAAGAATGAATTTGTTTCAGATTAAAATCTGAAACCTACGATCTGCTTGGATTGCTTTATCATTGATAATTATCATATTCAGAAAATCTTGATATAGTATGTACTTGTTAATCGATCTTTTATGCGAAATATTCTGAAATGGATGTTATAGGTATCTATAGTTTAGTATTTCTAGCAAGCACAGTAATACTGTGGCGTTTTTTCTAGTAACGCGTGCTTTTTATTTAGATAATGTAAGCATTCACTTTTAACGCGCTAAAACCATAAGGCTACAGTTACTACTACAATTACACTACGATACTTTGGGCAATGAAATCAGTTTCTGACGTGCACGTTGATATGCTTACTTATTTAAGAGTTCGCTTTCGCAAGTACGAATAGTAGGGACGTAACATTCATAGGCTGCTAATTAAGTCAGGGAATTCAAATATAGCTATGATTGATTCTAGCGATGCTTACTCATGTTATGCGGTATAATATCATTATTACACTTACAAATAATAAGAGATGTCTTGCAGCTACTAAGCCATCACCTCCGTTGTTGCCTGGTCCACAGCAGACTAGAACATTTCCGGCTTTGTAAGTTTTACCAACAGCAACAGCTACACTAAGTCCAGCCACTTCCTATCAAAGTTGAAGAGGTTGCAAAGTTATATACCAAAGTAAAAGAATACAACCTGCTCATTTGAACGTACGGACATTCGTTAACATTTTATAACTGGTGCTGGTACGTCTTATACTGTACGATATTAGTTAACAGATTTAGAGAGTAAGTCACAATAATATCGCTCTGTTTAATAAGTATATCAATTTATAATAGGCCCAGGTGAAACTAGATCTAAGTAAGCTATGCATTAGTGCGATTGAGCATGATGGTTAAATTAAAGAATGAATCGTTCACCTACAATGCGTATAATGATTTAGCAATGTTTATCAAGCAGATTAGTTTGTTGGCTTCGATACTATAGGTCTGAGCAAGCTATAGTACATAGCGGTGTTGTAGCAAACCAGCAACCTACGATTTGGAGTAGCATTTGCCTACCGATTTTGATTGTAAATCACAATATAGCGAGGTGTATTAAGCACATTAGTTTGTTGGCCTCAACGTAACAAACATTTCAATTCATTTAAGGTCTGAGCGAGCTATAGAGTACTGTTCATGATGATTGATACAACAGTCAATGAATAACTTACAATCTTGCATAACATTTATCTACCGATTGCAGTTGCAAACAACAATAATATATAGCAATGCTCCTCCTGTACAGTCCATACGTATGATTGTAATGATATATTATTAAGTACGTCAATTTGTAGTAGTATTTGCATATGGATGATGGTGAATAAGCAAAAGCTATATTACTATTGAACGACAAGGTACTATGACAACAATTTAAGATTAATCTGTATTTGTATCTATTCTATTTCAAGCGTTTCAATAAAACAGGTAGTTTGCAGCAATTACAAATGCTATCCATGATCTAGCTGATCGATGATGAGATCAGTAAATCAAAGTGAGAAATTACCATCAACTGATCCACGCTGAATTTGTAGTCATTAAATAGCTCTATATCGACATTTTGTGCTTCTTCTTGTGTTAGTAGTTTCATTGTGCGTTGCAAGCGTAGACAAAATAATGGTGATTTAATCGTAGAACCAATGAATATATTGAAAAGTGTCAATTTGGGCATAGTACCAAATCGGTAAATGTTCTAATGTCGTCTTGGTAGTAGGGACCGGCTACTGCACATACTGTAGTACACTAAGTATAGTGTACAGTACAGTCAGTGCTTGAATTTTTCCTACTGTACCTGTCCCTTTGCTTGGTTTTATATTCTTGACTGTACTGTCCAGCCGTAGTATAGTATGTAAGCAAGTATGGGTGACACTACTTTTGATGGCAATTCAGTTTATAATTATAATGATTGGTATACCTGTAGCAAAAATAGTGTCATGTACGTATTGACAGCATGAAATGAATCACCTCTTGTCCCTCCTTATTTTGTTGTATTGCTCACCTTTTGCAGCACTGTACTTAATAAGTAGTCCATATCCTAATGCAAATAAATATCATAGACACTTATCATCCAGTCTAGTAGACTGAGCTAATGCAGGTGGTTACACAAACACCCTTTATATTATACTTGACTTTATACGCACACCACAGAAATAATAGACAGGGCTTTACTGTTTCGTGTCATTAATGCTACTCGTTGCTAGTCTACACTGTACAGTATACGATCGTGTACTTACACTAGTTTTTTACTACACATCTATGTTATCATCATAATCATGTTCTGCAGTTATCCTCCTACTTGTACATATAAACTTGAATTAGTTTATAATTTATTTAGCAAATCATGACTTTCGTTATTCACCCTGACGTTGCCCTCGAACTTAATTCTACTGTACAGTACTGTACAATGTGATCTGCTTTCTTCGATATGCTTGAATAGTATCAAAATTAATGACGCTTATACGACAAGTAAAACGCCTCTAAAATACCATTCACTATTAAAACCATGCATTTGCCATCCATTGAATTTTTGGTACAACTTGATGCAAAAATTGCACTATCGAATGGAAGGCATCACGTTGTATCTAGTACAGTATAGTACAACCATTGGAATGCTACTGTTGTAGCTGTAGTAATACTGTACATTACTTTAGCGTAAAAAGTGTGACTACAAGTCCATGGCCAATCGATGGACTGTGATATTTTTAAAAGAGAATTTCTCTTCCAAATCACTCGCCTAACATTCTCTGTCTGCTTCTTCTACTTGTACAGTCTGGCGGGTAGAATGGGCCTTTTTCTACAGCTAAGCCACAATAATACCACTGTTATTCAACATCGTCATTAAAGTATTCTACCACAGTCAAAAATGATAGAAGCAAGTGCGCCATTAGCGATTGCAATTTACAGCCTTGCCTGTCTGTCCACGTAGCCATAGTTTGACTACGGTACCGTAGTCAAACACTATACAGTAGAGTAGCTGTGTGTTGACCACCTGCAGGCTAGACACTGCAATCACTATCGAGGTAGCCCGCCCTGCCCACTCTCAATGATCTTCCGTTAAGTATACATACAGATATACCGATGGACGTTTGTACCCTCTCCCAGTATACCGTTGTAGAAGACGATAGCAGTCGTTGAAGTAGACCCAGTCGAGGTCAAATCAGCACGGCAAACTCGTCCAAGCTGTGCGTGTAGGGGTGATAATGAAAGCAGCCTTGTCAAGGCACCGAATCATCGCCGCATTAAATTAAACAACGACTACAATTCTGAACTTGGTATGCAAGCACAAGTTCGCTTGAAATAGCTTTGAGTGGTCGGTATTTGTTAGCAATCGGACATGACGACTGAACAACTGTATACCAAAGTAAGTACAGGGCGTGTATTTTTCTATCGTTGTAATTTCTTGATCGTGTCTTGCTCATGTTGATTAATACCAATCAGTCATCACTTCTAGCGATTGTACCTCTACTGAAAGGGATCGCATGAAAACATAGATACAGTAGTTACTTGATGGTGATGATTTCAATATTTTATCGTCGATACTTGATCCATGTTTAGTACCAGAGTGATTTTGTACTACTGTAGTTTGAAATCGATAAAAGTTTGCAATGAGAATTCAATCAGTGGATACAGTATTTCAACAAGTAATTTGAATGTTTCAATGCTATTGATCAAGTGGACAGGATACTGTAGTCTTACTGTATTGACGATCGAAATTTACGGTCAACGGCAGTAATTGGAGCCTTCTCATTAAAATCATACTACGACTACATTGTCAATAGACTCCAATTCAATACTACGTTGACATTGAAACATGGTTACTGACATCCTTTTGGATGCTGTTAAAACACACTTTTGGGGGAGGGCTACCAAATTTCTATCGAGGTGTTATACCAACAGGTATTTTGCATTTAGACTACATGTCCGTACAGTTAGATAAAGACCGAAGCTGCCCTACATAAATTGAAACTTTCTATTTTCATTATTTATACTGTACCATACTCGCTTGGAGATTAGGTTAGATGGAAACTGCCGTCAGGCTAAAAATTCAATAAATATTCTGTAGCGCTAAACGATGACTACGACAAATCAGTTTAGTCGACGATCGTACCGTCTAGACCTGACTACCGTCCATAACCGAAATAGATGCCAATCCCTTTTACTCTAGGTTTGGAAAACCTTTCATTAACTGATTTTATTATTATACAGATCTTAGGACATGGTTAATCTTCAGTTACTTTGGCGCCCACTCAATTTCTAGTTAATATAGATAGATTAAACATGTCTGCTGATCACTGGTGCGATAAGTAACGACAGTAATTACTGTATGTCGACCGTATCAAGTCCATGCAGAAGCATGCGATGAATATTCAGTAGACGGCAGTATTATGCAAACAAAGTCATGTCATCAATTGGATCATTACTATCGCCAGTCTATTTCAACTGGCATAAATAGAACACACTGCAATAAATCATATCAATCCAATCTTCCTACCTATTACTGAGATTCATATTTAGCCGGCATATTATAATCGCTCTTTATGCTTTATTCTACGATCAGGCACATGCCAGTCCATTGAGTGAGCAATACATAAACGCCTTGAATCACACTGCCTGACCATATTGCATAATTGAAAGACCATATATGCACCATAATTTGGGGATGCTTTTGATACTGTAGCATTATACGCTTAGCGCTGACCGGAAGGTATATAGTAAGGAGACAAGAGTCGCTATAGTAACGCCTGTAGTATGCAGTCGCTACGCAGTGACTCTCTACTTTACCACAGTTACACAACATGGTGGAGAATGATAGAGGCTAAATATCGCCAACCTGTTGTTTAAAAATACATGTTATAACGTTGATAGCAAGTCGTAAAATGAGAACAAATTAATCAGGGTGTACACTGAAATTCAATGACTGAACCAAGGTTTAAGTACAGTAGACTGTATTCAATATACTATGATGGCATGACAGGGATTCTAGTAGGCGATGGCTTTGTTAACAAATAATTTAGTAGCAGCATTTTCACCAACTTCTACAATATAAAGGGATGATTCGAATAGGTAGAATTCAATGGAAAGACTAGTAAAATCAATAATAGAAATGTTCGTCTATAACCATAGAAATATCCCGATCTAGCTGCTGTTGTAATATTGGATGCAATACTTGTAATAAACAAATGATAATTATCTCTCATTAATTTTAGGGAACAGGGGTATGGATTCCAGACAAAGACATAGTCTGGCGTGCTGGAATTGTTGTCGGCCCCATTAAGGATAACAAATTACGAGTATTTTTAGACAATGGTTCGGTAAGTACTTTAGCTGTGCACTATTTCTTCCTATTAAAGTACACCTAAGACTACCAGTAGAATACTCAAATACTGTACTTTGTGTACTCTTCCACTAAATTCATTGTGCTAGATATCTTTAAATCTCGATAAGAAATATCGAAAGTAGATACATGTAATTAACAGATATCATCTGTACGTACTAGCTTAAAGAAATTCTACGCAATTGAATGCTTAGTTCTTATTAAATATTGATATTGTTTTACGTAGATGAGCTTAGTTTTCTCACGTTGTTAGTTAGTAAATATTGTATTAGGATAGAAATGTAGCGAGGAGAGTAATTAAATTCATCATCCTAACACCATGATTTTTCTAGGAGTGAAATCATTTGACTTATTATGATTATCAACTGCTCTAGAAAATACACAATTAGTAACAATGTGTACATTTCGCTATTATTGATCAATTATAGCTACGATATATATTTTTACTCTTAATTTCAAAAGTATGAGAACAATTAATCTATTGATGATAATAGTAGCATTACATTTCTGTCCTGGAATGCATCACTAATGCTCTAAGATTTCTTGTTTTTATATCGTTTTTGGACCTGATTTTATAATACTAAATAGTATGTATTAGTAGTGTTGAGAAACTTAGGTACAGTCTCAGCATCTATAATGTAGCTTTGTTTTAGTATAAATTATTTACATGAATTTTTAGATAAATGAATATCTAAAACATTGATATGAATAGACAAATATACAGAACGGCATACCGTCATATTAGGTACTGGCTATTGTGATGCCCAAAAAATAAGCAGCCACGCCTCTATCATCGTAATTACCATGTAGTAGTACATTTTACAATAACTAATAATATTTTTTAGATGACCTTGTGATACCCATCATAATCCCTTTATATTGAAGTTTACAAGATGTAGTCATTATATTTAATGACTTTACTGTAATTCAGTCATTAGCATTAAAATGATTCAAATTCTGCAATTGATGGTGTTTTGAATGGTGTATCATTAATAGCTGACTGAAAGCAAAGTACCGTAGTCGATTTGATGTAAATAAGTACAATTAACTATACTGTATTTACGTGTAGATTTATTCTGAGATATGACAAATATAAAATGCTTATTAATTCACATCCAATATACAGAGTAAGACCGTAGATGTTAAAAAACCTGAAGATCTGCCTCCTTTGCGAAATCCTGACATCTTGATTGGTGCTGATGACTTGACATCGCTTAGTTATTTACACGAGCCAGCAGGTACTCAATGTCTAGTAACTATCATATCTAACTACACTTTACAAGATTAATGAATTGCATACTTCGTTATGTCGAGTAGACGGTCATTATTACCAACTCAGCTTTTTTTGGAAATAATTTAAAACAACTATCGTTAATAATTTCATATCAATTTTTTTCAGTTTTATACAATCTGCAATATCGTTTCCTCAACACAACAATATATACCTACTGTGGTTAGTATCTTGTTGTTAGTAAAATGGCAATCGATGAATCTATTTGCCGTAGCTCACCCATCGCTAAGATTGATCGATTTATTATTTAGGTATCGTCTTAGTAGCCATAAATCCGTATGAATCATTACCAATATACGGAGAGGATTTTATCATGCAGTATCGCGGTCAAACTATGGGCGAACTAGATCCTCATATCTTTGCTGTTGCTGAAGATGCTTTTAGCGCAATGACAAGGTCAGCAACCGTGAGCAGGAAAATGCATATCTCAATCTATAAATGAATCACCGTCGAAGCAGTTTTATTTATACGTTAGATTTGAAAGCACCTCTAGATGGTGCTCACTATTTACAACGATAATTTACCTTTACAGCGTCTATCTCTAACATCTTCTGTGATCTCTAATTTTACGTAATTATTCGGTATTGCAGGGATAACGAAAATCAAAGTGTTATTATTAGTGGAGAATCTGGTGCTGGTAAAACGGTTAGTGCTAGGTTTACAATGAGATATTTGGCTGCTGTCGGTGGATCATCGAGTGAAACGCAGGTCGAAAGGAAAGTCTTAGCATCAAATCCTATTATGGAGGTAAGAAAGTATTAAGAGAGTTCTAGAATTGATGGTTTTCAATTTAAAAAAAATTTTGATGACATCTGTACTATATTAACTAATATCATTATTTTCTTTAGTCCTTCGGCAATGCAAAGACGACGCGAAACGATAATAGTAGCAGATTTGGAAAATTTATAGAAATCAATTTTGATAAAAATCAAGGGATTACTGGAGCCAATATGAGAACCTATTTGTTGGAGAAGTCTAGAGTTGTTTACCAAGCTGAACAGGAAAGAAATTATCATATTTTCTATCAGCTTTGCGAGTCACGCCAATTACCGTATCTAGAAGAATTAAGTTTAGGTTGGTTAATAGATGCGATGATGGCATAAATTTTACAATAAGATTTTATTGTCTCCTTGTAACTCTGCATTCATTATAATTTTAATATTCTTTCTTCGTAGAAAATGCAATGGATTTCTATTACACCCAACAAGGCGGTAATCCTGTTGTTGACACTATAGACGACAAAGATAGTCTACAATCCACTATAGACGCTTTTGAAATTCTTGGTTAGAAAATTCAGTGTTTTATCTTCAATGCTGATATTCTTTACTTACTTCGTTTAATTATTAAATTAAAAAACTTAAAGTGAGCCACGAAAGCATCGAATGTCAAATTAATAAAGTATTTATTCACAATAGGTGTAACCTCAGAACATCAACGCGTTATTTTTCGTTCAGTTGCTGCTGTCCTGCATCTGGGAAATGTCAAATTTGTGACGTTAGATGATGAGCCGGATGAATGTTTTATAATGGTAGGGGGTGATACGTTATTACAGTTAATATCGTAATTTACAAATTACCATAGACTAACAGAAGTACTGTAATAAGAGAATAAAATCCGAATCGGCATTTTTTCTGCATTTGTCTAACAGGATGACGATCCAAGTTTAGCGAATGTTGTGGAATTATTAGGTATTAATTTTCCGCAACTACAGAAATGGTTATGTAATAGAAAAATTTCTACGATGCATGAGATAATCACTAAACCATTAACCCCGAAACAGGTAGATTCAATATGAGAATAATTATATTTTTGTACCTAAATTTAAATTTAATAAGTTAAAATACCCTAAATACAACACATTTTTATTGATTATTGAAGGCTGCTACAGCTCGTGATGGATTAGCAAAACTTATCTATTCGAAGTTATTTGACTGGATTGTCCAAACTGTTAACGAAGTTCTAGCTGCGACCGTGAAAGCGAATTCGTTTATAGGTGTACTGGATATATACGGGTATAAAAATAAATCGATCTTCTTTACAATCATCCTTTCAATTTTATATTATGTAACATGATGTAATATTTTTGCCATAGCTTCGAATTTTTTGAATGGAACAGCTTTGAACAATTTTGCATCAATTTCGCAAACGAGAAACTTCAACAGCAATTCTGTATGGTAAGCTTAGTATTATGATAATGGTAGCATTTTTAATTATTGCTTATTTAACTGTTAATAACTCTTCCATGTTGATTTCATTCCTAGCACGTTTTCAAATTAGAACAAGAAGAATATATAAAAGAAGAGATAGAATGGACTTTTATTGACTTTTATGACAATCAACCTTGTATTGACCTAGTTGAAGGAAAAATGGGAATTATTGCGTTATTAGATGAAGAATGCAAGGTTAGTAATTTACCAATATTAATTAAATATCTATTTTCAATATTCATTAGTTCTATTCTGACCTTTCATTTACAGGTACAAGGAACTGATAAAAACTGGATTCAGAAGTTATATAACAATTTCGGCAATAAAAAGCATGACTATTTCAGCAAGCCTAGGACTTCACAATCTTCCTTTATCGTTCATCATTTTTGCGGCAATGTTACATATGAATGTTATGGATTTATAGAAAAAAATAAAGATGTTATTTTTGAAGAATACCTATCAATTTTAAGAGCGAGTGAGGTATGATAAGTGAAGTTTTTATTTTATAACATTTAATTTTTATGACTAAATCTTTATTTGCAATGTAAGTTTGAAATTGTAGCCGAAATGTTCCACGAAGCAACTGAAGAAAGATCACGTGGTTCTACTTCAAGTGGTTCTCGTATTCGTTCTTCTTCGGCTGGCAGATTACGTTTAGGAAATGAAAAGAAAAGACTTAAAACTGTTGGCTCACAGGTTCTTCGCTATGCTATGTTAACACTGATGTGAACTCGTCAGATTCTAAACTTGATTACAATTTCTGATTCTAATAGTTTATTGGCTCAGTTGGTCAGCTAATGACGACATTAAACAACACCAAGCCTCATTACGTCCGTACGATAAAGCCTAATGAACGAAAAGCTCCATTTACGTAAGCTGTAGAAAAGTATCATGCACACAGATGTGAACTACAATCATGATGAGATATACGACACTCTCTATAAAAAATAGCTTATTCAGGAGTTATGATAAACTTTGCTTTAGGTTTGAGCCGACGTTATCGGTTCAGCAGTTGCGAGCTTGTGGTATTATAGAAACTATCAAAATCAGCGCAGCTGGGTTCCCATCAAGGTAGAAACAACGTTTCTAATTAACCTACGTTATATGTCTTTATAGACTTATCCAGTATGTCGACTGTATATATATCTGTATTTTAATTAAATATCAATGTACTAAATTGAAATTTAGGTGGACCTATATGGACTTCTATACGCGCTATCGAGTTCTTGCAAAGCTATCTAGCGATATCGATCGAAATGATTTAAAGGGCACTTGTTCCAATATAGTAAAGAGTTATATTTCGGTAAGAAACGTCATTTGGTTCGCTTGTCCTGAAATAATTCTTAAGAAATAAGCTAATATCAGCCTGCCCACCTTTTTCGTAAAAATTTAGCGTACGTTGGCAAATCTAGCTGATTTGTAGTTGTTAACATACATTATTAGATTGTTTGAGTTTTCAAGACATAGAAATAGGCAGATAATTATTAAATTGTAGTATTTAATTGGCTTCCGAAGCTACCGATTATGATATGCTCGTATTTCACTATATAGGACGCCGATAAAATTCAGCTTGGCAAAACTAAAATTTTCTTTAGACCAGGACAGGTAAAGCTAATTCAAAAATTTCTACAATGTTTGTGCCTCCTTTAAAGATATCTAATAGATCGATATCTGCTATTGAACAGGTCGCCTATTTAGAGAAGTTGCGCAGTGACAAATTAAATCGTACAAGTATCATGATCCAAAAATTTATCAAAGGCTGGCGGCAAAGGAGACGTTATCAACAGTTACGAAACTCAACAATCAAGATCCAATCACTTTACCGTGGCTTATGCGCGCGACGGTCAGCTTTTTTCGATTTCAGACTTGAAAGTATACTTTTTGTGCATGCCTGATAATTAGCGCTTATCGAATTGCTTTTATATAATCTGCCATTTTATCGCAGGTTGCTACTATTTCTATGTCAAACCAAAGCTTCAACTGTTATTCAAAAACGATTTCGAGGATTTCGTGCTCGAAAGGCATATAAGTTGTTACGACAAGTTATCATCCAGATGCAGTGTTTAACAAGGATCAAATTTGCTCGCAAAAAATACGTACACCTACTAAGAAATAAAAAAGCAATTATTATTCAAAGAAACGTGCGTTGTTGGATGGAGAAAGCGAGATATTATCGAACTCTTAAAGCGATCATTTTATTGCAATGCTGTTTAAGGCGGCTAATTGCGAAAAGACAATTAAAGAAATTAAAGGTAGCAGTAAAACTGATATTGCATCAACTTGGTAATAACATACTGTTAACGTAATTGTTTTAAAGTTACCTAACACTGCCATATATTTTGCGCCCTGCCTTAAACATCACCACATAATTAGATCGAAGCTCGTTCTGTTGCTCACCTGCAAGAATTACAGAAGGGTATGGAAAATAAAATTATTTCATTACAGCGCCGTTTAACGGAACAGGTAAGCCGAATCACATTACTAACAATGTTCATTTGCTTTCATAATAATGAATATACTGTTAAATTATACTAGCAAAAAGAAAATGAAGTATTAATCCGTAGCCAGCGGGAAACCGATGATTTAAAAAAACAGTTAACTTCTTTCAGTGAAGTTAAAAGTAGTCTGGCTGCAGCTCTTAAACGTATTGATGTTCTAGAAGCTGAAATAGAATCTGCTAAATCGGAGTTAGAAAATAGTAATAAACGATATGATGATGTCCTGACTGCAGCAGAAGAAACAGAATTAATCATGCAAAAGGTTTCTTATCTTGAATATTAAATTATGTTGTTTATTAGCATCGTAAATGCTTCATATAGGATAATTTTAATTTCTTCATACACTATGTGCACAGGAAATTGATTCAACGAAAGAGAAGCTATCATTAGTAGAAAGTCAACTTAAAGAACAACAGGAAATCGAAACAGAAAATAGTAAGCTAAAGGAAGAATTGCATTTAACTGTGGTTCAACGAGATGAACATAAGACCGAATTAGAGCAGACTAGAGAACACTATCAGCGCCATCTGAAGGATCATGCAAGATTAGAACAGAGATTCGATAATCTACAAGAAGAAATGGAGCTACAGCAAAAGCAACAGCGAGCAATGAATGAAAAGTTTGCGGGTGTAGTTTCCGGGATCGATTTAGATGTTGATGGCTTAGGTATGTAGGAAGAAATTGAAATTAATAACTTTTCCTTTGTGTTAATTCATGATTGGATCATTAAATCAATTATCATATTTATTATACAATTAATTAATCTAGAAGAAGAAACTAGTCAAAGCGCTGAAGGTATATTTTAATAGAACCAATTCTTGCACAATTAACACAAAGTAGGAATTTGCGTACGGACCGTATAACTTGCAAATCTTGATTACATAGGAAATGTTCTGTCCGCGATGAAAATAAAGTACGAAATGGTTAAGAACGAAAGAGACAAATTAGAACAAGAATTGAAGAACCTAGGTAATTATTAGGATATTGGCATTTGTACTTAGATATAAACTGTCATTTGAATAACCACTAACTGATGATAATTAATATTTTAGCGGGTGAAGCTGAAATTCGTGGTAAAACCAGAACTCGTTTACTGAAAAATGAAGTGGAGAGATTATCACAGATGGAGAGACAATATTGGGAACTCGTTACAGTTAATAGTCTGTTACGTCATCACGCTGTAACTGTAGTGGGCAAGTCTGAGAAGGAGATAGCGAAAGATCTAGATAAGGCCTTGGTGGAAAACGAAAAGTTGAAAAAGCAGCTTGCAACTGCAAAAACCGGCCACAATGACCAAGATACCGCGAAGGAAAATATAAAAGATTATAAATACAAAATTGATGGTAGGAAAACATAGCAGAGTTTTATGACCTACAGTAGAAACTGAATTAACTATATTAATACGTTATTTTTTATTGCAATTTTAGATCCACTCCTTGAATATGATGGAGATCTGAATGCACTAATTGGAGCTAATAAATATTTGAGAGCTGCCGTTCGTGATCTTGAACAAAAATCAGAAAATCAGCGAAATAATAACGAAATTGTAGTTGAAAATGAACAAGTAAAAGAAGTAGTTGCCGAGAATGAGGAATTGCGACTTCGTTGCAGTAGTATGGAAGCCAATATAGAATCACTGAAAAGTCAAATTAGGAGGGAGTTCCGAAAGATGGGTAATAGCGATGAAGTATCTAAAAAACGTGCTAGCAGTTTGTTCGCTAGTGGTAGGCAACCACGTATAACTGGACCAAATGCAGGACTTGTTATGAGATCTGTCTCTATTGATAAACCACCAGTCGCTGACGATGTTAACGGTAACGTTAACATTAATGACAGTAATAAAAACGAAGATAAGAATGAAAGTAAAGATGTAACAAGAACTGAAATTGATAAACCAAAATCGAAAGTGAGCAATTCGCACGACACAGTAGATGGAAATATTAAAATTAAACACCGCTCACATGAGAGGAAATGTTGGATTCAATTTCGTCGACAAGATATCGGAAATTTTATCAAGCAGCTTGTACATGCTAAGCCTGATATGATACCAGATGGTATTCCTACATCGCCTGCATTCATAACCTTTATGTGCTTACGTTATGCTGATTATAATAATGACGATCGTAGCATACAAGGTTTACTGACCAACTACATCAATGGTATTAGAGCTGTCATTAAAAAGTCGAAAAGTAACATTAATATGACAATATTTTGGTTAGCCAATACTTGCCGATTAACTCACTTAATCAAGCAATACAGTGGTGATGAATTGGCGGAAGGAGGGGAAGAAAATCAACGTTGGAATTTACAAAATTTTAACTTGGATGACTACTGTCAAGTACTTACTGATTTATCTGTTAGAATTTACCATGAGTTACTCAGAACTGTACATGAAAAGTTGCAAACGATCATCATAAAGGCCATGCTTGAGGCTGAATTAATACCTGATGTTTCACCATCGAAGCAATTCTTTAAGAGTCATCCTAGTAAAGCACAGAGTGGTATTAATGTAACAACTATAACTAAGATCTTAGTTGATCTGTTAACAGTTCTCAAAGAATTCGATATTGACGCGGAAGTGATTAAGCAAGTTTTCAGACAAATCTTTTACTTTATTGCTGCATATATGCTTAATAACATGTTATTAAGAAAAGATATGTGTAACTGGTCCAAAGGAATGCAAATTCGCTATAACATTAGTCAATTAGAGGAATGGTGCCGAGACAATGATTTATCGGAAAGCGGTGCCATAGAATCACTTGAGTATGTAACACAAGCGACACAATTATTGCAAGTTAGCAAGAAGACTAAAGAAGATGTTGATGGAATCTTTGATATGTGTAACAGATTAAACCCGCTACAGGTACTATAAAACAATAAAACGAAAAATTAAGCATAGATGTAATATTTTTATTTACTGTACGATAAATATTATGCTCCTATGATAGTTTGATTACTACAGTATCTTTAATTATATTATATAGTATTCCCAAGCTCTGATTGCAATCGATCGTTTTTTCATATGCCTTTTTAGATCCAGAAAATTCTAACTATGTATATGCCAATAAGCGAATTTGAAGATCGAGTGCCCGCTTCTATAATACAATATGTAGCAGCCCGCGGCGGTACCCAAAACTCAAATTATCGTCTAATGATGGACTTAACTTATATGTTTCCGGTTACATTCTTATTTGCTCAATCTCTTACTAAGCTCGAAGATGTTTTGATTCCAGAAGGATTAAAGCTACAGCAATACCTGACAATACAGTAATTTGATACTATCTTGACAATCAGACCACCACTTTAAGTGCTACTCTTACACCGATGCCATATGATCATAAATCCATGTCATTTTCATTTAGCTAAAGTGGACATTATTTATTCAGAAAATATCGGTAATTTTTGCTTTTTGTCTAGTTATTGTATTTTTTACTAACTGGACCTGTTGATACTTATTCGTATAATATATCAATGATGCACTTCATTAATTTTTTGAAACCATTAGACTGGAGGAAAGTAATTATTCTAGGTAAAATAACTACGGGTAATACGATAAGGAAAATCAAATTTCATGAAGCAGTTTCATATCATGAAATACGAACTATTGATTACTCACGAGCTTATTTTCTTTATTTTCTCATAAGTGTAGTAACTTGTGAAAAGTTGTCGATAAGTTGAAATAGTTATAAGATTAAATGTGAATTGAATGAATGTTAGCTCTTACGTACCGCAGCGAATTGGCTATGAAATGAAATAGCACATATCATTTTATATGGCCGTATTAGAACTGTGTCGTGAAGGCAAAATAAAAATGACCTAGTAGAATTGATTAATTAAAAGATGATTTATGATTCATCTTGTAATTTGGTTCTCAATACTCATAACCTACTCTAAGGGTTACCAAGGTGTAATATAGATCATATATGCTGTATTACATCGTACTGTTATCATGATGTAATGTACGAATATCAATGTAATAGGAAATTAATTAAGAATTTGATTTTTAAAAGCGCCAGCTTGGGACTAGTAACATATAAATTGATTAAGACATTATAGTTTGTTAATAATCTTAACATATTTTGTATAAAATTTGTTTTAATAAATTGTGTAACAGTATTAATGTCAAATTAAACCATAATTAAATACATGTAAAAACGTAGAAATATTCCCTGAGGATGCATGCTTTACTTACTATGAACTTATGATCCATTAATTAATACATTAGCACTTAGCACTACTAGTGGTGTTACATATGCAGTTGATAGCGTTTGCAGCACTCTATGTACCATTACATTGATCTTGCAAATCGATCTTTGACTGTTCCTAGTACACAAGAAATCATTTTATACAACTACGTCCATTCGGCGCTTCTTTCAAAGATTCCGGCGTGCGTATGTAGCTGAGGTAATCATATTTTTACTTTCAGTTTCTTACTGTTTCAATTTTAATTAACCACTTTTATAGACTTTATTTTACGTCAGTGGATAATTACAGGTATAGACGGGAGATGAGATTTTATCACAGTCTATGCTAGAATCATATTAATGTTGATTGATATGCAATTTAACCATTACTATTTTAATGTCCCTAATTCGGACACCAATTTATAAAAAAAATTATATCATATATTACAGGGCATGTTTAATAAACTATAGAAGCATTCTTGATATCATTCGTAGCTCATGAAAGCGTAAATAATTAAACATTTAGTAAATTATTTATGTTATACTTGTAGACTGGCTAGATAAGTATAATATCTTAGTTGATTAACATTCATCATAGAGGTAATATCATTTCTATCACCGACTAAGATGAAAGATACGTATATTTGTCACTTTACTGACACAATATAAATCTTGCCTTAATTCATGTTTACAAAATTTAGATAATTAACTGAATATATCATCATGATTTATGGTACAGAAATACCCTTGTTAGTGCGGCGTTTTCCTAAGGGGGAGGGCATTACTTTCCCCAACTTAACGTTAAATGTCCCTTTCAGAACAGTATCAGATTGTAGTGTATACAAATCGTAGGCACCCGGACCCGGAGCTGTATTAACGGTAGAATGAAATCGATCGCTATCTGTTCCCATTATACCTTTTTTGCCACCAGGACGTTTTAATTTTTGCGGTAGATAATCACTCGGTCCTGGCCATGGACCTTTTGGTTGGCGATTGAGTTCATTGCTAATGCGCTTAGACGATGTTAAGAATGGTGTTACTTTACTTTTAGCAATACTCTTAGACGGATATTCTGCTAGTACTTTTCCCTGGCTACGATCGTAAGCCTTGCTGAGATCGTATGATCCTGGGCCAGGTAATTCACCACTTTTAGGATCGATTAATGCAATACGATCTGATCTAGACATAAACTGGACTGTAGGTTTAACATATCTGCTACCACCAACTGTTTTAGGATCAACAGCTTGATAATAGCCTGGACCAGGTGCGTCTTTCTTTTCTGGATTAGCTAATGGAACAGTACGAACTGCTGTTGAACCAAAGGCACCCTTTCTTGAGCTTTCCAATTGGGATTTACGTAGACTATTATCAGCAATACCAGGATAATTGTATGTACCAGGTCCTGGTAAGAATTTCTGACGGCGATGGTTATCGAAACGTGCCGAAGTTTTACCAAATGGTACAGCTTTTAAATTTTCAATCCTGTGTAATAACGGCAGTATATAAAGTGAAATTTACAAATCGTTACTTCGTATTGTGAAATTTATACTTATTGAATAATTTTGCATGTAAAAATAAAGATGCAAAGAAAAATATTATAGTATTCTACTATAAAAAATAAAAGAAGAGTATGAACTATTTTTTAAGCTGATAGCATCGAAATATTATACTTACTTGTTTGAAGTTTGAAAGCCAATTCGCGGCTCACCGTATGTGCCAGGAGCTGGAGTTGAAAATTTTGCTTCAGGGAACCGCTATAATAAATATATGCGCACATTTATAAAGATACTTACTAATACAATAAAGTTATTGATATTCAAAAAGGGGGGTTAATATTAACGATATACTCGTACACTTCTTTGAGGTTGTAATTTATAAACTTAGTTGTAAGATATTTAAACTGGCTATGATATCCTAACCAGTAATTTCACTGCTGTTTGCTATTGGATAAATATAGTAGTTATATGACATGAAAGATATACTTATTGAGACTATTTCGAAATGATTATCACGTTTGAAGAATAGAAAATATGTCTTTTGAATGTTTTTAAAAGCTAATTATTTGAAACTTATTTCAATCTTTTAACGATTTTTATTAGTATGACAGGATTGATTGTTTACCTTTGCCTGCGTTCCAAATGGAACACTTTCAATTATTTTTCCGTCTTCGTCTACTAATGGTGCCGTTGATTTGACAGTTATTGAGTGGTTAATGTCATAAGCTCCAGGTCCTGGAATACCTCGTTTTTCTTCTTGCTTTTGTAAAATATCTAAATAACGTGGGGAATTGGATTCAAATATTTGATTACCGTTGTCACGATAGGTAGGGTGATTTTCTTTTCTATACGACAAGCTGATATCATAGTCGCCAGGGGCAGGACCAGGATGACTATGAAATTCAAGCCTTTTTGAAGATTGCCTATTAAAATGAATTCCTCTATACTTATCGCCACAATATCTGACGTTATTGCCGTCGACCGAGTAATATGCTGGTCCAAGTGTGGTATCATGTGATGGAGGTTTTTGCGACATTAAATGTCCGCCGTTTGATTCTTCATAACCGTAGGCTTGACTAGGTATTGGGATAGATGGAGCGTCTGGTCTTCTCTATAGATATGGTTGAAGAAGATTTAAAATAAAATAGGGAAAAAATATAGCAACTATCTCAGCATAAATAAATTTTAAATATTTACTCATATACCTATCAATTCTTTTCTCAATGACTATTTCTGTCAATTATTGTAATCAACACTATACTCTGTGCGTACATAGCATCGATCTATTCAACGATTTGCTTTACTTTTCAGTATATACTGTATATCAATGTTACAAGATTGATCGAATTGACTTACCAAATATTGAACTCTTGGCTTAAATTCTGGAATTTTCTTGCTCGTTGCCTGTGATTTATTACTATTGTAAGGATTATAAGCTCCTGGACCGGGTGCTAGAGTTGTATTGTCGCCGAAGCGTTTGGTTGTATCTTTTAGTGAAGCTGCACCTTTAACACGTTCGCTACCGAAGCGACTAAATTCATATTGGCCAGGCCCGGGCGTAGCGATAACGTTTTCTCCAACATCGAGAGCCGATTGGCGTGTTGTCATGGACGAAAATGGGGCATAACTGTCGACTTTTCGTTTAGCATTGGCTATTTCAGAGGTAGAATAGGATCCAGGGCCTACATTTACTGATGTACTGCCTACACTTTGAAGGAATTTGCGAGGTGCTCGATCATAAACCGACATCTTTACTACAGTATGCTATACAATAATTTAACGTCCGCTAGGGTAATAATAAGATAGTGCTGGATAATTTTGTTGTGAAGCAAGTTCAATTACGGCAATAACATGGACTTGAAGATATCCTTATATCGCAAATAATAATTGTACTGTGTCACCAAGGTAAAATGACACATGCACTTACAAGACAACGTTGGAATTGTCACTTTAATACCAAGGAATCGTTATGATAGCAAATTACGAGGGCAAACGAATCATGGACAACTGCTTAATGATCATCGAATTTAGCGTAATTTCTCTAGTAGTAACCAATAATGTTGACCAATTTGTAAATTACTTTTAACTTTTACCCTACAATGTAACTTTACTTGTAGCACTCTTAGCATCAACAATAAAAGACTAATATTAATTACACTTTATGCAGTCTAATCGTTTTGGGGGTTTTTTTGACGATTGCTGTTGCAGTTGTCATAGAAACCAAAAGCTATTTGAGCAGATGTCTCTCTGTCGGGATTCCGAGTGTAATTGAGAAATGGATGAGTGGTTGCTATACAATACTATGCGTCGAACAATAGTCTGTAAATAGTTGATTTACTATAGAGTAGAAGAGTACAAGCTACTTGGACTACAATACTACTACATTTTGGATCAGCTAAGATCACCACAAGACTGGTCAAAACCAGTATATATGGCCAAACAAACGTTAACCATACATCATTCAGTATAGCATATCACCAGCTCTCGTTATTTGATCACTGTGCGTGGTTTTGGCCCGTTTTTGCTGGCCAATGGCCATATGCAAATGAACAAGATTGGCTTTCCTTACTGTTTACCATATGCAAATGAAGCAGATGGTCATTAATTAGGCTAGCTTTGTATACAGTAGTAGCAATAATATAGCGTAGATAGGTTCGATTAATTATTGCTTCCAGAAGGTAAGACGTAGCTCGCAGACTAGTCAAACTCTGGTAGCTGCCTTGCTTTAGCAACAGAAGCCAAGCTGCGAAAGTTGGCACGGGCCCCTTTTGAGAATTTCCACACGTTAAAGTAATTGAGCAACTGAAAGCTTCAATATCACCATATTTGCATCATGTCTGCAAAACGCTCTGTTTTAGTACTCTGCACCGGCAATTCTGCTAGAAGCCAGATGGGCGAAGGTCTTATCAATGCACGCTTGGAAGGATTTGAAGCCTATTCTGCAGGCACCCGTCCAGCACCACAGGTTAATCCTAATGCAATCGCTGCTCTTGCCGATATAGGCATCGATATTAGTAGCAATCGACCCAAGTCCGTGGACGAATTTAAAGACCGCCGATTTGATTTTGTTATCACTGTCTGTGGCTCTGCTGATGCTAACTGCCCTGCTTGGATAGGCAAAGTAGGTAAAAGATGTCATATCGGTTTTGAAGATCCTTCTCATACACAGGGTACACCTAACGAGATACTGGATGCATTCAAAAAGACTCGTGACATGATTGAAGATCAAGTATTTGCCTACTTGAGAAGCCAATGAAATAGAAATATTGCATTGGCTACATCTCATGATATCAGTATCTTGTATAACTGCCATGCTACGATTGTAAAGCAACAGTAGTAGGCCAGTTGGTGAAACGATGATCGGATACTTTGGACGAACACGAAATTTCCACTAGCTATAACAGCACGCATAATTAATCCATATCATCTTCATTGAGGATAATTTGATGCGTTGTTTTAACTTGCTTAGCACGTTAGCATAGCTAAGTACACCTACACTACAGGATATTAGGACGATGCTAGATTAAGATACGCCAATATTTATGATATGTACCTTTATAATTTCGTTTAAATTCTCCATGATATGCAAATCTGTTCGAATAGAGCAAATTCTTATCAAGTATCGGTAGCTATCAAAATTTTACTATGATAATTATTTATTTATTTATATCAGTAATCTGATGCCAGTTCATCACTGCAATATTGTAGCATCAGTAGCTTGTTGACCGGTATAATAAATAGAAGCAATTGATTAAGTTGAGCGTGGCAATCATCATGAATCAACTTTGAATTCTCTTTAGCTGAAATTTATAATTCTTAATCAATTTCCTGGTGTTTGCACATTGATTCTTCTTCTCTTACGGTACATCGCAAGCACGAGCTCAATATTGAGCAAAGCATGCAAACTCCATGGAATCGCCGACAAAGTTGCACCATTCAGGGAACTGTTGTGTTCTGTCAAACAAAAGTTATCTCAAAACTTCATTCATGAGAAAAGTGCTGCTAGTAAATAGCACTATTTTATACTCGATTCTTTAAAGTACTGCATATGAAGGTTTTAATCATAGCCAACACTGTCAAATGAGCTAGTAATGCTTACTTGGCTGATATTTACTTACGAGCTAAGCCCAGAATGGAACCATTTCTTAATCGATTTCGATTCATATTTTACGAATAAGATTAGTAGATGCAGTGCTTAAATATAACTGAATCTCGATCTCCTAGTTATCGTATCTAACTTTGGGATGATATTCAATTTATTGAGGGTATAGTGATACACTAGTTCTAACGCTACCATTGCTATCTCTAATGCAGACTGCAGCCCTGGGAAAGCAGCATAACTTAGCCAAGTCATATTAACTACAGATTTAAAGGCAGAGCTATTAATACATCCAACCCGAACTGCCTGCGATCGAAAAATAGACCTGTGATCCATTCATGGCCAGTCTTGGTCGTCAGCATTAACAGTGGAAGAAGAGAGAGGATATCAATCCGCCATGATTTCCAGTCATTTCCTGGATTGAGCAGTACTACCAGCTCCATTCATGTGTCCACTCCATAGTACTTTGACTATACCGAGCGGTACCCCGTCATACTATATTCTATACTATACCATACTAAAGCAGTATAGCTACTCGTTCATCGTCGGTTATGCTTATACAATTTCCTACAATGGTGTCGTCACAGTCAGTGGACTAACCGGAGTAGGACAGCAGTAATGAAGAAATCGATGGAGGCAATGCTGCTGCAAATTGCCTTCCAACGTCGTAATTCCTCCATACTACTGAAATTGTAATCCTACTATCTATCAAGCCTTGACTCTTCTCTATTACTGTTCTTATGATTACTGTATAAAGGCTATAGTTTAGCAGTCAGCCTCTATTTTAACCAATTCCCCTCTTATACTACCGATTGGCGTCGACCTCAAAAAGTTACCAGTTATGCCATTAATTATCATCACCGGTTTCCCATGTAGTGGCAAGAGCCTTCGAGCCCAGCAATTAATAGATTATATCAATGAAAATCATCCTGATTATGCCGATCATATTCATCTCATTAGTGATCATAACCAAATGGTTGATAGAAATAAAGCTTACGAAGGTAGTTAATTGATATCATTCTTTAAATGGACATCCTGTTTTGTATAATTTCGCATGCTTGACTACAGCAATAATATACCAGTAAAGCTTCTTATTTAGACTCTTATGTATTATAGTAAAATATGGTATCTTGAAAGAACAATTTTAAAGATAATTACTGATGTCAATTCTCTTTCATGATCTAGCTTCAAATGCTGAAAAATCGGCTCGAGGCCATTTAAAAGCCGCAGTTGAAAGGTAAGCATGCCATCGGAATAGCACTACGCGAGAACTATACAGTCTAATGCTACTACCTATCATGCAAATCGATGCCTTGATATTGACTATGAATACTCTTGATTTACTTTTAAATGAGTTTAATGGCACAAATATTAACTAATGACGTATATTTTGGTCCTATAGGATAATTTCAAGCAAGGAAATTGTCATTCTTGATTCATTGAATTACATCAAAGGTATACTGTACTATGTCCACTCTACACGTACATAGTAGATAGGCAATCCTATACAAGAGCAAAAATTTCTATTCTCTGCTACAATTACTTGCCAACTTATTTCATTTATACACGTAAATTTCATTGGTAATCATAGAAATACGCTCTTTAAAACATTCTTCACTAGAACCGTATGATTTATCAACCTTGCCATAAGTTCGATATCCTCTAATAAATATTCAACACGAACGAATAGGATTTCACTACGAACTATATTTACTAGAGTTGTATGATTGATCAACCTCATTACCTGTTAGACCTTCTCTAATAAATATTCATCTCGAATGAATCAGGATTTCGCTACGAACTATATTGTATTAGCAAGTCTGCCAAGACAACTCATTGCGTGGTAAGGTTATTTAAAGCAGGATCTGTAATACCGTAGATGCATTGTGAACGTTAAAAGCGTTCTCTGCTAAGCATTTTAATACGATCGATTCGATTGGTGCTCACCAATCATAAATTAGATTTATATCCAGTGAAAATCAATCAACTAATGTCTAACTAGGCCATGATATTATGAACGTAGTATAATTATTTAGTTTTATAGTATGCCTAACGTCTGTGATGACATATCCACAGATATTTTGCGCTGTAACGAAAGATCAAGTAGAAGATTGGAATAGTAAAAGAGATAATGACCAGCAATATCGTAAAGATATGTAAGTATTAGGCCTTACTTTGTAGTATACTGTAACCTTCTGTAGACTAAATATCAACTGCTGCGATAGGTACTCGTATTAAGTAATTGTACTTTTGTAGTTACTATATTATACTTATAGCATCTTCTATCTTACATAGCCTAGATGCATTAGTAATGAGGTATGAAGCACCTGATCCTCGAAATCGTTGGGATTCACCTCTTTTTGTAGTTCAGGTACATTAATTCTGGCTAAGCATAAAAATTTAACTTTTATAAAAGATATATGGTAGAAATACTTGAAGTGGATAGATGCATAAATTGTATTGGTCTATTCGAAAACAGGAACTAGATCAACTGCCATGTCAAACTATATGTGATGCATTATTTCATCGAAAACCACCTCCGCCAAACCAATCTACTCAATGTGTAATCACATTCAATAAATTTTTACTACACTAGATAATTATCCATACTAATAGAAGAAAATGATAATGTGATGAATAATTCCAATGTGAAAACGTATAACGGTTTATTATGTCTTGTTGTAGCAACCATTATCAACAAATAATTTATTGTTCGAAATGGAGAAGATTACCATGGATATGATCACGGTACATTGACATTATCTCAATCTTGCTAACATTTTTGGTACTTATCTCCGTTTATATTTTATATCAGATGGTTATATACTATTGAATTACACTGAAAGTTAATGTGATAACTTGTATCATTTACACTTTAAGAAATCTTTTTGTACTACTTTAATCCCTATTTATATTATAGACAATATTCCAACAGCAGAACAAACATTTGCCCGGTGAAGAATTAGTACTTCATCCAAAATCAAAAGAAAAAATATCCTTTACAGTTGAGTTTATTAAAGTCGTAATGACTTGCAAATAATCGCTACAACCTAAATATACAATTACGATTAATATATCCCACTTCTGCATTAGCTTACAATTTTTTATTCTACACGTACACTGCATATGGTAGAAGTATAATCATGAATGTCACTGCGGTGTTAAGGGTTAACTTAAACTATCATGTACACATTTGTAATATGCCAATAATCTTGAAAATGCAGTGCTATAATTTTTAAAGTCGTATTGTTTCTCCTTAACCATTCTTACTTCAAATTTACGGAACGATTGTCCATGCCAAAGCTACAGCAAATTCGTCGTCAATTTATCGTTCAGTACAAAAATCGGCCTCCAAGTGACGCGTCTCAATTAGGGGAAATGTTCATTAAATTTTTGAATATGCAATTATCCTAATATTGTAGTTTTACTGACCATGTGTCTTCAGGACACAAATGGAGAGATTGTTTTAAATTAAAAATTACCGTAATTTTTTTTTCGAAAAATTGGATAAGACAATCGCGATCAACATTTATAAAGTTCTTAATCGTATTTTATTATCAATTCAAGGTGGAAAAGCTTAAAGTTTAAAATGAAATAAAAGTTATTTAAAAGTTAATGAATCTACCATGCGAATAACCGTATTAACATCATCACCGACAAAACTGCCTTTGAAAAAAGTATTACATACGTAATAGTAGCAATATCCAAATCACAGAGATGTTTTAACAGTAATAGTATTTACATAAGATTCATGGAAATTTCGAAAGGTATTAATTTTCTTCTTCTCCAATTATACTCATACTAAGAGCAAGATCCCAATAATGCTCAACCCCGTACTTTTTTAAATGTTCACGGGCTGCAATTTCAGTAGTAAACGATTTAAATCTCCAATCATTAAATGCTTTCTCTTTAACTTGCCCCTGTAAATTAAGAAAATAATGCTTACGCCATCGATCTAGGGTTTAAGACAATACAACTTCAAAAATGTTTCATGAATTACCTCCCAAATAAGGCAACACTTATTCCGTCTTTCTTCCGATTTATTACTATCTTGTTTCGCTTTATTACAGAAACAGAAAAAAATATTACCGATCGCGATTGATTCTAATGCAAATTTTAAGAATGAAATAATACCAATGACGTCCTCATTCCATTTGATGCGATGTAACATCAATCGTTTATACTTTTTCAGACTCTTTGGTCCTATAACACATTTATACGTTCAGATGTAAGCAATATATCTCACAAGTGCTAAATTTTTTTATTCTCTTTATTTTCAAACCTCCTTCAACAATAACTATGTTGATATCTTTAAACATAACCACACATCCAGTTAACAAAAACTGCTGAGCATTGGCATCAACTTTATATCGCTTTGATTGGTTATTCAAACTGTAAACTCTGTTAACATAAAAAGATGAAGTTTTAATATTTTCAAAGTCAATATTCAAAGACGATGATACTCATAATGATACCTATAAACGGATACATGACATCCAGTATTCATATCGTCCTTTAGCTTGCGTATCTTTTTCTCGCGTTTCTGTTCTGAAGTTAGTTTTCGAGCTGCGTTTGCAGCCTCATGAACTCTAGAAGTAAGAATAGGCAGAATCAAAGGAATTAATTTAGTGCTTAAACCAATGTACGAGCATCGATAAGTCATTTAGAATGTACATTTAAGAATTGAATGGAAACAAACGTTACAGTATTAATATCGGCCATTATCAGTTTACCGTTGACGTTGCACCATCTGCTTTCTAACATGAGCTTCAACTTTTGTTGGATCTTGAATGGCTTCGTTACCAAGGACGCGCATTAAGTTACTTAATTTCACTACGAAAATAATAAGAAACCTTAATCTTTCTCCTGAAACCTGGTTATATTTAATGCAAGGATATACTACGAATCCGAAGGTCAAGATTTTACCTTTAGGCTCAGGAGGAGCGACTGCTCCCAATCTTACTCTCTCTTGCTTTTCTGCTTCAATATCTTTCCTTTTTTGCCTTCTTATTTTCTTTCTTTCCTGCAAGAAAGAAAGAAATATGACTGTTACTAACGCTTGACATGTAATTACTAAATATGCTACAGCTGATGAATGAAATTGCTGACATTAGGTATTTATCAAGAAATTATCTCTATCTATTTTTCACTCCATTCATGATATGAGATTGTTATCTTGGCAGTACAGTACTACAGTCTTACTATAATATACCACAATCTAATACATTTTTAACAAGTAGTCAAATTTAAATATGATAATTCTGTCAAGTAAAATCAAATGCGCACATATTATAATAAGAAATTATAGTAGCATCGCTTCTGTTAGATTATGCTTATAAATTAATAACTCTAGAAATTTTGATAATTTAAATGTTTAGATTTAGCCAAAACAATAATTTTATACTATTGATTGTCTGACCTTTTTAGTCAAATAAACTTTCGGAGCAATTTGTTCTGGTTGATCACCTATAACAAATCATCTTAGGTCATTGTAATAATAGTGAAAAATATTATTACAACCGAATGCAATATCTACCGGGAATTTTAACACTAGGAGGGTGTTCCACTAGCTTGGTAATAGCGCGAAATTCTACTTCATCCGATTCAATGAGTTCAACATCATTGTAACTATCAAAGCAATGGAATACAATTAAAAATCAGAGTATAAAATTGAAAGAAACTATAAAGTTACATATATTTATCGTTCCTAAAAAATAATTATCATTGCCTTTCATTGGGTAGAATTAACGAATCCCACCATTCCACATCAGGTATCAGATCATCTTGGAGCTGTAGAAAATGTGCATTTATTGCAAGCATTTATTGTAGTTCATTAGCGATCATAATACGAATAAAGATAGTGCATAATAAGCATTACACAATAAATAGTTCAAATGTTTACGTACAGCTTCTTTATGAGGCACAAGCATAGCAATCTTTGTTGCAGACGAAATGCCTGTTTTCTGAGCAACGGAAGCAATTTCATTCTTTAATTTTTCTAATTTTTCCTATACGAGAGAGAGTTACCATGAGTAGGGCTTTAATACAAAAAAATAAACTTTGTATCAACAGCTAACCTTCGCACGCAATTGCTGAGCAACCCTTTCAAATTTGCCTTGCTCATGAAATTTAAATGACCGTCGATTACGAGCACCCATAGTGATACTAGAACGATATTATAAATAATTGATTTATTTGAAGTGATCATAAAGCATTAACCTCATAAGTCAGAAATAGTACGAACTTAACACGTGGGTCAAAAAAACTTTTATTTTCTAGGTTATCGTCGATCTTATCAGTTTTAAATTGTTCAACTTTTTTGGCTGTGATATTTGCCTATAAGTAAAAAATTGATAACGCAAGATATTACTATTATGTTGTCAACTATAGCGTATCAGCAGTAAAGGTACTAGTTAAAAAGGTCAGTATCAACATGTAGTCATACTTTCAATGTTGGCATTCGTCGAGTCATTTGTATAGCTTTACCGCTTGCATCAACGATTCGACCTTCTTTATCTAATATTACAGATTTCGGTCTACGCGTATAGAATTCCAATTGAAATTAGTATCATTCATTTGTAAGAATAGGTAGAAGGGTTTTATCTAATTATTAAATATGCAAATTGTACTTTTGATCCACGACGGGAAGTGATTTATTCCTAAAATTGAAGTATATTATTGTATAAGTACAAATGAGAAAAAAATAGAAGCGATATAAATATACTATGTTATACTTCTTACATTTCAAATCCTGGCGCAATTGACTTGATAGTCTGAAGCTGATCACCATACGAGAAAATAGTTATCGTTCAATCAGTATTAGTTATTTAATAAATACAGTATGAAATTATTATCGTAGTAATTTAATGCCATTTTACATACAAGTCATCACCGCTCTATGCGTACTTACTAAATCAGGTTTGTTACTGAATTGTTGTTGTATTTTAGCTTGAAGTTCGGCGGCTTTACGAGCTTTGTCAATAGCATCCTTAGCTAATTGCAGAGGTTGTCCAGCTAAAGGACCGCTCTATATAAGCGTGTAATGAAAGCGAAGATTGAGTATCTAAATTATTTGTAAGTATAAGTTAGCAGGTAGTTTAATTGAAAATTTAACGTTATTTTTCTTCTTGAAATTTTAGCTATTATCTCAATCGATTTTATAAAATGATGTTAGGCAATTGTAGTATGTTTTCGTCGATTACTAATAATTAGCCTTGAATGAATCATGTCAACTGCTTTGATATAATGATGTTGACTGACCCTACTCTCTACTCGGCTATTATAGATTCAATTTGAAATCATTATCTCAAGCGATAATTATAAAGTGATACTCGCTAACTGTAATATGTTTTCAGTCACTAACGATTAACCATAAATAATCATCTCAACCGATTGGATCAAATTCTATACGCTGACAGTAATCTATTTTCGGTTAGGGACGATTAACCACGAAGTAATCATCTCAACCGGTTAGGTAAAATTTCATTGGCTGACTGTACTCTATTTTCGGTTATTATCTTCTTTATTTAAAATGACTAACATTTGTTGGATGTGCTTGGGTCGCCACTGGCTGCGGTATAGGGCCTTGAAGTTGCTTCTTTCTTTCCTCGATTTGCCTTTTGGTTATTTCCATTAGATTTTTAATCTGCACAATAAAATATTACAAAATTAATATGATTTACGTTTCTCAATCTGTGCCAATGCAATTGAGATCTGCGAAACAACTATCTACAAATACAATTGTTTGAATTAGGTGAAAAAAAGACTAAAGAATCGTTTTATACTATCTGATGTAAGGGGGGCTACCTGCATCTTGCTTAATTCGGCTGGACCTTCCGTAGCGGGTGGTGGTAGTGGAGGACTATCAGGTCTTAAATCTGATGGATCGAATCTAATTGGCAAATCCGTACAGCAAAAGACAAATAGAGGCTATTATTTACCCAATGATACTACGTATTAGAACATTAGTTAAGTTGACAGTTGTCCGTCAATATCCAAGCTAGCCGATGTCTAAGTTCGATGATGATAAAAAGTTGCAAACATACCTCTTTGGCTTCTTAATTGCTTGCCTTTGATCACTGGTATATTCATCAGCATCGTCTTGGCCGAAGACGTCCTACACAAATATGAAAATAGTTAAGAGTGTCTTTATGACGGTATTTCTTTTACTTTTTTAACCAACACAGTTTGCCGTAAGCCATTTTCTACCCTCACAATGACTACTGGTTACTACTACAGCATTTCTATTGTTACGACTACGAAGGCTGATTCATTTTATCCTTGCAAAGGTAATGCATTCATTAGACATTCAAGTTCCAACGACAGCCAAGGATTCAATCCAGTCATTAGGATAAATCAATCGCTCAAGTTCATGTCTTAAAGCATTTCCTTTACACTCATCACAGAAAGCGATTGATGCTACTGTACACCATGCCATCAACATACACCGAATAAAAGTGCAAAGTACAGTATAGTGCAAGCATGATCATACAACTAACTCTCCATCATCCTCCATGCATCATCCATCGGAAATGATGGAGTTTACCTTGATTGTTCGTTTGCCGTCCTCTTTCAATGGTGGAGGCTTTCTCACTTTGGATGACATCTTTTAGTACTGTATGTTGGAAGTGAAGACGATCGTCTATTTTACAATATCAAGGCCAAGGGTAAAATGGGTTGTAACCAAGCGTTTTATTAGTCGATTCACTATCCAACGAACTAAATGAATCGTCTTAGCGAGCTGAAAGTAAAATCAAGATGTCGACTGGCTGCAAGATTGGATTAGGCAGCTTGCGGCGCGTACCAGATCTAGTCCAGTACACCAAGTAGAGCTGGGAAATTGTGCCTACTGTAGCCTCCAGTCTTGAACGTGTTGAACATTGCCATTACATAGTGGATAGTACTCTGCCACAGTATACAGTACAGTACTGTACACTGAATGAGTCTGGCCGTCCAGTGGTCATCCTGTACAATGTACAGTACAGTGTACTGTACACTGTACGCTAAGGGCTTGTGCTGCATAGTACTGTAGACTGGAAGCGCCTTTAGACGGACAGACATTGGGCCTGATTCGGTCAAGATATTGTGCCAAACGCTTCATTATGACAATACTTTAGTATGCAGACAGTCGATTGTGAATGGACTGATTTTTTCTAAACGCAGCAATATTCCATTGCATTCCACTACCTGTTACTAAGCTCTGCTTAGAAGCAGTCAATTTAGATCATGAATGTTATTCAAAAGAATACGAGTGATTTAGAAAGCAGACACGGAAGATCCATACTGAGTAACTATTTTTCACATTTTCGGCCTAATCGGGTATGAAAAGTCCGTCCGTCTAGTGGTCATTCTGTATTGTACAGTGTACAGTACAGTATACTGTACACTGTACGCCAAGGGCTTGTACTGTACTGTACTGTAGACTGGAAGCGCCTTTGGGCGGACAGACGTTGGGATTGATTCTGTCAAGAAATTGTGCCAAACGCTTCATTATGAGTTTATGCCAATACTTTAGTATGCAGATAGTCGATTGTGAATGGACTGATTTTTTTCTAAACGCAGCAATATTCCATTGCATTCCATTACCTGTTACTAAGCTCTGCTTAGAAGCAGTCAATTTAGATCATGAATGTTGTTCAAATGAATACGAGTGATTTAGAAAGCAGACACGGAAGATCCATACTGAGTAACTATTTTTCCGCATTTTCGGCCTTATCGGGACGGAAAAGTCCGTCCATCCGAGGAGAGTTTCTAGTCCAGATTATTTTTTTGCTAGTAGTCCATGTACTCACATTGGACTATATTAGTCTTGCAAGTACACAGTGCACCGTATCACTTTTTTAGTACATGTACTGCAGTCCATTTAGGGTACAGTCGACAATCGACATTATTCTGTACTACTGTACAGTATATCGATGGAGTGCAGTTCATTAACATGATCAGTAAAATAGCAAAATAGTCCATTATTCCATTTTTACCACTGCAAGGTCGTTTCCAGGCGTTCGCTACCAGTGTTATTATGACTTGGTACCAACCGTTTGAGACGTATTTCAGCATTGTGAAATATCAAGTTAGAATCTGCAAAGGTCTACAATACTTACTAGCGTACTTACAGTACCGTACTGTCCAGTATTGTACTGTAAATGGAAAGGCGCAACAGACGGACGGAATCGTACGGTAGTGAGCGGCTGACTGCAAACAGTCGCAACTCTTCACCAAGCTTTCCCTTGTCGCCATTGGTAGCTTTGGAAACACGAGTAGAAAACGCCAAACGCCACTTTAATTGACAAGAATGGCAATGGTGCGCTCATGGCTGTTATTGGCAGCATTGATTCAAATCGTTTTTGCATCCAAAGCTATCGTCGAATTGGACGATGATAATTACCATAATTTCGTGATTGGCAATAAGCTTGCTTTAGTGTATTTATGTAAGTTGTAACCATATTTAATCGACCTCTAGGATAGTTGGCCTTGGCCAATGCAATACTTTTAGCTTGTACAATGTATTCTTTATCGCTTTCGACATGGATTTCATTCTTGCCAAATTCACGATAGACCGAGTATGGATGGTATATTAGAGTAGTGTACCATTTTCATCATACAGTTGAATGACAACGTCGATCTGATCATCATTTTATCGTTTTGTTATATGCAAGTTATGCCATTGGCATGATTCAATCAACAATGGCCTTTGCCCTTTTTCGTAGTATGACTTATTGCTTGTAGAATGAATCTATTCTTCAGTGCTATTACGATGGATTACATCGTGATCGGATAGACTGCATAGGAGTATCGATGGTTACACTGTAGTAATAGGACATTTCTTTCATCCATAGTCTTATAGCAACATCGATCATGGCATGATAATACTGGAGATAGGACGATGACTGCAATTCAATCCTATTTATCTTCATAAACATGCTAGAGCTTGCTGTACGACCCCATACCCTATTTCTGCCTACCTGCAAAATGTCTAGAAATAGCTTGAAAATAATTCTATACAACTAGTCCAGCTGTACATTCTATTTCTTGACTCCCAACCAAAGTACATAATCAATTGGATATCGTTACAGTATTGTAATTCCAACCATATTCATATCATTATTTTAGTAGTTTTTTTTTTATTGATGTACTATAATTCACTTTTAAAACCGGCGAATGGAAAGTACCAAGAAACGATTGTATCAGCAGTATACATAAATTAACATACTATGATGCCAACATTATCATCATCCGAATAAAAGAATCGGTTACTTTACGTTATGAACTATTGTCGATACCATCGTCAATGGAGATTTTACATTTACTTTACTGTACACAATCACAATTCAACATAGATTGGAATATTCAATGAAAGAGAATGTAGCTTAGATATCCCTTTTATCATCATCATGATTTTAAGACCGTAATGAAATTCTTTAAACTCCCCAAAAATATTCAATTTTATTTTATTATAGTGAATAAAATGGAACCCAGATGGCCATGTATTAATTAATTATGTATATTTTCAATGATTTGATCGCTAAATCATGCATACTACACTATACAATCTCAATCTTCACTTTGACAAAAATCAATACCATGACAAACATGAGATAGGATATTAAAGGATAATACTCGTACAATATCATCAACTATCCTACTCGTACTGTACATTCTTGGCTTTAATTTCTTACTTTTTATTATTTCTTAAAAATCAATGACGGTCTATAGATTTAATCGTACGTATAATAATTTTTTACATCATAAGCTATTATTCTAAGCACAAAATTACCTGAATAGTTAATTGATACCGTTAATATTAGATTCTCAATCATACTGTACATTACCGACTATCTGTTGTTAAGGGGCTAACCAACGTCAAATTTGGTGTAATTACATTTCTAACTCAACTAGCACAGCCCAAATTTGACTACAGAATTAATCAAAGTTAGCTATCGCAAACAGTGATCCGAAAATGTCAACAGCGATAAAGACAAGGTTGTTCTCACAGTATTATGCATACTATAATAATGATTATTACTTCCCCATTATACGTGCAAAGTCGTTGAATTTTCCCTAATGAAGAATCGCGATTTATTGATATTTACTGTACAAGTGTACATCAAACTAACATTTTGACTTAGAAATGCTCTTTAACATGCAATCATCAGCAAGGTAGTTTTAAAACGCTTTGTTTACCTAAACAGTTGATGAAATCGTCACATATTGTAAGTTTACTTTCACTTTATTTTGTTCATATCTATAAAAAAAATGGCTTGATATGCTACGATACCGTCATCGACCGATCTCCATTTCAACATGTTTATAGCTTATAAATTGGATTGCAATATTACAATATCTATTTTGCAAGCTCTATAGTCAACCACTATACGTATTTATTCATTATTAGCATTTTAATTCTACTCTTAAGTAATGGATAGAACAACGCACCAGTTCCCATCATTATAGGTTACATAATTTATTACAATAGGCATTTTCTCATGGCTTATGAAATTGATACTATTATTCTGAATTTACCGTATATCTTTATCTTCGTAAAATATCGAAGCTATCAGAATGGTAGTAATTTGTTCAGTTTTTGTAAACTAACTACGATGGTGATGAAGGCCTTAAAGATAAAGATCCTCTATTATATACGTTGCAGTTATCGATGCCCGGCTCCATTTTACAAGAACTGCAATGTATGAATTCGATCATTGCCTCATACAGTATTATTTAAACTGTGACAAGTGCACAGTAGTGATGAAATGGATGGTAAAGCTGGAGAAAATTTTCAGTTGATTTTTTATCTTTTCAGCAATTAAGTTAGTACCTTAATTTTTTATCCAAGTGCTGGATTCGGTAATGATGCTAAAACGCGAATCCTTTTTGCTGCAGCTATTCCATTACCTACTTCATTCCTTACGTTATCGCTATAATGTTTATATTAGACAAACGTATGTCAGGATATGTCCATTACAACACAAAATATATCAGTTTAAGGCACCTTTTTGTAATCTCCAATCTCAATAGTATTAATTATCATGCGATATGTACTCGCTGTCAGGATATTCAACCTAAGAATTAGCAAAGATTACTGACCAGTAGCCCTGCTCAGATAATTAATTCTAATCTGATGCTAAATACGTAGAATTGTATACCACCTTATTGTTATGTAAACAAAAAAATCAACGCATTGATAAAAGTAATATGGACTTGTAACTTTTCACTATCCGCAGCCTTATTCTCGTCTAAATTAACAGTATAATCATTAATGATAGATGATACATGCTGTATACGCATCATCTGAAAATATGTTGTATCACTGTTTTTATCTTTGTTATAAAAAGGATAATGAAGACGCTGCTGCCTACAAAGTACCTTGTATGTCCGCACTATGTTTAGAAATATTTTTAACTTTCATTTATTCATACCCTATACATAGTTGACTGGGAATGCAGAAACTGCCAAGAGTTTAATCCATTGTATAATGAATTAGCCAAGGAGCTAAGTAGCACCGATAGCCAAGTAAAATTGGGAAAATTGGATGCGACTAAATATCGCCATTTGGCTGAGAAACATAACGTGGGAAGATTGCCAGCATTACTGTACTTTCGTAAGAGAGTACCACTATTATATACAGGTTAATTAGTTAAACAAATCAGTCAATGTTCTGCATTTGCTAAGCGGTAGATATTCTCAGTTGTAGGTTGATAGCAATAGAGCAGCAAAATCATGATCTTTGTATCCGTATTACATTATGATTTTTACTAAACAATAACATACTTTAATAGGTAATTTAGCCGTAGATTCTATATCGATTTGGCTTGACGAAAATCGCAAAAGCTTCGTTCGTAGGCTTGATGAAGACAATTTCGAACACCTGACTCAGGCATCAACAGGGGCTACCACAGGAGACTGGTTAATACAATTGTAAGTGGACGCATTCTCTGATAAAACGTTAACTCAATTTTAATAGGCAATATAATATTAACGTCATAAATTCACTGCGTATAGACTTTCAATGAATTAATAAAAGCAATTGCAATGATAAAGTTTAAAATTAATTTTGAAGTTACATTGAATTAGAATTTGATAAATTGATTTAGATATCAATTTTGCTGATAAAAATTCTTGGTTTTTAGTTAAACAGTAGAGTAAAATAAAATGAATTTGTTTAGCATGCGGTATAAAATTATAGCATAATAGTTGAAGATAGTTAACAAATGCTGAGATTAGGCTATAAAGTAGCTCACTACTTCTTTGCTATGACTAGTGACTACGTCATATTGAAGGCAAAAGGCTTGTCTTTAGTGTTGTACTAGAGTGAAAACAAATCTGTAGTGAATGCAACGTAAAATTTTATTATAACAGCTGCAAACACAGTTAGTAAATACTGCAACTTAATTCACCAGTAGCTCACTATTTCTTTACTACTATAGTTTTGTCGTAAAAGGTTATTCCCACAGCGGCTAGATTATACGTTGTACTGTATGTTTGACTGTCATTGCTATTAGGCACCGCTAGTAGCTATATATCAGCGAATTAGTGTTGATTTAAAATTTGTTTTGAAAAAGTGCTGGCGATGGATAATGCGTAATACTATAGGATACAAACCTTTCGTTAACTTTTCTGATAATTATCCGTTTGCTTATTGATCACGTCTTATATTTTAAAACATGACAGCTAAGCCTTTCACATTATCTATTAATAGTGAGCTAGTAACTAATTCAGGTAGTAATGATCAATTGTTTATATCTTAGCGCCAGTCCTGGATGTGAAGCATGTAAGCTTGTTCGTGCTAATTGGGAAGCGGTTGCTAGTCATTTACGGCGAAAGATGAATATAGCAACGGTGGATCTATCGGTTAATCAAGGTATTTTATTCATCGAGAAAAATGTTTGCTTGCGTCAAATGATTTATTATGATTTCACCATTTTCGATAGGTCTAGCTAGACGTTTTAAAATTCATCAAACTCCAACCGTTATACTATTCCGTCATGGTAGTCGATATACTTACAAGACTCATAATAACGATTATACATTTTACCCAATAGTAGCTTTCGCTACTGAAGATTACAGAAAGGTCAAAGCTGTCACTGTTGAGGGCAAGAAAGGATTCTTTTCTGAACTATGGGGGTCACTCTCTTTTAATTTTAACATTTTTACGGTATTATACATCTGTTTCGCATTGATTGCAATAGTAATAGTAGTAGCATGTGTATGTGCGTGCAAATTAGCAGCAGAAGACAATATCGATGAAGCCAATGACGAAGAAAGTGAAGATGAATCAGATACTGAAGATAAGAAAGAAAAGTAAAACGATATTAAGTTTATCCCAAATTTTTATTGACAGTTCCTAAATGTTTTATGTACGACCGGCTATACCCAGTCAGCAAACGGAACCTTACTTAACTGTATAGCACGATACCTATCAATCCAGCCACCTATCACATTTTCTTTCCATTTCAATTAAAGTTTCACAATTAATATTATATAATTAATCGACGAAATACCTACTATAAGATCGGACGTCACATCATCGTGTCAACAATGTCACATTATAGGATGTAGGTTCAGATCTCTTTCCGTTCAGTTATTATTATAAACTGTTATTTATTCGTACTTTGTATGATTGTGCGTTGAAATCACGTCCACCAATAAAAGACTTATTTACCTCACGAGTATTAATAAGGTTTTAATAAAATTTATGATGAGATTGATTGTAGCAAGTAAACAATTATTAGAATCGACTAGCATCATCAAACTTTAACTGAAGTACTAATTAATTAATAAAATGAAAGAATATCTTAGAAGGAATGCTCTACAGTAGTGCAAATCTGCACAATTACAAAAACATTTTTAAGAGAAACAGTTTTCATAAAGCTCGAGTAATAAGGCTTATATTATAAATCAGATATTGTTACAGTGATAGTATAGTAGTAGGTAGTCACTAATACCAATAATAAAAAGCTACGATCGGATATTATAGTTATCGTTATAGGAATAACAATTGACTGTGAGCGCATTGACTTTCATCAAATAATCGCACAGCGTACAGACCAGTGCAGGTCATGACACAAGTTTGATAGGTTGCAAAAAAGGTTAAGAACGCAAGCAACGCCAACAGTGCATTACTTAGAGCCAGTAGAACCAAAACCACCAGCACCTCGATCTGTTTCGTCTAGATCCTAACCCAAGTAAGATAGTTGAAGATAACAATTCAAAATTAATTATCATGGAGTACAACTGATCACCATTCCGATCACACCTTCAATATATCATAACAATGAATAACTGCTCATTTAAACATTATTACCACATTGTACACCACTATCACGACCGTTGTCTATTTGATATTAAGAAAAATAAGACTACAGCATTGTATTATCATCAATATCATATAAATACACTAGCCAATGCCAATCCCAGGACTGACCAATATCGGGTATTGATCAAAGCTCTTATACATTTCATTGCGTACCTCACACTCTTCCAGAGGGGCAATAAGTATTCTTTCTAATATTAATTGAGCGATTCGTTCACCCTTGCTCACTAAACCAAAAACAATCATGAAATATGCAACTACATTAGTGAAAGGTTACAATAACATCCCATATACCCGCAGCTAAAGCGATAAGAAAACAAACCTGAAAACTCTTCTTTTCCATGATTAAATAACACAACTCCGACATTGCCCCTATAATCCTGGTCAATTACACCAGCTAAAAGAAAATTATCTTCTATTAGTCCACTAATACAGACAAATGTTGCAGGCAATCGCAGGTTGTAATCACAATGTTAAAAGTCGGTCGTCATTTATTAATCTGTCCTGCAGTATACTGTACATCGTACAGTTACTTGGCAGGGTTACCGACATAACATGGAAATAACGTAGTCTACTTGACTCAATCCAAGCTGTATTCTTACCGCCAACATCAATATGCTTCTTGACGGCGAGTCCGGAACGTGGTGCTAAACAATCAACCGATTAGAATGAATAACAGCTCCATTATTAAGGATTACTACTTAAGCATAACTACTACAACAATACTCAATCCTAGAGGTACTGTATTTCCATTTACAAAGGTGAAATCATCATTATTAACCCGATAGCGTCTTCGAACATAAGTAGTCAAATGTTAGCAATATTCCTAAGCTGTCATCTAGCTCGTAGTTTGATTGCTAGCGATTCAACTAGCCAACATGCGTACATACCTACTCTTCCATAACAGCCAGCAGGTACAGCAATTGCGATATCGGTCTTAATGACAGCCTTCCCATGAGGTGGAATTACGCTTTGCTCTGCACTGATGACGGAAAAAAAGGACAAATATGACTACATCCCCTATCTAATCTTGTTGCAAATGCTTCTGTGTTATATACTTGTAGCAACAACACTAGAATAACATTGTCAATGAAGTGAATATTTGATACATGAAGTTCGACTAAAATAGCAAGTGAAGTGGATTTCATCGACGATCTTTTCAATCCTTGTACGTTCTATCAATGATCATTTTGAACACCAGCTCAATCAAATGCAACTACATCAGATCAAATGTCTTGCAGCGAACCTGTAAAGATCATAACCCGCCGCTTGAGCGGAGCCACGCTTCGGTGCAGTAGCATTCTCCGATAACTTTTTAAACCTTAAGGTAATTTCAGGCTGACTGGTTCCGTTCGAGTGGTTATCTAATTTTTCAGACATGATTAATTTTTTTTGATCTCTTTCTACAACATACATGATTAAGTACGGTATAGCACAACCGAAGATGACAAAATCACTTTACTATCCGACTGATCTAACGTAAGTTAAAGCTTTGATGGACAACTTTTATTAATTAAGGCAACACGATGATCGTCGATTGGACAAGATTGGGGACCTTGATTGTTATTGCAGCTTGGCGCCAAATGCGAGCATATGCATAAATTATAATTTATATTTGCATATGCACTGTACTCATGATGCTGGGGCCTCCTTTTCAATCCTATTGGACAATAATGATTTGCAGTACTGTACAGTATGAGACGGTGTACTATTTCAGTCTTTCGGCGGAGTAAAATGACCAATTCAAGTAACCGGCCTGCAAAATTGGACCGCTCGTTTTCTATGCTTCCCTCTTCTTTCATCGGCTTGTACAGTAGTCGTCGTCCCCTACTTCGGTCTTTGGATCTCTGCCGATGTGGCGATGTACACAAGAAATCGCCGTCATTTCAATGACTGTAATGACTGTACTATGATTTTGATATCATTGCAAAGTGTAAAGGAAGCAATAATAAAAGACGAGCATCATTGCAAAATAAAGCTTTTGATATATTGGAGAGGCTTATTGCCCTTATTACTACTGTATTTTTACTTTAGTTTTACAACAGATGACTTAACGACTTTGTATTCAGTCTAAAGAATCCCAAAGTTTTTCACTGCAATACACTCTGCTCAGTAGCAATGAGGTGTCCATCTGTATACAGTAAAGTACAGTATCGGCGACCATCTACTCCTCTAATGCGCTTGACTTCAATACGATCGGAGAAGCAATTTAAAAGGTTAATTATACAGTATGCACAACTAGGTGTGCGGGTTTGGCAAAGTTTAAAATCAATCGTAAATACTGTACTGTCATCTTGGAGTTGTTAGCAATCTATAGAGCAGTCCTAAAAGCTAGTTCCATTACATATAAAGAGGACGGCACGGCACCTATAGCTGCAGATTTGGCCAGCACGCTGTGCATTACTGTACTTACATGCCATCTGAAGGATCGTAAAATAGCGTGGTGCAGCAGGTAAAGGTCGATTTCTGAAGAATGTCTTCATAAGTTGGTACCAAATTATCATTTCTCACTGGCAGCAAGCTACAGTATGTAGAGTACTTGGCAGGAATAGCTGGAACTTGTTGAAAAGCACAATATCAACGAGCAATATTACTACGGATTAGAATTGATATAACATTGCGTCCATTGGACCTCAAAATGTACTTGTGCTCTATTCACCATACTGTAGAATTATGTACACCAGTAGATCTGTTCATTCACTCACTGAACTATAGCTGACTTCGGCATTAGCAATTTCCTGTACCTCGGTCTGCTTCTCAATCAGATGCAGCGTTTCTGTCTAGCGAGTTAATTTTGATTCGATTGGATCTCGCCATCCCGCATCTACCCTACTCATCTATTCCCCCTACAATTTGGGCAGAAATAAATAAATAAAAAAAATAAAATAGAAAATTAAAATTACTGGCTGAATTGATCTAATGATTTACAGTAGACTACAGTATGCAGTGTATGGTACTGTAGCATGAAGTACTGTACACTCTGGCTGGAAAGTAGTTGGAGTCGTGACTGTAGAGTAGCGCATCCATTATCATACTTTGTATGCATAATATTGCAATGAATCATACAGTATATAGTCAGCTTGCAATCCGAGTCATTGTATTACTGTATACTACTCATGGGTCGGCGAGCTCGATTGCGCACACTCTTCAAAGCTGTAAAGCAACCATCATCGATCTAATCCGCCATGACAGTGAGTCTGCTAGCTGAATTGGAAATAATATTAAGCAAAAAGAATGGACTATTACACTTAGTTCCATCGTTAGACGTGTATGTTAATGTTTAGTGTGATATTTCCATGATTTTTTACCCTTGCAATTTTAGGGACCTCCGGAGAAAAAGAAAAGAGAGAGTATCGTTGATCTGCAAAAGCATATCGATAAGAAAGTTCGCGTTAAATTTCAAGGTGGCCGAGAAGGTGATTCTGCAAGTAGATGATGCTATTCCTTGATATCAGTAGACTTTGCAAAGTAGTTTATATACAATAATGGAATACTGCTAATGGTAAAAGCAGTTTACTATGGTTAGATTGTGTCAATTTTATAAACAGTATCATAAGTGTACTTCGAAACGTCAGCATCATGTCAAGTTAGTTACTGCAAATTGAATTTGTTGAGCTTATATACGTAAAGAGAGAGAGAGAGAGATGTACTTAAACAGTAGATATTTCTTTGCTTAGAATGGACCAAAGCAAAGTAGAGGATTATTATAACATAGATGAGAATTGAAATCCACTCAAATCTCACTTTTTTTCCATCATTTTACTCGACTTACTCATCATGAAAGTGATTTGCATTTGATTCCATAATTAATTCCTAAATGGACATCCAGTTTTATGAACGTAAAATTAGATGCTTATAAAAGCTGCACGCCAGTACAACGACATCTTTACTAATGGTTAATAGAGCTTGGCCGCAATAATACCGTTGTCATAACGAGATCATGCGAGCGCCTCAATTCCATTGTATGGTCTAGAGTTTAGAGGAGTTTCATATTTGTCTTGCACATTATAGGACTGTAGGTAATGTACTAATGTCAACGTATTACAATACAACGCAATGGTAAAATAAGACAACGAAGGAAAGCTAGTCTTAATTTACAAACTGAAGAAACGAGCATTGAAAATGGGCATTCTTCGAAATCAAATTATGTCTGTAGTTAACACTTAGTATTGTACAGTATGTTAGGGAGTACGATCTTTTGCCAAGGCGGCTGTCATGAGCTAATAGTGTTAAAGGTTGACGATTTTAAAAGTGCTAAATAGATATTGTAGACGATTAAAGTGCTTTATGAAAGATCACTAAACAATCTTCGCTTTAATACGTACTGTACGTATTTATCCACAATTATAATTTCGTTTGAAAACAAGATTTTCAGTTACACAAAATGCTTGGATAGTAATTTTCATTTTTCATGACCATCAGCTATAGGCATTCTGAAAGGTTATGATCCGTTATTGAACTTGGTACTTGATAATGCTGTAGAAAATTTACGTGGTAAGGAAGCTGAATGAGCTATTCTTGAATTCAATGTGACCTATTACTCTACCACTTTTCTTACTACAGCGTAGATCGCACACCAATATAATTCATAAATAAAACATCGTGGTTATTTTTCTTTTCCAGATTTCGAAGATTTATCACGAATTAGTAACGAAACAAGACAATTAGGATTAGTGGTTTGTCGAGGCACTTCTGTAGTAGTGATTAGCCCTAATGACGGTATCGAAGAGATTGCCAATCCATTCGTCCAAGCAGAGTGAGATGGATGTCAACTGTACCTATTTTATTTAATGTCATTATTTACTTCCCTTAGGAACGAAATTTGAATTGTAATTATTAAATTCATCCTAATACCCGAGATAATACAGCGCAATTTACTAGGCTATACTCGTATGTTGATCAAACGTGGTCATTGGTGTTAGACCGTGTAGAGATAGGTAGAATTCATCATTGTCCTTCTATAACTGTACAGTGTTCACTAATTATCCGTTGAGTTTACATCTGGTACATTTTGCTGCCAGAATCGATAAAATGTTAAATACCATCGGATCTACCAATAAACATAACTTGTAATAAAAGATTTCAAGATTCACTTTCACCCTCGAATAGGCTTAATTTGCATGCAACTATAACTTCATATGCACGCATAATATACGTATGTATCTAAAGTTGTCGCCATCAGATCTACAAATAAACATAACATGTAATAAAAGATTTCAAGATTCACTTTCTCCCTCAAATAGGCTTAATTTGCATGCAACTCTAACTTGATATGCACGCATAATATACGTATGTATCTGAAGTTATCGCTTGCAATTTACATATGGTGCTATAGTACAGAAATGCCGTTCACGTAATGAAATGTAATAGGTTCTACGCACTTTTAACCAGAAATGGTTGATGCATGCATATCGTAAACTACTAGGTAAATGTCATCTATCTGTAGTATTTAGTTTTCGACTTTAAGTTACCTGAAACTGTTTGATCTACAGTATGCATGAAGTATGTAGACAATATATACCAGAAGTAAAAACCAAATCTACTACTTAGTACGCGTCTAGAGTACAGATTTTCTTTTAAATGCGTGTAGAGAGCTTGCTAGCTCATAACTTTTGTTATGGCACCAAACATGATGATACGTAACAAATCAGTAATCTAGGTACGTATTTCTATAATAAAGTGAAACAAATTCGCCCATCATACCGACGGTAGCTCTTCTTCAAAATGAGGGTGATACAGGAAATCCAATTAATAAATATTCAGTTAAAAAATGTGACGTGGCTATACCGAATTATAGAAATAAAAATCTATACCAATAAAGCAAGCCATTAAATTTGATTTACGAAAGTTTGCAATATATTGCGAGAGAAAATGTGTACAGTACAGGAATAAATTATCAAAGCTATCAAGACATCAAAAATTCAAGTTTACATTGTGTTAATGTACGTATTCCTAAGTATTTCATGCACATTTCTTAGCCCGATATAGAGCAGTATCGATAAATCAAGCTTAATACTATTATCTTCCGGTTTTATCGTTGCAAATTCTAACACAGTGCGCATACTGCATTGTATACAAGTAATTGTACACGCGTATACGTAGTATTTTACTGGGAATTTTACTTATTTCTGTCAGTGCATACAAATGTGTAATATAGCTGTCGGCATACTCTAGTAAATCAGCATTAAGTGTACATACATCAAATTAGATAATTTATTAAACACTAAATACTAACTAAGCTACTCTAATGTAGAAAATTTAGTTACGATCAGATAGTAATTAGCTATCTTGCGCATTCATTCCAATCGATACAATCAGACTTAGTCCTTTATTACAGTGTACGATGATGCAAAACGATACAGCTGCTGTATGCCTGTATAAGAGAGTTTTCATGAATTTTAGCCAAAAAAAATAGCCAACACCTTGAAGTAACAGTTCAAGGCTTTTGTTCATATAATATGTACTGTAACAAGTAAATTCTGAACAAATTTTAAGATATAGCAAAAGATAGGATTGTAAAATAAGCAGGTTATCGGTCATGAGTACTACAGTAGGTAAAGAACAATAATTATAATTTAACTATTATAAACTTTCAGAAAATATTGAAACAGAGTGACTGCATTTATTGATTAACCGGTAAGACTCTAGTGTAGCAGTTTTATGTAAAGCAGTTACATTACCAAAAGTTATAAACGATACTGATAATAGTAGTGCAGTATATTGAATTTGTTCAAAAAGTGACTGATACGATAAGGCCTTCAAATACGGTATTCGTTCGAATATGAATTGCTAGAAGTGCTAAATGCTCACTACAATAGCTATTATCGACACATACTGTAGGCAGCTCTGCTGTCTAGTTAAACTAAACTATAACATTTCAATAAATATCCCACATCGAGAACTTTATATTATCATAGAGGTATCAACGATTATTATTGAATACTACTAAACTGTTAACAAACGGGCCATTATAGCACAGATATGGAGAATATACTGCATTATTTACGGAACATAGCTAACTGCTTCCGTTATAATACTGATACCGTAGTCAAGAACTCATTGTTTATATTTTCACAGCAATAAGTCAAATAAACTAATATACATCAAAGTATTGATACTGGATATTCCAGTCATATTAATAATAAGATTGGCGACTTGTAAGAAAATTATCTATTCTTGGCATTATCTTTAGGAATATCTACCTGTAATAACAAAATTAGTAAAATACATTTCGTTACATAGGCTGCGTTATATCCCATTCAATTCGAACACATTGGACACTTGGCAATGCTTGTTATCGTTCGTTATCGTCTTTTAAGAATAAGTATAAAAGTCTACCACTCATGACTCAAGCAATCAGCATACAGTATATTCATATGAACTGCTTATTATTGCAATTTACTCGCAACGCGATGTACAAACCTTTACATCATCGGCTCCTACCAATTTATGGGTTGTATCAGTCGGGACTGCTCTATTTACATAACCACCTTTCGATTTCATTTGACTTTTAATACTATCGAACTGTAATAATGAAAAAAAGAAATTATTACTTTAACCACTTCGCTAAGGCTCATAGTAGAAAACTGCGATACTACGACATTGTGGAGAATTTATCCATGTATGGAGTACGTATATGATATCATTAATATCAAATATGAAAATGATGATCTAGCGTAATTCGATGGTACATTATTTACGATTTATCTATTATAATTAATTCATGGTGCTCGTCTTGAAAACTTATGTTATAATCGTGGATTAGAATGCAATACTAAAAATGAAAACGAGCTGAAAGCAAGTCAGATGTTGGAAAGATAAAGTTTTCACAATTTTTGCACAAAGTAATACAGCAGTAAAGCAAAGATGTTGAATAATTATGACTGAACGAAGCTTCATAAAATTGTGGTATCTTATAGTAAATCACGAAGCGTATTCACTACTATAGATCGATTACGTCATATCAATTACAGTCAAGTCGTGAAATATCGCCTAAGAACGTTTAGTGTTAACAAATCGTGAAAATATTAAATAAATAATCAATGGCTATGAGCAACATTACGTCAAAAATTGGATAGAGGGTTAAAAACGGCTGTCTTGAAGTTAATAATGACAGAAGATTTTTAGTTCGATTCTAGTGTATTGCACACTGATTAACAAATATCCCTCCACCAAAATGTATTAAATAGTGACATTTTATTTTGCTAGTTTGTTGGATTGGAGGTGAGAGCAACAGAGGTGAATATAAATAATATATACAGTAGGACACAGGAGGGAAGCATTACTTCTTATCTTTGCTAAACTATAACAAGATACTTTAATTCATTCAACCAGTCTAATCGAATATACACATGTTATGAACGATTGATAATAATAATATACGAATCTCTAGAAATATCTTAAACACCGTTTATGCATTAAACTGGTCAATAAAATTGATCATTTCAATATCGCTTTAACGTCTAATTCTCTATTATCATTTACAATTTATTCAATCCATAACTGTGCGTATCAGCGAGTTCCATTCTCATAGGGTACAGTATCAATTTTCTAAACTGAAATGCTTTCGCAACGATGTTATAAGAAATGGATTGATTTGAATGAAACTGAGGCAAAATGTCAACGAAACAAAAAATTACAATATGCAAAGAAGAATTTATTTATAAAATTGGCCAAACAATAAACTGTAAGCGCAATTGCAAGATGTGCTCCTTGGACGAATATCATTCATACCTCATTATCTACTCCTGAATGGCTATCGCTGGCCCCCAAATGTCCGGTATGCTGTTGGCGTTTAATAAAAAAAGAAAAGACATCATTAGATCGCTAATGTAGTAGATAATACAATACAGAAGCCAAAAGAGGATACGTAATATTTCGGTCAAAGACCTACAATGACTAGGAGCTTCATTCTCTTACTGTACAGTAATGATATTTCAAGGTAGTTTTAATCTACTTGGGAAAAACATTGGGATATGATTGGAATATAGTAATAACAGTGATACTATGTTTATTTGAGGGTGTGTGAAATCATCACAATACTTGATATGCTAGGCATAAAAGTTGCTTAATTGGTTGCGGCTTCAATTTTTTTCTCTTGCTAATTACATTAATTCCATTAGCATAGTGCAATTACATCATCACTACATCACTGTTTGCGCTTTTTTTTGGACATGCAAGTAGCTTTCTACTTTGCCATTCCAACTATAGCACAAGACAATAAAAGATGGGGCAAATGACTTGTTGACTTTAGACTAGAAATAGGCGTAGTGTACGTATAGAACTTGTACAGTAGAAGTATGATACGGATGAATTAACAAATGTTGCAGCCATTTTCAACTAATAAGTTGACAAACAAGACAGATTATGCATTAGGTCATCAATTCTAATCCGTAATGTAGGCACTAGCACCGATGTGTACATTGATAATTACTCTTGTAACTTAATAATATTGGTGCAAAAAGTAGCTGATCTTTCTTTCGTTGAGAACATTTATATCATTCATGGACAAAAATAAGAAATGAAAATATCAAAAACTTCCAACCTGAAAACTAGTAGGAGCTCCAATCGCCGAGCGATCAATCCTTCTCGGTGGCTAATAAGAAAAAGCACAAGAGCAATATACATGATAGCATTAGTTTCTAACTCAATACAATATACGCTCGATGTCGTTAAAGTTAGAATATTTGCAAGGGTAGTATTTTTTTTTTAATGTATCTACCATGGCTAATAACTCTCCTATTGGTCAGGAATATACATGATAGTATTCGTTTCGAACTCAATGCAATATACGCTCGATGTCGTTGAAGTCAGAATATTTACAAGGGTATCTTTTTTTTTTTAATGTATCTATCATGGTTAATAACTCTCCTATTGGTCAGGAATGGATAGAATTGGACATCCAAGTCTAATTGATTCTACAGTATTGTAGTGTATTGGCGTAGTCAAGCGTAAAATTTGTAATTGACGAGAAAACAATTACCATCCTATCCGTAGTCGTACGCAGGCGGATATCTTGTTGTGAAAGCGGCGATGTCAATTTTGCCCTAACTGTATCATCATGAGTACTATCATAACATAGAGCGAATTATTCATCGATTGACTTTATCCGATCAATATGTCTAGAATGATGAGTTTATCGGCGACATACGCGTTTTCATTTTTACAAAATTGATTGATACTTGAAAAGTACAAGATCCGCTAGGCACATGGTAGACACTAGACCCGTTCTCTATCATCTCCTATACCGTAGTCGTATGGCTGGATTGGCAATAAGTTCCATAGTGCCATTCCTTTTAGCACCGGTAATAACTCGTTGCAGCGAGCGATGAATAAGATGAAAAGTGGAGCACAATGTGTTGTTTAAAAGTATCCAATCTACATGCATCTAGTACAGTACAGAACAAGACTGACAACTCGCATGTCCAAGTTGTATCATTTGTTAATGGGATTTCACTTAGTGCTGTACTAAATTAGTTCTCAACATCCATGAAAAGATTTCAATAGACAGAAAATGTTGTCTTCAGTCCTGTCAAGACATCAGCGATTCAATCACCCCAAAGATATTCAATTTGCTACAAAAAACCAATTTGATGAAGCGTAGGCGATTTCAACGCTACGCCATGATGATCCATTTTGAATGCTGGTTTTTTTAGATGGTTTCTATTTGTTGGTGGGCCTATCGTTAGCCTATCAATCTTTGTTGATCATGTCTTTTGGATACTAGCTCTATCATGGTATTCCATGCTAAACTCTCATCCTACACATGGTGTCCATAATCTTGCATCAAAAATAGCTCTAAAATACCTGATTTGTTTCAACGTTGCAGCAAGGAAAGCACACCATATACGACATATCGACCGGCCCACACACCGACGCTAAATCAACCTATCAGATGGGGTAAGTACTACACTTGACCTCGTTGACTGTCACTTCAACTAATCTAATCTATCTAGTATCAACACAAAAGCCAACTGATTATCCCACAAGTGCAATTTTCAACGTTCAAATCGATACCATCCACCCAAAAATGGCAATCTTCTTACTTAAACAATTCTTTACTACTGTAATCCAAGTCGATAATCACGACTGCCGCTGCTGCATTCGATGTTGATCAAAGTAATCCACTAGCCAAGTGAGTTTAAGTGACGAAAAAGGCCGCAATTTCTCCTAGCCCCTGTAGAAAAACAATCTTGTCAAAACATCCAGTAGTGCAACTTCTTTTGTTTGGACTGTACACTTCGCACTGTATCGCATGGCCAGCGTGGATAGTACTGTATAAAGTACTGTACACCAGGGACTTGCTACTGAAGACCTACAGTACTGTACTGTAGTATGTTGTCAGACGATCTTCTCCTAGTTACCACCAGTGACTAGTATCATGCACAATGCACGGACGATGGCACATGTTACAGTATGGTAGTACCGGTGCCGTTGTCGGCGGTATGCTTACCATCAGTACAGTTATTACTCGTTACTAGTGTAAAGTGAGTGGAAAGCGGAATCAAAATTGCCAATTTTGCAAGGCATACCGTAGTGTGACATGTACTCTAGAGACCCTCTATACACTACATCCGCCATATCGATTGATGTATATTTCGTTCAAAAATAGCCAAGAAAAAGGATTTGATGTCCGCTAATTTCTACGCCGAAAAATGGCGGATATACAGTACTCTACTCTACAGTCTACAGTATAGGACAGATTGCTAATCTGCCATTCTATTTGTAAAATAGATGTCATGAGTTACGCATCAATTGAAACTAGAATCGAACGATGAGATAGGTCTCTCTACGACATCCATTTTACACATTGTACAGTACAATGGTGACATCATACAGTATTTTTATTCTTTACTATGACTGCCCATGCCAATAGGCCATGACTCATGCAATCATGCCGTCGGACAAGTACAGTCAATCATGACTTGATAATGCTCCACAAAACAATAGTTTCAATCACGACAGTGACGTATATGGATTACGTACAAATAGGTATAATAATCATCATAAGAACAATATCTACTGTATCTATTCTGGAGTACAAAAATCGAGTGAACAGTAACGCAGTTGGCCATCTAAATATATCCATAAATAAATAAAATGATGTAGCGCTTACTAAACTACAAGAAATACAGACAGTACATGGAAACTGATTTATTCATGCGTCGACGCGCGTATATTGGTAGCAGAATCGTAAATGGACATTGTCACTGATTAAGCGATTGGTCTGTAGTCGCCAAAAGAGGTTTAGCTATCACTGTAACTGGTACACAGGATGGATGGTAATAGGTTACATAACATGAATGTGATCCTCAATGACAAAATTCACTACCTATCAAACGAAATGAAAGATAGAAATAAACGGAATCGATGCATTACTCGATACCACTGGATAATGCAGACTGAATTGAGTATCAGGATACTTAGACGAGAATACAAGTGGACAATTTTGCCCTTGTCAGTGGTATTATTATCTACTGTACTGTACTGTACTATACAGTATGTGTATGTCAATATCTGAACTGTATTGATGATATTCGCCATCGTAAACTATAAACAGTAGACTAAAAATAGTATTATAATTAGCTACTGGTACGATTCTCCGGCCTGTCAGCGGTGGAGTAACAATTTTAACAACCAGTAAAAATCATATCTACTCTTTTTTAACCAAGTTACAGAATTCAGTATCATAAATTAATTGTGCTAACAGGAAGTAAACATAAAAATCACCATTTTATTTCCTAGCACATTACGCTTCAGTGCTATAATGCCACAGTAAAGAAGGACACGTATAAAACTGTACGCGATATTAGGTTATATCGAAACAACGACAATGCATACAAATTTCACACGAGCTTCTCGGAGTCTTAATTTTAATAATCACATAGACTATAGACTGATTTACTCTCCAGTACGATACAAAAATGATAGCAAGACTAATATAACAGAGTACTAATCTTAGATTGAACGATCTTAAAATTTATGCTGCCAAGAAAAAATTCAATCTATTCGATATGTTTGTTTTCCGATCATTATTCAATGGCTCGTAATTTTAAAAATGCAAACAACTTGTTTATATATAAATTTATATAGTCATAATAATTCCAGAAATTTGCAAGGGGCTAATACAGCATATCAGTCTTTATACTATAACTTTAAAAACAATCATTTTACATTGTCTTAGATATTATTTGAATTTGTCATGTTTTACAAAATAACGTTATCAGTAAAGTCGTCATTAGCAATTGGCAACGACACGCATAACAAAGATTAAAATAGTTACTATTTTATAGTTGTCAGATACAGAAAGACTTATATCTGATTAGTATAATCTGTGTCTAAAATTGCATATTCTACACCATCGAGGACAATACTCCGGGTTCACGGTCGTTGTTACTGTCTACATCCCGTTCCATTTCATCCTGTTCTGCATCATCTTGTTCACTATCTTCAATACTAGCTGACCTAACACGATTCTAGAAGGCAATGCGACGAATAGAAATGTAGAACTTTATCAATATCATTGACAGTAGTAACTACCATGACATATCATGCCAGTGAATGCGCGTGTCAATGATATCGTACCTCGAATTTCCCTTTCCACATCTGCTTTAATTCTGAACGTCGCCAAGCTGCAATAGAAGTGGGAATTAAAGTTAATGGAACGATGTACAATAATGCTGGTTGACCTCGGCCTGAAAGGATAAGCCCAACGAATGTAGCTATCAAGCCTATCACATATCCTACATTCGTAGATGAAATAAAGAAATGGGCCATTATATAGTGCTTGTTAACGTATGAATATCCTTTATTATTAATTAAATAAAATCGATGTATATAATTAATCAATAGCCACATTACCAATTAATGATACTAGGAAGTACACTTTAATAGAATCATACGGCTTCTGGACATCAAAACGATGGCAAAATGCGATAAACATTCCTGCAATTGATATTTACGTGTTATAATGCTGAATACCACAATAATTATATTCTACTGGCACAACAACACATATAGAAATACAAACCTGGGACAAGAATATCACCAAAGCCAAGAAGAGAATACATAGGATCGAAACACGTGTCAATATAGGCACTATGATAGAATCTCGGTACTTTTATCAGTAATGGTAGCTAAATAATAGTAAAAATTTGTGCAACAATAAGCTAATCAAAAGGACTGTATACTTTCGCTGAACACGGTCAAAAATGTTTAACAAGCTGCCAGACAACTAACCTCTTCTCTTACAGTGCTTGTTGTCCAATTGCGGGCTTGGCTGCTTGTTCTGCCTCCACCAACAGCCACCTGAACCATAATACTTTCCCCGTTCTTAATAGAGAAATGATTATTATTATTACTATTATTATTAATCCAGAAATCATCTCGGCTATTAGAACGCACTTTACTTTCGTAAGAACAAGCATCTTATTATGTTACCTTTGTAATTAGAGGCGTGATAAATACAAAGAAGATATCATACAAGAACAGGAGAGTTAACAAAAACGTGCAGAACTGAAAGAAAATTACATAACATCATTGCATCAGTAAAATATAGTATGACCGCTTAAGCTACCTTATAAATTCTTACTACTCACTTTCAAATTAGGTAAAGCATAGTATTTCAAAATAACGATACAAAATGCGCAACTAAGCAGATCTTGAATAACCCAGCTATATCTACAATCCAATTTAATTTAATTCCATAATTATTAATATATGTGCAGGTAGAACTTCATTACATACAGTACAAGTGACATTTTATGCCAGTATTACATTTGATGGCGTTCGATAAGCCAGAAAATAACCAATGAAATAGATAAACCTAGTAATACGATCTCTTTCATGGATAAGATATAAGGTTTTTGCATCAAATATGGTATCTTAATGGGCGGTAACCTGATTAGGAACAAATTACAAATTAATTTCACATGGAAGTCTGAAAACTGTGTTTTCATACATAAAACTATTGCTAATGTCTTTCATGGCTTACCTCGTATCTCCAAAATGAACATATGACAAGAATGGATGAAATAAGTCGTAACATCCGTAAACGCAAAAGCCGCAATATATGACAATAATGAACCAAACTTGGAGGATATAATTTTTTATCAAATTAGTGTTATTATAAATTCAAGCGATAAAACAATTCTATCATGGTAAAAGAAATGTAAAAGCCCTCATTACAGTAATAAATTTACTCTCGCTTACCAAAATAATTGTAGAAGAAATAAAGTAGCAGAAGGGTGGAGCAAAGTGCAATCAGGATGATCACAACAAAGATCAAAGTCATTTTTGATATTTGTTCTTTAATATTTTCTCGTGCATCTCTGCTACTATTTCGATCAAGTAATTCATCACCATCTTTATGAGAGCATTTATATGATTTTGAAAGGCAACATTGAATACATGGGATCCTATTATGCAAAACGATATCCATTAACTTCTATCAAAGTAAATTGAATAAATAGGAGTACCATAGCTTGAAATTTCTCAATTAATCAGTTACCCGTGCCATCTCCGTTCCCATGGGACAGAGAGTAAACTACCAATTGTTATACAAAAAACCGCGATGAAGAATATAAGTAGGAAATTAGCATCAGCAGTTGGAATTATTGGCGAATAAAATTTCACACGGATGTCACTTTTCATGGACTAAAGACAGAACATGAGGATATGGAAATTAATAATAACAAAGATAGGCAAATTGCACTCCATCAACTCCACTTTGTTAATTGTATCTACACTCCTAAGCTACTGTAAATAGAGAGCATATAGCACATCAATAGCTAAATTAATAAGATTTTGTTATACTTTTAAAATGGTTAATATTACAATATCTGTATAATAAAAGCAACTCAGGTACAACTCATTATACCTGAAGCGATTTTCCAGCTGCTGCTGAAATAGCTAAAATCATGATCGTCATGTTATCTTTCTTGGTTATGTTTGGACACGGATTTGCCTACAACAGTAAACAATTACTTTTAGTGACTGCACGGTGCACACACAGTGCGCACGTCGCTATAGATATCATAGTAATACTCCTCGAGATTTTACGGAAAGACATTTACAAAAATGTACAATTTCAAAACAGGAGCTGTACTAAGTAGCAACTACAACATTAAATGTAAGGTTTAAATACGCTACCGTATTAAGAGAGATTAAGAAGATAATAAATACTGTAACACTGAAATAACTTATCAAACTTGACATTATTAGATAATATCACGTAGAAAGTCTACGAAAATCAGCTTATCTCTGCTGTTCGGAAAGCAATTTAAACATACCAAATACTGGTAACTAGCCAGTATAACGCCTTCAGCATGCATCGAATTCATGTTAGTGATGATATCGACGCAAGAGCAATTCGCTTTGTCGAAAGAAATCAACGCTACTTTGCCCTTTAGTAAATTGGTTTCGCTATCATCGTATAAACACCCAAAATGACTCTTTTTACCAATGCCAACTAAGGAATGGAACGTCTATAAGAGGAAATATTAATTCATAGTCAATCATTTTTTTAATTCAATTGAGCTTTAGCACATGCTCCCACTAGGGCCATAATTTTCTATTATTTTTGCTTCAACAATACGTTTCCAACAGGTAAAGCTAATGCTACATACCATGGATTACTAAATTACAGTATCCAACAAATGCACCACCATCCACTGCAATGATAAATTTACACTGACTAGCACGTAGCAGTAGGTACATTATATATATTTATAAACTGAGAAGTTAGGGTTAAAATTTATACAAGTAGAAAGTGTGCTCGTATCCATGGCCCGGAATAATATCTGTAGACACGACTAACATTATTGATCAAAGACACTAATTTAATTACCGCATTCTGGGAAGATTTAGGAAGTGACACGTAAGGCGAGCTATACATTTATAAACTGAGAAGTTAGGTTTAAAATTTATACAAGTAGAAAGTGCGCTCGAATCAGTGGCCTATAATATTATCTGTAGACGCGACTAACATTATTGATCAAAGACACTGATTTAATTACCGCATTCTGGGAAGATTTAGGAAGTGACATGTAAGGCGAATTATACATTTGTAAACTGAAAAGTTAGGTTTAAAATTTATAGAAGTAGAAAATGTGCTTGTATCAGTGGCCCAGAATAATATCAGTAAACACGGCTAACATTATTGATCAAAGACACTGATAGAATTACCGCATTCTGGGAAGATTTGGGAAGTGACATGTAACGCGAATTATACAAGACACAGATGTCGGCCGTATGAGATGATGATATTGCTCGCATAACACCAGTATGGCCATAAGTTACCTAAAATATGAATAACGAAAATTAATAGATCAGTTATGATTGAGAATAAAGACGAGTTTATTATATAAGACAATATACTATATTAGGTTTGCGGCCGTAGTATTGCAAGCATTATAATTACATACTGTACTAGTAAGATTTTATCATACTTGTACAAGAGTTGAGAGTCTTATTATATATACCTTATGTTCATGAAAATTATTTTCATACAGTGCGTCTACACAGTAGTGGACGAGTAGAAAGCACATCTAACATCGCTAGCTAAGAGCGTAGAGCTAATATATTGTCGATTAGGTGAACCCTTAAGTTTGATTGCAACTTCGAATCACTTCTATACGAGTATCATTCTATAGTACATCATTGTTGATAATTGACATAGCCAGTGATTACTATTCAAGTGTATATGACATATACAGGCAGGTAGCACTAAAAGCTACCAACCCACATTGTTCTCACAGTCATACTCGCAGTTTGAGTCAAGTCGCTACATTGTATCCCTGAAGATCTTGATCATTTACAATAATTCATGTATGCAAATTACGGTATTACTACTATTTATTGCATTTGAATGAAAAAGATAGCTCATGTATGTATACACTGACAGTAGTACAATAGCTTATAACAGCAACTATTTTGTAAAATTGATGAATTTTGGAAAGAATACAACAACTATGATTGACTACTGCTTCCACTTTTAATGCATCATTCTTTACTAGAAAGTTGGAATCAAGTCCATATTACTACCTTGCCATTCTCAATTTTATCTACACAGTAGTGAATGTACAACAAGATCAGACACGATAAGAACAAATCGGTTGCGTTCATTCATCTTCTATATTGATTAGCATGACGGCCAATATATGTAGCCATCGGTAGATTATAAGTATTTTTAAGTTCAAACGACTTGATTTTATGCCGTTGTTGGTTCTACTGAAGTAGCGAATTCTGTTGTGGAGACGTCTGTGGACTGTCTCGAGTTGCAATTGTATTCTTTGCATTGTTTACGATCTACTCGTCAATAGAATTAGCATTGCTAATCATCATCGTAATCTTTCCTTCCAATTTTTTTTATGCTACCGTATAAAAATTGAATGCGACAATGATACCCTACAAATTAGCCATTGATTATCATTCGATACAGGAGTGGAATTGCTTGTGAAAGTGTATCAAAAAGAATCGCAATAACGTTGTTGCTAGAAACTTGCAAAATTTTTTACACTTTGTATCCAGAAGTTGATACTGGTGTGGCGGAAGTACAGGACTGCATAGTCAACATAGTCAACACGACGTCGGCTTTCGTACGGGTACAGTAATCACTACCAAATCGACCTACCTTGAACGATAAACACGTAACAACCAACAAAAACAGCATAGATGATTTATCGAGCGCCATTGCAATGTAGTCTCGTATATACTATATTGCATCACTGTAAGCCCACTTTGATCGTTAAAATAAGGTAGGCGGCCAAAGAATAACTTCAATCCGGCAAGACAACGGACTATAGCTTCTCTTCTTGCTCTTGGGGTTCTCGATTTGGTCAAGTTTACTGTGACTGTTTACAGTACTGACGCTCTTTTTGTTCCTATACTGTACACTGTACACTGTACAGTACTGTCATCCAAAATGTCTCCAGTCGCAGGATGGTGCTGAGATGCGAGTCCCTGATACACAGTTTGACACTGACTTTTCCTACAGTACCGTCTCATCATGATACTGTAAGGCTTTTTGCTTATGGCCTAATACAGACTACTATAGTACTGTACAGTGTACAGTACTGTATAGTAAATCTAGATTTGGTGTACTGTACAGTACTGTAGACACTTCATTAGTGTACAGTACTGTACTGTATGCCTGATATCGCAATACAGAGATTTTTTATAATGTACAGTCTACAGTTGCTCAATTAACCTCATTTTAATCAATTAAATTAGAAAGCCAAATTATTCAGCTTTATATTCGTATCATTTTTTTACATTTTGATTCACTCTCGTGATTTTGGGCCACCTTAAAGTACTCTAATTCGAACTGCTTCACACTCTGTTACAGTACTTTAAGAAAGCAACATCTATCCATACAAAACATGTCAAAAGACATAGAAATAGTTTCTATACAGGACAGTACTTTTATATACTGTACAGTACTACGCACTTTTAGCCATCCAAACATCTACAGTACAGTACTGTACTGTGGGTTAATGTACTGTACAGTGTACACTGTACAGTATAATGTCGTCGACCAATGACATCCGTATTCTTCGATATGTTTGAATAGTTAAAAAACTACAAGTAAAACGCTTAAAAATAACCAATCGTTATGAACCTTCCTATACAGATAGGTCTCATGTTAAAGAAAGTGATCTACTAATTGATTCATCTTTATCCCGATGACAATTTAATATTAAAACCATACATTGGCGATCAATTTTGTACAAATTGATTCAAAAATCGGAATATCCAATACCATACTGTACTGTACAGAGCTGTACAGTCTACAGTCTACAGTACTGTACAGTATACTGTACTTCGAGTACAGTACTGTACTGTACTGTCCATCGGATTATAGTGACATATATTTCACGTATAATTTAATGCTTATACTTTCTACTTTGCATTATTACTGTCACCTCGTACCACTCACTGGTCGAAACGTAGCGCACAGTAGTAAATGGACACCAAGGCCACCCTTTTTTTTTCTAATGGCATTTTGCCAAAGTTGCTACCGCCATCAGTGCGATCAATTGGTGATTTCTGTCTTTGCCGACTCTGCAAGTAGCATTATTGAATATTGAACGGTGCTTATGGACGATTGTACGTACAAATGTCCTTGAATATGAGTGCATACTCACTCAACAGTATTTGCCGTACATAAGGGCTTGTCAAACATGCACTTTTGTTTGGCAAATATCGCGCTGGAAATGGTTCATGTGGTTCCTTACCACTTCATCTACCATTCAATTTAAAAAAATTGGAATAAAAGGCCTTTCTTTCCCTGGCGCACCAAAAGCATTTGTTATGGCAAAGAATTCCTATTAATATTACAGTTCAGCTAGTGTAGTAACTTAGCCAACTGGATTAAGTAGATTAATTACATCATAGCCATTACTAGAGCAAGTAATCCTTTTGATGCGGGTGCGCCTATTATGATTTTGATAGTTTCTATGGTCAGTTACGGTATTACCGCAACATGATAGTACTGTATAAATCATAGTCTGCAATATGCTATGATCACATATACTGTGCTGTAGTGCATATTCGTGTAAAATGTTGATTAATCTGTGAGCGTAAATAATTGGGGAGTATCTTATAAACTCCGTTAGGTATATTAGGATCCCACTGAAAGTTATCAATAGACGTTTACAACAATAAATGCCGGATTGTCGGCTATGGCCAAGCTGGTTAGATGGAGTAGGGTACGACTGTAGTTATAAAATATCAATTCTTCGTTGTTGCCAGAACTTTACAAGCAAAAGCTACTTGAAGTATAATTCTAATTACAATCAACCTTCCATAAATAAGAAACATTGATAATAATAATTAATTATAAATAATACTTTACTCTCTCACTGTACCATGAAATTTTAATTTCAATACTTAAAATTCGAATCAAACCAGTTCAAAAACAAATACAGAATGTTAATCCTATATAAACTTTTATATCCTTTGACAGTCCCAACGGTTGAGTAATAAATAATACTAACGTAATAGTTCTGTTTTGTATTGGAGAAAATTCATTTCATATCCTTATAAACTGCTGTTATCATCTTCCGTTCTGTCAAGAGTAAGTACTAAGAGATATATTGGCGATGTTTTGGCATTTCAGCAGTACATGTTCTACATAACAAGGCCCCAAATCTTATTTCTACAGAATAACTTAAAAAGTCAATTCATTAAAATTTCATTAAGAAAGTTTGCGGATTTCTTTATCGAGTAGGCAATAGGGCACTTTTCACCCTTTCTAAAAATAATACATGCGTACATATATGTATATATATGCATATATAAATGCATAAAATATAAACTATCCAAATTATTTTCTAATCATTCATGCCAAATATATCATTTAATATTTAAATGTCGAGTCAATAGAAACTAAAATTCATCAATAAACTCATGTTTTGCACAATATCATATAAAAAATTGCAGACTAATAAATCCAGAATGATCTTAACTCTGGCCTAGTTTAATAATTCTGTCCATTAATAAATCTAGAATGAACTTATAATGCTATAGAAATGAATCAGTTATACAAAATACGCTACGCGTATTGCTGTTAGAGATCATGGGCCTAATTAGAACTCTTTATCCTTACATAGTCTTATATTTATTAATGTAATATACTGTAATGTCATTCACAATAAAATCTTATCATGCTGTATAGTGATACTTACTGTAGTTGCCAATGGAATCATTTTACCCATTTTTGATACCGTATAATCTGTTTTTCAAAATCCTTTATGTTAGCAAACGAAATAAATTAATTTTAAATAAATTAAACATAGCTTACACAAAAATTTATTTAATACTAATAATTTACAAATTATAGGAAGTGTAGAAATACCGTTAAACAATATCACATGTGTCATACAATGGCCTGATAGAGCCTACTAATTAGTTAATTGTACTATAGCATTGAATAATTATATGCAATTCATGTTTACTTTTCCTAGCTATTTCAGTCTGTTGCAGCCATTTATATCCCTATAAAAATAATGTCTTACAGAATAATGTCTATCGTATCGTACACTAATCCAACCGTTACATAAATCAAATTACGTTACAGTAACTAATGATCGAATATGTAAAACGGTAAACAATTTCTCGTCAAACAATTGCGTCTTCGCTCTGAAAGACTGTCATTTTCAATTGTAGAATATTGCAAATAAAAATTTAAAATACACAAATATCTTACCATAAATTCTATTATCATAGATTAGGGTTCAATGATTTCTGTTCATAACTTGATTGTAATAATATATGCTTTATGAGAAATTAGTCGGTTATGATACAAAACATGCCTTAGGCAAAGTCCATCGTAACTTAATTATTAAAAGCAATCAAAAGGTCATTACAAAATTTAAAGGGAATGATATTTGCTGTTGAATTCAATATTACTATCAAAGGTATGCCTTTATATCGCTTAGACTTTACGATAGGGCAATTCATTAATTGAAAGTATTTATTGTTTAAATCCGAAAATTCATTTTGATATTGATAGTATTCCTAAACTGACAATATTCATTACAATGCCTTAGCTGAATTTTCTTTAATTGTTTCTTTTCCGTAGGACGGTAATCAGTTTAATTCTAGCCTAATTTAATCACAATCAGGCCCGATATATCATCTTAGTACAAGTCCAGAATGATTAGACTATGTAATCTTTATGAGCGGTCGCAAAGGTTTTCTTCATCAATTTAAATATAAAGGCGCAATCAGACGTACCATAACATTTTCAATTGTATGTTAATGAGCAATATATGCATAAAAAACTTTAGGAATAGATTTTCAATACCTAATATAATATAAACCGGCAGGAGAAGAAAAGGCAATCATGGCATAGATTGCACCCCTCTATTTGATTATAAAATACAAAGTTTTATAGACTAAAAACAATTTTATAATCGCTCTGACTTACCGCTCAATCTATTTCTATTTAAATGAATAAAACACAAAAAATTGACATTGGGTAAAAATATACTCCTTTTAGCTAATCAGCAAACCTGAAATTTTACATTAAAAAGAACTTTTAATGATTCTGCTCCTTACAAACGGCATTACAGTAGGACCATCATAGACAAACAACCATAGGCTTTAAAATCCAGTTTACATAGATATTTGTATATTTTACAATCTCCAATAACTTATTGTAGCTTTATAGACAGTATATGGATAATGAATTCGTTCATGAGCTTTCCTGTAACCAGTACACCAACAATAAGAATAACATACACCTTAACAAACTTTACACCCTACATAGAATTATCTTTTTTTAGTTAAACAATGTGACATATTCAAAAAATTTTAATTAAAACAATTATGATTTACTAAATACAAATCCAGAACACCAATGAAAAGATATATGGTACCATGCTGTCTAAACAAGAAGTAAAAACGGCTGGATTACTTTAAATAGATTTTATAAACATTCTCAGTAGAACACTGTAAGGTAGTCCATTCATTGTAACCAAAGTTGAAGGTGGAGACAGCAAATTAAATAGAGTCAATCTCCTACCATTGGAAAATTGTAATATTCTCAATTAAAGAGGCTAGCATAAAGTAGCATATTGCAATAGTGCTAATGATTATCTTAGCCAGCATTGTTAATATGGTCTGCTGCCATAGTAAATTTCCTTGCGAGCTTTTTTTACTAAACAATTATAAATTAAAAAATATGATACTACATTTTATTGTGTTATAAATTATTAGCAAGAGTCTTGGAGCGAAAAAGTGGTTCCAAGATAAAAATCATCTGCAGTTTCTAACATTGATATTGAAGATAGGCATAGATGGTTTTAAAGTCAGTAGACGGTAAATATAGAGATAGGTATTTAACTTGAAATAAGGATCATGCAATCAATAGAAATAAAATGAGCTTTGTTTTTATTTCGTTGAATTTCACCTCGCTAGTATTATAGCCAATGCCTAAGGTTAAGACAATAAAGGTCATTATTGCTATCAAAAATTAGTAACAAAATTTATAAGTTACGATGTTGTTTTATATTGAAGCTATTCTCCTGTTTCACCGGATTACCCTAATTGTGTACTATTATCTATAATTAAAATTATATACCCGTAGATTGCAAAAGTAGTATGATAAGACAAACTCCGTACTATTTTCTATGCTAAATGGAATAGAGTTATTACATCCATGTACGCTTATAACTTTACTAATACCTTTCTTGATCCTACAAAAACGGTTTGATTAATTCATAATCTATAAGTAAGCGAAGTTGTTTGTATGAAATTATTATCCATAGAAGATAGATATCTTATATTGCACTGTCGTACTAAAAAGCACCCAAATAGCATCGATTTTGGTAAATAAATATCCAAAAATGATTCTGCATGCATACAGCATTTCATTCAGAAATTTTATTTCTGTCAATGGAATATTAAATCTACGGTATGTAAGCCGTAACGAATATACTGTAGCAACCAAGATTGCGAACGAAGAAATATATAAACGCAAATGAACTACCCCCTGATTACCCGATAGCGACTACATAGCGTTTTAAAGATAATATTTGTAGAATTTTATGCATGGTACTATCAATTATCGTTTATAATTCTGATCAAAACATGTACATTATGCTATAAATAGCTAAATAAAGTATTACGAAGATATTTAGAACACTTCTTCATAATACTGAGATCAGATTGTGCTAATTTGCATAAAACATTTTTTCTTACTAAGATTCTACTTTATAAGCAAAGTAATAGCGGTAACCAATGCTAACTAAAATATCGGCAGGCATAAAATTTTATATGCATTTAAAGGCGTTCATTTTATTTTTTTTCATTAAGTCTGCCTAAAAGTGTTCCTAAATATTTACCTTACGGTTTAATATAATCTTTAAGTTAGCACATTTACAAAGTATGAACCGTATCTATAATCATTTGAAAAAATTGCGTCATTGATTTTGCTTGCTGCAGTAATTACAATACTGAAATAACTACCATATGGCAGTTGGCATACAAGGCAAGTGCATTATTAGAAAATAAAATATAGGGGTTTAATCGTGAACGCGTTAACTGAATCAATAGTGTGTAAAGCCGACACTAACAAAATTGGTAAAATTTTACTGCAATTACTACGACAAGATATCGTCTGTATAATTATAAGAAGGGAAAAAAGTATTTTAAATGCTAGAAGGCCAATTAGACCAATAAGAGCCATCCGCATGAATACAATAATATGTATCATAGCGCGACTTAAATTAAAACGACATAAAATAAAATTACACTAAAATGTAAACAGAAAGAAAAGCTAAATAGACCATGATTATTATTTATCACAAGTAATTGGCACAAGCACATATACTGTATATATTTGAATGCAAACATATATATATATAAAATGCGATATGAATCATCGTGATTATTACAAGTTTAGTAAATGTAAAAATGAAAATTAATAGATATATTAAAATTACCGCAGATTGATGCTTAGCTGTCTACATATGCCAGCCCTATAATGCTTTGGCGATCCCTATATGGACTCGCATCTTAATAGAAATGAACACTGAATTTAATCTTAGCCATATAAACTAAGATTTGACGCGATCCACAAGAACTATATTAAAATACTAATAATAATTAATAAATCGCTTATTTTATTCAAGAAGAAGCTAGAAATACTAAATAAGATGTAAATAAAACGATTACTTAATTTACTCTACAATGTATAATCTTAATCATTAATCGACTGAACAGCAATTTACTCCGATTGGAAATATAGTTAGTGTGAATTTTAAAAGTGCTAGATTGAATTTTCGTTACTGATTAATTATACGCCAAACGTATAAGAGTGGCATAAGCTGTCATAAAAATCAATCTACTGTATTCCGTTTTATATTCAAATATATTGAATGATATGACTCAGCGAAAGTAATTATGTTATTTTGAATTTGAATATCTGATAAAATCAGTTAGAAAATTGATATTTTTTCTTCATGATGTAAAGAAATTGATTCCTAAAGCTATCAAATTCAAACAAAATTAATTTGTCGGGTTCATGTGCCATCATGACAGCCATAATTATAAAGCATGCCGATGCCAGTCGATGAAGTTTGTTAGTAATACGTTGGTTTATGGTAGATTGCCAGAGGCAACAAACTTTCTTGCTTAGCAATAGCAGAGAAATTGTATATGCGTTTTCGAAATTTTAACTGTTGATAGTATAATTTATGATAAGTAGGCGAATAACCTGCTACGGATTGTCTAGAGGAATTTCAAATTTTTCATTTACAAAGTGAGTATCTGGATCGGCGGTATATTTCTTATTGTACGATATGAACAAATACTACGGTCAAAATGCGTCATACGCAAATAGCATAAGGATAGCTATTAATACTCTCAAATCTCCGTAAAATATTCGTTACAAAATGATTATTGCCAAAGGTGACAGAGATAGAGATATCCACCCTTTGACGATCGATATTAATTCATATTATGCAGCGGAAATCATTAATAAGGTATGATAGATTTCATTTTGCTCATTGTTAAACTACATCAGCAAAGGTGACATTTCTAATTTTTTCATTGAGTATCTCAACCCTCTCACTAAGGTTGACGGTGAGTAAGCTACATATCCAATGAATAATAGCTGAAAAAACTCAATCAAATGGTGATGATTGCACCGCATTGGTAGGCGACTTTAACAAATTGTTACAGGACAAAAAAAAATTCTTCAATATACAAAGATACTACAATAAAATATTGCAGAGTTAACTTGAAGATCTTTCAATTGTGTTACGGGGTAATTAAAGTGCAAAAAGTTTCGGCTAGACTGTTACTAAAATGTCTTTAGGTGTTAAAATTGTCCAAATATGAATGGTTGTTGCTCAACTTGAAGATAAGTACCGATTGGAGCAGAATAACCTAAATCACCATATTGTTGCAAATTCATGATTTGCCCCCAAAATTCACCACTGTACTGATTCATTTGTTGATGAAAATAGTAAGGTTGCCGACGATTTTCACGATTGCCTAACTTAATATTATGCCGTTTTTTCCAACGATATAACCACATATTGGATGCTTTAAAATCCAAGAGACCAATAGTATGAGCAATTTCTAAGGCTTTATGCTGTAAATCCTTATTCTTAACACTAACACCAAGGTTGATTTGTTCTTTCATATAATTGAGGACACCATCTTCAATTTCTTGCGATCTGACTTGTCGAACAAATTGAACTTTTTTACGATCTTTCTTTTTTGCATCGACGATCAATCTTAATTTATCATAGGAATTATTCCATTCGCGAACACGTTTACGATCGACACCGAATCGTATTGCAATCTGCGAAATATTAGATCGAGGCGAAAATCGCAATGCTTCAACAACTTGTAATTTAAACGCTACGCTGTAGGCTTTACGTTTTCGAGTTGAGATGATATCCATTTCGAAATGATCTAATTTTACCGGTAAAATTGCTTTAAAATTAAGCAAGATAAGAAAAAAGAGGAAGAGAAAAAAAATGATGGCGTATAAATGGTTGAAAGTAGTAGATAAAATAATCCCCTTCCTTAAGAAAATCTGCACCAAGTGATAACCACTGACAAAAAGTCTAAATGAAGACTGTATAATACAATAATAAATAATAATGATTACAGCCAACCCCAAACCAATTGCTTTACCAAATGAACACTGACACTCTTGGACTATCTATATATAGAGAGAAGCAATGGCCAAGGAGAGAAACTGTTAGAATAGAGCCCGTGCAGGGGTGGTATAATATATATATAGGTAGAGCGTATACAAGAGTGTGCATAAAAGAAAATTTCTACACAAATAGATTATAATAATTGTTTTGCCGTGTAGATCAACTCTATGGTACAGTAATATGTAATATCTAATATACAATATATTCATAAGCTCGTGGAGGTATTATGAATAATAATGATGTAGCTTACGGATGTTGTTGGCAGATTCCTTTTGTCTCATGGAATACAACTAGAAATTCAAACAAATAAGATTGGCATAGCCATAATCAAATTTCATTGTCAATATAACCTATGCATTAAAAATATGTCCCATTACTAGAAGTCGTAGACAACAATATTAAAAGTAATTTAAATAGTATAAATAGGTAGCAAAAAAGATTGATTAATAACTTTGTATGATTTGCTAAATCGAATTCGAGTAGGCTTATCAATTTCAGGAATCGTCGACTTAACAATAATCACTACGGATGACAAGGTAATGAAAATTTCTCCAAATTTCATCAAAATATAAACTGATTGAGGTGGCAGGTTTGATTTCCATGAAGTATTTTATCAACACAACTGGTATCGTTGATGAAAATATTCAGTTTGACGCTAAAATTGATATCTATTACTTGGAAATATATTTCATCAACTGTATTCAATCGTTTCAATGAGTACATAGCAATATCGGGATTTATTATTGCTAATCATAATTCAATGCACTTAACGCTTGCTTCTAGAGAGTTTAGCTGAGCTATTTTCAAAACACCGAGAGCTATGATCGTAAAGTTCTATCTAGCTCACAGGCTCTATGATGTTATACTGTGACATAGTTAGAAGGAATAGGCTCGTGAAGAACAAAAAATAACCTCTACAATTTAGTCGTACATTACCTCCATATATGAAAAATCTCATGGATTACAAAATACAAGCCGATCTACTATCAACGTATTGATTAAATCAATATATTATTGCATCTGCACGTAAAATTGATTCAAACAAAAATTGAGAAATGTTTCAAAAGTTGCAAAAGTAATGTCAATTTTCTACGGGTACTAAGCTGTAATTTCTCACATTCTCGTTTAGCTGTCGATTTATGAATTGAAACGTTGTAATGACATACTCTAGAGATCAACTGGCAATGCTTATATAGCCTATTTTATCGACAGATTATAAGTCTATCTCAAGCTTAGCTCGAGAATGAATTGACCCTAACTTACCTTCAGATGTAACTTTTTTGCTGCAGAGGGAAAGGAAGGACTTGTTAACGATGCTCAGGTTGCAAGAAAATGGCATGCAACATACAGTGGGAGTTGTACCGACTACTGCATTTTTATTATGACACGACTATATCAAAGTGTTAAATGTCCCTTATTGCGCAATGATAGAACAAATGATAGCATTTAAATTGTTAACGACTTATCATTATATTGGTTTCTCATAAAAAAAGAGAAAAAAACTCAACATAATAACATCAGGTTGAGATTGTTACCATTCAATGCCATTGTTGATAATAAGTTTAATTCAGAGTCAATGTCAATTTCATGTAGAGTAGCACACTATCTATATTCCAATAAATCCGCATTAAATTATGATTATTATCATGTCTAATATTATTGAACAACATAATATAAATGATGTTGTGGGAAACAATAGAAATTTCTACTTACCATCTTACTAGAATCTATGACATCATGACTTTATTAGAAAAGTTATTATGGTAAATAGAAACTATCACAATAGTAATTACTATAATCGTATGGAGAAAAATGCCATTTGATTATGTTAGGAAAATAATCTAAATTTGCAATACAATACCAAGCGGATGAAAAGAGTTTTTAGATTCAATTTTGATTGGTGATTGTGTCATTACTACTGGTTTCTCATTAGCAGCTAGCGGCACTACCCAAGTGACAATCGTTTTACTGTTCCAAATGTCGATCAAGATGTCAATTTCTGGTAGACAGTGATGGACAAGATTGATACAGCAATTAGATAATATTGTATAGAAAAACTGGGGAGGGTAAAGAAAAGTAGGAAATAAAGGGTAAAATTGTATGCTAAATTTTATTCTGTATGCATAGAGTAATAGTCAAGATCGTCAACAACTGGTTATCCACTGGCACAATATACTTTTACTAGCTATCACAGGTATGTGTTGGACTATCGACCGGATAGATAACAATTATTAGCCAATGGTATTAAATAACGGTATTTTAATATGGCCGGTCGATTATGGCTTTTATTCTATCGTGTTGAATGTGTGTACTTTACTTGTTACAGGAATCAAGTTATTTTATAGAATATTCTCTTTAGTTAGCTTACGAATATTGCACTAATTGATTTTCTTGCATAATGTTCAAGTTTGAAACAAATAAAATGCTCTTATAATATTTTAAAAATATCTAAAAAAAGTTGTTATCGTGTTGCCTATAAAATTGTCGTCATCGTCGCTCTAGTATTTGATAATATTGAATCAATATTATATTGGATGCAAAACTATTTACCACTGTAATGGGCTATAAAAATATTTACTACCCTATCGAACATCTTCAACATCGCTATTTAACATTAAACCAGTAACCGGAACTACTATATTTTTCATAGCATCCTATAATTCTATTGGCTAACATTAGCTTAATACTATCCACTTTTCCCATGCCAATTCTATTTCTACTACAATATGATCCTACGGTGTTTGGTAGTATTAGTCTATTTAATTTCGATCCCAGCATCGATCGCTTTATACTTGTAATTCATATGCTAATATAATAGAGTTGTCAAGTATCTTCCATTCTTGGCCATCCTCTACAAATGCCAACTTTCTAGGTATTCTTCTCATTTTTATTCAGTAGGTTGTCAGGAATCCTTCATGGCCTATTGTAATCAATTTACAATAATATCATTGTACAATATCCATTGTTATTCATGATGGGCTAGAATATTCAAATGAATATTATTGTAAATGGGTGTACTAATTTTTTTATCGTAATCCAACGTCAAAAGCTTTTAGACTACTTTACCGTAAAACGAGTTCTGCTTATCCGATGATTCCATTGATGGGAGTATTCTAGCCAATATGATTGGCATTAAAATTGCAATTCTATTCCATCTAAACATTGTTATAACACTGATAGAGAAAAAGGATACTTTTCGTTTACAGCATAGAATGGCCTACAGTAAACGACACAGAGTACAAGACAATCTATTTATTTGAATTTTTATTTTTCCTTTGCTGTAAAGAATAGTAATCGATGCATGGGTTCTTTACTACGGATAGCTGACAGTAAAACTAGCTATGATCATTATATTATTTGTCAGTAACAATAGTCATATATTGGAGAAGGCATCGTAGTGTAAAATTCACCAGTAATATAATTCATCACAGTAAAATCAATAAACTTACCAATATATAGAGGGAGAAGATAGCAAACTACTAAGGCATCATTGTTCATGTCCCTTTTATCTTCTGCTATATAAACATGGCTACTGAGATACCATGATTGGGTTTTTTTCATCTTTTTTCAATAGTATTCTTTATATAATATATTAGCGTTTGCGACATTATATTAAGCTAGACTACTATAAACTCATCTCGACTTGTATTTATTTCGACCAAGTTCTTAGCACTACATTATATAGGATAGATACTGAAATCGACAATAATTCAAATTCAAAAGTAATATTTTACTGCACTGTAACATAAGTGCTTTGGGGGGAATACTTATACTTGCTGTAAACATGCATTGTGCAATGCTGATGTTGTCGTTATACAGAGTATTAAACCCATCCGCTCTATTTTATCTGGTGAGTTTGACTTAGAAGTACGGAATCAAGTCCAGTGATGATTTCTGTCGAGTTTGATTCCATCTTTGCTGTTTATACCTTAATAAAAATTTAATATTGTCAACCCAATCATAAATATATGACGATGATCTGTGTATTTATTTCTCCAATTCTATTTACCGATTGCAAGAAAAAAATTGGAGCCGTGTAGCGTCTCGGTGCGATCTGGATTATGAATTTCAATTTTCTTATAAAATTCTTACAAAAATACGCTAGGGCATTATATTTGTAAATTACCATTTTACCATTCATCCATTAAATTCTGTCGTCGGAATATAAGATAAAATTGAAATAGGGTATTCTAGTACAGTCATTCTATTGGTAATTATTTAGAAACAAATAAATATGCCTTGTATTGCTGTGTTAAGCAACGTATCAATCTGATTTCTCTCTGCCTTACCAGAACTCATCCTACATTTATTAGCCATGATTATGAGAAATTATAGTTGTTAAACATTAATACAGTATGCTCGTATATATTTACTATTCACTAGGCATGATTAACTGTAGTAAATTTAATATTAAAAATTGATTATTTATGTATGAAATCGAATTTCCTATAATAGCTTATAGCAATAGAAGAAGATGAAATTACTATAATACAGATTGAAAATTTTTTAATATCTAAGATGATATTGTTTCTAAAGGTGTTACTAGAAAAGTTACGAATGGGTAGAATTAATGATAGCATTCACCCTGTAATAATATCGTAATGTCTCTCTTTCACTCTTATAATATCAAAGGATTAAAACTAGAAATCTCATTAAATATTAAAGTAATAACTAGATGCTCTTAAATTGTATAGACAAGAATTGCGATATACACTCAGAAGATGCATTCCAGCTAATA